CTTGACTCTTTTTCTCCTTCTCGTCCTAGCAGACCCCCCCTTTCCCCGTCTTCCTCGGCCAGACTAAACGACACGTGCTCCAGGCGCCGCATTGTGTGAGTCTCGGTCGGTCGTATCTTAACCCAAAGAGAATAAAGAACATTCCAGTTCTGTTCGTGTCGTGAAGCTCCGCCGGTTGGGGGGGGGGGGGGTAGCTGCCATTTGGGAAAACGCTGGTCCCCACTCAGTCCAGGACGTGGTCCCTTTTGTATCTTTCTAGGTCTCGGCGGCCGCCGCTTGTGTTTTGCTTCGACGCCGCATCTCGACCGGTGTTGAGCATGATTGGGGCAGTGACAAGGACGAGGAGGAGAGAAGTCGTTGGCGGCGGCCTCCGTTGATTGTTTGAGGTAATTATTGTCTTCCCTAGGTAGAGAAGAAGGGGGCTGGAGCATCGTGGAAGGAAAGGCCCGTCCTCTTTCCTCGTGTTGTAGATAGTAGGGGTGGAGTGGGTGAGCTTCATCCAGCACGGACTTGAAGCTTGACTCTACGATAGGTTGGAAGGGTAAGGCAAGAAAAATAGAGATCGTACCACGTAGGCATGTAGAAGTAATTCCGAAGAAGAAAAAAAAGGGGGGGGGAGATAGAGAAATTGTGTTCTGCAGCATGATTTCCTTACGGCTAAGTAATTATTCTGGTCAGCCAAAAGTCCAGAGTCTGGAAATGATTCGTATCAAGATGGCCAGAGATGTTTTTGTGTGAAGAAACATTTTGAGGCAGTTTCGCAATTGACTCTTTCAGAGATGTTAGGGCCACTCATGTATAATCATATGTAACATTTTGTCCTATGATGGTTTGGGATCAAGTTCTCGAGGTTTCAACTGCGCATTGTCACTGGTCGTTTGAACCTTTGATCACAATACATGCATTGATCAATTACCCTCGATGATTCAAGGGAGAGTATATAGTTCAGATAATTATTCTGTTTAGCATCCATGTCTCAAGAAAGAAGATGTGCATCTCCCGGGCATTATACAGATTTCCATCTTGATTGCAACCCAGACTTGAATGAAGAAGCATCTCTCAGTTGTTGATCATCATTCCATTTGATCATGGAGTTGGGGGGGAAGCTTGTACACAATTGGAGGGAATTTTTTGTTTCTTGTTTCTCTTTTTTCCTTCTGTTGTTGCTTTTGTTCTGGAAATTTGTTTTTGAAAAGGGTTCTGTCTTCTTATGCTTGGACAACATTGAATGCTGGGGATTGGTGGCGTTCCTGCAAGATTTCGGAGCTGGTGAAGGGAAAACTTTGGAGAGGGGGGTGTCATAATTTCTCAAAGTCCCCCCGCTCAACAAAGGTCTACATGAAGGTTTTGATTTTCGCAAATTGGGAAGGCAGCTCTGTCCTAGTCTGGAACAGAATGTTTGAGGGGAAGGTGAGAACGCACGGCATTCCAAGTCTTGAAGGGCTGACCAGCATTCAGATGGAACATGAAGGAGCAAATGATATCAACGCAAGGAGCCCATTGAAAGGTGTCAGAAGAGAGGGTTTCATCTTGATGGTTGAAGGCATATGGCATTCCCTTGGAGCCAAACATTACCAATGTGGTTGATGATCATAACAGGACAAAGAGGGCTTGCAACGATTGATTCTTGTGGTGAACCAATCAAACTGTACATTATGAAATCAGAACTGGACCAATAATGCAATGTTTATTACAACAAGCAAAAAAGCTCTCACAGCTCCTTTGATAGAAAACCCTGCCCCCCAAGAAAGAATCTAGTCTTTCAATCATGACCAGATCACTGCCTGTTGGATTGGAAGTCGTGCTGCAGTGCTGTCCAGTCCACTGGCCAGCGAGAATCATACCTAGCACCTGCATTGTAGCCCTGATCCTGGTAGTGCTGCTCCTGATGGTGCTGATACTGTTGATGTTGGTGCTGGTATTGATGCTGCTGATACTGCTCCTGCTGCTGGTGCTGGCGGTGCTGACGATGTTGGCGATGCTGGCGATGCTGGCGACGGTGCTGACGACGCTGCGAGGCCCGCGGCTCCATGGTAGCCGACACTGTGACGGGGATCGAGGCGCTACCCTCCAGCCCAACCGCCCCGCCAACTACACCACCCTCCTCCTCCTCATTCTCCTCCTGCTGACCACGCAAGCTCATCACAGGGACCTGGCTGCGCCCCACCCCAGCCTGCATCTCGATGGCATTGTCGCTGTCCACGGCGCGACCGCGACGGCTGGCCCACAGACCAAACGTGCGCGGGTACGCAGGGCCGGCGCCATCATGGACGGAGCACCGGCCCTCATAGGGACAGGCGGCGACGGCGGCACTGCACGCACCAGCGCCGCCACTCTGGTCGTCTTCGTCGCTGTTGTTGTGGTTGTAGTTGTGGTTGCGAGAGGCAGTGGCATCCTGCCGGGAGCGGGAGACGAGGCGCTTGGAGAGGACGCTGAGGCGGTTGGTCGAGGCCCAGCTGCGGCGTGGGTAGGAGGCGGGCCCGCGTCCAGGATAGGGCGAGGGTGGCGGGGAAGGGGAAAGGTGGTAAGGGTCGTCGTTATTGTTGTAGCTGCTGTTGCTGCCGCCGCCGCCGTACTTCTTGCGCATGGCCCTCCTGATGAAATAAACAAGCAGTAGAATCAGAAGGATACCTGAGACTAAAGCTGCAGTGATGATGCCCGCCACGTCACGTGTGGAGAGATCGTCCTTTATGTTTGGTGCTGTGGTGGCGATAGGAGGAGGAAGGAGGCTGTCTATGGTTGTCGAGGAGGTAGACAGGGCGTTCTGGGAGCTCGGCTGAGGGGTAGACGATGTGGCATCTTGGGTGCCTGACTGGAAGGGAGTTATGATGGCTGAAGTGGTCGTTGTCATCATCATGGAGGACTTGGCAGTTCCAGGTGAAGTACTTGTGACAGCGTTGCTGCTGCTGAAGCTTGGCCTGTCGCCATTGCCAGGGCTTGGGTCACCAAAGGGTGGAAGGCCACTGGTAGAAACGCCTGTAGCAGGTGGACTGAAACTGATGGCAGTAGTGACAGTGCTGAGAAATGGATGCTTCATGGGAGATAAGCTTGTGGTCTTGGAAGTTGTCTTCTCGTCGCTCTTGTGGGAGGAGGCTGAGGCAGACGAAGCTGTGGACCTAGGAGTATTATCTAGCTCAAGAATGATCGTGATGGTGTCAGAGCTGGCGCTGGAGGAGGTAGACTTGGCCACCAGATAGACTTTGGCGGGATCATCAGGCATGGAGGTGGCAGTGATTAATTTCACTTTGGGGGTATCAGAGATGTCATCATCTCCATCAATCAGGTTGATGATATAGGCATTGCCCTTTTTGTTGTTATCGTCGTCGTCCATGGTGTCAGCTCTGATGTGTTCTTCAGATCGTCGATTTTGCAGCTGTAAAGGTGTCCACAGACTGAGGAGAAGGCGACGAAACACCTGAGGGTTGTTTTCAGGTGTAGAAAGAGCTGTGGTGTTCCACAACGCGTCGAGAGGAGGGCTGGATAGTTTGGACTTGGTAACCACAACACTTGGTCAGTATCAAAACCCATCAAGACAAGAATAAAGAGAAGTGGGGGAGGGGGAAGGCTTGGCTGACAATGAGGATTGACTTGAAGAAGAATTGGTTGAGTCTCCAGTGATGGTGGCACCAGTTGTTGTTGTTATGGTGGTGGTGGTGGTGCAAACGAAAAAGACAGACGACACGATTGTCTGACAAGGTGGATAGTCACAGTCACTGCTTTGGAGGAGAGGGGCTTCTTCTAATGGGTGTTAAAGAAGCCTTGCAAAACCAGTGTAATGTCAGTTCTCGACGGCAGAGTAATAGATGGGAGACCAAAGGTTGGCTGCTTGGAAGGAAAGGCAAACAGGTTTGGTGCGAAAACCTGGGCTCGCGTTGGAGATGTCTGTCTACCAGATGGTGGGAGCGCAGCAACAGCAGTAAACAAATCCACAGTGGTAGCTTTCTGAGATAGGATGGGAGAAAGTCGAGAAAAAAAAAGAGAGCTGCACAATTAATGCTGGGGCATCTGCCACTGCCCTCGCCCTGGCCCTCTCCCCATCCCCCCTCTCTCCCACTTAACACACAAAGATAATTGGCAGTCTTATACCTTCGATTCACCAGAGATGATTGCTGGATAGAGATCATGAAAAATCAAAGGACTGTGCAAATCTTGTGATGCATCCTAATACCACGCAGACATCCTTCTCTTCTCCTCCCCCTTCTCCTCGTGTTACTTGCCCTACAGTTATCTGTTACACTCCTCCTTTGCCTCCCATGAAAGCAAACAGGGTCACAAACAATAACCTCACATCCCCCCAATGCATGTGTGCCACCAGAGACACCCATCCTCCCCCAAACCCCCTACATGGAACACTATTTTCCTACCACCTAATCATCTATCATGTCTGATGATCACTCCAGGCCCACAGAGAGGTCAGTTGAATCCCATAGCTAAGTAAGTACTCAAAGCTTTGACTCTCTAATAATGTCCCCTCCTTCCCAAAGCCCCAAACCCCCAAACCGAGGTGCTCCTCTGTTGGAGAAGCTGGGTGAGGACCTGGGGGGGGGGGATGATTTGGGCAATGGTCCATAGACCTATTGAATCTGACTGATTCAGATGATGGGAACATGTCATGAGTAAGGCATATATAGATACATGTATATATTTAAAAAGGGGGGGGGGGGCAACAACATTAGTTTATTGGGCAGATAAGTGATGTATCTGCAAAAGAAGCAAAGTAGATTCGTTGAGACAGCTGAGGCATACTGAGGTGATGAATTTGTTGACGCTCAAATCGTATAGGCCTTGGACGCGTTCAGATGATTTTTGTTCCCTGGCCGGGGGGCAGGGTGTGGGAGTGTTGGCCAAACAGTGGTGGCCTTGACATCAGTGAGATTACAGCCACAGAAGGACACAGCAGTCTACTAGAGATATAAGCAATAAGTCGACCATGGTTAACCAGAGAAATCAACATTGTTCATGTCGGTTGGCCCGATACCACAGGCCCCCTCGCCAGTTGATCTGAGAAGTATGTTATGGTATGTAACGTACGTACACGTGTGTGCGCTGCGCTAGACTGATGGCATGGCCAGGTAATAAGGTAGGTAGATAGGTATCAGTCGGGATTCCTTTCTCTCTCTGTGTCTGTCTCTCTCTCTCTCTCTCTCTCTCTCTCTCTCTCTCTCTCTCTTCCTTTCCCTTTTCACGCGTGCCTCGTCTCTTGCCCTGTGACCTTGCTTGATGTCCCATTCGCCGTGGGTTGCCGATCCCGTTCCTATCTATATACATAAATACAAAGTTACGCAGGGCAGGTTGGTGGTATAAGCCATCCATACGCTTTCGTTCCCAGAGTCACAAACAGAAAACAGTAAAAGCAAAGAATAAAAAAAAAAAAAAAAAGAGAAGTAGAAGTCGTGGGCAGGATCCAAGTCAACGCTTTTTTCTTAGGATGCGGTGCACCGATGGTGTCGCGTCGATGGCTGACACCGACCATCATTATTAAACAAATCGTAAATTTTTGGGATGCGAAGTAATGAGATGAATTCATGTCGTCAGGACTCTTCGTGATGACCAGACAGGGTCGTCAGAAACGATTATATATGTAAAGGTTGAAAGGCAGTAGGGATGAGAGATGGCAAGCGACGCTCTCAAGCAGACACGGGCACGGTCGGGCTTGGCACCCCTTCCTTGCCTGTGTCCTCAAGCGCCTCGACATCCTCCACTCTGCTCTCCTCGGCGCCGGACGGCTCAGCCTTTGGCGATGCAGGCGGCTCGGGAGTGAAGAAGAGCGTCTCACGCGCGGGCTTTATCGTTGCACTTTCGATTGGCTCCTCGGCTTGATCGTCTCCTTTCTCTTCGCCGTCCAACTTCTCGGCCTCAGGACGAGGGTCCTCTGGTATTTCTTCTTCCTCTTCCTCAACCTCCTCTACTGGCAATGGACTGCGTCTGCCGTCGGAGAAGCTGACAGCCGCGTCACTGTCCTCGTCGCCAGGCACGACAAGGCTGAGGGCGAGATTGCCAGCAGAAGTTGAGTGCCTCGCTGCTGCCGAGGAGTACTTCCTGTGCAGCTCCCTGAAGCTCCTGGCCGTCGCCGTGCTCGCGCTGGCTGCAGAGGAGCGGTGTTCAGCGGGAGCGCTTTTGGGGCCCGAGAGCAGGAACACCCGGAAGTCACCGTTACCGCTTCCACTGCCGCATGATGCCGTGGTCTCCTCGGGAACGTCGCCATTAATGATCGTGTCCTCCATCTGCGACGACTTCCGTGCGCGGAGACGCTCGTCTGGCGACAGGCTCTGGAGCTCGGAGCCGAACGTGATGACCGACGCCTTCTTGCCGTGCACGACAAAAGGTCCGGCAGCCCGCGTGAGCGTCTCTGCCTCGGTTTCATCCGTGACACTGCTGGCGGCAGGCTCCTTTCCTTTACGGCTGCGAGCATGTGACAGATGGCCAGCACCCTCTCTAAGAGTGCGCTGCAAGCTACGCCGAATCTTGTTCTTATCACTCTTGTCCTTGTCGAGCGAGTTGCTGTGCGGGCCGTACTCTGGCGTCTGTTCAGAGTCCTGCGTCCTCGTCTTGTCAACATTCTCAGGGCTCAGGGTGATCTCTTTGCCGAGCAGACCCGTCTTCTCCAGGAGATCCCGTTCGTTGGCATCCTCTTCAGGGTGAGCATCATCGGTGGCAGCATGCTCCGGTGCGGAGCTCGAAGTGGCGGCAGTTCGCGGTGGCGTGACGGGAATGGATTGCCGGGATGACTTAGCACTGGACACAGAAGCCTTCCTAGTCGACTCGTGATTGTGGGACGGAAGCTCCCAAGAATTCTGGTGCTTGTGAAGAGGCGGTTGCCCGGCGCTTGTCGGTGGTGTCTGGAACGTCTCGTTGTCAACCGACTCATCGTCTGAGGAAGCTTCTGCGGCCTCGGCCGCCTGACCGCGCTGCGAGTTGGCCGCGACAGGCACAAGAGGGCTTGGCATGACGGTGCCACTGCTGGCCTTGGACGTTTTCGACACCTCACGGCCCAACGCTGGCTTGGTCGGACTGACAGCTTCGGAGATGGGACCGGCTGGGAGCCCCAACATCTGTCGCTCTTCCTCAAGATCCAACAGCATGATGTCGCGGTGGCACTTGAGCCTCCAGATCTCGACCCGGGTCCACTTCAGCTGTGCCGCCATGCGGGCGGCAGCCATGAGCATCGAATCCCGTGTCTTGGGCTGAATGGGCGCCAGGAGCTGGAGGTGGCGAGCATTCCTCAGCTGGCCGTCGAGCTTCTTCTCTTCCTCCTGGAGCTTCTCGTTGGCCTCGGCCACCTTGTGCAGCATCATCTCGCGACGCGCAAACAGGATATCGTTGGCCATCTGCTGGTCAACCTTGGCGCGGGCTATCATCACCTCCCCAGAGGGTGTCTGCACTGCTTCCGTATCCTTTTTCAGTGCTCTGCGGCCTTGTCCGTCATAGGTTCCGTTCATCACACCGCGCATGCGGACACCGTTCGTCCTGAAGGCAGCCGCGTAGTTGAGCTTCGCCAGCCAGTCGTTCATTTCATCTTCATCATCGGCAAGTAGAACCTCTTCCAGGCCGCCGTGCCGCACGTAGACAAAAGCGTGTTTGTGTTTTCTATACGTTGAGTCCAGCAGAGCGACTGCTCCGTCGGTAGACATCAGGGCGTCGGGCTTGAAGCTTTCCAGCGGCGGCTTGAATATGATCGGAATTCCATCGTGGCCTTGTTTGATGTGTGATTCGTACTGGTGCATGAGGTGCTTGACCCAGGCCGTATTGCGGAAGAAGTAGAGCTGGGCACCGGTGAGGATCGCGCCCCATTCCTGCCAGGGCGACCTGGTCTTCTTCTTCTTCGCATCCTTGCGCCACAGCAGGCCGACCTTGGTGACCTTGATATCGACAACGCCCGGCTGGGCCTCGGCGGGATTCGTCGCCGTCTTCTCCGACATGAAGGCATCAGGACGTGATCTTGCCGAGACGATCTGGAGGATCCCTGTCCTAAAAAAGGTCTTCTGCAGCTCTTTGAGATTGAGGCTCGGAGCGGTCCCCACGTAGTTGAAATGATCGTCCAAGTGCATCACATCCTTGAAGTTTGGTCGCAAAATATCGAGCCTGTTGTCGAGGATGATGGTGTACGGGTCAATCGGCTCCTTGGCCGCCTTTTTCAGCGCGGCCTCCGGGGCAGTAGGGATCGGGAGGACAGATTTCTTCTTGGAAGACTTGTGGCTGGAGGCCCGATCCCCGGTGATGTCGAGCTCGTCCTCGACGTGTATAAATGGTGTGTAGGTGATGTTGTCATAGAAGACCTCGAGGACCTCGTCTGCAATGCCCTCCCCCTTGGTGTTCTTGATGTAGTCGTGCTTCTGCATCTTGTGCTTGTTGTTCTTGTTGAAGACATCAGTATGCAAGATGAGCAGGGAGAATGCTATGAAGTAGGCCTGCTCCGGGTTTGCGTAGATGCCAGGATTGCACTCGTGGTATCGATTTGCAAACGCCTGCAGGAAACGGTCAATATGCTGCGTCTCCTTGGGCAGCTCCGCCGACATGAGCAGCTTCCGGATGGCCATGTCCATGGGGTCACCGAAGAACCCAAACCTGCGCATAAAACTGCGGAGGACGGCGAGATGGAACGCGTCCGCAGATTTGGCGATCGCCGCAGCAATCATGCTGCGGCTGGCAATATCCTCGAGCCGCTCCAGATACCTCCCTGGGTTCTCGTCCTCTCGCTTCTCGGGCAGCACGACTGACTCTCGCTGTATGTTGAGCGAGTTGTCCTTGGAAGTGTTCGACCCTGGCGTTGCTGGCGTGCCGTTTCCCTGGCGTGCAGATTCGGGGCCCCGTAGCCTGCTGATCCCCAACAAGTCACCAAAGCTCTTGCGACCCGTTGTCGAGGTGGAAGCTCGTGACTGCGGCGGCCCGAGTCGGTCATCGAGTGATTCTCGGCCCAGTGAACTCATTGTGGACGATCTACCCCTGAGATTCAGATGCGGCCTCGTCGGTGATGAGGTGCCACTGTTCCGAGAGAGCGGTCTGAACAGCGCCGTTGCAGGCGAAGCATTTTGCTTCTGGTATACTCCCCTGCCGGGGGAGACGGCTGGCGGTGTCGTCACGCCATCTCCGGCGGTTGAGGTGCGGGGGACTGGAGTATGTTGAGTAGAAAAGGCCGAGGCCGTAGAGGAAGTGCTCTGGCGGGCGGGCGTGGAGGGTGTTAGGGATGGATTCGACGATGCGCTCTGGTCGTGGCTGCGCTGTCTCTGCAGGTGGGCGAAAGGGAACAGCGGTTCAGGCTGTTTCGGCTTTCGCCGCAGACGGAAGAAATTATTCGTACTCGACGAGTTGGAGGTGCTCGTTGGCGTATTGGTGTAGGCGCGACCCGCAGAGCTCTCCTCGGACCTGGACGACTCGGACAGTCTGCTGCCGGGCAGTGGTAATGGAGGGGGTGGCTCGTCGCTGCGGATATGGCCAGGATGTGCGTTGGACGACTTGGGCCTCTGCACGTCCGGCTCCTCGATGCTGATGGACTTCTTGCCGGTGGAGTATGCCCCTGGTACATACGACTTCCTCCTGTCCTTCTTGGAGAGGACCTGCGCAGCAGGCGCCTGTTCTGTGCGCAGCTCCTCGCCAGAGCGTCTCGTCAGGCGCGCAAACATTCTCGATTGTTTTCTGGGCACGGTGTGGAAGTCGACGGTCGGAGCCGTGGTGATGATCTCGGGCGGTGCTGTCCATTCCATATTAGCATAACTTTTGGGGGGGAGGAGGCAATACGCTCGAGGACTCGTCTGGGAGGGAGGGATCGGGGGGTTCAGGATGGCCACATACCCCGTGGTAACGGGGGCGCGGATTCGTCAGCGTGAGCATGAGCCTGCTTTTTGGCCCGGGCTGACAGCTGAGAATCCGAGGCATTGCGAAACCTCAACATGGAGAAGCGCTTGTGTTTTGTGTTCTCGTCCTGGATTGGGGGCGAGTCGGGACGGTCTATGATATCGCGAGGTTGTAAGGTGTTGCTGTTGTTGTTGTGTTGGTGGCGATGGTTGTGGTTGTCGGCGGCGGCGGAGGACGAGGAGGACGGACTGTCATGTGGAGGTGTGACGGGAGGAGCAGGTATCGAAGGAGTCGAGCCGTTCAGGGCGGCGGCGGCGGCTGCATCAGCAGCAGCACCCACGTCAGCATCGAGATGGGAGGGAGAGAGGCGGAGCGTGGGCAGGTCGATGTTGGAGGTCACTGTCCGCAGGACCGGATCTCCGGGGCCCAGACTGAACTCGTCTGGAAGGACTGTTGACCTGCGCAACTCAGACTGGCTGGCCAAGTTGCCACGCTTGTTGCGAAGGAACGGCATGGTGGACGGCGACGAGTATCACCATCCCCTCGTTCCTTCTTGGTCTGGGAGTTGATGACAGACACAGACAACAAGCAATCATTCTATCCCTCCAGCAGCCATGTCCAGAATCTTTTGAAGAGGCCGCCCAGTCGTCGTGGTCGTTGTTGTCTTCGCCGCCACGCGGTAGTTAAGGTAGGCACGGTAGGAAACAACACGACAGAATTCTTGGTCGCGGAGTCAAGGTGAGGAAAGGACAGGGTGAGCGAGACTGAAGGTCACAACCAACCGTGGGTCGAGACAAGGGCCTGGTCGGAGGGAGGGAGGGAGGAGTAGAGAGGCAAGAGAGAGAAAGAAAAAGAAAAAAAAAGGGGGGGGGGTGTGTGTTTCCTTTTGGTTTGTCGAAATGATCACGTCCTGGAGAAGAGGCAGCTTACGAGGATTACAGTGACAGCAGCAGGAGCAATAGCAGTGGACGACAAAAATAACAGGCTTGAATGGATTGATTAGATTGTGAAGGGACAAGGAAAAGAAAAGGGAAGGGAAGAAAAAAAGGGCCAACTACAGGGCAGCAGGGCTGAGTTGAAGCTGTGCCTGGCTTGGCTTGGGTGGATATTGGTGTGAGCAGTTGAGAATTGGATGAGGGCCAAAGTATAGCGCTGTTGTGATGCCACAACTGCTGCAACTTCAGCGATGTTGACAGGAACCCTTGACCAGGCTAGGGAAGGAATTGGGAAAGCAAAGTCTAGCTCTGAAGCTGGGCCTGGTCTTGGTCCTTGGCCCTGGGATCCCTTTACTATGGTACTATGATACCAGAAGGAGAAGACCTGGAATCGCAACTGTCACTCTTGGAACGGCAAAGGGGGTCCCGTAATAGCAAAAGTGGGCGGGTATGTTGATCCCTGCCTCTGCACGGTGCACTGCGCATTACCAGTAAATTTGAGTCCTCACCACTAGCCATTGAACGGTCGCCAGTGTGTCCACTACAGGTCGGGTCCTCATATCAGCCTCCCTTTTACAGATGTACCATAATATTAACATGCCAAGGACTGTACTTTGATTTTGGTCTGTATAGGAGTCAAGTAGATTTGATGAGGGTGACATTTCAAGGTTTCGTACCTGATTAAATTACGCCTTGCTCCCACGAGGCGGCTTGACACGAGCAAACGCTCTATGCTTTATGTGCTGTTGTTGTATTCTTGTGTGTACAGTCAATGTGCTGCTATGTAAGTACTTTGACTATGTATTCATGTCTTCTTCATTATAGCATGCTCCTCACCTTCAGCAGCCCTGGAAAACCTTGATAATTGGGTCTTTCCTCCGCCAGCCCTGACGTGGCTTCTTTGAAGGAAAAACAAAAGGGCCCGAGCAGAACAGAACACTGAAAGAGACGAATTCAATTGCGCGGAACTTAGTCGTTGAAAATTGTGTAAAAGAAAGAGTTGAGAAGGCCACGACAATGTGGCTGATGCTGCTCCAAACGCTGCATGGGGCGGGGGGGGACCCTTGAATTCAGGGCCTCCAATGGCAGGATTGGATGCCATGGCACTGCATACTTACTTAGTGCTGTAGTTTCTATGCTAACCGCCGCCAATGAGCACCGCCACTGGACCAACGTCGGGAAACCTAAACAATCCCCAACTTCATTCTTGCTTACGACACGGCCACATCACCACCAAGTGACGCAGCACATACAGCGTTAAGACCACTATTGCTGTCGGCACGCCGACCAATTCAGAGGTGAACGGATGTCTCCATCTGAATGAATCATCCCCGATAAAGATGCATCTGCCATCGTCAACCCTCTTTCCCCTCCGTAAGTTGCCTGATACCTGAGTCGAGACAGTAGCACCCCTGCCATGCAGCCTCCTCCTGCTCGTGGTTGTAGTACCGATCTGATTGCTAAATGATGGCCCTCTCTTACTCGCAGTTCTCATCGCCGTCGCATCTCCGGTCCAGATCCTCGTCTCTGCAAGCGCAGGCCACGGCCACCACAACCACCCGCATCCCTCCCGGTCCGGATCCTCCGTCTTCCCATACCTAACATGGCTTCGAGATAGCGCCGTCAAGATCGTTTTCGGGGGCCACTCCGCCAAGGACACATCAGGTCCGAGGCCGGCCAACTTGCATCGCATGTTCAAAGATGAGATCATCGTGCGGTTCAATACCTCGACGGTGGAGGAGGAGCGGGCACTCGCCGAGGCTACAGAGCGACTGTTCCTCGACATATGGTCCTGGGATGACATGGTCGACCTGAGGATACAGAAGAACAAGGTCGCGTCTCTGCTCACCCTTCTCCCCGAGTCCCTGGCCCCCGCCTACTGGGTTCTTGTCGAGGACCTCCCGTCCGCTGTCTACGACTCGTACCCATCCCCGCCGGCGCCTCAAGACCCGTCCAAGGCTGAGCGTAAGTTCAGCCTGGACCTGACCAGCTCTCTGCCAAGCGACGGCGACGAGAATATTTATTTCTTCCAAAACTACCAGCCACACAAGGTGGTGATGCGATGGATGCGTCTGGTCGAAGCCATGTTCCCGTCTTTTGTCCGGTACACTACCATCGGGCAGAGCTACGAGGGGCGCGACATCCCCGCCCTGGTCGTCAGCGGTAGCAACGCCGCATCGAGGGACCGCACCAAGCCCCGCAAGACCCTCGTCGTGATGGGCGGCTCGCACGCGCGCGAGTGGATCTCCACCACGACGGTCAATTACCTGGCCTGGTCGTTTATCACGTCCTACGGCAAGGACATGCTGATCACCAAGTTCCTGCAGTCGCACGACGTCGTCTTCATCCCCGAGCTCAACCCGGACGGCATCGAGTACACGTGGACGGCGGACCGGCTGTGGCGCAAGTCCAGGCAGCACACGAGCATGATGTTCTGCCGGGGCCTGGACCTCGACCACGCCTTCGGCTACGAGTGGGACAGCAGCTCCAGGGCGGGCCACACCAACGACCCCTGCTCCGAGAGCTACGGCGGCGACGAGCCTTGGGAGTCAGTCGAGGTCGCTGCCCTCCGCGACTGGGCCCGGACCGAGGCCGAGAACAACAACGCCGACTTTGTCGGCCTGGTCGACCTGCACTCGTACTCGCAGCAGATCCTGTTCCCCTACGCCTACAGCTGCGCCGAGGACCCGCCCAACCTGGAGAAGCTACAGGAACTCGCCATGGGCCTGGCCAAGTCTATCCGCCTGTTCTCGGGCGAGACCTACGCTGTCAAGCCGGCCTGCCAGGGTGCCGTGCCCGACTCGTTGTCTTCTTCGGCCGATGGCCTGCGCATCGAGCCCAGCGGCGGGTCCGCCATCGACTGGTTCTACCACGAGATGGGCGCCCACTACAGCTACCAGATCAAGCTCCGCGACACGGGCAGCTACGGCTTCCTCCTGCCCAGCGAGCACATCATCCCCACCGGCGAGGAGATCCTCCAGGCTCTTAAGTATCTGGGCGACTTCTTGCTCGGCAACGACGGCATCGAAAACCTGCGCGCCGACGAGGGCGTCGAGTCCAACGACGAGCTATTTGCCGTGCCGGAGGAGTACGAAGAGGTCATGGAGCTGAAGAAGCGGAGGAAGAGGTAAAATGAGCCTGAGAGGAGGTTTGGAAGAAAATTAAAAAAGGGAGAAACACGGGATCTCCCGTGTCACAAATTGGTGACGGAGACTTGAGTTGAATTAATGATTCCACGGTGGGTATAGATGTTAGTCTCTCTTTCTTTCTGGTTTTGACACCGGCGTTTGTGCGGGAATTCTGCTGTTACATTTCATGAAGTGGCACGCATGCGTAGTTGGAAATCATGGACCTCAGAGACAAGGTCCTCTTTACTTACCAGAATGAGCACAGAGCGATGAATCATGCCTTAATTTATGGTATGTTATCATATAGAAAAAGTTTCAGCGGCAAATCAATATGAGCATCAACATAAGCCTACATTTTTCTCGTTTCCCACTCTACCTTTCTCACCTACTGCCATTTGGGCCAATACGACACTCGTATGGACTCAAGTCACGGAGTTTCGTGTAGCAATCATCTCTCTAGGACAGGTGGGCTTGTTCTATTGTTCTACGCCCTTTTCTTACATATAAATATATGAAATGTCTTATGTACCGTTACACAAAGTTTCTGAGCTGAGACGCACAGCCTCTAGCACCAGACTTCCTCTCTGTGTGTGTCTCTCTCTCTATGTTGTTTCTCATTTCCCCTCCCTCTCACTCTTTCTCTACTCTTACTGGCAAGCACTTGTCAATAATCCCCTCAGTTGCCCTGAGAGATCTGGAAAGCCGTGTAGCCAGCCATGCCAATCAGAGGCAGGTAGCACAGGTATCCAGCCAACGAGCCCCTTGACATTTCACCGTCAGCAACACTGCTGTAATTCAAGAAGCAGGCAGAGTAAAAGCACAAAAGAAAGAAAGAGGTAAAGAGTGTGTGTTTGGGGGGCGGGGGCGGAGAGAGAGAGAGAGACTTACGCCATTCTGCCCTTGGGTCCGGCATTGCTCGTGTATCCCTTGGTATACACAATCCTGCTCACCAGCCAGCCGGCACCAGCGGCGGCGGCGGGGACGGGGTACCGCAGGCCGGCGATCAGCAGGGTTGGCAGGAAGGGGACGAGGTTCTCAGTGAAGTTGGCGTGGGCGCGCTGGGCGCAGTTGAGACGGTAGGCCTCAGGGTTCTTCTCTGCCTGCTCGGGGGTGGCGTAGGCGTTGGGGTAGCCGATTCCCTGGAATGATGGTTATATGTGAGTTGAGGTTGACTTTTTCTTGGAACTGCGTAGATGATGGGAGTTCATGAGGAGAGGGAGGAGGATAAGAAGAAGAAGAAGCAGAGACATACGCTCGTCTTCCTGGCGGCGGAGGTCTGCATGCCGTGCCACAAGTTCACAAAGGCCGTGGAGACGACGGTGAGGAGCACGTAGCTGTGTGTTTTTATGGTCAGCATTTCCCATTCTCTATATCTCTATCTTCTTGTTGACTCCACCAACGCGAGCCTCATTGAGAGGGAAGAAGAAGTCTCACCCATATTCATTAGGGATCTCAAGAGTGACGGCCATTTTTGTTGTTGAGCCGTTTTGTTTGGAAGGGGAGAAGGACTGAAAATCTTCAATTGGCTTGTTTTATGGACAATGGAATTGAAGGTAGAAAATATCAGGTCAAGAAAAAGACAAAATCGAGCTTGACTGAGTGAGTGAGGGTGACCTTGTTTCCAATATGCCACGACGTCGTTTGGCGACCGAGGTGGTTTTAATACCCAAGTGTCGGAACCTCGCCCCCCCTCCCCACCCTAAATTCTATCCGCGACCTACAGCGCGTCTGAGAGCTGCCATTGCCATTGCACTCTCCATTATCGCACTAGAAGGTTCCAATTGTAGGGGCCCAGCCTGTCAAGGGTATCCTCTTTTCCCTCCTTTCCACGAATAACCCAATTCACTATAACAAGCCTAGCAAGGAAGAACCGGCACGAAGCTGAAATGAGAGAGAGAGTGAGTGAGAAAAAAAGGAGTGTGTTTTGGTTTCGGGCCACCTTTTCATCCGAATGCACCCTCGACTCGCATGGACTGCCTGCGATGACAAAGAAAACCCAGCAGGGCGGGAAAAAAGACACAGCACCAGCGGAACCACCCCCCTGGTCTTCCTTGCAGTAAGTCTCCGAGGCCTTGAGAGGCAAATGAGGCTGGTCAAGGTGACCCCGTAGCGCAATGGGCGGCCTACTCTTGTGGCGGACCTTGCTTGTAAAGAAAAAGAGAGAAAAAAACCCTCCAGGGCTCCAAGGGGCTCTCGGCTGGCTCACCACACTGCAACTTTGTCTGACGCGAGCCACTGGAAACAGTAGCTAGCGGTGGCACACGCTCGGATATAGTGTTCGTAGAGCCATACCCCGGACGACGGAATGGGCCCGTTGGCCGACGGCTTTTCGAGGGCCCGGGTTTCGAGTTGCTCCAGATCCGAGCGGGTCCTAAAGCCAGGTGTTGTCTCTGCCCTCGCTTTGGTGAAAGAGGACAGATAGGTGGAAGGAAGGGAGAAGAGAAGAAAGAAAGGAAAAGAGGAACAATCGGGGGCAGTCAGCTGAGTGGAATGGGAAGCAGTGAGAAAGCTTACTGCCCTTTTATAACTGTTATCAACGAGGTTCGGGCCGTCCAGGTTCATGTGCACCATGTTCTCGCGTCACTTGATCCGTGAAGACGCAATTCTACCACCATGTCACTGCTTGGTTGGACTTGGGGGCTTAATCTTTGGGAACTGTAAATCGCCATCTGGGTGTTGTGAAGTTAACCAAGGACCTAAAGCATTGCTCCAGATTGTGGGATGACATGTGATTAGCGGGAACCTTTGATGATCTTGTCTTTGCCGAGTTCTTTCGTTCCTTTGTTTTTCTTTCTTTGTTTCTCGGGTTAGAAATAAATATGAAAAGTAAAATTCATGGTCCATGGTGCTAGAATATCCATAGATTAATTGCAGAGACACACGCATGTTCTCAAAGCCTAGGGTTCTTTCCCCAAAGCAACAGACTCGCGTGCTTTTATTATCCCAACAATCGTACTATCCAGTGCATCTCTCGTCAGGTGGTCGCCATTCTAGCTCCAGACCCTCAAAGACCCTCCTCTCTGCCTCCTCCATCGTCGTGGGCGGACCTCTCCCGCCGTCCTCTAGATCAACCCAATCGAACGGAGGCTGACGCGACCTGATCCCACTACTATCAAACTTGAGTCCCCTCATCTTGCAGTACCGGCGCAGGTCCCGCTGGAACGTGGTTTCGGAACTCCAGCCTAGCACAGCACAGCCGACCGTCTTCCATGGGCTGACCAGTATGTCCACCCGTCGGTGGGGATTGGTGTTCTTGGACGCGCTCTGGACTTGGGGTTCCTGCCAGACGACGAGGGCCTTGTCGAGCGTGTCAAACCCTGTGCCCCCGGCCGCTGCTCCCTTAAAACTTGTCGGGCGCTGGCCGCGCTCCGAGTTGTGCTCACTCACTGACAGGGTGTGAGCTAGAGCAAAACTGTCAGCGAAATCGAGTTCAGATCAGAGAATTAGGGAGAAATCTTGCCCTCGTCAGGCCTGGGACGTACTGATGTGCTTTGCATCGATGAGGCTGGTCACAAGCTTCTTGATACACTTGTAAGTGGCGTCTTCATCCCTATGGCTCAGCATCAGGTCCACATCCCCACTCATCATCCTGCCCCTGCGGTATCCTCCAACGACGGTCACTTGAAAACCCTCACGAATCCCGTTCGCGTGCTCCAGGACTGTATTGGCGATGGCTTCCGTTTCGGCCCGGGGGATCTTTTGCAGGAACTCGTTGTAGTACTTGACCCCAATCTGCTGTGATCGGTGGATCAAGTCCCAGCCAAATTCAACCACATCGTCAAGGTCTCGCCAGCCTTTTCGGTAAAATTCCTCGGCCGTGACAGCCGAGACGCCCCAGATATTGTAAAAGGTCCGTATGACGGACATCTTTGGGTCAGCCACGGCCGCCTGCAGCTCCCTCAATTGGCCTATGTCCTCGAACTCCTCGAAGAGCCGGGCGAATTTAGCGCCACAGCCTGGAAGGCGTCCGATTTCTGTTCCAGGTCAGAGGACAGAACATTATGAGAGCTATCACAGCACCAAGAACACTGATTGTCTAAAAGAAGAAACCATCCACACTTACCTATGGCACTTTGTATCTTGTACGGGTACGCAGACAAGGAAGCGATGGCGCTGGAGTATGCCCTGACCCCAATGTCATCTCCTTGAATGGCTCGCAATTCCCTGACTTCCTTCAGCTTCTCGATGAAGCTCTCGTTCGGCGGGTGCACGCGAGTCGACCGCTGACATGAGAAACTCGTCTTCAGAAATTCGGGCACTGGCGGCAAGTCGGCTATCGCATGTTCTTCAACCGTGGAGTGCGGCACAAGGGCCGGGGTCTTGATGTGAGGAGCGACGGCCCTGTGCATGCGATATGAGCTTCGTTGGGCAGTCAAGGTCTGAGACGATCCGGCGGCCATATCCATAGCCCGCTGCATCAGGTCTTCAGGGCTTGGTACTCGAGCTTGCTCTGACTCCTTGACGGCCTCATAGACCAAATAGCCTCTATAGTCGAGGAGCTCGTCCTTGCGCATGGACTCTTCGAGCCAGGCAAATCGGACCACCCTGACTGTGTCGATCTTGGATGAGGAGGCTTCATTATACGCAACACTTTCTTCATCGTCCGAGTCACTGCAGAGAGCGTATTCCTTCACATCACGGAGCTTGCGCCTCTTTGCTTTGGGCAACGAACGCGTGTCGTCTCTCACGGGCGTATATTCCTCCGCTGGAAGGCCCAGCTTACGCAGCTCAAATTGCGCACGCTGCTTCTGCGAGACTGGGCTTCAGGGTCAGTGTCTTGCCTTTATTGTATGCGGTTCGACCCTCTGAAATGCTGAAATGGAACGGAAGCATGCTTCCAATAGAGTGGAAGCCAACCAGAAATGTATTGTTCACGAGAGATAAAGAGAAGGATGGGGCCGGGGGGGACCGGGGGGGGGGTGTTACTTTTGCCAACGATGTAATTCACCCTACTGGCATCGTGGGAAACATTCGGGATCTTGGCTTCCCAGTCTCTCAGCTCAACGGCACTCATGTGCGTGGGCAGGAAATAGACGGGCGGAAACTTGAGAACCATGCCTTGTGTTGTGTTCGTTGGTGCGCTGTGTTGTTGGGTACCAGGTGACTGAGATTGACGAGTGACCCAAGGTCTGATGGCCTAAAGGAAGTGGAAGATCTCATTGTTTCCGATAAACACCAGATGTTAATTGTCGTCAAACTTGACCCTCAAACACAAGACAAGTGGGTGGAAGAGAAGGAATGCATCTTTGCTGTGGTCTTGAATGCTGTCATGACGCAGTTGGAGGCAAACGATGCAACCGGCTAATGAGCATGTAGCAGCAATATTCTGGATCACCCAAGGTGGTGGTCTTGGTTTTCTGAAGAGTGTAAATAGTCCTTGGGAGGGCTTCTCAAATCTTAAAACAATAGTTTGTGTAATTTTGACATAAAGAAGTAGTTACGATGGTAATTCCTGGTGATGCAAGTCCGAAACCATCCAGGGTCCGAAGGTACATGCAAATACAGGGTACACCTGCACAGGTGCTATCTACCGTAGTATTGTAGGCTGCTAGGATACAATAGTACACAGGGATCAAAGGCTGCGGGGCTTAGTCATGGTTGTGGGGCCAATAGAAGCTCCTGGGCCACTTCAGGGATTCTTTGAGGCTTCACTTTCGCAACCCACCCGCTCCCTCTCCCCGGATTTCCTCTGCCTGGAAAGTCGAGCTCTTCCCACCTCCGTCTCTCCTGCCCATACATTGTTCCTGCAACGTAGAACAATAGGAGCACCCTGCTTGGCACTACAATGAGAAGTGTTTTTATAGCACGTGCGCTCCGTCCCTGAGCGTCTCCTTCCTCGACCGTCATGATACTGCGACAACCCTGACTTCGTCTCGGTAGCACATCGCTGCTGCCTCGAAGCAACTATTTCATCTTCTCCTTACTCCCGCTGATTCCTTGCGCTGTCTTCGTTGAAAGGGCCTAACCGTGTTCGATATTTTCTTCGCTGGGCCTACGTTCTTTGCGCCAGTGACTCTGACGGGTATGTGCTCCCTCGCACTCCTCCTTACGACTTTAGAGCCTTGCGCCGCCCGAACATGTTCACTCATCAATCTTGCTATTCAATACTAATTTGTCAATAAATAGCCTCCTCGAACCCGTCTCACGAAAGCCTTTTCTTCCTTCTCCAAACCCATCGCCGATTAGCGAAACACGAGCCCCGACCGCCGAAAACCCTTCGTCCGCCCACCGTCTCCATCAACACACACATACACACACCCTACCATGGATCTCGCAAAACAGCTTGTGCGCTCTTGCGCTCGCGCCTTTTACAGCCTACCGCCCTACGATGTCCGCTATGTGCTCATCGTAGATGCCCTGGTCATCCATGGAGCGTGCGTCCTCCCGTGACCCGCAAGAGTGTCATGCGACATGCTGATGTGCTGGGGGTTAGGTTGCGTGATGATGATCTGGGCTACCTCTTGAACATCACGGCGATGAAAGACCTCCACAAGCTCTGCTACAAGTTGCAGCAGGAGCGGTTCCTGCAGATGTACGTTGCGCATCATGGACAAGACGGACGCATCTCACGCGAGTTCTCGAGCGCGCGCTAATACGGGGGCTGTAGACACGTACGTCAAGAGCTGAAGGAGGGCGCCGTCCGCCCGAGCAACCGTACCTACTACTACATCGACTACCGCCAGACGATCGACGCCATCAAGTGGAGGGTTTATAAGCTTGGTAAGGACATGCAGGTCCCCACCGTACCGGCTAGCGAGCGGAAGGAGTATGTCTGTCCACGGTGCAAGGCCGATTATACCCAGCTTGAAGTCTTGAGTATGGCGAGCAGGCTGGGCTTCGCCTGCGAGAGATGCGGTGCCGTCCTCAGCCACGAGATCGATCGGACTTCTGCGGGTCATGAAAAGGTCACGAGGCTGAACAACCAGCTCAAATTCATTACCGACCTCCTGCTGCGCATCGACAACGTCGCTGTCCCCGACAACAACTTTGAGTATGCGATCGAGACGGCCCTGCCAGTGGACAGAGATGAGCAGCACCAGGTCGCCAGGGCAACGGTCGTGGAGCCTGTCAAACCGACGAGTGTGAAGGGGCTGGCGGATACAGGACCCAAGAAGATCGACATTAAGATTTCCACGTCAGAGGGCCCGACAGAAGAGGAGAAAGAGGCAGAGCGGCTGCGCAAGGAGAAGATTGCCCAACAGAACGCCCTGCCCGCATGGATGGCCAACAGCACCGTCAGCGGAGACTCCTTCTCAGCAACCCCCACAGGAGAGGCGGTGGTCAAGGCGGAGCCAGAGAAGCAAGCCGACGACAAGAAGCAAGGGCTGGATGCCAAGGAGGCTCAGGAGCTGAGTAGCTATATGGAAGATCTCAAGCGAGAGCAGGAAGCTATGGCGGCGGCGGCGGCGGCGGCGGCGCTGAAGAAGCAAGAGGACTCTGATGACGAGGAGGAGGAGGACGACGACGAGTTTGAGGATGTCGTTGCCACTCCTCCGGTAGGGACGCCTGTGCCAGCCAGCCAGGGTCTCAAGCCCGCGCCGTCGCCGCTCCGTCAGTCAAGCGTGCCTATTAAGAAGGAGCCCACGGTCAACGGAAACAGCAACTCGCTGCTGAAACGCGATAGTCCCGACGACGAAGACGATCGACCTGCGAAGAAGATCAAGGTCGAGGAGCCAGCCCCCACAGCAGGAGAAGACGATGATGATGACGAGGAAGGCTTAGAATTTGAAGACGTTTGAGCCCCGTGTGGTCGATCGAGGCTGGAAGAAAAGGGATGAAGCATAACCGTGCTTTCTTGCAGGCGGAGAACAGCACGCCTTGAAAGAAATAAAACAAAATAAAATAAATAAATAAACAACGATGGCTAAACCCAAGAGAAGAAGCAAGACAAGCCTTGGGGGAGGGAACTCACCATTGATGCAATGGGCGAGCATGTCACCTAGTCACATACGTATGCCTAAGGGCCGGTCGTAGACCCAATAAGACAATCATGACTATTTTGAACTCTTCAAAACAAAACCATAACTTGCCCCCTGGCCTATGATTCAACTCGTCCTACCTTTTCTTCACTAGCAAGATCGTCGTCCCGTTCTTACCCAAGACGCCGAATCGCGGGTGGCCCGTGCACCCGCTCATATTCAAAATTCTAGACTCTCACCTCAACAAGTTTTATTTTGATTTTTGTCCCTCAAAATTTACACGCAACACGAATATCCCTCTCAGCCCTATACAAACACACAAGACTCCCTGCGAAATAAGGAAAGAATGATACTAAGAATCGGCGCGCGGCCAGTCCTCCTGGCGCGCGGCCTCTGCCGGCAACCGCCTGCGCCGACGACGACACAGCAGCGCTTCTTCTCATCATCGATCTCGACCGTGTCGCTGCAGTTTGACCTCCACGAGCCCGCGAAACCTGTGTCTGAAAACCCCAACACGACATCACCTATCTTGTTTCTCCATGGGTTATTTGGGTCCAAGAAGAATAACCGGAGTATTAGCAAGTATGTTTTGCACAAGGTGGGGGAGTGTCTTTCCACTGCATGGAAGTTCTTTGAGCATGGATGAGGAGGGGAGTGATGATGAAAAGTGATGGTTTGGGGCTGCAGAGATGAAATGTGATGAGATGAGAGGCTGAAATTGTGTATTTTCGTTACTTGCTGCAGAGCCCTTGCGCGGGATCTGGGAAGGTCGATTTATGCCCTGGTAAGCCGCACCCAAACTGATGCCGGATAGTTTTGCCTTTTCTTTCTCATTTTCCTTTTCCTTTCTTCATACATTTGGGCTCACACAGATATGCTCTCAAGGACCTCCGCAACCATGGCGACTCTCCTCACGACGCCAGGCACGACTACACAGCCATGGCAGAGGATGTGAGCGCCTTCATAGAGGAACATAAACTGGACCAGCCGACCCTCATAGGACACTCGATGTAAGTGGATGATGGACCCCTCTTACACCATCCCTCCTTTCTCATAAACTTGGAAACAAGTATGCTGAATATCACAACAGGGGCGCCAAGGCTGCTATGACTCTGGCCCTCCGGTCCCCACGCATGGTCAAGGACATTGTCGCCGTCGACAATGCGCCCGTCGATGCCATCCTCTCGACCGACTTTGCCAAGTACGTGCGGGGCCTCAAGAAGATCGAGGACGCAGGTGTGACCTCGCAGAGGCAGGCAGACGAGATCCTGGCCGAGTTTGAAGAGGTTTGTTGCTGCTTTTTGCTTATGGCCGTGTCTTTTGGTTCTTTTTCTTTCTCTCCTCTCCTCTCCCTCTCGAGCGACCCCCGTACGGGAGCAAGCATCCCCTTTATCTGACCAGAGAAAAATATACACAACCAGTCCCTCCCTATTCGCCAGTTCCTCCTCAGCAACCTCTACACCTCCCACGGAACCAAGAAGTTCCGCGTGCCGCTCGACATCCTGGGCAAGGCCCTGGCGCACATGGGTGACTTCCCGTACAAGGACCCAGGCAAGGTACGCTTCGAGAGGCCGGCGCTGTTCGTCAGGGGCACCAAGAGCAAGTACGTGCCGGACGAGGTCCTGCCGGTAGTGGGGGAGTTCTTCCCGCTGTTTGAGGTGGTGGATGTTGAGGCCGGGCATTGGTTGATCTCGGAGAATCCAGAGGCCTTTAGACAGGGTGAGTTGTTTCTTTCTTTCTCTTTGCTTATTTTTGTTCTCTTATTGTTGTTTTTGCGAGTGAGACGCTGATTTTTGAGCAGCTGTGGTGCGCTTCCTGAGCCCCAAGGACTAGGTGGTGTATGATGTCGAGTGAAGGGGGGTTGTTGTTGGCGCATAACAAGACTTGGGCAACAATAGAGTGGAGAAAGCATCGTCATATAGCCTTCACAGGCTGGCTGCTAATTAACCTACTATATATACATGTATATGCATCTGGCGGGCATAGTTACGGTACACATAGAAAAGCATGGCGCCATATCAAGGAGTCTGGTATAAGGACCTATTTCATGCCGCGTAATCCTGCAACGCCGTGCATGATTTCTATCTATCAACTTCAGTCATTCAAGTCATGAAAAAGAAACCCAAGAAACCTCCCAAACAGAGACAAAGACACCCTCAGCACGAACATCCCGAAGCCCCCGCAGCCGCATCACCGCCACCACCACCAACCCTCACCACCCCAGCGCTCCTCTTCCCTCCCTCCTCCACCCCACCGGCAACAACCTCGTCCACAATCTCCACAAACGGCCGCCGCACATCCTCCCCAGTCTTAGCACTAACCTCGCAGAATTTCGCTCCGTGCGCCTCCGCCAGGTTCTGGCCCTCCAGCGCGCTCACCGCCCGGTTGGGCTTGTCGGTCTTAGCCCCGACGAGATACAGCGCGACGCCGGGGCCCGTGTTTAGCTCGGCCTCGTCGAACCATCTCTCCATGGAGGTGAAGGACGTGCGGCTCGAGACGTCGTAGACGAGGAGGACGCCGTGGGCGCCGCGGTAGTACGAGGTGGAGAGGGTCCGGAAGCGCTCTTGGCCGGCCTGTGGTTGGAGGAGAGAAAGATATGTGAGATGTGTTGTGACTGAAGGGGAACGCATACATATATGTATATACACACACATGTGTATAGCATCAAACTCTTTTGAGACTTACAGTGTCGAAGAGGGTTACTCTGTAGGCCTTGCCACGGACGGACAATTTCTTGATCTGGCACAAGAAAGGAACTTGTCAACAGAGCGTACTCTTTTGCCAGGCCGACGAGGACTGAAAAACGGCCAGATAGGAGCAGCATACGGCCGCCTAGAAAAGACCTGCCTGTTCGGCCAGGCTCATGGAGAAGAGGTGAGGGGTGTAAATCTCCTCGACATCCGTCATCTCAACATACCTTAAAGTCTATCCCGATGGTTGCGGTCGCATTCTCGGGCTCGAAGACATCCTCACAGTACCTCGTCAATACTGGGTCACACAGCATTAGCCCTGATCCCAATACTTTGAGGCACTCGAAACAAGATCACAGAGAAGAGAAAGGCATGTGAAAATGACAAACTTACACGCTGATTTGCCAGCCCCAGAAGGCCCTATGAGTAACAATTTCAAAGTCGGCAAAGAATCATCGGATGCCATCGTCGAGACGCAAATGCAGTACACAGAGTTGCATGAGAACTTGTGAAAGGCAATGAATGTTTTTTCTCATATCTTGCTGGGCAGGTTAGTGTACCCAGGCGAAGAAAGCAAGGTGTGGGTGGGTGGGTATGGTGTGAGCTGTATAAACGCTGACTGGGATGATGAGGTCAGTAGCGTGCACCTGTAGTAGAAAGAAGCTTGGCTGGTTGCCGCCGCCCCCCCTTCCAAACAGAGTCTGGGATAAATGTACTCCAACCAAGCAGCCACCACCCAGTGTGCTATGGGACAGCCAAGCAGGGAATCTTTTACAACGGACGGAACGTTAACACCACCTTGTCTGAAGATGATACAGGCCGTGGATTTGCTGATGTGTGCTCTCTGGTCTGAACCAAGAGCTGTTGGTGTGTCGTGGTTGGAAAACCCTGCTTAGCAAAGAGAATCTTTTGAATGACAAAATACAGGGCACAATCCGTGAGAGCATTTGCAAATCCGTCTGTGTCTGTGTCTTATTTCTCCTGTCGCCGTGTCCACTGCCCTCGAGTCGACCGCTGTAGCCAACCACCATGAGCTTGACGCCAAGAGGTAGAATGAACATGTCCAGAGCAATGGTAAGATCTGAGCCTCCAAGGAAGGTAGAGCCATATGGCTACGAGTATATAAAAGCGAAAAACACATCTCACTGTCTCGAAGCGGCCCTTGTTGAAGAATGTTTGATCGATTTTCCTTTTTTTGATTCGTTCCGGCCTGGACTCATGGTGAAAAAGGCACAGGTATCCATATAACTACCTCTGTACCGATCTGATTTGCCACGCCAAATGCAACGAGAAAGCAAAACCCATGCCCCTGAGAAGGTATTGCCGGAAAAAACCGTGTGTCCATGCCGCACTCCAAATCAGTTTTGTTCGTCCGCTCCAGCACCGACTCTTTACACCTCCTCGAGGACACGCTCCTTGAACTCCCGCTCCACCTTCTGGCCCTGCTCGTCCGTGGTCGACTCGCCGTGGAGGGCGAGCAGGCTGCCAAGGTCGAACTTGGGCTGCTTCAGCAGCTTGACCTTGCGGATGTGAACCTGTATGATGCCGCGTCAGCCAGAGTCTATCACAGAAAAAATCTCGTATCCACAAGCCAATCGGTGGCGCTGTGGGCTTTTCCTGTTGTACACGTACGTTCTGGAGAGGGTAGATTCCCTGGGTAGCCTTCTCGATCTCACGTCCGATCACCTCGGGGATGAGCTTGCTGGTCAGCTGCTGCAGGGTGCAGCTGCCGGCCTCGCGGGTGATGATCTCGGTCATCTTCTTGCGGATGGCACGGATCTGGGAGGAGGCGGCGTAGGTGGTCTTCTTGATCTGGTTGGGGCGGCGCTTGGTGAAAGCAATGGCGAACAGGCGGAGGAGGTAGTCATCGGTGGTCTTGACGGTGACATTGCACTCGATCAGGGACTGCCACTTGCGCACGAGCGATCGCAGCTTGTCGGATGTGAAGTCGAGACCGTGGAAGTTGGTCAGGCAGTTCTTGCCCTGGATCTCGTCGACGCGGAGCTTGATCTTGCGGAAAGCGTGGTCCTCATCCTTCTGCAGGTCGGCCAGCGATACCTCAACGATACGGCCCTTCAGGGAGTCGTTGGCGTTCTTGAGACCGGTGGTACGGTTGACGAGGGTCTTGCCGACACTAAAAAGTTTTGTTAGAATTTCCTCCTTGCACAATCTGTAGTCGTGGTCGCGATGGTCGGGGGTCTCGATCTCTCTTACTCTCGGATCTGGAAAGGCGAAGGAGCCTGTTCATAGTACACATTCGTCAGTCTGGATACCCTACGGCGTCGAGTCCATCTGATATATTCGGTGTTGTGAGCATGTTCGTACCTTGATGGAGTACCAGTCCTTGCGGGTGAAGGGGTCGACGGTCTTCTTCTTGAGACCCTTCTTGCCCTTGGACAATCTCTTGTTCCTATCGTTCAAACACAACCATCAGCACACTGTCGCCTGCGCGTTTCGACAACATCCAAGTCTCGGCTTCTTTGGGGGATTCTCGTGTTTCGGGTGCTGGAATTGGAGCATTTCACTCACTTGCCGACAGCCATCTTTGCGAGGTCGAGGTCTCAAAGATGGTCAATTGTTGTCGTTGGTCGGGTGGATGGAGATCGTGGTATTGGAAATTTCGAGGCGGAGGGGGGTCTAGCTGGTTACAAGTTCGCCCAGGTAAAAATTCAGAGTGGAAGGGACTGACCTGTGGAGTTGGTCCAAGCGTTCGCTTTAGTGTCGTCACGTGCAGTGTGATGGTCTGTGTGCTTTTTTTTTTTCCCTTCCCTTCCCTTCTCACTTGTTCCTCTCCACTCAGGCCGGATGATGGAGCGACCTAATTCCGATACTCACCGCTAGATGCATGAACCTAGTTAAATGCATCATTCTCTCTACATACATACCAAACCTGCCAATGCATTTAATGAAAGTGTCGTATCTTTACTAGTACGGCCGGCTCACCCACGCTATCTTCCGAGCCCTTTCGAACCCTGTCATGAATCGTACATGCATCCATCCTGATGCCTGCACAAACATGGTCGTAGGGTCAGGAAGCTGTCAGCTGCACGAGAGCTTCAACATGTCTCACAAGCATGTATTTGTTCTTTAATACCAGTCAAAACCAGTCAGATCTTGTCTATAAGACATCTGAGAACGCATCGTTCGTCCGGTGAAGGCGAAGAGAAAGAGAGCGTGCGACAGCTCGACCAGAAACCGACTACTGAAAACAAAGTACCTGCATGCCGGTCACTTATCTCCAGAGAGAAAGAAACGATCGTCGATCCCGAATGCCTGCTGGACGGTACTACCACGGTAATGGAGGAAGTTCTGGAAGACAGTCCATCCCAAGCAACCCGGATCGTCGGAACCTCCCCTCCGTCAAGCACCGGGCCGCAGAGACCAGCACCACCACACCACGCCAAAAGCCAACCTGCCAACAAGGTCCTAGAGTAACCCTGCCAGCGTGATCGGCGCCAGGAACAAGTAATTCAACGCTCTAGCTTCACAACACGCCCGAGCACAACATGCAGGAGTCCGCGGCGTCGATCCCATTGACGACCTCTTGTCTTCTCCCCTTTACCACACACACACACATAATTACGGTGGAACCCTTGCAGCTCACCTCATGACCGTCGTCAGCCTGCACGTAGAAATTACTTCTCCACGAAAGCCAGAACCAGCCAAGCCGCTCCGGGGCCAGATAGATGCCCGGGCTTGATCTGCGCTGTTTGGGTCCTTTCTTTCATGATCATAATCATCATCAGGCTTGACCTCCTTTGCGCCCCTTCTCTACCACGTGCTCTCTCTCACCCTCACACACTCAAACTCACAGAGGGACGTGCTCGCTGCACTCCACGTGCGGACACACGGCACCCCCGGACAGGAATGACCTCACCATGCCTTGCACGGCCCTGTGCGAAACCTTTACCTTCTTCCCTCACCGCCTCGCGTACCTGATCTTGATCGAGCGGCGCGCGCCAGGAAATGCGCCCACCCACCACCCCTCCCCCCCCCTTCCAATCCAGATCGGTCGATTTTAGTAGTGAGCGGGTTCGGTGAGGGAACAAAGTCTCTCACTCTCTTTCTCTTCCCCTTCGGCCCCACGTCTTTCACGCGGACAAGTCACCCAACCCAGAAAGGTGAGGTTTTTGGGAGGAGCCCTTTTTGGGGACATTCGCCCGCAACTTTTCGAATGGGAGCTTCTATCGTGCGACCCACCCCGGTGAGCCCCGCGCTTGGTTGCGGCCACAAATGTCAAGACGTCAAAGAGTCAGGGCATGCCTGCGCAAGGGGCATGGAACAACGGAGAAGGTTTGGAAGGGAGGATCCGCTCCATCTGGACGTCTCATGCGTCGTGATGACCTCTTGGGAGGTAGGGGTGGAGAAGGGCTATTATGAGTGAGGTGTGGACAGTTGACTGTGTTTCCTGATTTGTCTGTATCGGGCAGCATCCTGCTTATTCTGGCCATTTGTCTATGGTGTACTGCAGCCCAGTACCCTCCTGCTTTCGTGGTGGTCCAAGGTGGCCCCCCCTTTTCTGGTAAGCATCAATTTTTCCGAACATGCCGACGTTACCGGCCGTCCTGCAGGCAATAGCTCGCTGCCTCACGGTCTCCAACGTCGATATACAAGAAAATTGTACCCAAGCCTGGGTTTGTTCAAGGAACGAAAATTGCATGGAACCGCTGTGTTATCCCTGCTCCGACTCAAGACCAGACGCCATGCTCGAATGCAAGAAGCAAGAAGAAAAAAAGGCCAAAAAAAATTAAAAAATGACCGTGACCCAAATTACCAACCGCCGCAATGATCTCATGTTGTGTGTCCTCCCAACCTATCGTCTCTTGATCCTCGCACTCGGCCCCCCGGGCCGGCCCAGTGGCGACCTCCTTGCAGGCCGCAGTGACGCGCCAAATCGTGATTAGGATGTGTCGTCTTTGACGCCGCCGTTGTTTGCGGGCTAGGCAGACGAAGCGGGCGTCATCCTGCTATGGCGTCGATGAAGTCGAAATTAATGTGTTTTCCGAACAGTCGCTCGTTGCCACGAAGAGGCTTTCTCTCTCCGTGTGTCCCTCAACATAGATCCTTACATCCACCCTGGTAAGATGATGACCTCATAGGTTCAGGGGGACTTTCTCTCAGCCTCGTCATGCTCCTCATGGCGATTTGGGTCCCAGGTATCGAAGCTCGGAAAGCTGACGTAGCGGTCCGAGTCTGTAAGAATGGGGTGTATGTTGTTAGCAGGTGGTCAGACATTCATTCACCTTGGGTCAACACCCTCATTGATCACATACCTAGGTGGCAGCTGAAACCGTCCAGCTCAGCACTCTCACGTGGCATGCTGTCTAGGCTCATACTTCCATACATCGACGCCGGGCTTCGCGAGAGTGGGGAGGCCGAGCTGGGTGGTGAGCTCGAGAAAGCCACCTGAGACAGCAGGTCCGTAGCCTTCCTTGAGGTCTGAGGTGTAGCGAGGGCGTTCAAGCTTGCTGTGGTGGCTGTGATGGAGGGTTCGGTCTTACTTGACCGGAGGAGCCGTGGTCGTCGACCGATGCTGTTAGACCGTCCAGAGTCTCCCCTTGAGTTTCGGCGGGAGTCTGAGGTTGGTGAAGCCATATCGTCTTCTGAGTCTGTTGCCGAGGCAGGATATGAGCTGTGTTGAAATATGGCGGGGATGTAGATAGACAGGCTGTGAATGTTGTCGAGCATTGGGAAGACCTTGGGTGGGGGTGATTCCTTGGATATATGAGGAGGATGGGGAGGGAGAGAGGTCCGGAAACCTTGTTGATGAGAAGAGAAATGTATCTGGTCCTGGGTTGGATAAGAGAGAGAGGGTTGATGATGGGCGGCTGACTCGATTGGGCTCGGCTTGGGAGAGGTTTATCTGTATGCGAGGAGGGTTTGGGAAGCAGGAGCAATAGTTAGCTATATGCAAGATGCAGGCAGGGGAAGCGGCCATCACAACATGCACCTGCACTTGGCATAGATTATATGTACAGCAAAAAAGGTGGTGAAAATGCAAGGTTCGTTGTCCCTGCCCTCCTTCCTACCCTCTCTCGCCCACTTGGGCTGAGATGCCTGTCGTGTTGCCCCACAGTACGTAGCTCGGTACATCTCACAATGTATCCTGGGTACTGTGGTCCAGGGAGCTACGTACCCCTGTCAGGGAATAGAGCCCACCCTCCCATCTTGATTCAGACACAGCGCGAGCGAAACAAGTATGGAAATGCCATCATCGGTCTCGACTCGGCAAGGCGGCCTTGCGAGTTTCCGCACACGAACCCTTCCCACCCCTTCACGGTTCAGGGTTTCTTCTTCACCATTCAAAGCGGTCAGGGCTGTCGTCTCTGATGGTGACAACAAAAGTGTCAGAGATGGATCCCACACCGGACCAAGAGCTTCATGTGTCCAAGGCTGGCCCCGGGCCTCAGGGACGGTCAGCGGCTGGAAAAGCTTGCCACCTTTTTATCGTCCTACTATGCTACACACCACCCGTCTCCTCACTTTTTTGTTTTCTTTTGCTAGTGGTGGATGATGATAGGAGGATGAGGGAAAATGTGGTACTGGCACCTTTACGAGGTATGTCCGGGCCACCAAAAAAAAGGTGGTAGTAGTGGGTGGGTGGCGGCCACCAACCTTGGGCCGGCGAGACGAGACGGCTGGGGAAGGAGGGGGACAGGAGGGGGAGAGAAGTGGACTGGGGGTCAGTGTGTAAGTGCGCCTGTGAGTGGTGAGCCAGACAGGGCGCTAGGGGTCTGGACTGTGTCTCGCTCCGTCCTAGCTCCAGGCACACAGGCACACAGGCAGGCACACACTTTCTAACACAGGCAGAGACCGGCTGTTGGGTCGGGCATGGACACAGCAAATGCTATGGCTGGTACCTTGTGCAAGACGAAACCTGACCTGACTCTACCAACGGCCACTACCACCAATACCACAATAACGATACGCATGGGCGCTATGCCATGTACCATCAAAAGCCCCAGGGTACAGGCTGTCCGCGGCGGGTGCCTGTACCCATCTACACGTGCCATGGCAACAGTGGTCCGCGGCATTGGTGCGTATGGCAGAGATGCGTTGTCTAGCACCAACCCAGCCCAGCCCAACCCTCCCCCCTCCCCAAAAGATTGCTTATTGCCAATGGACTACAATGACAAGCCCTCTGGATTCGCTGCCCTAGCAACTAACGGCCTTTTTGACCCGACTCTGGGTGCCACACCAGATCTCTGACCTGACTCTTCTGATGATGAAGGGACGTTTATGGAGATGTGAGGAGAAAACAACCCCTCGTCGCCCGGCTGTCCTTTGCTGCAGGAAGGAGGCGAGGTTCCTGTCGACTCCTGGGGTCACAGGCTGTGGGTGAACACACGCTGCTTGCGACCGTTGGGGGGACTAGAGACCGTCCATTTGTGCCAAAGTGGCTCGATTGGATGGTTGGGGCGGGCCTCGGATGAGGGGAAACAAGATCGTGACAGTGGTAAAAGCGAAAGTGCAGCAGCCTGGACCGTGGCTATGGTGGAGTCCCAAGTCGGAGGTCCAGCCAGGTGCAGCCAGGGGCAACGTGTGGGGCGAGGGTGACAGGTCTCTGTCTTCCTTGGTGGGTGGGGATTCCTCCAGTGGTGTGGAAACCGCCTGAGTGCTGGCTGGAGCCGCCTTTGCTGACCTGGTGCCGTCGTCTCTCGCACCTCACTCGTCCACCGTCGGTCACAGCGAACCAGCAACGCACACAACAGTCCCGCTTTTTTTCTTTTCTTTTCATTACAGCTGTAACGGTTTTTGTGCTGTATGTCCAACATGGCAACTTATGGGCTACCGTTTTCTGCATCCTCCAGACTGAGTCGTTGCATCCATGCATCCATCCTCTTGAGACTCTCGCGGCTCGGCAGGGAGAAAGATTCCTCCAACAGAAAAGGGGAGAAGGGGGGAAGGGGGGAGCGGGCGCGCCAGAGGCGATACGACAGCACTACGGTGTGGTGCCGCATGGATGACCGATGACCAAGAGCATCTTTTTAGCAATCAGTTGCTCGAGCGGCCCAGTCATAATGGTGGACGGTGGGAAGGGACAGGGCCCACCCCGTCGTATGGCTCCCTGTTCCGTCTTCCGGATCTCCTCTTCTCTTGCCCCCCATGGTCCAGCCTTTCTGATCAACTGGCAGCCATTCGGCACTGCAAGTCCCCAACCCACGGCCTCGCTGACTGGTCGGGCGATCACTGATGTCCACCATAGCTCGTCGAATGAAGAGCCTGGTGTCAGCACGACACTGCAGCCGGTCAAGAATTACCCAATGCAATGATCACGATATCTCCCTCCCCCCCCTCACAGCAGTTGATCCGGAAGAGAGCGCATCCTGCGGAGGTGAAAAAAGCTTCTTGCTACGCACATGCACACGCACGCCACAATACCGGATGATCGATCCACTTCAAAGTATGGAGAAAGCAAGAGGGTGAACTAACGAGACAACCAGCAGGGAGGATGGGAATGGGGGAAAAAAGAAGAGACAAAAAAAAAAAAAAAAAAAGGTTTTGCTTGTTCATCCACTTTCTGGGCGTCCAATCGGTTCACGGTTGGAATTCACCTTTACCACGTGTCGACTGTCTTCAGCAGGATCCTGCTTGTAGCGCGATCCTGCATGGACAACTCGGCTGTTTGAGACTGTCGTACAGACACAACAGACCGGCACGATCCTGAACACTCGACGGACTTTCCGAAGGATCGATGGCCATGATGGACGAACTTCTGCTGGCTCTCCCAGATGCCTGTTTCATCAACGTACTCCGGAGGTGTGTCATAGAGAAGCCAGGTAGAGTCGTCAGGCGTGCATGGAGACAGGACAACCATGTCTCCAAGTGATGCTCACCAACATGACTGCCTCCACAAGGTACGTTCCGGACTTTACTAACTTGGGTCCGGGGCGCCGGAGTTCAGTAATTCCACCGGGTTTACACCCAACTAGGTGCTTATAGGCTTATCAAAGTCCAATCGAGCCAAGTCCTTTGCCAAAGAAGTTCTCCATTAATAGAGAGGAATATCATCCCTTGCCGGTATGACAGGCTTCACTATCTCGAGAACATTCTCGTGTAGCAAACGAACTTTAGGTAAACCAGACTCGCCTGCAGAACACGCGCCGACCAACCAACGGCCCGGCCCACCGCGGCTTGCCGACTACCTCTCCCCTCTCTACCACCTCAGCACGTAGCAGACAACGACGTCATGGTAAGGTCTGAGCTTTCTTGTCTTTTGTTGCCGTGCCAGAAAACACAGCATACTACTCGATCCTGCGACATGTATCGCGGTGAAGCCGACCAGGCCGGTGACAGCGACACAGCTCGAGCGCAACGTGGCTGCAGGGGCCCTTGAGGGATCCGCTCGAATGCGTCTTCCCGTCTGGTGACAACAGATAGACCCAATATTATCTTTCTCTTTTGGCAGTCTACACGCTGTACATTGTATCTTGAACTGTCTATCGAGTATACATGCTGGCGGTCCTTACAAGTCAGAGAGAGAGAGAGGGCGAAAACAACCCGTGCCTGCGTAGTGGGCCACGGACGGGATCCGCTCCCAGAGTACCATTTGGTGGTAAAATACCCTATTGATGGATTCTACGTTGCTTGTCTTCCTGGCATGCCCGCCTTTCTCCAGTAGCATGAAACAGACCAGACTCATGAATCTGGGGTAAATATCCTCTATTGCCCAGGTGGGCCAATGCACTTGCGGAGTCCTTACTCTGGAGAGCTGGGAGGCCTCTTTCCCTCCCTTTAGCCTTTTGCTCGATCAATGGTCGACACTGCAGGAAAGTCCATGGTCAGCTCTTGTTTGCTAGAAGATGTCACATTCCCTCTTCTCATTCATCCATTTCTTCTTACAAGCGCACACACATTCACTACATGTCTAGTGACATAGTGAAAGGGCGTCAAGCTTGAAAGAAGGTGGACGAGTGTTGGGGAATGGAGGATGGCGAATAAGCTTACTCCTCCCACAGGCGTCCCTGGACAGCCTGTAGCTCCTCAGCCGTCATCCGGTGTCCGGTGGTGAAATAACCTGCGTCATGCCAGTCAGCACGTGATGGTACAAATTCCTCCCCAATGCATGTGGGAAGGGAGGGTGAGGGGAAAAGGAGGGGAGAGAAGGGTCTGCGTTGCTGCAGCTTGGCGTAAATAATTAATAAGAACGCCGAACAGAAAAACTCACCGGCCGTGATCTTAGCATCGATCTCGACCCTCGAGTCCGCGGGGATCCAAGACTCGGGCAGCTCGACGCGCTCATGGATAGGAATTCTAAACGAACAAGATTCAGTAAGTAAACCGCAAGACCCGGAACTTCATCATCTGGGGGGCCCCATGACCACCGCCACCAAGAGCACAGCACACAACTGTCCGCCGTGTGCGACGCGAGAGCCACTTCCAGAACGCCTCCTCCATCTCTCATCTTTTTACTTTGCTAGGGTACCACACAAGGACTCACCCTTGACCGACAATAGCGTCGTGCTTCATGCTACACAAAGGCGGCGTTAGCTTCCAAATAGACGAACTCTGAGATTCCACACAACCCCGATCGATGTGGGGAAGAGATAGACGACGTACTTGCTCATGCTAAGCATCCGATCGATCTTAGTAATGCCCAGCCAGTGAAGGATATCGGGCATCAGGGCCTGGAAGCGCATGTCCTTGACGCCGGCTACGTTCTCGGTCCTCTTGAAATAGTCCGAGGCACGGTCTTCGCCACGCTTTCGGGCATTGTATACAACTGTAGCAAGTTAGTGAGAACGCTTCGAAGGCTTGATTCATTCATCCAGGGAGGGAGGGCTTGGCGCGCGAAAAAGTCGATCGATCGATGTGAGCCTTCACAAAGAATAAAGTCTCGGTAGCGCAATTCGTGATACTTACGGTACTGTATTTTTCCCTCTTATATTAGCACAAGGCGGTAGAAAACAAGATAGAAAGACGGTTAAACAGCATGTCTTCTTCTCACCTTTGTCACCTCGCCGAGGGCGCGGCCCTCCTTTCTAAAGTAGATCACGACGCCACTGCCGCCCTTCTGAGCTTCCTTGACAGCTTCCTCGATGCCGAAGATGACTAGCAACAACCAAGTTAACACACACGCCGTCAATATATCTCGCATCCATTGCACAACGACCATCTATGTCTCTGAAGGGTGCGGGACTAGTTTTCGAAAGGCATTACAGGATGGTTCGACTTACGGTAGGGTCTGCACGTGCAGATGTCTGAGCCGAAGACATCGCTGCCGTTGCACTGCGTTGTCATGTCAGCTACTTTATCTGTAGGCTTTCTGAACCTTTTGGCCACTCGGGTGTCTCACCTCGTCGTGGATGCGAAGGGCGAGCTTCTTGCTGGGATTCGACATGTTTGCGGGGTCTCCGAAGCAGTACACAGTCAAGCCACCTAGAATAAAAGGTATTAGTCTCTTTTGGCACTTCTAGAGAATGCCAATGAGCGATAGACACCTGTGGTCATCGTAATTACGTACCGATAGGTGGTAGGAACACCTTGATATCACCACGGGTGATCAACTGCATGTCTCGTTAGGCTTTTCTCACTCAACTCGCACAAGCCTTGAGTGTGAGAGATTGGATCGTCTTACCTCGGGGTAGCTGCCACCGGTATATTCAAAGAGAGATCTCCTCAGCGTCCCCTCGTCTGCATGGCTCTTAGCACAAGAACAAGCAAGGCAAGCCAGTGCTGTGCTGACGTGGGGGGGCATTCAGATAACGTACCAATGCCAAATCGCTCGGCTACTCCGGGCAGGTACCAGACAGGCTCGACCGCGAACTTGGTGACTGCAAGCTCGCCCTGGTCATTTAGACAGATCTTTCCATCAGGGATACTGCATTCCAGAGACATCAATCAGCAACGGGGGCACAGAACTGACCCTCGAAACCCGAGCTAAAGCGGAACTTACAGTCTCCCACTGCGCACGCTGTCCTCGAGCTCAGGCAGCTGCAATATCATCAGCGACAGTCATATGGGGCCGCCTTGTGATCATGACGGGATTCGGATCTCTACCTTCATGTGCGCCTTCGTGATCGCGATGGTAGGTCGAATATCAACTGCCGGCACATGTCAGCCATGAACACGCCAGAATAAGTCACCAGGCTTAGCAGCAGCTGCCGCCACAGCTATACGTACTGTCATCCTTCTCGATCGTGTCCTTGAAGAGCCAAGGGGCGAGATGGCCCCACGGGTCCATTGCCACGATCTTCTTGGGGTCACCCCACTGAGGAAAAGGTCCAACGGTCGTTGTCGGCTCCGTGTTGGTGAAGTCGGGCCTAAGATTCGAGTTTCTCAGTCATAGAGTACTCGATACATGAATTTCTTTTCTTTCTTTCTTCATATATGCCCTTCATACCTGTGGTCGGCCTTGAGCTCCTTACTGGCAAGGGCTAAAGCGTAATAGATGGAGTAGGAGCCGCCGTGAGCTGTTTGTCTTCTGTAAGTCAAATGTCTCTCTCTTCTCTCTCTCTCTCTCCAGACGGGGTTGGCTCCTGAGGTGGACTGACCTCCAATGGCTGGATAGATGTTGTTAGAAACTGTGTATCTACTGCTTTCTGAGAATATCTAGGCGGTAGCTTACCGTTTCTCCTCCGAATGGTAGACGAGTAGCGAGACACGACGATGGGGCCACGTTCAAGAGGCTCAGCAGCGCCCCACTTCATAGGAAATGGTTTGATGCCAATCTGCTTGGGATATGTCCTGCACATCTTGTCAGTCCCGGGCTCTCTCTTTCTCTCTCTTGTCTTAGGCACGTGGAGGGAAGTTATCTCGGAAAACCCACGTCAAGATGATCCTGGAGGTAAAGCCAGCCTGCGTAGGCGACGATGCACCAGAAGGGGAAACGGCTACGTCGGCCGGGCGGAAGGGAGGAGTGGCCGTGGGTTTAGACGCAAGAGCTGCAGCAGACGAGGCGGCGGTACTCTCCTCACTGTCCAGGTCGTTCTCCTTGCGGAGCGCTGCGACGGGGGACGGACGAAGACCGGAGAGCGCGGGCGACTGGGAGTCGGCGTGGGACATGGCATCCACGACGGAGAGGAGCTCATCTTGTTTCAGCTGGATGGCCTGGAGCTGGCTCATCACGTCCTCGAGGCTGGCGCCGGGCGGAATCTCGCTGGATGCCATGGCGTACTAAGCTCACACACGGCAACAGGGAGGAGGGACACGGTAGACTCTACTGGTGGCTGGGGAGGAGGAGGAGGAGGACCTTGAGAGGCAGACGACAGATCTGTGTGAAGCTCACGATGAAAAAGGCGCGAGGAGAGCACGTCTAGATGAGTTGGCTAGGTTAGCTAAGATAGGTAGTCTTCGTCTCAGAAAACACCAACGAAGCAACCGGTTGTGTGAAATACACAAGCGTTTCCCCTTCTTTATCTCTATCCTGCAGTAAGTTTATAAGGAGTCTTGGTTGAGTCCTGATGAGGGAAAAGAGGAGAGGAGAGGAGAGGAGAGAAAAGAGAAGAAGAGAGAGGAAAAGAAAAAGAAGGACAGCGCATCAATCATCAGTGGAGGAAGCCCAGATTTATACACAACACACAGTTCCCGTGGTCAGCCACATCTCGCCGGCCGATTCGGCGGCATGTTATCAAATCAGCTCAAGCGGATCTTGGGAGTGGGAGGAACATGAGAACAACAAAGGGCCTATTGTGCTGCAACGGGTGCCCAAACCCAGTGCCTGGGTGGTAATGACTGATGGAAGCACTGGCAGTTGCATGCGGCTAGCGGAAAGTTTGCCGGGCACGGGGCCACTACTGTAGGCTGAGGAGGATCCAACTGCCCGCCCCCCTCCCAATCTGTAAGACCCCTGAACCAGCCAAGTATTCTCCATCATCATTCCATGATAGATATCTACAGGCAGATATCCATACATGGCATGACTGCTATATACTGAAGACGTCTCATTATGTGATTCAATACATACGTGGTTGAATACAAAATAACCTTTCAAGTCAAAACTATGTAATTCTCCCCCGCCTGGAGCTGGAAAAAGTGACGTATCCCCTGTTACGCAGCATCTGATAGCGCCTTCGGGCACAGACCATTCACCCTTATCCAGCTGCCAAGGGAGAAGGTTAAACTTCTGAGGGCTGGGGGCTGGCCCGTTGGTAGTTTAACCCCAAGCAAAGCACTTAGCGCGTCCATACCAGAACCATTTCTTAGTACAGTGGTGGCCGAGTGTTTGCTGGGAAGCATCATCTTTTCCCCCTCCTCAACCCACAACCCACCACCACAAGAAAGAGGCTCTTTATCTTCTATCATACTGCAACTGCACTCTTCACCATATCAAATACCTCCTGAAATCGTTGCGATAATGGGCAAGCGCAAGAAGAGTTCCCGCAAGCCCATGGGCCCAAAGAAGGTAGGCGGCCTGGTGATACTGCGCATGCGCAACACCTCCAGCGCTGCACGGTTGCGGCGCACCACCCATCCGTCCATCCCTCAGCATCGTGATGCAGGTCAAGACTGACATAGTCCGGCGAATCATCTACAGAGTGACCCCCTCCCCACCGTCTTCAGCTGTCTCTTCTGTAACCACGAGAAATCTGTCAACGTCAAGCTCGAGAAGAAACTCGGTCAAGGGAATCTGGAGTGCAAGGTCTGCGGACAGCGCTACACCACCTCTATAAACTGTACGACTCCCTACTTCCGGACTACTGCAGGCGATGGGAATGTCAGGTCACTAATCGTAATGCCTGCAACAACAGATCTCTCGGCCGCTGTGGATGTCTACGCAGACTGGGTCGATGCCGCTGGTAAGCAGTCGCAAATCGAAACAAATACTCACACATATCAAAATCGCCAAAGGGCGCGACGAGAAGAAGCTAACGTTTATGCGTGCGCAGAGTTGGCAGCACAGAGTGGCCAGGGACCGGAGCTTGGTAGTCTCGAAACGTCTGCCTCGCGCTCTCAGGCCAAAAAGATCCGTGACGACGCCGACCTTAGCGACGGGGGCTACGAGGGTGACGACATCGTGGGCGACGACATTGAAGACTGAGACGGAGATGCGTTCGGCTGGCAAGCAAGGGATAACAATATGGATTCATGTGGTTCTGCCAGAGAGACGTGGGCCATGTTCTTGAAGCTGGCCATAATGTGCGTCTTGCTACCTACATAAGCAATCACGCTTTTGCCCTGACTTTGAACAACAAAAGCATACCTGGGCTTATTATCAGTGCTTCAAGCCCGGTGGGTGGATACTGCCACCACTGAAGGCGTATCCAGTGCCAAATACTAGACTCTGCACTGATAGGGAGGCGAACGACACTATGTTCGTCGGCCACGGTCGTCGATCTCAGTAGGTGGACAGACTGCACCGCTTGGGACGGGGAGGCTTGAGATCCTTTACGATGGACGCGATGGTCTTTTAAATGGTAAAAAATCTGTCGCCGAAGTCGCCGAGTCCGGGAACGATGTAGCTGGTACGGTGTTAGCAGTAATATCTAGACGCGAAACATAATGGGCCAATCACGAACTTCTTCTCATCGAGTCCCTGGGGAAACCAAGTCAGCATAAAGTGTCATGACATGAAAAGCCAGGGTGGGGAGGACAGGGGGAAGCTTACCTGGTCGATAAATGCCGTGATAACGTGCAGCTTCGGAAATTTGGACGAGAATCTCTCAATGCCCTCTGGGCTGGAAATGAGGTTCAAGAACAAGATTCTCTCCTCAGCAACACCACGCTCCTTGAGAACATCCACGGCCATGATCGCAGAGCCGCCTAGAAAAACCGAAAAAGTCATCAGTACGAGCCTCGTGGTGATGAGTCACAATTCTGCCTGGCCTAGTACCCACCCGTAGCAAACATAGGATCCAGCAACAGCACCCACCGGTCGGCGATGTCCTCCGGGATCTTGGAGTAGAAGAGCTTCGGCTGGCACGTCTCCTCGTCCCTCTGGATCAGGATCTTGCCGATGCGCACCGAACGACAGCACTCTCGCAGACCCTGCTCCATGGACTCGCCGGCGCGCATGATCGAAACGCCACAGATCTTGCCTTGGAAGGAGAGTCCATCGTAGTGCTGGCCCGTGGGCGTCACCACGGTGTGGGCCGTCGTAGGTAGGTGGTTCAACCCCTCTTCCACGAGCAGCCGTATGATCCTGTTAGAGTGGAAGATAAAGTCGCCACGGTCCGTGTTCTTATCACGGATTTTCCTGTTCCATGGTTGTGTGAGAGATCCCGCCGTTCGACTATGGTAAGCATGTTCTGGGGGGGCTCTACTCACGTGAGGAGGGCGATGAGCTGGGGAGTCTGGGGGAGGACGGTGACATTGTTCTGGGTGGGCTCTTTCGAGACGGTTGCTTTGGGCTTTTGCGACTCTGGTCGGTAGTCTGGTCCTACTGTCTGGGTTGGAGCCGCAGACGCCTTCTGTGTCGACATGGTGACAAGTTTCGGTTGGGTGTCAATGGGCGATGATGGGTGGATGGGAAGGGTCCGGGCCTGAAGGTGTGGTGGGGATCCTGATATTGGAATGATTATGCGTGGTAGAGTTCGCAGTAAGAATAATACCCTGGGAGATTGTCTGTGACTCTTAGCCTTCCAAGGCGGGTGCTTATCGTCAGGGAACGATCTGTTATTTAATTTGTGAGCGTCCTGACTCTATCTGAAAAAGAAACTGTGATGCAGATTTTCAGTCGAGAGAGAGCTTGAGAGCTTCTAGAGCTGCCAGCACTTAGAGGGCAGACCAGGCCCCTGGGTTCGATAAGCATTGCCTATCGCTCAGCGGGGTCGGAAGTACAAGTGCTACTAGTAATATCGTAGTGCAAGCCACCAAGTTGGTCGCCCAGTGGCTGCGTACCTTCCCGCAGTAGGTGCCTGCCGTCGCTGGTCCTCCTCTACACCCAGTACCCCGTAGCGCTTCGTCCCCCTGAACGGTAGCAGGAAGGACCCCTGCTCTTATGTCCAGACTTGACATGCCTCCGGCCACCCTCTTGGGCCTGCATAATCTGGTGCGTGATTCGATCACCACTCCAACATCCAATGTTGATCGATTGCTGCCCCATCTATGCTCGCTCCCCTGCGTGACCAGCGAGCTTCCACCTACTGTCCACCGTCACTTCTCGCACTCATTCATCTCAAGCCAGCTTTGACTCAAAATCTATTGGCTTCAGCCCACAAGAGAGAAGCAATACTGGCTAGTGACGCGCCGGCTTCTTGCACGCCGCCATTGTTTTGCGTTCTATTTCAGGCGAGCATCAAAGGCGCTTCTCGATGGCTTGAAGCGCCTATCCGCCACACAGACGGCCCCCTCAGTGTCCAATCCGATACTTATTTAAAGCTCAGAGCCACTCACTTGCCCCTCAGCTTACCTCAAATACCGATCCACCCACCGTATCGAAATCACCTTGATCGTTGACGATGACCACACGAACTGATTTCGGGGCGGCGACCCCAAGGAGGAGGATCACAACGTACAATAAGCATTTCAAAAGAAGGCCGCAGAAGGAAGAAATGGGGAAAGATGGTCGTATTTCCACCGCGCCAGTCGAGTCGAGTGTCTGGGACTTCCACGAGGACGAGGATGAAATCGCGTCTCCCGCCGTCACGCTCGACAAACTCAAACAAAGGACCAGGCCACAGCTGAACAAAATGCGCACCATTTCCGAGATGACGCCTCAGTCCAGCTCAGCAAATGCGCGCGGCACAGGCTCTGTCGTGAACCCGAAGAAGAGACGGGCTTCCGTGGGGAAGGAGACTTCTTACTCTCGCGCCTTCTCAACACCACCTTCGCCACCCTCGTCCACAGAGGAGCGCATGCCGCCGCCGAGAACCATTCCTCTCCCGAAACCCATCAAAGCACCTAAACCTCCAAGGAGGACAGTTTCTCTAGGTTCGAGGAAGAGCCCCACGGCTGAGACCATAGCGAAGAGCAGATCTTCCTTGCCATTCGCTTTCCGCGCTGGCAAGAGCGTCAATGATCTGACCAGCAAGCACAGCCACAAGAAGTCGCTCACCCAGACGCAAATTCCCTTTCGCCCAGTTGACTCCCCACGGCAGCCACTGCGAAACTTCCCGACCGGGCGCCAGGAGAGGACATCAGCCTCCAAATCGGGACCCACCATGAGCGACTCGCTCAACCAGACGGCGCCCAGGAAGAAGCGGCGACTTATCGATGAGCTGGCAGCTCAGGCTGACGAGAGCTCCAGCGGAGAGGAGGAGAAGCAATCTAGTTTGCAGGTCGTACGGCGGACTCCGACGCCTGAGCCACAGGGTCTGTCCATGTTGCAAAGCCCTACTGCTGTGCCTAGCACCCCAGAGCCATCCAGAGCCAGAACTTATGGACGCCCTAGCTCTGCAAAGAAAACTGGCCCCAAATTCACATACAGCGCTCGCAGAACCATTCGCGCGGAGAGTTCATTGGCCGGGGGCTTGGACCCAGTGGACGAGACAGCATGGCTGAGAGAGTCGATACTGCCCAGCATCCCGTCCCAGTTCGACATGGACGAGGACGAGGAAGAAGAGACTTTCACAAAGGGTGCAGTTCGAAGTATTCACGAACTCCGGCAAGCTGGGGCCAACAGCCGGTCTGCAGACGAGATCGAAGATCTCCTTACACGCATTGGGCGTCCCAGCAGCAAACCGTCGTCAGGTCGACGGAACGCCTTGATCGAGCTCTCGCAGAAGATGCAGGACAAAGGCTTTGTCCGAAAGTTTCGTGATCACAATGGCGACAGGAGCCTGTTCGAGCAGATTGGGAAGGAGACAGATGTCATCACCGGTTACGCACTGGTGGCCATCCTTACCACCCTTGTGGCGACTACCGCATCCACCCACATCGTCAGCCAGCTCGAAGGTCAAGGCTTCTCTTCGCTGTTTCGACGCCTCTTTCAGATTACACTTGATATCCAAGCGCTGGCCAAGGACAGAGCCAGCAACTTGTCAAGGAATGGTCAGCAGTCGATGATGAAGCTAAAAGCATCACTGCTCATTCTTCCCGTCTGGGCGCCGACGACGCCATTCATGCTGTCACCCAGGAGACTGGCCCTCAAGGCTCTGGAGCTTGTGGTTAAGAACGCAGGAATGGTCGGGGACGAATTCTTCTCGACTGAAGTAACGGATCAACTGTTCTCTTTGCTCAAGACTGCCCCCGTTCCAGACGCGTGGGGTTTTCCCCATCAGGACGAGTCCATCGACTTCCACCTGGCGCTTACGCTGCTCGAAGCGTACTCGATGCAGGCTATGCAGAGCGAGTCGAGGGAGCGGTGGACATTCACGCATATGCCAGTCATTGCGGACACCCTCACGACTACTTTGCGTCGGTGCAATGGTCGTTTTGGCGAGATTGGTATGCTGAGCCTCAAGCTTGCACTCAACACGTCAAACAATAACCACGATGCTCCTGCGGCGTTCATCGAAAACGGTTCAGTACGAGTACTGGCCAATGCGCTTTGTGACACCTTCCTGACTGCGACGAACAATGTCTACAACGCCGATGCTTTTACCGTTCACCTCGAGCCACTACTGCTCATGCTGGGTATCATGATCAACTTCTCTGAAAATGATCGCGCTACCAGCAAAACTCTGTTGCACGCCTCAAATGGAGGCAGCGCTCCCCTAGACCGGCTTATCAAGCTCTTCCTCGACCACTATGCGGCCACTTCTGAGGTATGTGTCAACGAGTCAGGAGGGTTTTGTGACGTACAAGGACCAAGCTGATTAGCAATTTTACAGGCCGACTCGGTGGAAAAGAGCCAGTTGAATGTCGCATTTGGATATCTCTCGCTGCTACTAGGATACATGTCACTGTACGAACCCGTGCGGCAGCGATTCAGCTCGATGCACAAAGGAGGCAACATCACCCCCTTACTCGACTCGATCCGCGAGTTCATCATCTATCACCGTGCTGCGGATAGTTCGATCGCGCAAGACGGAGGCGATCAGTCGTCGCAGTACTCGAGTTTCACAACCAAGTTGCAAGGGCTTGTGGAGCGCTTGGAACACCACACCTAATTCCTGCAGTGCGACTGTGCATGCAAGGAGGTAGCTGCATATTACGTAGAGTGTTGGATGGTCCTCAGAGATACCCCTACCACGGACTTCATCTTTTTTGTTTGTTTGGTTTCCTTTCCTTTTCCCCGCTTTTTTCCTACTTATTCTACTTTGATCGTTGGACTTTGACCGACATGGACATACCCATTTGAAGGATTACGAGGGGCTGTTTCGTCAAGAGACGGGCGAATTTGATAGTTTGATGGAGTACGATCTTTATGACATGTGGAAAAGGGCGAAACGGGGAGTCTCCCCAATACTGGGGGACGCTCGACACATAGAATATCCCAATGCATTGAATTCCCAACATATTCTCCAGGCGAGACTAAGCGCCATAAGCCTGAACACGGCTTCTTTAGTGTGCACGATTGCGCTGGTCAGATGTTACCCGTTCGCGGGACGATCTTGCAACCCCACCAAGTGAATTGATCTAGATCCCTCAGAACCCAGGAGAGTGGGCAGTGGTAGGCAGGCCCATCGAGCAGTATCTTGGAGATACAGTAGCCAGCTAGGTCTTGCCACGGGGACCAACCAGAAGCTGTGGACAAGGGTAGGGGGTAGCCAGGCCTTCTAGAAAAGTTCTGGAGCATGAACACTTGGGCAGCAGAGGGGTGCCCCACCATCAATTGGCTAAGAGCTTACCACTTCGACAAGACCATTACCTCACCAACCCTCGCGCCGATTCATTCCCTCCCTCCCACCTTCAATCTATTCATTCTTTCAATCTCCTCTTCACGACGGGGCTCCTTTCTTACCACAACACCAAGCAGGGTGTTTTTCAAGACTCAGATATCCTTTAACCAACTTCTGGCATCACCTGAGAGATAGGTACTCCAGGTGACAAAGAGAACAAGTTAAAGTATACAACTGTCAGGTACGACGAGTGGCGCGACCGCGTTCACGAAGGAGTCTGGATGGCACCCTCAAAGTCAAGAAAGGTGGCCATTGTTGGCAGTCGATCAGTTGGTAAGCTCCTCTGATGTATTTTGTCGCTGTTCTATTTCACCATTCAATCGTACATTTCTCTGTGTTTCTTTCGTCCGTTTGCTCTGATTCTGCGACCGTTTGTTGGGCACCAACGAGGCTTTCACATGCCTGCGGGGTTCGTTCATTGCGAACCACTGCGCTGGCCATCTCGTCGGGGCGCGTCTCACCTGCTGACCATGCCACGCATATGCGAACAGGCAAATCTTCGCTGGCTGTCCAGTTCGTCGACGGCCATTTCGTCGAGAGCTACTATCCTACCATCGAGAACACCTTCAGCAAAGTTATTAAGTATAAGGGCCAGGAGTTCTCGACGGAGATCATCGATACAGCTGGACAGGTCAGTCTCTGCCTCTTATTCTACTGCGCTGATGGGCGTGTGCCATGATTATAGGGCGCTACCGCGGGCTATCTTTCTCAGAGGCTGACGATTGTATGTATGGCAGGATGAGTACAGTATCATGAATAGCAAGCACTTCATCGGTATCCACGGTTATGTGCTCGTCTACAGTGTGGCGTCCAAGTCCTCCTTCGAGATGGTCCAGGTCATCCGCGAGAAGCTGTTGAACCACTTGGTACGTGCTGTATTCATCCCAACCCCTTCTCAAAACCCCACGAACCACTTGGCCCTTGGTGCCGCCTTGCAGGTTATTGGCTAACATGGAATCATTGCGCCAGGGCGTCGAGTGGGTCCCCATCGTCATCGTGGGCAACAAGTCCGATCTGCGTCCTGAGCAGCGCCAGGTCAGCACCGACGAGGGCAAGCAGCTGTCCGAGAAGTACCAATGTGGCTGGACCGAGGCCAGTGCCCGCTACAACGAGAACGTCGGCAAGGCCTTTGAGCTGCTCATTGCACAGATCGAGAAGGCGCAGAATCCTAATGAGCCTCCCGCCGGTGGCAAGTGCAATGTCATGTAAAAAGGCAGATCGGATCATCGTTCGCGGATGCAATATGTGGCGAAGGCATTGATTGAGACGAGACGGAACACGAGGTCCGTATTGGACAGATGGAGGGTCGTACGACGACCACTCTTTCGCTTGACCTTTTTGGTCTATCCGCAACATTCGGAGTTGCGAACCGGTTAAGGAGGGTGACACTGTTTGACTATTTAGACGTTCTTGGGGAAAGGATACTGGCTGCCGTGCCCAACGCCATACATGCATGTTGAACACTTTTCGACGGCTCGGCAATCTGTTGTGGCAGGGCATGTACAATAGGATGGGGGGACGATTCTTGACCAGATTTTCTTGTTTTCCCCTTCAAAGAAGAGGAGCTTTGGTCTCCAGAAGGGGACTTGATCAAGAGACATTAGACGTTGATCTCTATCATCAAGGGGCGCAACATGTTCGCAGGGGGGGATGGCTTACAACTTTGTACATGTTAAAAGAGGCCGCAATTCAACGAGAAGCTGTAGTTTTGTTATTGAACAACCTGTGTACTGCGTATCCACAGCATCCTTGAAATTGGCGGACTCGTCGGCGATTGTTTGAATATACACCGCTCAGACTTCAGGCGTCGTGAAAATGAGAAGGCGGTGGTTTTCTAGGACGGTATCATGGTACCCGCAACTAAGTTCCAGCGCTATAGGGTTCAAAGATACCAGACCCCTGGAGCCCCCTGACGACCCCGCGAATCGAATGCCCTTGCCCCACCATATTTTATCTAGGTCGCTCGCAAGCCATTGTGACTCCTCTTGCACTCGTGTTAAGACATAGAACGAATCCTGCCCCTCAGAATTTCGGACCCTTCCACTGCCTACGATCGATCGAGAAAAGTTTGCCCAGCATGCTCGACGTCAACGATTTCATTGCCGAGCGGGGTGGCAACCCAGAGAAGATTAAGTGCGTCTGCTCCCTCACCCAAGAGAATCAGGCAGCTAGCTTGCTATTGTGCTACCTGCGAGGACGAGGAGAGGAGAGATCGCTAACAGATAACTTGGCAGGGAGTCGCAACGCCGCCGAGGAGCTCCCGTCGAGGTTGTCGACGAGATTATCGCCCAATGGGACGACCACCGCAAGACCCTGTACGCTGCAACGCAGCTGAACAGCAAGATCAATGAGACGCAGAAGGCGATCGGCATGAAGAAGAAGGTCAGCCCACCCGGCGGTCACAACCACCCCACCCCAAAGCTATGCTGCTCTCGCTGACCAGGGCCTTTCGATACACACAGAACAAGGAGAACGCCGACGAGCTCCTCCAGGAGAAGGCCGCACTCGAGAAGTCCAAGAAGGAGCTCATAGACCAGGCCACCGCCAAGGAGGCCGAGTATAAGGCCAAGCTCAATTCTGTTGGCAACATTGTGCACGACAGCGTGCCTATCTCCATGGATGAGGCCAACAATGAGGTGATCCGCACCTGGGCTCCCGAGGGCGTGACTGTCGAGAAGCGCGACTGTCTGTCCCACCACGAGGTCCTCACGCGCATAGACGGATACGAGCCGGAGCGGGGCGTCAAGGTCGTCGGGCACAGAGGTTACTTCCTCAAGAACTGGGGCACGTTTCTCAATCAGGCGCTGATCAACTACGGCCTGGAGTTTCTGAACGGTCGGGGCTACACCGCGCTGCAGGCGCCGCAGTTCATGCTGCGGGACGTCATGGCCAAGACGGCGCAGCTCGAGCAGTTCGACGACGAGCTGTACAAGGTCACGGACGGCCCCCCTCAGAACGACAAGTACCTCATTGCGACGAGCGAGCAGCCCATCTCTGCCTTCCATGCGGACGAGTGGCTGCAGAAGACGGACCTGCCGCTGAAGTACGCTGGTTTCTCTACCTGCTACCGGAGAGAGGCGGGCGCACACGGTCGGGATGCCTGGGGCATCTTCCGTGTCCACCAGTTCGAGAAGGTGGAGCAGTTTGTTCTCACTGACCCGGAGAAGAGCTGGGAGACGTTTGATGACATGATTGGTGCCTCTGAGGCTTTCTACCAGTCCCTGGGCCTGCCGTATCAGATTGTTTCCATCGTGTCTGGGGCTCTCAACAATGCCGTAAGTCATAGAAGCACCCTAGCCCTTCCTTACTGGGCACCAAGTGATGTTAACTGCTTCATTTAGGCTGCCAAGAAGTTTGACCTGGAGGCGTGGTTCCCCTTCCAGTAAGCTGAACACCTAAAGCCCCTACAAGAATCTGTGATATGCAGTTACTGATATGCCATGCCTGAACAGGGGTGAGTACAAGGAGCTTGTCTCCTGCTCCAACTGCACTGATTACCAGTCTCGAAACCTCGAGATAAGATATGGCAACAAGAAGCAGACAGATGTCAAGAAGACCTACGTCCACTGCCTCAACTCCACATTGTGTGCCACTACCCGCGCCATGTGCTGCATCATGGAGAACTATCAGACTGAGGATGTAAGTCTTGCCATGTAGACATTCCTTATTGAGAATCATCCGCTGATTGTGCACATAGGGTCTGAGAATCCCCGAGCCCCTGAGAAAATACCTGCCAGGTGCTCCTGATTTCATTCCCTTCACCAAGGAACTCCCCAAGGACACCACCTCCCAGAAGCAAAAGGCCAAGGACAACAAGGCTCCAAAGGCCAAAGAGACTGCGAAGTCAGCAGCAGGTGCTGCAGGTGCTGCAGCAGATGTAGTTGGAAAAGTTGCCGACAAGCTGAAGGAGGCAGCTGTCTAGATCTTTCATGTGCTCCAACGTTGCAGTGTCTTGCAAGTTCCCTAGCTTTATTTGGGACACCTCAATGTTATGGGAGAGAGTGTTGCAAAGCATGATAGAGACTCCAATAAATAAATAACTGACTGGCCTTTGCCTGATTGGTGTAAGACGAGAAGAAACAAAATTAGGTGATCAAGAATTCAGGGGTTGATGGGTACAGACTCGCTTAAAGCAATGATTTCGGCTACACGATCTTCGCATGATGAGGCAAGGATGCTACTTCCATTCTCGGAACTTTGATTTGCACCTACTGTACCTGCTCTTCCAAGATGGTTGGAGCAGAAACCACGACCACAGAGTCATTTTGCAATACTACTTTGGAAAATACGCAACATTCCTTTTCCAGGCAAGTCAGTAATTATTCTCAATACTCAAACGCAGGAAAATTGTCACATAATCTGGGGTTCTCTTGAGATGTCGTAAACCATTGGACAACTTTCTTTGGCTGGCCCTGCTAAGAATAGCCTGGGACTGGGCCCTAGTCACAGGCTCAGACAAGCCTCATTTACAGGCCTTCCGGGGATTGAGACCTCGATTCCTCTCACAACCAAGTTTACCCTGCCCACCAAAACATCAACTCACAAGGCGACCATGAATGGGCAGGGAGCTATGGAGTGTCCATTCTGCGGATTCAAACCCCCACAAGGGCAGGAGCATGAGGATTACGCAATGCAGCTGGTACGTCTGGTTTGCATCTTGTGACCGCCTTGCTTCAACCACTGTTGCTTCTTCTTGTGCTGCCAAGAGCTGCACATGCACAACATCATATAAAGCCAGCTAACACATGTGCAGCATATAGAGACGGAACACTCAGAGGGGAAGTCACCATTTGTACCAGATGAAAGCCTCTCCAACCCTGAGCATGCTGCTGGGAACCTAGATGCGGCTAGCACTGCCTATGTGGAGTGTCCCATCGAGGGCTGCAACGAGGTTGTCGTCAGGGATGAACTCGACTATCATCTTGAGTTGCACTCAGATGAGGCTGATGATGGCAGTGCAACTACCCACCCAGAGTCTGGGGCTGCGCCAGCAACGGATCCGACCACTGCTATCGGTGGTGACGATGTCCGCCGCACGAGATCGGCGAAACGGCGGCGCTCACCAGCAGCACGCGACATATCTCAGGACTCGGAAGAGGTAGCTGCGCATTCCCGCCGTAAAAAGGCCATCTTTGCGTGGAGAAACATCCTGTCGATGCCCAAGTGGAACAAATCCAAGCCAGAGACTGACAGTGGCACGACAGCCGCCCCCTCCAGCAGCACTGTTCCAGATGGGCCAAAGCAGCCGAAACAGCTTGGCAAGGCAGAGCTGGGTCGCTTCGCCCATGAGAAAAAGATGCCAGACTGGCTCGTCAAGATGCTGAAGCGTGACGGACAAGTCGTCGGCCAGGATGTCATACCGGTGCTGAAGCAAATGCTCCAGCAGTCTGAGTCGACTGAGTACGCCTACCTCTGCCACCCGTGCGTGCAGCATGTGTCCAAGTTGCGGCGTGAGGGCGGTTTCTGCGGGTATCGCAACATTCAGATGATGTCCTCCTACATCATTGGGACCGAGTTCGAAGGATCACACAACCAGTTCAATGGGACATTACCAAGCATTTTCGACATACAGGAGTTCATTGAGGCCGCCTGGGATCGTGGAATCAACCAGCAAGGACGTGTTGAGACCGGCGGCGTCAGAGGGACTCGTAAGTATATCGGAACGCCAGAGGCGCAAGCTATGTTTCGATACCTAAATGTGCCGTGCGTGGCGCAGGGCTTCAAGAACAAGCAGGAGGCCGGCAAGGCGGAAGCCAGTTTGCTCTTTAATGTGGAGCAGTACTTTGCGCAGGGAGTCTACAGCCCCGGTGACAGAGTGCGGTGCACGATGCTGCCGCCCATCTACTTCCAGCACGCTGGCCACTCGATGACGATTGTCGGCATCGAGAAGGAGACGAACGGCAAGGCGAACCTGCTCGTGTTCGACCCCATGTTCCGCGACGCAGCGGTCATCACGCAGCGTATCGGCCGAAAGTTCAAGTATAAGTACGCGGACTCGGCTATTCACGCATACCGGAGAGGACATAAGTATCTGAGACGGTATCGAGAATTTGAGTGCCTGAGGTGAGACCACATACATAGAGCTTCTCGCCAAAGAGCAACGCAGCAGGAGTGTTCGCTAACTCCATGACAGGCTGGTACCACCCGCAGACGCCCTCCACGAGACTTAAGTGATTTTCCTGACGAACGAAGACCTACCATTTGCGTTCCTACAGCATCAAGCCTACAGCATGGGTTATGGTCGCGGATAGACACTCACGGAACGGCGGTCTCGCATGGATGACCACAGGGGAAGGATGGAGTCCTCGATACGGAGACCTCGGGATAAAAGGAAAAAGGGAGAGAGAAAGAGAGCATTGATACAATTGTGTTCCATGGGCACATGAAGCGAAAAAAAAACCCGGCGCCATCAAAATATGCATTGACAAGGCGTTGTTGTCCTGTATTACGTTACTCATGCAGTTTCTGCCATAGGACCTTGGGAGCCCGGCTGAAGGACTGCAAGAGTTGTGAAGATTTCGGGATCAAGGTGGCTTGGTTTATGTCTAGAGTATGCTTCAATGCCAATGAAAGACTCAATCACTAATGCAGAGGTCCGAGTTGATCATTCTCATCTTATGAGGAAGCCTGCTGCTTGAACCATGCCTGCAGTTTCTCGAGCGCCCGTCCACGATGGGAGATCTTGTTCTTTGCTGACTTTTCCATCTCGGCGTAACTGCGCATCCAGTCAGTGTCTCCTGCGTTTGCGAAGAGTTCCAATGAATTCGGTTGGTTCCAAGGAGCCACTCACGTCTTGCCTTCATATTCGAAGATGGCATCCCAGCCGAAGGTGGCAGGTCCCCTTGCCGGGACAATCTTGCCCTATTATTTTCAAGAAAAAGAATTTTGTCTCAGAAAAATGGTCTCGTCGTCATCTTGCGGAGGAGAAACACGAGATGTGCATAGCAAGAAGGACAGAATCACACAAGATTTGCCCTCGCCGTTTGAGAAACCTGAATGAAACCCCTCTTCGTCGGCCACTACCAAGAGGGGGAAAAAGGAAAAAGACTCACCTGTGTAATACCCTGGAACAGGATAGGCTCATGGCCTGGGCCCTGCGAGAAGCCGAATGTGCAGACGGCCTTGGCGCCCTTGTCTTGGTAGGCGGCAAGGAGGTTATTCAGACCTTCGTGGCCTAGGTCTTGAAGAAACCACTTGCTGTTGTTGTTGATGATGATGATGATGGCGGCTCTGGTCAGTACTTTTCAACACGCGCACATCAGGCGGGCAACCCTTTCCCCCCCCTTTTCTTTTCTCCCACACCAGCCGTCGGGAACATGACGACCATTGAAGATAGATTTGAATTCAAAAAAAGAGGTCATACATGTAGGGTCCAGGCAGACCCTTGAGGGCGTCAAAGCATAGGCATGTGTCTTCTACCAGCACGGGACCTCCGACCTAGCGGGTTGAGAGGCATAGCGCGTCAGTCAAGTCAGTTCAACCAGGGATTTTCTTTTTCTTGAAAACAACCATGATTCAGGAATTTATTTTTGCTTTGCATGGCATATCTGAGTCTGTACTCGACTTTCAATGTCTGCATGTGAATGTGTGTGTATGTGACAGAAGGGTGAGGGGACCGGGGGGGGAGGGAACAAGGCAAAAGATAGAAGAGAAAATTCACCTGCTTGGCCGCAGCCCGGCACTTGGCGATAGTCACCTCCTCCAGCGTCCCCTGCACCTCGACCAGATCCAGCGACTGGCTGTCGACCTGGATCGTGGGCTCGAGGATCGCCTTGACCTCGGCGAGCTTGTTCTTGTTGCCACTGATGAAGTTGACGGTGTGGGCGGGTTTGGAAGCCATGATGGACTTTCTCGTTTGGGTGAGTTCAATGGGGGCTGTAGGTATCTGAGATAAAAAAAGAAAATTGGGAAGGTAGGAAGCGGGATGCAGAGGGGGTAGGAAGGAGGCAAGGAGGAAGACGTAGAGAGTGGGAATCAGTTCGTTTAAATACGTTTAAATAAAATAAAGGCTGGTTGGTGAGTCTTACTTTGCTGGACCTGGGGAGGTTTGATATATCGATGTTTTACGGGGTGGAACCCTTTTCAGCATCAGGGTTTCTCAGGGTTTGAAGGTACCGATGGAATGCTTAATTGCATATCCTGGACAAAACTCACAAAGAGGCATCCATATCAAACACGTATTCCTCGTCCTTAAATATGCTTCCACTTCGACTTTTGAGGAAAAATAACTGTCGAATGCTCAGGGGTATCATATCTCAGTTTTATTTTTGGTTTCAAAACGCCGTCCTATCCCGTCTCTGCGGGTAACTCATACTGGTTTCCCAAATTTCCTCCCTCCCATCTCTCAGGTGAAGCATCCTGCGAGATAGACTCCTTAACCCCTCGAAGACGGGGAATACATATATAGCCTCTCGCTCAGGCGTTATTGTCCTCCTTCCACTGCTTCAACCACGTCTGAATCCTCTCGACGTTCTCCTCCAGCTCCTCGTTCGTGTTGCTCTTGAGCTCGACGACAATTTCCTCGTCATACGAGTCCCGCGCCTCCTGAAGAAGCACCTCCATGATCTCGGAATCAATGTTCTCCTGCAATTTGACCTCGGGGTAGTTTCTGCACGTCCCGGAACGTCAGCAGAAGGATACGATTACAAGCCCTTGAACGATAAAAGGCAGGAAATAGCGGGAGAGGGAAGAAGGAGGAGCAAGGCGAGAGTTTAGAAAATTGGTGGAAGGGGATGTACCTCGCCGCAAGCCGGTCGTAATGGGCTGCAGAGTCTACCCTTAACACCACCACAAGGTCGATCCAGCTCTTGGGGAACAGGTCGCACGCGTGCCAGTCGATGATGCGACCCCCCGCCTTGCACTCGTCCTCAATGGCGTCCAGTAACTATGCACGTTGGAAAGTCAGCCCTTCAGCTCCGACTGCAGAAGGGGGCCCTTCCTAGGCCCACAAGGATCGGAGACGAGAAGCCCAAGGGTCTCCGTGCCCATGCACTCTAGACGAAAAGGTGTGGAAGACAGGGGAAGAATCAGCCCTGTACAATGAGACTAACCTTGTCCTCATCCACCAGCCAGCTCTGATACTCCTCGTCCCAGCCCTCATGACACTCCCTTTCCTTGACCACCTGGTTCACGCTCAGATGCTTCAGCTCAGGACACTTCTCCGCCAGCACCTCGCAGTGCGTCGTCTTGCCGGTGCCGGGCGTGCCAGTGATTATTATGTTCGGGAGGGACCTTGACGACATGATGGTGGTGCTTGGTAATTTTTTATTTTTTTTTAGATTTTTCTCTTCCCTTTTTCTTTCTTTTTGGCTCGCGGGCGGGCGGAAGATGGGAATCAATGGTGAGGATGAGGATGAGGATGAGTTGACCACACAAGTTTGATTGACTCAGAACGTGTTAGTTTTGAATTGATAGATAGTGATGTCTGAAATCAGGAAGACAGGATTCTTGACCTGCTTATACGGTGTGTGGGTCTGTGTGTGTGAAGATAAGTGATGACAGGACGCGGATCTCGACACGGCAGTTGTTTGCTGGGTGAGTATCAAGGGAGATTCACGGTTTTGCTATGCCTCTTTTTATATACATACTTTCTTACTCCCGTGCTAGGTTTAAACACGAAATTTTTCCATCTCAGCAAGGGTTAGGGTAAGGGTTATGTCTCCCGCTCTCCTACTGCTACAGGTGGTGTTTGCCAAGTTCAACAAATCCAGGGAGATCTTGGACTTCGCGATGGTCACAGCAGTAGTATCTGGGAAATGCCATGTCAAACAAGATAGATTGTATGCTCCGTAGGCAGGGATACTCGACTGCCTGTAAGTGGCAACGTATTATTGCTAACGCCTCAGGATTCTTCATTTCATTTCTGATGAATAGTGTGCCTTTTTTTTTACCCTGCAGACACTTGTCTGCCCACGGTGCGGCCAGATATGTAAAGAGTAGGGTGTGTGGGTAGGTGATATAAGATCAACCTATGACTGTCGATAGTGTGGGCTAGGTCCGAAAAAAAAACCATTGGCGGACGGTCCCATGATCATAACCTGTCCTAAAACACACGCGGAGCGCGAGACTAGAAAAAAGAACCTCCCCCTCTTCCTTCCTTCCCCTTCGCTGCTGGAATAAACCACACGCGAACTGCGAATCTCTCAAGAGCCTGATCCGCGCATTATGATGATCTATAGGTCAACTCTGTAATGATCAAACAGAAACCCCGAGGACGTGGACGTGAGGTGGAAGCCACGCAGATGACGTTTGCCCCCCCCACAGGCGGAGAAGTGCCGAGCAGCTAAACTCCAAAGTGAAAGATGATGCAAGATCCAAGATCTCAAGCATGTGCCTGGGAATTTAGCTCTGCTTGCATTCCGCAGCCTCCTGCTTCGGCTTCGAACCATCATCCTGAATTCAGACGTTAGTATGTGCGTGGCAACGGTGTAGTCAAGGGTTGGTTGGGCCATATCTTACGTCGTCCTCGTCAGACTCCTCGTCCTCATCCCGGTCATCACTCAGGTCGTCCTCATCATCATCCTCGTCGAAGTCCTCCTCATCGAACTCCTCCTCATCCAGCTCCTCGAAAGCAAGGGCCTCTCCGGTGAACCAGTCGATGGCCCGGGGAATCAGCTTCTCCTTGATATCCTCGCCCAGCTGGTAGTCAAGCTCGAGTCGCTCCTCAATGTCAGAAGCGGCATCGTCGTCGTCCTCAGTAGGCGCCTTAGGTGGGGAGAAGAAGTTGAAGAAAGACTCGGTGGGAACCGTCTTCTTGACGATGCGAGTTTGTTTCGTGTCTGGCTTGGGGGTCAGCATTGGTCGCATCACTGCTGGAGGTACAAATTGAAGGTACAGGCATCACTGGGAGGAAAGACCTACTCTTGTTGCGTTGCTTCTTCTGCTCGATGCGAACCGTCAGGTCCTTGCCTTCCTTCCAGTTAATCTTGTCACCGTCGGCGTGGTCGTAAATGAAATCACCGCCGTAGCCGGACTCGTTCTGATAGTAATAGGTCTTGGTGACGGTCTTGTTGGTGAAGTACTCGTTCTCGTCGAACTCGAAGATGAGACGGAAGCCAGGCCTTTCCAGATACTCCATGCGAATGTCGACGAGGTGCTTCAGAGCGCCCTCGTCACGGTCGGTGATCATCTCAGCGAGGGAGATCTGGTTCTTCATGGCAGACAGCCAGAACTCTGGAATGCCGTTGACATTCTCGTTAGACTCGGGAGCCTTCTCCTTCTCAGCAGCGTCGGGCTTGGTGTCCTTGTCATCTTCCTCGTCCTCCTCGTCCTCCTCCTCGCCGGCGGCGATCTCCTGCTCGGTAGGCTCGGCCTTGCCGTTGACAATCTCGGCACGCTTCTCGTACAGAGGAGTGAACTTGGCGAAGTATTTCTTCTCGAGCTGCAGGACCTCCTCCTGGAACTCAGCCTCGAGCTTGGTGTGCTCCTTCTGGATGCCCTTGAGACCGGCGACGCGCTTCTTGACCTGTGTGGGGAGGGACTCGATGTAACCGGAGGAGCGGCCGACAAGGGAGCCGAGACGGCCCTGGATCATCTGGACGAGCTTGGGGTTCTGTGCAAAGATGGAGGCAGCCGCGGCACGGTCCAGGTCCTCTGTGGTGGTGGAATGCGATCAGCCTCTCCGTAGATTGCAAAGGGGTTTCCCAACAAGTATGACGGACACGCGCGGGGTAGGGAGTGGCTAATACGAACCTTCCTTGATGCTATCAACACCCGGCTGCTGGGCATGCGATGAAATGGGTGCATTGTTGGCTGGAGTGTTTTGGGGGGTCCTGGGATGTCATCATCAGCACAAATACTTGATGTTTGCCCCCTCCCTTATCGCGGGGAGAAGGGTGATGTTTTTTTGCGTTGCAGGCGTCGTCCAGGGCAAACCAGGGTGTTAGTCACTTACGGTGCCACGGCCAAGTCCGGGCGCTTGTTTCGGATGGGTTCAGCCATGATGTGTGATCTTGATGGTTGATAGTTTGGCTGATGAGAGGCTTGCGTTGAAGGGAAGGAAATAAATGTGGGATGTGGTTTGGCCTGGGGAGAAAGGGAAAGGCGGTGTTGGAAAGAGCTGTTGTGGATGAATGGTTTTCTAGAGAGGGGATTGGGTAGCGGGCGGGACGCTTCGAAATTTTGGAGAAGGCGCGGGTGGGGTCTACTCACTTTGGTCCAGTCCCGTTTGCTTCGCAATCGCCCTCACTGGCGGCACAACACTGGCAGCAATGCTGGCCACTGACTGGCTGGTTGGCTGGTAACGGCTCAAGGTCGTCAACGGAACCGTTCTCTACAGTGCAGTGTACTAGTGGATGTACCTAAGTACCCCCCCCCCCCTTCCCTCCAGCGCAGCACCACCCACTCGCAGCTTTTGGCGGGGGGGCGAATCTTTTGTTGGGATCAAAGGCCATGACCGCACCGGCAAGGTTCTGCTACCTATCACTTTGCCGACTGACTTGACTGGCAGACTGGCAGGCTGGCAGTAATTTTTTTAATTTTTTTTTTTTGCCTGCCTGCGGACCTGACGGAAGCCCAGCTCCATCTCCACAACCGCTCGTTGCATCGCAAATGGAGGAGTCCTCATCATTATCTCCTATGCTTGATACCCTTTTCATATTTTATATTATTTCTCTTTCTCTCATTGAACTTCTTCTCTTGCTATTGTGGCCGATGCCATCTAGAGCCTAGACTTGTTTCTTTGGCACTGTGACGACTGCAGGGCGTGACTAGGCACATATGTTTTCTACGTGTCCCATGGCCGAGCCGCATTTACCGAGAGAAAAATGAAAATCAAGAAATAGGGAAAACAAAGGAGGTCTTCACTCTTGACCTTGACTGGCTGATCTCAAGAGTATCCCTCCTGCTGCTGCAGCAGCACATCGACTAAGTGACCCGCGAATCATCGACCTCCCCTGTTGACTATAGCGCCTTGCACGCGTTCCTTGTGTTGTACCTGGACGGCTCATCACGACCGAGCGGGTTCGCTGGCATGAGACGAGTCGTCGGTACATGTTTCCGTCCGACTGTGTGGCGGAGGTCCCGCAGGCTTGCTTCACTGCTACTTTATTTACGTAGTGTATACTTACGTAGGATCCAATTCACCTACCAGGGACTCTTCGTCCTCTGTAGTCTTACAACACGGTGGGATGCTGAGGACAGTCCCCACAGGTGCCTCTGAAACCTGCACTTTCAAGCACTGCTGCCCAGCCTAGTCCCTCCTCAGGTAGGTCGTCATGTCTTCTTCACACCCTAATGGGACTGTCGCTGTTGTTGGCAAAGTTGCCTAGTATAGGCCTTGCACGACTTTCCGGTTCCGATGGCTACACACAGCAGGTCTCCGTTAGCTACCTGGTTGTAGATCGGCACGTTGCAGTAACAGAATTGACAAAGAATGCCATGGCATCTCGCAGCAATCTTATCCACACTTGCCACAAAGCAGGTCGTCACACGAGAAAAAGCTGTGCCACAGCGGGGTGTCTTACCTGACTGGTTGCAAGGTGTCGCTGGCCCTCCTGGTCGGCATTTCATATTATTGCTCTGACCTCATCTTGGCTCTACAGGCGCTTGAACCTGGCAGAGAGACACAAAAGATCCTGCTAGGAGGCTAGGGCTCAACCATGGGATACATGTGAGACTGCGAAAGCGTGAGCATGCTTTTGACCCAGCGCCACCCAGGAATAACGAGAGGAAAAGAAAGCCCAGAGGGAAGGCACGCTTTTCTTGTGACAACAATTTTCTCAGGTCTCGGAAGATAATTCGGAAGAGAGCTATGAGCCTCTCCACCTCCATTTCAGTCGCAACTTCAGAGCTGGTTTAACCCACACATCATGCAACCAGCCTTTTTCCATGGGCTGACTGTTGAGTAATGCTCTTCCTGTCTGCCCAATGTCAAACGTCCAGAGAACATGGCCCTCCCTGATGCTGTCCTTCAAGGAAGAGACTCGTGTGGTCCGAAGAAACCGAGAGGTCTCGAATCAATCTAGAGCAGACTGACTTCCTCCCTAGAGTATAGCAATGTTGTTGCAGAGGTGTAGAGAATTGTGTGGAAGGAGGGGTGTTGTGTCGTTTGTGTTATGATAGTGAATTACCATACTAATTACCAAACTCCGAAATCGTCGCCAGAATTTTCACCAGGTTTTGGCAAATTTGTCCCTAACCTCCTGACCCTGTACGACTTTTTGTAAGGCGCATGATGCCACTAGGATGTAGTCGTCCGCCCACTGCATTGGACGCTCCAGAGCCAAGAAGAAACGCCAAACCAATTATTAGTCACAGTTTGGCCCCACAAGGCAGGGGCTGATGACAGTACTGCTTCCCGAAAACTTGCCATGGAAGCTCTCAGAATAAATGTTGTCATGGAATTCTGACTGCATACAATATCTTCCGCTCAACAGGAAACAACAGCATACTGCAACTTGTGTTGGCCAGCTGTTAAATACAATTGTGGTTGTTGTTTGCTGCATGCTGCACCACAAAAGTCCAGACCCCATCATCTTTCAGCGTCGTTTCGCTGTACACTGAAAACGGAAATTCTCCGAACACGCTGCTGTGAATCTCATATCATAGAGTCACTTGCTGCTCGACCGAGAAAAACAACTTCAGCATCATAGCCTCTTCGTACACTCACACACAATCTCTTCCACACAGTCATCATCATCATGTCTCCAACAACAACAGGGATGCCCATCAGGGACGCAGCGCAGAGACCTGCGAGGGTACCCACTGGCCTCAGCGTCTCTCCAACCGCCACATTCCACAGCCTGTCGCACAGCCTGGGCTCAGCCATAGCGCAGGAGGAGACAGCAAAGCAGCTCAAGCCTTTTGAGACCACGGATATCAAGATCCTGCTTTTGGAAAATGTCAACCAGAGCGGCAGGGACATCCTCAAGGAGCAGGGCTACCAGGTCGAGTCCCTGAAGACGTCTCTTCCCGAGGATGAGCTCATCGAGAAGATCCGGTGAGTAGATGATGAGGAGACCACCACCACCCCATATGATTAGAGACCATGGGAGCTGACCAAGGGTTCGGCCATTCAAAGTGATGTGCATGTCATCGGCATCCGGTCAAAGACCAAGCTGACAGAAAAGGTGCTGGCCCAAGCCAAGAACCTGCTCGTCATTGGCTGCTTCTGCATTGGCACGAACCAGGTGGACCTCGAATACGCGGCCAAGAAGGGCATCGCGGTGTTCAACTCGCCCTTTGCGAACTCGCGCAGCGTCGCCGAGCTCATCATCGCCGAGATCATCGTGCTGGCCCGGCAGCTGGGCGACCGCTCCATGGAGCTGCACCACGGCACCTGGAACAAGGTCAGCGCCAGGTGCTGGGAGATCCGCGGCAAGACGCTCGGCATCATCGGCTACGGCCATATCGGCTCGCAGCTGTCAGTGCTTGCCGAGGCCATGGGCATGGACGTCATCTACTACGACGTTGTGACCCTCATGGCGCTGGGCACGGCGCGCCAGGTCGCTACGCTCGACGACCTGCTCGAGGAGGCCGACTTTGTCACCTGCCACGTGCCGGCCACGCCAGAGACCAAGAACATGATTTCGGCGCCCCAGCTCAACCGCATGAAGGACGGCGCCTACCTGCTCAACGCCAGCCGCGGCACCGTCGTCGACATTCCCGCCCTCGTCAACGCCATGCGCAGCGGCAAGATCGCCGGCGCCGCCCTCGATGTCTACCCGCACGAGCCGGCCGCCAACGGTGACTACTTCACCAACGACCTCAACGCGTGGGCCGAGGACCTGCGCGGGCTCAAGAACCTAATCCTGACGCCACACATTGGCGGCAGCACGGAGGAGGCGCAGCGGGCCATCGGCATCGAGGTCTCTGAGGCGCTGGTCCGGTACATCAACCAGGGCCTGACTGTTGGCAGCGTCAACCTGCCCGAGGTGACTCTGCGCAGCCTGGGACGCGAGGAGCAAAACAGCGCGCGTGTCATCTACATCCACAAGAACGTGCCCGGTGCCCTCAAGGACATCTACCGCATCCTGATGGGCCACAACATCGACAAGCAGACCAGTGACAGCAAGGGCGACATCGCGTACATGATTGCAGATATCAGCGGCGTACACATCAGCGACCTGAAGAGCATCTCGGATGAGCTCAACTCCCTAAGCTCCAGGATTATGACCCGTATTTTGTTTTAAGGGTGAATATGAAGGAGGAGAAACAGAGGGGTCGTTAGGTCGAGAGAACGGACCTTTCGTGGTGGTCAAACAATACAGGAATTCAACAATCAAGGGAAGGTATCCATCCATCCATCTCAAGGGCGCAGGTTTGGAGGGCAAAACAAACAGAGAAGTGATTAAAAAAGGAGGAAGCTTTTTGGGAGAAGAAAGCGCATGCATTTCAACAGCAAAACTGGGCACTCTCACTTCAGACGAGTCTTTACAGATTCACAAGGACAAAACGAAGAATATGAAGGAGAAGAAAGTCTCAAAATGCAGTTCCTCTTTCTCTTCTTGGATATGTGACTTCTCTCTCCTCACAGGCACTCGCTTATCGTACATCACAGGGGTGGTCACACAGGATAGGTTATGAACTCGAAAGATCTCGAGGTGTTGTCCAGAGTACCATCATGTCTCTTTTCTTGAGTCAAGGGGCAGTAGGAAAACCTCTAGAGAGACCATGGTTCTGTGGGGGCTCAGACCCGCGGGTCGCCTCCCCTGGCTCACCATGTGTTTAGCACTGCAACGTGCAAAGGAGGTGGACGGGTAGCCTAAGCCCTTACGCCCCGGTAATCGTAGCGCGGATCTCACGCCTCAGGACGCTTAGGCACATTATACCACAGAGCCTTTCATCCCAGCATATCTATTAAAATATGTGACTGTCTCGACGACAACAAGAACAACAATAACGCCACGTAGTGCAAGAGAAACGGAAAGGCAGACAGACAGGCCACCCGAGTTGGTGGTGTACATGAAAGGAACCCGGCCGGCCCGTGTGGATCTTTGATGAACGGCATTTGCAACGGTCATGTCTTGAGGGTGTGTGCGCCTCACGTCATTCGGAGATTGAGGGTGTTCATGCAAGACCTAGGCGCATTGAGAGAATTCTCTTGCAGGGACGTGGTGACCATGCCAATGTTAAGAAGTAATAGACATGGAAGTTCTGAGGAGACCGTGTGTAGATGAACAAGATTGTTCTCGTTGTCTTGATTTTCCGTGGCACCAACCTAGGGAACTTGATCGGCGGACGAGGAAGGGGTCTAGCCCTACTCCATGGGAGAACAGATCGTCAGGGGCCTCGAAAAGAGTTGAGTACTTTTTAGTAAGTACTTGTGTAGCACCTCATCCTCGACAAAGGATGATCAGGCCAGTTGCCTCCAGGTTGTGAATGTTAAGAGGGAAGCGGGAGCTTGTGTAGGAATGTAATAGATCCCTGGCTTCCTCGACAGATGGCGCACTTCGATGGAGTTATAAGGAACTCATGTCAGAAACGATGAGATACCTTTTTTTAAGTACGGCTGACTGATGAGGCCTCGTAGCCGTTGGTCCCGTTAGTTGTTCAGCCACCACCGCCGTCAAGGCCAGCACCATCAGTACTATGGTAGCTGCTGGACCACCCATTAGGGGCCATATTTGGGTGTCTTAGCGCGGTTGAAATCAGGCGTTGAGCTACCCGGCCCCTGCATATACTATAGATTGTTTTAGCTCGAGCCTACATCCATGTGGCAGACCTGCTTTTGCTGCAACGCGAGCAAACGTTAAAGGGAAAAAGTTGATTGATTTTAACTGAGACATATCAAAAGTCCCATTCCTGTTCAAACCCAAGCCAATTGTCGCTCATCCGATCTCGCTACCAACTACGCGAGACCCCTTCACAGAAAAACAGAAGAGAAAAGAAAAGGGTCTTAACTGGACAAGCTGTGTCGATGGGGGGAGGGGCTTGAACAAGTCACCTCGCTGGCCCAAGCTCCATACTAAACCTGACGGCACTGGGGGTTCCACGGGTCGCATTGGACAAGTGAAAGCCAAGCAGGGGGCTCCACGCCCCACTCTAGCGGGCAAAGCGTGGAGCGGTCAGTGAGCACGCACTGCACGATCCACCCCCTATCAGCCTACAGATCCATCCCCAGAAGCTGAGGGACGCTGCAGACCGCCCGCATGAACGTGGGAAGCGAGACGAAGCGAGGCGTGGCACACACCCTCAACACAACTCACCTCACCTCACCACCTTCCTGGGCCCTGGGACAGCACAGCAACTTTTTTTTTTTTGTCCCTGGTCTTAGGCTAGCGCTCGGAGACTATCCTGTCGCAGCTTTGATGCACCTATCTGCACACACCCCAACCTTAACCTAGCAAGCACACCGCAGCGTTTCCCGTCCCGTCTCGTCCCTCGACCGACGACACGACAACGACACGACACGGCACACGGCATTGCATAACCTCTTTTCTTCCTTCTGCCTCAACCACAACGAGTGACCTGTTGTTCTTCAACTTCACGTGTCGACTCTTCCTTTGTCACACACCTACACAAACGGAGGCTGGCACGGGTCCAAAGATCCAACTCACCACCTTCCGTCCATCATCCCCTACCCCAAAGCTGGTTTCTCGGTCCAGAGACCACGCAACGGGTGGTGTGTTGACTGTATTTTTGGTTCTTGCCTAATCCTTGATACCCTCTGAACATAAATCTCCTTTCAAAAGACTTTTGGTAATTTCCATCACGAATGTCTCTTTTTCTCAACGCCATCCGCCAACCTTGCTACCGGTAGTGTCTTCTCACAGACTGCCCTCCTTCCTCCTCCGCCGAATTTCCGGCCCTACATATTCCCAATCGATCAACGACAGACCACGCCCCTTCTTCGTTCCCCTTAGCCGACGAGGGCTTCTTTCAGATCGTGGAACATGTCCTCGAATTACGATGTTGGCACAAGAGCGTGGCAGCCCGATGCCACGGAGGGCTGGGTTGCTTCCGAGGTCACAAAGAAACAGGTCGATGGCGACAAGGTGGTTTTGACCTTTCAGCTGGAAAATGGCGAGGTACGGATCTACAACCCCCCCCCCCCTCCCAGCAGGGAAGAGCACGCAGGCGGCGTCCACAGGCTGGCAATGACCTTTTCTGACACCCTGAGCAGGTTAAAGAGGTGAAGCTCACGCTGGCGGCCCTCGAAAGCGGTAATGACGAATCGCTGCCTCCTTTGATGAATCCGACCATGCTCGAGGCCAGCGATGACTTGACCAACCTCTCTCATCTGAACGAGCCGGCAGGTACGCATCCATCTACCAAAACCATCCCCCTTGATGGCAGCAGACCTGATCATTCTAACCCATAATCTCTCCCTCCAGTCCTCCAAGCTATCCGGCTTCGCTACGTCCAGAAAGAGATCTACACATACTCCGGCATCGTGCTAATAGCTACCAACCCCTTCGCCCGTGTCGACTCTCTCTATGTCCCCGGCATGGTCCAGGTATACGCTGGGAAACAAAGGGCAACACAGGCACCGCATCTCTTCGCGATTGCCGAGGAGGCCTTTGCAGACATGATCCGGGACAGCAAGAACCAGACCATTGTGGTGTCTGGAGAATCCGGTGCGGGAAAGACCGTCAGTGCTAAGTACATCATGAGGTATTTCGCAACCCGTGAATCACCAGACAACCCCGGCGCCAAGTCCAAGAAGGGCGCCGAGGCCATGAGCGAGACAGAAGAGCAGATCCTGGCCACCAACCCTATCATGGAGGCATTCGGTAACGCCAAGACGACCCGAAACGACAACTCGTCCCGGTTTGGAAAGTATATCGAGATCATGTTCGACACGGAGACCAACATCATTGGCGCAAAGATCAGGACATACCTGCTGGAGCGGTCAAGATTGGTCTTCCAACCCCTGAAGGAGCGGAATTACCACATTTTCTACCAGATGCTTGCGGGCATGCCCGAGGCACAGAAGTCCGAGCTTGGCCTTCTGCCGGTGGAGCAATTCGAGTACCTCAACCAGGGCAATGCGCCGACCATTGACGGCGTCGACGACAAGGCCGAGTTCAAGGCGACCATGGATTCCCTGACGACGGTCGGCGTGAACGACGCGACCCAGACCGAGATCCTGAAGATGCTGGCTGGTCTTTTGCATCTAGGCAACGTCAAGATCGGTGCCTCGCGCAACGACAGTGTGCTGGCTCCTTCTGAACCCTCTCTGGAGAGGGCTTGCGCCATCCTCGGAATCGACGCGACCGAATTTGCCAAGTGGATTGTCAAGAAGCAACTGATCACTAGGGGTGAGAAGATTATTTCCAACCTTTCCCAGGCCCAGGCTATTGTCGTCCGGGATTCCGTCGCCAAATATATCTACTCTAGCTTGTTCGACTGGCTGGTCGAGATCATCAACCGCAGTCTCGCTACCGACGAGGTGCTGAGCCAGGTCAAGTCTTTTATCGGTGTGCTCGATATTTACGGTTTTGAACATTTCGCCAAGAACTCGTTCGAGCAGTTCTGTATCAACTACGCCAATGAGAAGCTGCAGCAAGAGTTCAACCAGCACGTGTTCAAGCTGGAGCAGGAGGAGTACCTCCGGGAAAAGATCGACTGGACTTTCATCGACTTCTCAGACAACCAACCCTGCATTGACCTCATCGAGGGCAAGATGGGTATCCTGACGCTGCTTGACGAGGAGTCCAGGCTCCCCATGGGCTCGGACGATCAATTCGTCACGAAGCTGCACAGCAACTTTGCCACGGGCGACAAGAGCAAATTCTTCAAGAAGCCTCGCTTTGGCAAGTCCGCCTTTACCGTGTGCCATTATGCTGTCGACGTGACGTACGAGTCGGAAGGTTTCATAGAAAAGAACCGTGACACTGTACCGGATGAGCATATGGCCGTCCTCAGAGCAAGCAAGAACAGCTTCTTGGTATCGGTGCTTGATGCTGCCGCGTCAGTCCGCGAGAAGGATGTTGCGTCAGCGACTTCGAGCTCTGTCAAGCCTGCTGCAGGTCGGAAGATTGGCGTGGCTGTTAATCGCAAGCCTACCCTCGGTGGCATCTTCCGGTCTTCGCTGATCGAGCTGATGAGCACCATCAACAACACAGATGTGCACTACATCAGGTGTATCAAGCCTAACGAGGCCAAGGAGGCGTGGAAGTTTGAGGGCCCCATGGTTCTGAGCCAGCTTCGAGCTTGTGGTGTCTTGGAGACTGTCAGGATCAGCTGTGCTGGTTATCCTACGAGGTGGACATACGAGGAGTTTGCACTGCGGTACTACATGCTGGTACCGTCCAAGCAGTGGACGTCGGAGATCCGACAGATGGCCAGTGCCATCTTGGCCAAGGCTCTCGGCGAGAGCACGGGAGGAGGCCAAGACAAGTACCAGCTCGGTCTGACCAAGATCTTCTTCCGCGCTGGCATGCTCGCCTTCCTTGAGAACCTCCGCACAACCAGACTCAACGACTGTGCGATCATGATCCAGAAGAACCTGAGGGCCAAATACTATCGGCGCAGGTATCTCGACGCCCGCGAGGCCATTGTTCGCGTCCAGGCCGCTGCCAGAGCTTATGCAGCTAGGAGGCAAGCTCAGGAGCTGCGGACCACCAAGGCCGCCACCACCATCCAGCGTGTGTGGCGTGGCCAAAAGGAGAGGAAGAAGTTCCTCCGCATCCGGGCCGACCTCGTCCTTGCGCAGGCCGCCATCAAGGGTTACCTGCGCAGAAAGGAGATCATGGAGACGCGTGTTGGCAATGCGGTAGTGCTCATCCAGCGCGTGTGGCGCTCGAGAAGATCTCTCCGGTCCTGGAGACAATATCGCAGGAAGGTCATCCTCATCCAGTCCTTGTGGCGCGGTCGGGTGGCACGCAAGGAGTACAAGACGCTGCGTACCGAGGCTCGCGATCTCAAGCAGATCTCGTACAAGCTCGAGAACAAGGTCGTCGAGCTTACCCAGTCTCTCGGTACTATGAAGACCCAGAACAAGGAGCTCAAGAGCCAGGTCGAGAACTACCAGGGTCAGATCAAGTCATGGCAGGCCCGGCACAACGCACTGGAGGCCAGGACCAAGGATCTCCAGGCCGAGGCCAACCAGGCTGGTATCTCGGCGGCACGCCTTCAGGTCCTCGAGGAGGAGATGAAGGACCTGCAGGCACGCTTCGAGGAGTCCGCCGCCAACGTCAAGCGGATGCAGGACGAGGAGAAGCAGCTGCGGGAAACCCTGCGGGCTTCGAGCACCGAGCTCGAGGTCCTGAAGACAGAGTCTACCCGTCACGAGAACGAGAAAAACAACCTGCGCCAGCAGTTGGTCGAGCTCCAGGACGCCCTCGAGCTGGCCAGGCGCCAGGCACCCATCAACGGCGAGATCAACGGCAACGGTATCCAGCCAGTGGCCAACGGCCTTATCAACCTTGTCTCATCCAAGAAGCCTTCAAAGAGGCGCAGCGCTGGAGCCGAGATCCGGGAGGTCGACCGCTTCAGCGGTGCCTACAACCCTCGTCCTGTCTCGATGGCTGTCACTGGTCGCCAGGCCGTCATGTCCGGCTCTACCCTGCAGGGCATTGATAGCATCGAGATGGAGCTCGAGGCCCTGCTGGCAGACGAAGAGGGCCTGAACGAGGAGGTCACCATGGGCCTGATCCGCAACCTGAAGATTCCTTCTCCCAACACGAACCCGCCGCCCTCCGACAAGGAGGTTCTCTTCCCCTCCTACCTCATCAACCTTGTCACATCCGAGATGTGGAACAACGGCTTCGTCAAGGAGTCAGAGCGCTTCCTCGCCAACGTCATGCAGTCCATCCAGCAGGAGGTCATGGCGCACGACGGCGAAGAGGCTATCAACCCAGGTGCCTTCTGGCTCTCTAACGTACACGAGATGCTTTCTTTCGTATTCCTCGCTGAGGACTGGTACGAGGCACAGAAGACCGACAACTACGAGTACGATCGGCTGCTGGAGATTGTCAAGCACGACCTCGAGAGCCTGGAGTTTAACATCTACCACACGTGGATGAAGGTGCTCAAGAAGAAGCTCAACAAGATGATCATCCCTGCCATTATCGAGTCGCAGTCGCTGCCTGGCTTCGTCACGAATGAGAATAACAGATTCCTCGGCAAGCTCCTGCAGACGAACTCGCAGCCAGCCTACAGCATGGACAACCTGCTCAGCCTGCTGAACAACGTCTTCCGCGCCATGAAGGCCTACTACCTGGAGGACTCGATCATCACCCAGACCATCACCGAGCTGCTGCGCCTGGTGGGTGTGACGGCCTTCAATGACCTGCTCATGCGCCGCAACTTCCTGTCCTGGAAGCGAGGTCTGCAGATCAACTACAACATCACCCGTATTGAGGAGTGGTGCAAGAGCCACGATATGCCCGAGGGCACCTTGCAGCTCGAACACTTGATGGTAAGTCGTCGGCAAATGCGACTACCTTGCGACTATGTGTGTGTGTGAGAATAGTGCTAACAACCCCGTGCAGCAAGCTACGAAACTTTTGCAGCTCAAGAAGGCCACCCTCAACGATATCGAGATCATCCAGGATATCTGCTGGATGTATGTTATCCCTTTATGAAATTTCTCTCTTCCCTCAGACGTACTAATAAAGGCACGCATAGGCTCTCCCCCAACCAAATTCAGAAGCTTCTGAACCAATACCTCGTTGCCGACTACGAGCAGCCGATCAACGGAGAGATCATGAAGGCTGTGGCATCACGAGTCACTGAGAAGAGCGACGTCTTGCTCCTGCAGGCTGTCGATATGGACGACAGCGGCCCATACGAGATCGCTGAGCCCCGAGTGATTACCGCGCTCGAGACCTACACGCCTTCATGTAAGCAAAGCTGCGAATCAATACTCGTCCCTAATCACTTCGCGATGTGAAACAGTCGTAGCTGACATTCTTCTTGACAGGGCTACAAACTCCCCGCCTCAAGCGTCTTGCGGAGATCGTCTCGGCCCAGGCCATCGCTCAGCAGGAGAAACTGGAGTATGGTTCCCAGGACGGGTACGAAAACGGTGCCCTCGAGGAAGTAGACGAGATGCCCGAACCCATCGAGGCCAGCGCATAGAGTGCGCGACCTGGGTTGAGGCTGTCCACCTCCACGTTCCCTCAGCAGTCCCCACGGTCGTTTCTGCTGTCGCCGTTTAAAAAGACTGCCGACGGCAGCGACATGACCAGGCTTGTGGGGAGTCCCTTGCGCGATGTGACGAATGGGAGGCGGAGGGATGGTGTGATGAGGTATCAGCATCTCCGGAGCGAGAGTCACTGAAACTGATAATGCTACTGCTGGTGCTGCTGGTGGTGCTGGTAGAGGGCGGAATGGGTAAATGAAGCCATGTATGATTGCCTGTCTTGTACGTGTATGTGTGTATGTTGTGGATGTTGGGGGGGCGGCTGGGCTGGTTTGACTTGACGGGGAGCGTGGACCATTCACCGTTTCGTCATTCATACGCTCATACATACGTCCATACATCCGTTTGATCCTCTCTGGATTTTATTTGCATGGCATAGTGTGGGGGGAGGGAAAGAGATAGGAAGAGAAAAGGAAAGAGAGCAAGCAAGGAAAATTCAAAAAGACGATATATGGATATGAGGATTTTCTTTTTGGGAGTTTGACTAAGCGTGCGTTATTTCGACTGGCAGTTGATAAGTAATTAATTACCCAACTACATTCAGCATGAGCAAAGGCGGTGGAAGACGAGACGAGATGCGACTTTGTATTAGAAGGGGCATGCCATACTAGATAAACAGCACGTTCACTTACATGCAGGAAAGAGGGCGTATTGAATTGTCCGTTCTATGGCTACATATGATTTGCTGCTTGCAGCACAACCAACTAACCAGAGCTGCCCACGCGCTCATGATAGTTACGAGCCTTAGTAGAATTGAGGAGGGAAAGAACGCCCTCTTCACCTTATTTCTGAGACAATCACAGCGAAAGTTCTCATGATACGTTGGGATCAGGTAAGCCATCTGCAGAGGTTTTCTCAAAGGAGGGTTCTCGAACCAAACATCTCATATACTTAAATTCACTGTCGTTTTTTCGATTGCATTTGGACATGCGGAGTCAGATATGCGACATCATGGCGGAGGGACCATGTGTGCAGTTGTCTCCCAGGATTCCAATCGGAGTCTCATGTCGTTGTTCTGGTCAAGATTTCGCAGCTGTCGTGACTGATTACTATATGAGAAGTATATACCCGGCACACAATAGCATCCAACTACAATGGAAGGGGCAGGGGGTGAGGTGTATGTCACTACCCTCACTTCAGCTGAAGGAAGGTCTCTGGCATGTGCTATAATACTCAGACGTTTGACATTCTGAAGCACTGCTATGGCCTTTCAAATGTTCGTTTCATGGTCTCTGTCCTTCTCCTTGTTCACAGCCTGTCTCATTCCTGACAGCTCAAAGCGTATTATGATCCTACATGCAATAGTACTGGCAACATACCGCGCGATGATGACCGCAGCATCGTCCACGCTGTAGAACAGCAGACTAGAAAGCATCAGAGTGCCGAACAAAACATGCCCAGTCGTGCCCAGTTCAAGAAGCCATGTCACCAGATAAAATAGCAGACCCAGCGCCGCAGTGATTGGCCCTATCTCCTGCATAGCGCATGGCACGAACTCTGTCACGCCGAAGGTCTTGTAGAAGGATGTCGCCCTTGCTTCAGGATGGTGTCGTCCACCCCCTCTTGCTGAGTGCTTCTGCTGTTGCCTGATCAGTAGAACCATAGCCAGCATGCCGGCCATATGTATGACGACCCCGAGAAATGTCCACAGGGGCACCGGGATAAGAGACGTCGGCGACCAGACGAGCACGGCGTGCACGCTGAGCTGGTACGCTAGATGGCCCACGTTGGCTACTGCACAGGAGATGATGGCGTACTCGACCAGGCTGACCAGAGGCCACAAGGACCGCCGGAGGTTCAGGACGACCCTGACCTCGGATGCTCCAGCAACCACAGACACGCCTCCTCCTGCTGCTCCTGTTGCTGCCGCGGTTGTTAAGCGACCAGCAAACTTGGCCACTGTCGCGATGAAGTCGCCCGACCGCATGTTTGCCACAGACGGTGTACCTGCGGCCACCAACAGTGGTGCTGCCCAGGCTCTGCTGGATGGTGGGCAGCAGGCCCAGGGCGACCGAGGCGGCCGCCATCTCCAGATTGTTGTACTCGCCCATGGCGTTCAGCACGCACTGCATCAGAGGATGGACCAGCACGTTGTTATCGCCGTCCGAGGCCGTCATGTTGACCCACCCTCTGCGGTACGTCTGGTAGGCCTCTGAGCAGTTGTCGTGAACCAACCGCAGACTGGAGCACGTTGTTCCACAGCGGGTCTGGGAAGAAGTCTTGTTCGAATTGATGGGTGGGCGTGTGTATGATCGTCGTGGCGGCTATCCCGTATGGGATCGCCAGCAGCAGCGGCGGCGTGATGGCTGCGCTTGGTTTCATCATGGCAGCCTTGCGTGGACGGTAAGTGCATTCATGCTCTGGATTCGTTCGTGGGTCAGCGAGCACAAGGGGCACGGAGAGAACCAGGCTTGCATTATATATGCGCTTCTCTATACTTGTAGAACACTGAAGAAATGGGCTTTGGCCCCCATCGAGGCTTTCCAAAATGCACTCCTTCGATTGGAGGAGCAGCTCGAAGGTTTTGGTTATACATTACCTTGTGACATGCAGTCAGCCATGTATCTCACCTTGCACTTTTGGCAGAGGGTGTGTATCTCGACTGGGCCATCTTCCTTCTCCAAGGGAGACTCTCCAGCAAGACGTTCCATGGCTGACCATGTGCGAGCCTTGCAGGTTCACCATCAGGCTGTAGGAATATGCAACGCTTTGAGGCTCAGCTCCGGCCTCCCACGTTTATTAAACCTTCATACATCCATTTCTTTATGTTTCATACTTGGCTATTGGATCCCGTAAAAGACAAAGGGGATGACCTTCGTCTGCATGAATCCTTATACCAACTGATTGCGGTGAGACGTTGGCATTGTGGTTCTCATGCCCTTGAAAACATCACGGGTACAATTCTCTGAGTAGTATTGTATGTGCCGGTGGAATACAAGATACTATGGTTGGTCGGAGGTGACGAATCTGGTACTACAGTACTTACCTACTCACTGCAGTTTGTAGTAGGCCTAGCCGGGCACCCTAGCATGACTGACACTCTGGATGACCTGTATCATGCGCTGTACGTAGTACGCAATACACCGTGGTTCTCTAGCGCGTACCCACTGTAGATCGCCCTATCGCCTATGACGGGCGGGCGACCATCCTTTATCTTAGACCTGAAAGTTTTAAGTGATCCAAGGTCTCCTGCCGTTGCTCGCTGCTCGTGGTCAGACGACACACCACTCCAGCTCCAGCAGCAGGACAAATGCAAAGATTCAAGCCCCTCTCTCTTGCGTCCAGGCCATAGGAGGCAACCAGCCAGCCAGCCAGCCAGCCAGCCATGGACGACCCAGAAAGCGCCGACCTGGATCGCAGGCGTCGAGGAGGAAGAAGAACAAGCAATAGGAGCATGAGCAGGAACAGAGGCAGGGTAGAGGGCCGTCAAGATGCTGCCGCCGATGGCTACCACAGTGCTGCGCCCTCGCCTGGTCTGTACAGGAGGGTCAGCCTGAACCAGAGCAGCTCGAGCATCTTTGAGGACGTGGAGATGGCACAGGACGAGGTAAGAAAGTGCCCCTCCAGTGCCCCTCCAAGAACTACCCCGAACCTCCGCAAGAACCGGGCGCATCACTTGGTTAACTGACAACACATGATACCAGCTTTATTCTGGACCTGTCGCCGAGTCCCTGCCCACGAGTATATCAGCCTTCCACCGACGCCGGAGCCGCGCAGACTCCACCACCAGCTTCGCTTTCTACCCAGACGACCCTGACGACCTAGACAGAGAGGCGCTGCTGGCCGAGGAGGGAATTGTTTCGATCGAAGACCTGGACGAGATTCCCTTTGCAGTAGACATAGGCGACGAAGAAGACGACGAGGAGGAGGCGGTCACGGGTGTGCTTCTCCCACAGGAGAGCCCGGGTTCCAGCGACAGGCCGTCACAGGATGACGACTCCTTCGCGCGCAGGCGCTCCTCGGCGCACTCTCACCACTCAGTCCACTCGCGGCTGATACGGCGGGAGAGCAACATGACGGAGACGAGTGCGTATGGCGGCGGACGCTTCTCACAAAAGGTGTACATGCCAAATGAGGACCTGATGATTGTCATCGCTGGCTTTCGGACCAGCAACGTCGGGCTGGCGGCGTACACGTTCATGTGTGCAACATCTTTTGGGCTGGCTTGGCTGCTGTTCCGGTGGTTGCCAAGATGGCATGTCTGGCTGACTGGAAAGAAAGCACCGCTCAGAGAGGCGTCATGGGTGGTCATCGAGAACCAGTGGAATGAGATGGCCATACTGGACGTTGATTCCAAGCCCTACGGGCGGGCGCTCTCCACTGTTTTTGGGAGCTCCGGGAAGAAACTTTCGTCGAGCGCGTATACCTTGGAGTATGACGACGATCCGATCTTGGACGAGCTGAGGGTAATCAACTACCGTTATGTGCGGTTCTACTACGACCCGCTCCGGGACAAGTTCAGAGTGAGCCACGGTTGGAAGGATCCCCTGTGGACTGACGTGCTGGCCGTCAAAGAGGGCGTGGACAGTGAGGAGAAGAGCAACCGCGAGCTGGTGTTTGGGTCGAACCTCATCGACATCGAGCAAAAGTCCGTCTTCCGACTCCTCGTCGACGAGGTGTTCCACCCCTTCTACGTGTTCCAGATCGCAAGTCTGGTGCTGTGGTCGATGGACTCGTATTACTACTATGCCGTTGCCATCTTCGTCATGTCCGTGGTTAGCATCGCGGCCACTCTCGTCGAGACCCGCTCAACGATGAAACGCCTCAGGGAGATCTCTCGCTTCGAATGTGACGTGCGGGTGCTGAGAGATGGGTTCTGGAGCTACATCAGCTCAGGGGAGCTGGTGCCAGGCGACATTTACGAAGTGACCGATCCGAATCTGTCCCAGTTCCCGAGCGACAGCATTTTGCTCAGCGGAGACTGCATCGTCAACGAAAGTATGCTGACAGGAGAATCGGTGCCTGTTTCGAAAGTCCCGGCCACAGACGACACCCTGCGAGACATGAACTTGTCCGCATCGCAGGTCATGCCGGAGATCGCGCGGCATTTCCTGTTCTGTGGTACCAAGATCATCCGCGCCAGGAAACCACAGGACGACCGGGACGAGGAGGCAGTGGCACTGGCCATGGTCGTCAGGACAGGCTTCGACACCACCAAGGGAGCTCTGGTCCGATCCATGCTCTTTCCCAAGCCTTCGGGGTTCAAATTCTACCGGGACTCATTTCGCTACATAGCAGTGATGGGGTGTGTGGCCCTAGTGGGCTTTACGGCATCATTTGTCAACTTCATACGCTTGGGGTTGGCCTGGCACCTCATAATTGTTCGGGCGCTGGACTTGATCACCATCGTCGTGCCACCCGCCTTGCCTGCTACACTGACAATCGGCACCAACTTCGCGTTGAGCCGGTTGAAGGCGAAGCAAATATTCTGCATCAGCCCGCAGAGAGTCAATGTGGGCGGCAAGCTGGACATCATGTGCTTTGACAAGACTGGGACGCTCACCGAGGACGGCCTGGATATTCTGGGCGTAAGGGTAGTGAATCGCGCTGCGAATCGATTCGACGACGTCCTCACCGATCCAGCAACAATGGTACCCAAGGCAGATTCTGCCGCCCACGAGACCTCTGCTCCGTCTTACGATGTGCAGAAAGCAGCTCTATACACAATGGCAACATGCCACTCCCTACGATCTATCGACGATGAGCTTGTGGGAGACCCGTTGGACGTCAAGATGTTTGACTTTACTCGTTGGACATACGAAGAAGGCCAGCAGAGCTCCGGTGGTGACGACGATGAGGAGAATCTAGGCCTCTCGCCATCAATTGCCAGGCCGCCACCAGAGATGGCCCATGAGCTGACCAGCACCAACAGGGCTGGCGAACTGGTGCCCCTCGAGCTGGGCGTGCTGAAGTTGTTTGAGTTCGTCTCCCAGCTCCGGAGGATGAGTGTCATCGTTCGTACGTTTGGCCAGCCGAGCGGCGACATCTATGTTAAGGGAGCGCCCGAGTGCATGCGAGACATCTGCCGAGCGGAAAGCTTCCCGTCAGACTACGACGAGCAGCTGGCTTACTATACCCACAAGGGCTATCGCGTGATCGGGTGTGCCACAAAGCATATAAAGAAGCTGACCTGGGTCAAGGCGCAAAAGATGACGCGAGCAGACGTCGAGTCAGAACTTGACTTTGTCGGTTTCATCATCTTCGAGAACAAGTTGAAACCGAGCACGGCGGCGGTGCTAGATGAGCTTCTGCAGTCCAATATCGGCGCTGTGATGGTGACGGGGGACAACATCCTCACAGCCATCAGCGTTGCCAGGGAGTGCAACATGATTAACAAGACTGCGCACTGCTTCGTGCCTCGCTTCGCAGAGGGACATTCGAGGGATCCCGAAGCAAAGCTGCAGTGGGAGAGCATTGATGACCCTGCCTACCAGTTGGACGAGAAGACACTGGTGCCACTACCAGCACCGGTGGACGGAGACGCATCGCTCCCCTACAACATATCCAACCTACGCAACTACTCTATCGCCGTCAGCGGTGATGTTTTTCGCTGGGTGGTTGACTTCGCGCCCGTTGAGGTGCTGCATAGGATGCTCGTCGCAGGCAAGATATACGCACGTATGTCACCTGACGAGAAGCATGAGCTCGTCGAGAAGCTCCAGAGCATCGACTACTGTGCTGGCTTCTGCGGCGACGGCGCCAATGACTGCGGCGCGCTGAAGGCGGCAGATGTGGGTATCTCGCTTTCCGAGGCTGAAGCCTCGGTAGCAGCCCCGTTCACAAGCCGGGTCTTCGATATCACTTGCGTACCTGCCGTCATCCGCGAAGGCCGTGCAGCTCTGGTCACCAGCTTCAGCTGTTTCAAGTACATGAGTCTCTACTCGGCGATTCAGTTCTGTTCTGTGTCCTTCCTCTACGCCTCCGCCTCCAATCTTGGGGACTTCCAGTTCCTCTTCATCGACCTCGCGCTGATTCTTCCCATCGCGGTGTTCATGTCCTGGGCAGGGCCGTTGCCCGAGCTCTGCCGCAAGAGACCTACCGCGGACCTGGTCTCCCGCAAGGTCTTGACGCCTCTCATCGGCCAGATGTGCATCTGCATCCTAATTCAAGCCGTGTCGTTTGTGGTGGTCCGGAAGCAGCCATGGTTCATCCCACCCAAGGTGAACCATGACAAATCGAACATCAAGAACTCGGAGAACACAGCGCTGTTCCTGGTCAGCTGCTTCGAGTATATCTTGTCTGGAGTGGTGCTAAATGCCGGCCCACCGTTCCGTGTCGGCGTGCGGAAGAACTGGCCGTTTCTGGTAACGATTGGTGTGACACTGGTGATCACGCTGTACATGGTGATGGGGCCCGCGCGCTGGCTGGCCAAGGGAATGCAGCTGACCAAGATCAGTTGGGATTTCAAGCTGTTTCTTGTCATGCTGGGCCTGGTGTATCTGGTCGCCGCGTGGACGGGCGAACAGCATGTATTCCAGAAGCTGGCGAGGGTGTTTGGTAAGCTCAGACAGGCGGCGACTGGGAAGAGGAAGCAGAGAAAACAGTACAAGGTCATCAGAGAGGAGATGCAGGGGCTGATGTAGGTTCGTCGAGCCTCTGCCACATGAACTTGTCGGGAGTGCCGAGGTTGATGATGATGGGACGAACTGTCGTACAGCTGAGGAAATGCATAGTAGATTCTGTCCTGCATGCTCAATATATTTATGTGTAAAAATGTATATCTGCCATGGTACAGCGTAGGGAAGATAAGCATGGAGCATACCACCCCTTCTTATTTTTCCTCCTTTTTTTACCCCCTCCCCCCAGCACTTGCGAATAAATCAAACTGTAGTACTGTCCAAAAGTTGTATGTGGAAGACCCTCGTCTCTATTTTGATCATCGTTCAAAGCTGCAAAATTGGTTGAGCCTCATCCCATGTTTTATGCTACCCCAGTTTGAGGCATGGTCTGGTGGGAAGTTGCACCCTGAATGTGTTTCACGGCTTAGACCCTCCCGTGACTGCACTATGACCGCATGACTCTGGCCACGAACGCTGGTGCGCTCAATCATTAACCTCAACTCTTTCAACCACCACTAATCGAAGTGACCTTTCCGATTCTCACAATTGAACGTCTCACAAAAAGATAACTGCATTGTCTCTTTTTTGTCTCCAAGGTTTCAGTGTCTAATTTGAGACTTCATTGGCTGTGGGCACTTGCTCTATTAATTTGAATAGGCAAGAGAGAGGGAAGACATCTCATTTCAATTGACTTCCTATGAGAATATTGAGAATACAACACCACACAAGCAAGTCAAAATGAATTACGGTGAGTCTCTCTCTCTCTCTCTCTCAGTCTCTCTTATGCCTCTTTCTTGTATCTCTTTTGTGTGTGCACATATTGTTGCATGTCTACCATCACATACAAATGGCAAAGACACACGTCTCCACCGAAACTCATTCATGGCCCTCAACGTAAATTGAGCCATACGTGGTGACTGAACCGAACCCCCCATTCAGACGCCCTCCTCGACTCCGTCCTCGACAGCGGCTATCTCCCCCACGCTGTGATCCGCGCGGGCATTCGCCGTCAACTCCGCCAGCGCCTGGACGAAATCCGCTCCGACACCGCGGCCGCGGCCCTGCAGCGCAAGATGGACTACATCGAGACCTCGCGCGCACGGCCCATCGCTGTCGAGACGGCTACTGCTAACCAGCAGCACTACGAGGTCGGCACGGGTGTGTACCTGCAGACGCTGGGCCCGCGCGTCAAGTACTCGGCTTGTCTGTACCCTAAGGGAAGCGAAACTTTGGGTGAGGCCGAGGTTGCTATGTTGAGTGCTTATGTGGAACGTGGGGAGTTGCGGGATGGGATGGATATACTGGATCTGGGGTGAGTGTCTTATTTATTCTCTTTTTTTTTTTTCTTCCCTTTTTTTTTTTTTTTTTGGTCAGTGGGTCACTTCTTTTCCCTGTTACCCTCCCCATTTCTTTTCTTCTCTCTGTTTCTGCTCCGTAATTATCATATGTAGGAGAGAGAAGGCGAGGTTTCTGACGAGCAAAACTTATCAATACGAATTTACAGATGCGGCTGGGGCTCAGGCGCCCTCTTCTTCGCTGAGATGTTGCCCAACTCCAAGGTCACTGCGTTCTCAAACTCCAAGACGCAGAAGCAGTTTATTGATGCTAGAGCGGAGGAGAAGGGCTTGAAGAATCTGAAGGTCATCACGGGGAACGTGGTGGATTATGAATTCGAGCCTGAGAGCTTTGACCGAGTTGTTTCCATCGAGGTGGGTTCAAGATGATTCTCTGGCCGCTCCCTCCGTTTTTACATATCTCCACGCAGGCTAGTGTTGACAGACCCACCAGATGTTCGAGCACATGAAGAACCATGAAAAGCTCATGGCAAAAGTAGCCAGGGCGCTGAAGCCGGGCGGAAAGCTCTTCCTGCACATCTTCTGCCACAAGGATACCCCGTACGACTACGAGGAAGGCTGGATGACCACGCACTTCTTCACTGGGGGCACGATGCCATCTCTGGACTTGCTGCTATACCACCAGAAGGACCTCAAGATTGAGAAACAGTGGTGGGTAAACGGGATACACTATTCCAAGACCTGCGAGGTGAGCTGCCATTCCAAGCGTTGGAAGACAAATACGATGCAACATCGCGCGCTGACTTGATGTGAAGGATTGGCTCTCGACGATGATCAAGAACAAGAAGAAGCTGTGGCCACACCTCGTCGAGACGTATGGTGAGGAGAACGCCACCACGTGGTACAACAGGTGGCAGATCTTTTACATGGCTTGCTCTGAGCTGTTCGCATTCGAGGGCGGTGACATCTGGGGGGTCGGCCATTATCTTTTCCAGAAGCCTAGCTCATGATTGTCATTTCACACAAGACTGCGTCCTCAATAGGCTCCCCTTTCCTCATAGATTTAGATAGATGGTTTCCAGATTTTGACAAGTACTCTCAATTTCTCTAATCCTGCGACTTCGCCTGACCCATTCAAGGGTGTGCTCCGAAAACGAGCAGTATAACCGTAACGCCCAGGTTCTAATGACCATATGTATAAATCATGTTTTCATCTTGTTCCCTTCCTCGAAGATGATCGTCTAGTGGTCCCAAGGGTGCTTCTGGCCGAATAACACCGCTCCTATATATCAAGATGCGTCAGTAGGCAGCTTCAGTATTATGGTCGGGCTGGTCGCTGATCATCATTCGGGATAGGTAGCTACGGACCGTCCTTCTTCATGCGGTACATGACCTGTGGTAGAGAAAAACACAGAGAGAGTCAGCAAGGGCAAGTCTTTCGAGCCAATTGGAGGGGGAAGGGGGATGGGCAAGGGCGACGACATACGAAAAACCACATGGTCGCGCCCAGGCCTGTCGCGAGGAAGCGGTAGGAAGGCGGGACGTTTGGCCTGAAGGTAGAAGGAAGGCCCTTGGGAGGTTGAGGAGCCATGTTGTATTGCGATGACGGTTCTGGTGGTGGTGAGGGGTGTCGCGCTCGGGAGTTGGGAGTCTTGGAGGGGGCTTTGGTTCGGCTTGTTTGTCGACCTCGGGAGAATTGAATGTATGTCATGAAGTCGGGAGTGGAGGCTCTTGATGCAAAAGCTCCACTGTGTGTGCTGCCGCTGCAGTGCCTATGCCGGGGTGTTGGTCTGTGCACCGACCCCTACCACGGATTGGATGGTACCAAGTACTTCTGACCCCTGCCATCCACTCCAAAACTACCAGCAAGCAAGTGACGGCGCGCACCAGAGGGGAACTTTCCAACCATCTAAACGCTCCAATTTCAACAATCACTTTTTTCTCTTTCCTTGTTTATGGTCGCCGTTTCTTGTAATCTTTCCTTCCAAGCACAGAATACGGCAAGAGAAGGTTCAAAACTAAATAATTAGAGGCATAGTCCAAACGCTGCCTTGTCCCTCACATGGTTTACCCTCCCTGGCTTCCAAGACCTCTTAAATCCAAACACAAGACTTTGGGTACCGAAAAGCTGAAGCCTCAACCTGAACTCTCACCTTACCATCGCCACCCCACCACCGTCCTCCCAACACTGGCTGGCGCACGACACGGCTACGAGACACTGAACTCAGCAACGAAGACCCCGAAGCGGCCTCGCCCACCACGATGAGCGCATCATCCTTCGGTGCCGGCGCGACCGCCTCGCCGTACGCCTTCGCCGTCCAGCACCAGCGCCCCAAAAACAGTTTTTCGGGATGCTCTCGCATCGGCGACTACGAGCTCCTGGGAAAGCTGGGCGAGGGAACGTTTGGTGAGGTCCACCGCGCCAGGTCCAAGAAAACGGGTGCCGTTGTCGCGTTGAAGAAAATCATCATGCACAACGAAAAAGATGGGGTAAGTTCGACGAGGAAGAACCACTACGAGAGCAATCATGGGCGCATTCTTGCGCTGGGGGTGCGCCGCCACTGACGTGCAATGGTTCAGTTCCCCATCACGGCCCTGCGAGAGATCAAGCTCCTCAAGCTGCTGTCGCATAAGAACGTCCTCAAGATGGAAGACATGGCGGTGGAGCATCCACCAAGGAGCAGTGGGTTCAGGTCCTCCTCCTCAGAAGGCACGGCAGTGATGTACTGACAGTGTGTCTTTTAGCCGACAAGCGTAAGAAGCCTATCATCTACATGGCCACGCCGTACATGGACCACGACCTCTCGGGTCTTCTCGACAACCCCACCATTAGATTTACCGAACCACAGATCAAGTGCTACCTGCAGCAACTTCTCGAGGGTCTCAAGTACCTCCACGAGAACAAGATTCTACACCGAGATATGAAAGCGGCCAATCTTCTCATCAGCAACAAGGGTATTCTCCAGATTGCAGACTTTGGTCTGGCGAGGCTGTATGATGAGCCGCCACCCAAGAAGGGCTGCGGAGGTGGCGACGGCAGACGCGACTACACTAGTCTCGTGGTCACGCGCTGGTACAGACCTCCTGAGCTGCTTCTTCACCTCAAGAAGTATACCACTGCTATCGACATGTGGGGCGTTGGGTATGTGACTCCAACCCTAAGAATTTACTGTGATCTACTGCTCACCACGGTTCAATAGTTGCGTTTTCGGAGAGATGCTCTGGGGCAAACCGATCTTGGCTGGTGAGAGCGACGGCCACCAACTAGAGATCATCTTCGATCTGTGCGGAACTCCCACGGACGAGAATATGCCTGGCTGGAGGCAACTTCCAGGCGCAGAAGGCATCAAACCGAGACCGCGGCCCGGCGACCTGAACCATCGCTTTGGCAAGTGAGTAGTGATCCGGCCAGAATGCACCATTACCAGATGGGGGCGCGACTAACCCAGATGCTAGATATGGGGCAGGGGCTGTGTCTCTTCTCAAGCAGCTGCTTCGTCTTGATTGGAAGAAGCGCGTCAATGCGATCGATGCGCTCGAGCATCCTTACCTTCATACTGCTCCGCTCCCTGCTAAGCCAGGCGATCTGCCCACCATGGAGGAAAGCCACGAACTCGACCGCAGAAAGTTCCACGACAGGAAGGCCGCGCTACCTCCTGCTCCTAAAGGTGGCACCGTGGGGCGCGGACCTCAACACGGAACCGGTGGTCCGGATGCTGCGTTCAACAGCGGCGACGGATTCGGAGGACGCAACGGCATGAATGGCGGTCGATACCCCCAGTCATCGCAAAGAAATGGGCCGTTTCCTGGCGAGAGAATGCCAGCCTGGTCTAGAGCACCTCATGGACTGCCTCCACGGCCACCCCCACCCATTGAGAATTATGGGAGTGGGCACAGAGAGAGAGACCGCCCTCCTCGCAGCAATAGAGCTGTGGGTGGTGGTACTGGTGTTGGTGGTGGGAGGAGCGATGTAGATGGTTATGCTCGCGGTGGAAGGAATGATACCGACACGTATATTCCCAGTTACGCGCCGGAACGTTCGGATAGATACGAGCAAGACCATCGACGTCGAGACCGAGGAGACTCGCGCCGAACACGAAGTCGGTCGCCAGTTGGGTCACGAGTGGCGGAACGGGGAGAGCGCGACCATAGAGACCGTAGGTAGGATCACGGTCATCGCGGTCATAGCTACTACTGGACACCACCACTGCCACCTCCACCTTCTTTACAACTCCGACATGACAGCCAGGAGCGGGTCCGGTACGACACCGGATGGCAATCACGTCGCAACCCCATTGCGTACAGTTACGACGAAAGCCCTTACCTGAGCATCCCGTCGCGTCAACCTGGCTTCTTTGAAATCAGCCATAACCTTTCTTACGATGATGCCGGTCCTGATCATCTTCAGGATTCATACATTCAAGAACAGCATTTGAGTAATGCTGACCACGGCTCCATGTATGACGAGCCGAGCAATGGCACATGAGGTTCTGCCCTCGCGAACAGAGCTCATGTGTCAAACCCAGGCTTGAGAGGGCTTCCACCTGGGCATATTCGGCAAAATGGGGAAAGTTCACCACAGATAGAGCATCCACAGGCGTTTTATGGATTTTAGAAAAGGGGGAAGAGAATGCACTCACCAAGAGGATTAGTACCAGCGTCTGCGTTTGGAGTTAGGCTGTTTGTGCTCGTCCGGTAGAGACAGCTTGGCTTTGTTTTCTTGTTATTCCGGCTGGTCATACTGATGGACGGGCAGGCAGGCTAGAACCTTGGAAGGGTAAGAGGAGAGGGATAAGAGCAGGAAGCTATTCTGATGCATCCAAAGCTACGAGATTATCAATTACTAAGTTTTCACACTGGTCCTTCTTGTATATTATGTGTGTAATATCCAATCTTACCTGGGCTACTTCAGTGCTTACGTATATACCTGGTTCAAATATTGCTTTGACATGAATGCGTAGAAATAAATGTCAAGAATAGGACGAATCTAGTAACATTAAACACAGGATGCCAGACAAAGAGAGTAGAATTAATGATTGAGAATTTTACGGTGGCAAGGGAGTTATTCAACTTGGCTTACCAGACAGCGTGTATCTTTAACCAAGTGCAACAGCACTACAGGCATATTTGGTGTTGATGGGGGAAATCTATTGAAAGAAAGCCAATTTCAGCTCTAATACTCACAGAATTAGAGCGTTGTTACAAAGCACTGCGTATGATTAGTAAGGGTATGTCAAATCATAGTAGACGAGAAGGCTTGAAGTAGGTCTGGTCTGTCTAAATACACATGTGCTTGGAGAAGTTGGCTAAGTATCAATGAGAGCATAGTTAAGTTGTAAGGCTCTGGACAAATATTCCATTCTGCACTTCATTATATCAGCATTGTTGACAAGTATGTTTACATAAGGCTCTGCTCGTGACAAGCAGTGATGTCGTTCAAGGCTCTCATCTGTTTTTGTTGATGAGAGGGACTGCAACCATCAAAGAGAACCAAGCCAAGCTTGTAGTCAAGGCCTGCGTCAGTCAGCAGTCATCTCTGCTGTTTCCCATGAGTATTTATAAGGCAGCCTGCAATGCACATTATCCGCATGGGATTACTGCTCATTCATAAGACGACTGCGCACCACATTCCAACAACCCCTACATTCTGCTATTTCCGACTCGCCACCAGCCTGGTGCGCACAGCAAGAGCCCGGGCCAACATGCATTCATTAAATCTGGAACCGCTGGTTCCTCACAGTTGTGACGGTTGGCAGGTCAGTTCTTCTGCCCATTGGCCGACATGTGAGCCGTGCTGCAGGTGAGTCCCACGTCTCAGCCTTTGACAACGAAGAGGCGCAGCTGCAGGTTGCCGAACCGGTCAGCGCGGACGAGGGCGGTTGTCCATTTTTTAAATGATCAGAAGAGGCTGGACTTTCTTCTCGCCTTCATAAATGAGCCATAGTCTTCCAACCCCCCCGGAAAATTGAGGTGCTGGAAAACTTTCTTTAGTTAAGCCAACTGGAATGTCCAGGGTGACTGAACACTTCTTCACCATACTCAGTCCAAACTCTTGAGAAGTTCCGACTATCTGTTAACTATTTAGAATCCCAACGAACGGACCGCTGCCAGCTAGCAACATTGAACATTGAACAAGCCCTCATCACCCTTTTCCAATCATCAAATCCAGATTTACATCACCCAGCACTTTCCTTCTTTCTTTCTTTCCTTCCTACCTCTAAGTACTTACCAACCTGAGACCATGCCGTCCATCGCCCTGCTGTTCGCCGACCCCTCGCCCATGCTCGCCCGCGGCATAGCAGACATATTCCACAGCTGCTGCAGCGTGCCCGACGCCGGCCAGCCGCTCGCAGAGTACTGGGCCAACTTCACGGCCTGGCTGTCCCAACCACGTAAGTCTTGAGTAGTAACCTTGCCGTCCAAGTGAGAAGAGGCGTCAAAACAGAGTTCCAAGCTCGGGGCCGAGGGAGAGAAAGAAGACGAAGTAAAGCTAAGAATTTCCATCAGATATTCTTGCCGTCGTTATAGCTTGGGCTGTCACATTCACGTTGACCTGCACAATCATCATGTGCCTCGGCTTCGGCCCTGTCGGGATCATTGCAGGTAAGGTCTCCCCTAGGCTACCTCAGCGGCATCTTGCCCTTGACATGCTGCTAATTTGTTTTTCTTTCTTTCTGAACAAGGATCCGCTGCGGCTGCTTTCCAGTCTTTCATGTATGGCGGCTTCACGCCTGCAGGGGGTCTCTTTGCTACACTGACGAGCATGGCCATGGTAGGCACGCTCATGCCGTGGCTCGCGGCCATTGCGTCGGTACTGGCGACTTTTGTGTCGGCCATGGTCTGGGTCTATGGGGTGGGGAGATAGGGTGTGTACTTATTAAGAGACCCGATGCGAAGAAGACGTGATGGCAAGATCGGACAAGACATGGCTGCGTTGATGGTTTTTCCTCTCTTTCTTTCTGTTCTGACCAACGAGGACTCTGTGGCAGGAACTGGTTGCATTCCAGAGGGGTGCAGGGACACAGAGTACCACCAAGGCCATCAAACTACTCGGAGCCTTCAAAGTGAATCATCCTCCTCCTCCAAGATCGTGCTGAACCGTGCCAGACCCGAGCCCCCGCCGCCCAGACCCGAAGCCGATCTCCGCTTTCGCTTTGTGTTGGGGCTGTCCCGCCACCCTCCTCCTCCTCCTGCGCTCTGCAAAGCGGCAATCAGTTGATCCGACTCGGGCTCGGAGCTTATGCCGGCCAGGAGAGCGTCGAAATCCTTCCGCTCGCTTACGGGCGTGACGGGCTGAGAATTGTGAGACTTTTCGGAAAGGGAGAGCTGAGTGCTCTGCGCCGAGGGTCCCGCGGAGTAGAAGCGCGAGCGCGACTTCCTGCTGGTCTCATCGTCGTTGTCGAGCCCGAGGAGTGTGAAGGTCGAGTAGGTAGTGAGCCTGAAGAAAACGCCGACGGCGATGCCTATGAAGGCGGCAGAGCCGAACTGTGGCCGAGAATGGATAGTGAGCATAAAAGGGTCTAGTGTCAGGTGTGGCGGTTGGAGGCTTGCGGGCTCATTCCTCAGGTCAACATACGTATATGTACAGAGGCTAGTTGAGATGTTAGCAGCGAGTTCCCACAGCAGGAAAAAACAATGGAATTCTGGACGACGACGATGATGGTGATGATGATTGATTGATCTCACCTCTAATCTGGGAAAGTTACGCGTGATTACAAAAATCGGTGAGAGAAGAAATCTTGGGAAAGTATAAATGTGTCAGACACTCAGTCACAACCGCCGCAAGCACATCTGGCCAGCGTTCCCCCTCCGATTCCTTCATAGGGCTGCTCTCACCGAACGGTATATATCACAGGAGCAAAGACAAAGAGCAGGGCATGCAAAAGGACGCCGAATGGCCATGCCACGAGTCGCAGGCTGTAGAGCGCGGCGCTGAAGGTAGAGAAAAATATCCATTGTAAACTGTAGAAGACGAAGAACAGAGACGCAGTGGCCAGGTCCAGCCACACCGCCATCGTGAATCTGTTGCTGGCGGTGTTGGTGGTGTTGTTATTGTAAAACGAGACGAAGGCAAGCTCATGTAATTTATGAGTTGTACAGCTTACAATCCCTGTCGATCCAATCGAAGCCCAGTCGAATGACGTCGCAGGGGAATCCCGTGGAGGACCCCTACTCCACCTGCCTCTTACATAATCCAGGCAATTGGTGGGGGGTTTGGACAGAGCTTGGGCCACTCACAGGTAGGTGCCCAGGTCTCTATAGCCCCTCCTTCAGGGCCAGAGACGGCGTTTCGAGAGTCAAACTCAGCTCGATCCAATACAGTTTCGCCCACCATCTTTGAGGAATTCACCTCGAGACACCTCGAAGTTCGAAACCAACCTAGTATCAGCGTTTTCAAATCAGTGCATCCCTGATCTGGTGTGCTCTTTGTATATCTGAGTTCCAAGCGCGTACTATAGTTACCGCATTTTCTAGGCTATCTTGTGGAGATCGGAATCTCTGACCAAGGGTGTAATCATTAATTCTTCCGTCGGCTACCAAATCTCGTCTCTTAACCACCTTCCCCCTTCAATCTGTATGGCCTCTCTCAGCCTGATCAACTCAATTCATACTTTCTTACCTGGTACATTTCTTGCATCCACCACCCCACTGACCTGTCAAAACCCCATATTTTAGACGCCGTCAGTAACCTTGCCCTGCTTGGAGCCGACCTTCCATCATACGTGGGGGTCCCAAGCAAACCGTCGTACCTTGGGAGTTGTCGGGCTGAGGGGCAGCTTGCATACCATGGTACGGGTCCCTTTTGGTCGCTGCAATAACAAGTGCTCCTCGTCAAATCAGCTGTGGGCCGACCAGGGCTGCCAGTACAGATCCCAACAACTCATCCATCATCCACCACAGCCGAATTGACGACCTCTCGAGCCTTGGGCGCTGATCGTGGCCCCCACCCCCTGTCGGACAGAGCACGACCTGCCTCAGCTGACCCGTCGAGACATGAGCTAAATCTCGTCACCTGATCCAGCTCCCGCCTGTTATCGCCGTTTGTCTTTTCTTATTCTCGACCGGCCCCCTGCCGCCTCCCTCGTCCCCCCTCGACCGAGATGGGCAACCAACCAACTAAGGAGAGTGGGGGTTCGACTCCGGGCTCACGCTCGGGCTCAGGCCGCGAGCACCACCAGTTCCCGAGACACCAAACTTCGTCATCGTCCTCCTCCTCCTCGCCCTCGCACCAGAAGAACAACACCACGAGTACACGAGCCCCCATCGGCGTGCATAACCATAGGGCTGCCGCGCCGGCCCAGGCCTCCCTCGCCCAGGCCCATGGCTCCACAGATATCAAGAACTCCCAGGCCCTCCCCATCACCTCTCTAGCCGCCTCGCCCGTCGGCTCGACCAAGTCTGCCCTGGGCGGCGCTGCGGCACCTCCCAGACCGCCAGAACAGAAGCAGCCCACGCCCCCCGTGCCCGTGCCCGTGCCCTCGAGGGAGGGATCCGTGCCAGAGCCAGAGCCAGAGCCCGAGGTCGAGCCGACAAAGCCTGTCGATGTTCCCAACTCGACCCACGCGACCGCCGCAGGAGGCACCATACCAGCAACCGCCCCCGCCGGCCAGACGTCGCCGCTGTCACCCTTCGACTCGAGCGAGGTCGGCCTCCAGAGCCATGGGAGCATGTCCAACATGTCTTTCATATCGCGGCCCCCAAGGATGCCGCTGCCGATCGAGGAGGAGGTACATACACCCGGATCGCCGATCATCGCGCCTGCGGACATCGGCGAGCCTGTGGATGCCGTCGATCTGGACAGTGATGGGAACATAGGAAGAAAGTCCTCGACCCTGAGCACCACCACCATAGACGAGGAAGATGCCGAGGAGCTGCGTGTGGACAAGACCAGGCCGACCGTGGCTACACGGCTCGAGTGGCGGCGCGGAGGCGAGAGGGTCTACGTGACTGGTACCATATTTCATTGGAACCGAAAGCAGAGGCTCCATCCAGTGTAAGTTTTCTCCTTGGTGGCCGGTGGGGGCGGTTGTGGTCGCGCAGTGTTTTTCAGAAACACAACTTGGCACAAAAACCTGGCCTGGCTCAGCCGTTGTCCCAATATCATCACCAGTGCTTATTGGAAGACATGCTCACGCAGGCTCATGTAGGGAGGGACAAGATGGTGTCTTCGCCACGACGATCCAGGTCTTGCCTGGCACGCATCACATTCGCTTCCTGGTGGACAACAACATGCAGACCTCGCCCGACCTGCCCACAACGGTAGACTTTGGCAACAACCTGGTCAACTACATTGAGGTCAGCCCGGAAGACGTGGTCGCAGCTCGCCGACAAGCAGCGGCAGACGCAGCAGCAGCAGCAATCGCCGCCGCCACGCCCCAGCCGGAGACGCCAGCGGAGGAGAAGGAGAAGGCGGTGGAGGAGCCGGCTGCGGTGGAGCAGGCGCGGAAGGACAAGCAATTGCCGCCGGCCGAAGCCTTCTCGCGGATATACCCACAGTATCTTCTCGACTACGACGAGCCCGAGGACTCTCCCGTGGCACAGGCCGCTGCTGCAGCCATCGAGAAGCTGGACACGCCGCCTAGCCTGCCGGGCTTCCTTGCGAAGCCGATCCTGAACTCTGCCACGTTGATGAAGGATGATAACAGTGTCCTGAACATGCCAAACCACACCACGCTCAACCACTTGGCTACAAGCAGCATCAAGAATGGCACGCTCGCAGTGTCGGCGACTACGAGGTATAGGGACAAGGTAGGCCATCCCATCCGTTGCACGCATCCAGGACCAAACTCTCATCACAAAGACTGACCTGTTCGAGCAGTATGTCACCACGATCATGTATAAACCGGTCCCGAACCAGTCTTGAGCCTTCTCAAGATCCCAGATTCGGAGCGATAGGCCCCATTGTTTTTTCATTGGACGGAGTTGGGAAGAAATGGACGTTAGGCAGACCGGAATTGTCATGGTGGCTCACTGGAACAGGCCTGGGATTTGTCTAACTACCTCTCTGGCTTACGAAAAGGGAGGAAAGTTTCAATGGTTCATATCCATCTCGGATGTCGATCTGTGTTTTCATGATGGAAGAAATTTGCATGAACCACAGTTAATACATGACTTTTCATCCTGATGATCGCCTTGACTACTATCACAAGTTCTTCCCTATCTTGAGGGAGATTTTTTTTTTTTTTTTTTTTTTCGAGGAAGGTTATATGTCGCCTAAGAGGCCTGGTTAGATTCCTTAGAAGCAGCAAGTCTTGCGGGTACCACTTTGGTCTGTCATGGTAGAATTGTTTCTGTACACAAAAGGGCTCTCAATCTCTCCACTTTACGTGAACCTCGTCCGTTCGGAATCGCTGCGTGACGGTGCTGTCCTTCAGGGGGGTCCTGAATCCACTCTCATAGGCCAACAGCCCAGCATGCGCAATCATGATGCCGTTGTCAATGCAGAACCTCTCATCAGTCGCAAACACACTCCCGCCCCGGTCCCTCGCCATCGCACCCATCATCTCCTGCAACCTCACGTTGGAGCCTACACCTCCGACGATCAACACCTGGTCGCTCCTCACATGGGCCATGGCCCGCTCCGTGATCTCCACCAGCATCGCGTAGACTGTCTCCTGCAGGCTGAAGCAGAGGTCCTCCTTGGTGATGTCGACCTCGTCCCCGTCGGCCGTGACGACCTTCTTCCCCGCGACCATCTGCGCGGCAAGGTCGTCGGCGCGCGCCAGGATCCCGCTGAACGAGCAGTCCATCCCCTTCACCGCGTACGGCAGGTCGTGCAGCACCCGCCCGGACGCCTTCTTGGCGAGCTGCTCAATGTTGTACCCGGGCGCCGGGTCGTTGGGGATCATGATGGTGCGCGCGAAGCGGTCGAGGCAGTTGCCGACGGCGATGTCCAGGGTCTCGCCAAAGATGCGGTACCGCTGCTCGGCGTACGCGATGACCTGGCTGTTGCCGCCAGAAACATACAGTACGACTGGGTTGTGCGCGCCCGTGATGGACCGGCCCATCTCGATGTGGCCCACGCAGTGGTTGACTCCGACGAGGGCGTTAGCAGCGTCGTCGTCGTCGTCATCGTCGTTGTCCACCTTGCCCCACAGAAGCGCCAGGGTGCGCGCCGCCACCGCGACCGACGTCAGCGGGCCGCCCATCCCGGGGCCCTTGGTGTAGGCGATGCAGTCGATCTCGTCGCGCGGGTTGCGCACTCCAGCCACGCGGAGGGCCTCGAGGGCAACGTCGCAAAAGTGCGCCCGGTGGTGCGCCGCCGTGTCCTTGGGGAGAAAGCCCGTGCCGGGCGGGCTGTTGTAGGTGTGTCGTACGTTGGAGAGGACCTGTGCGCCATCCTGCTGGGCTTTGTCTCTTGGGTGGTCTCTTTTGTTGTTGGTGGTGGGATGGGGAGTGAAGGATGAGGTGTCGGGGGCTGGGTGTGAGATTATGCCTATGCCGAGCTTGTTGGCGGAGCCCTCGCAGCCTAGGGCGAGGAGCCGTCGTTTCTTGGGAGGATGGTTGGTCAAGGCTGACATATTTGATGGCTGTGCGGGTGGTGTCTAGGTCTGGACGGGGGGAGAAGAGAACGTCGGAAGATGAGCCCGAATCGAGAGCCGTTTCTGGCGGCGATGATGGTGAGCCTGGAAAGCCTTTGCTTTTTCTTCTTCTTTCCTTTTTGCTACAAAACACTAAAGGGCTAGAGCTCCCAGCCAGATGAGACGATTTGGTCTCACAATGAAAATGTGACCCTGGCAGGTATCAAGGGAAGAAGAAAAAATTGTAGTTGGATTGTTGTTAATATAGACTTCATAGGGCCAGCGCGCAGTGTGCAGAAGTGTAGATGAGGTCAGGAATCTCTATTGACTTGAGGAGCCTCTACCCGAAGTGGGGGAGGGGTTACTGTGCTTATCGATAATGCCTGCTAAGACATAGTAAGTACTCTGTAGATCTGTAGCCCTCATTCAAGGGTCCAGCACAGTGACATTTGAGCCGTGTGTCAGAGAAAGAAAGGCAGCTGAACTCCAGATTGTGCAAGGTGTGCTTATCTCCTCCCTGTCCTCATCCATTCTGAGGCAGATACCATCCTTCTTATTAGATACTCGGGTTTTGGGTTGTTTTTTTTTTTTTTTTTGGCCCTACACGGAATCTATTCTCAGGGTGTAGCAATAGTATTTCAGTTACTCTTTTCTCTTCACTCACCCAAGTCGCCAAGGCTAAGTCAGTGAAGGACTGGTGGCCTAGCCCCATCCAGCTTACATAAGTCACGGACCTAATCCACCCAACTCGAAATTCGATGTGAGCCCCACAAAACCCCCATCCGTCATCTGTCTATTAATCAATCCCCTTGTACCTTGTCATCACTACCCTCCTCTCTGACCACAATCCTTTCTCTTGTCCATATCCACAAAATATTCCTCTAACTCCTTTTCCTTTTTTCTTTCCCTTGTCTCAAACCTTTTTGAGATCTTTGTGTCGGAATGTCCTCGCTTTCTCTGAAAGCGGGGGTGCCTGCATTTCAGACTTGTTTCGCCAGGCCCTTGTGGACAGCGCGTCGCTCTTCGGAGTCAAGCTGAATGTCTCGGCCTTCGAGATGATGCACTCAAGCGCTCTCTCTGAGGGGCCAGAGTCTTGGCCATCTGGCGACGAGGCTCGACATCCTTTGGTACAGACTTGAAGGGAAAACCATTCTGATGGGCTGAGATGATGCAAGCTCCTCTATGTGCAAGAATACTGCGCCGCGCAGCACAGCAGCAACAGCGCCACGAGGGATCGAGGTAAGTCCACCGCCGAGGCCCCGGACTCCGAGACCACGAGACTGACCGCTCTAGAGGACACAGGCTTCCAACCCAACAAGACCGTATCGAAGAAGATCCGCAGTCACGAATCTCCTTGGGAAAACGAAGGAGAGGACAGTATTGTCATCATGAGCCAGACCACCACAAGGGGGTCTCGTATACCATTCTGCTACCTGGTACCTGGTAAGCCTCACTCCGCCCATTCCAAGTTTCCGCAGCTTGTCTGCTTGCGGAGTTCCCATCACTCTTAACGCAACCCCGCATCTATGTCCAGTTGTTGATGTCTACTTTGTACACTTTCGTTTTACAGTCATCCGCCGTTGTCCCAGTCCATACCGTTCAAAGTCCACACCAACGCCAACGCTCTTCCGTTTTAATAAAAAAAAAAAGGGGGGGGGGGAGGGGAGGTAATACAAAGTCTGTGAAAAACAGACTACAAGACATGTCGATACTCCAGCTACCGATATGACTAGCTCTCCTGTCACTGTGTAGCTGTCACCGGTCTAGCCGCACCCTGCTGCTGCGGCCCGCTGCCACTAGCTGCAGCCTGTGCGGCAGCTTGCGCCTCGAGCTGGGCATGAAGCAGTGCCTGTGGCCTCTGCTGCTGCCGCCTGGTGTCACCAAACGTCAAGGGTATGGTGGCCCGGAATCTGATACTGCGAGTATCAAACTGATCGACCTCATAGATGGGCTGCTCATCTTCGCTGTCATCCTGATCATACTTCCACTGGTCGGATGCCTGGCCAAGCGGGTAATGGTCATCTTTCGAGATCTTTTTCGCCACGGTCCGCCTGTCGATCCACAACCGATTCAAGCGTCCATAACGGCGACGAAACGCAACTTTGGGAGGATCGTTTTCGTCTATTAAAGCGCCCTGGAACTGGAAGACTGCTGACGGTGTGGGTTCGTCGAGATCCATCGGCGTTGGCTCTTCCAAGTCCTCGTGGGACGCGCTGCTAGTCGGTGGCGTCAACAGATACTGGGCCTGTGCTGTCCTAAAGGATGACTGGTGTGATGGGCTCCGAACTGGAGGCAAGGGACCCTTGGTAAGATCCACGTGGTTTCTGTTCCAGTTGTGATGGTTCTGGATCTTGAGTATGATGTCTCTCCTGAGCTCCTCATCATGCTGCGCCTTCTCTGCCGCTAGAGGTGCTAGATCCATCTCAAAAGCCTGGCTCGATGGACGTGGCTGTCCGAGGCGCACGGCACCACCAGCGGCCGCCGCTCTCTGTGCGGACGACGCCTCGGGGGCCTTCCTTTTACTGACCTGTTGCTCCTCCTGGATGGACACACCATGATTAGTGGGGGAGACACTATGATACACCAGGCTTTCTCTTCTTGCTCAATACTGCTTACCTTGAGAGGCCACAGATCATTCTCGTTAGTCTTGATGCCCAGGCGAACCTTGAGCTGCTTCAGATTCTCTCGCGTCTCGTACACCGCTCTATCGTACTGGAGCAGATCTCGCTTGTTGAGCTCCCTCTCATACGACTGCAGGATGAGTTGACGGCCATCCTCTAGCTCTCTGCGCAGCCGCTTGAGCTTGTCGGCGCTCTGCACATCTCGAGCTCGGGTCTTGCGAGTCTGGCGAACTTCTCTGCGCCTGAAGCAAACGTAGGGATCCATGTCGTCACTATCTTGATGGGTCTCGAACTTCAGCGTTGGGTTCAGGGGACCATTGCCGCGAGCCTGTCTGCGCTGCTTCCAATACTCATACAGCTCCTTGGCATGGGGCATCACCTTGGCGGCGTCAAGGTTGTTGAGACCGGGAACCATTTCGCTGTATGGCGCAATCGACTTGTCGACGGCGGCGAACGGCGTGGAGAACGACGCCGTCTCCTCAAAAACCTCCATAACGCCCTCGAAGTCATCTTCGGAGAGTTGCTGAGCGGGAGGCCGCTTTGCATTGTACACTTTGAGAAACTCGTCATCCTCCTCGGTCATATCGTACATGCAACCGATACATTCTTCGACAGTTTGTGAAGAACGAATGTACGTAACGGGATCCTGATACCGGCGACTGTACAACTCGTCATAGTTGATGTCGCTCTCCTGCGGTGGAGGAACCGGGATCTCATTGTCTGCTTTTGATCCAGTAGTTCTGAGGAGTTGTTGCAGATGATATTCCTGCGAAGGGATGTTAATATGATACCGCGCCAGTAAGACAAGGCTGCAGGGCTACAGGGCTGTCCAAAAGAGGGATAAAGCAGGTAAGAGTGATGAGGTAAGTGCAGACTTTCAGGGGGTGATCACGTGAAATACACGTGACTTAGGTACGTACATTCTCCTCGCCTTGTTCGACACCTGTGGCAATCGAAAGCTCCTGCACCAGAGAGTGATACTCGGTCGCATCGATTTCATCCTCGGTAAGGACGTCGAGAGGCTGTTTGGGGTTGAGTTTCTTGACGCGGACCTTTCGGGTGGCCATGATGACACGTTGAGTGAATTGCAGTGGAGAGCCACTGCAAAACAGGCGGGGCGGGGTTCTGTTGGGAGAAGGGGGCTGCAAGCGCGAGACGAGAGGGGGGGATGAAGAGATGCGGGAAAAAAGGCCCAACGGTGGCGGAAAACCGCACAAAAAAAAGCCTATCTCATGGAATCAACCATGCGAATCCGGGTTCTCGACTTTTTTTGATGCGATTCCGACCTCTTGGTGGTGTTTTGGATGGTCGAATGCTGCGACTGTTTGTCCGTTACCCTGGAGTGAAGGGCCCGCGCGGGTTGCACCTGGCAGAGTTTTTCGCTCTGTTGTTTTGGCACTGACGGGCGACTGCTGACGCTCCCACGCTAGCCTGGCAACCCTCGGCCTGGTTTGGGGTGCTTGCGGCCTGGTTTTAGGGGGTTGTTTACAGGGGGGGCGGGGTTCTGGTTTTCGTTGGCTACCGCTGAAATGTAAAATAACGGACGCGAACGGCGGCGTCTCTCGAATACGGCACAGTGGGTGTGTGGGCACTGGGGCAATCCCCTAACAAGTGACTTAGGTAAGCTGATCACCACGACGGCACGGGCAACTTCGAGTCTAGCGCTTTCCTGGGTTGCAGTGGTCAATTTTACTTGCAGACCAAAATGGCTGGCTATGTGTGGCAGTTGGAATCGCAATGCTGGAGATGGATGCACCTCATTCCACTCTCTGTGTGTGCTTAAGTAGTTGCCTTGCATTTATTGTCATTTTCTTCTTCTTTCTGTCTTCATTGTATCATAGAAACTGTGTGCTGAATGGTCATTATGTACAACTTATTATTCCCTCCCGAAAGCCCAGGACAGTGCCAGTGCAAAGTAGTAGATTGTTCGAGGATCTGCGTAAGGTATCTTGGCCTGCGCAGGTGCTAAAGGATCCGGGGGTTGATCTTTGCTTATCTTGAAGCTTCCCAAACCAAACTTTCTTCAGGATGACCAAACTTTCATTCCTACTATACTAAAGGCTTATCCTAATCTTCGACTCCTGCTGGAATCCTGTACAAATCTCATCGGCCAGGCAGAATCCAGATATCCTCAGCATGCCAAGTCCACTTCCAAGTATGGAGAGTAGTGGGGAGGTATTGGCTTCAAGCCTTTTTCTCTCAGGACAATCCTGCATGAAGACGTAATCAGACATATATTTGATGCACATTATCATTTCTCAGAATCAAGAAAGAAAGAAAAAAGGTACTCTGGGAATTGGAATGTACAACCAGGACTTTTTCCACTTCCAGACTTAATAAGCAAGCTTACCTGGGCCTGCTCGTTGCACATTATTGGCCTAGCGTATAACCTCCCCCTCCCCCTTTCCCCAGCTCTTCTGATAAGGCGTGATAACAAGTTGCTGTCCCTCCTTGAGCACAAGAAACGAGCCGAGCCGCAACAGCGCTCCTGAACAAGTTAACACCAGTCACCAGCGGTGCACGTTCGCATTCACATCCGTTCCCTACCTGACCTCAGTTCCGCTCTCTCTCTCAAGACTATCGACGACCAGTTGTCGAAAGGACGAGCAAAAAGATCTTCAACATCTTTCTATCTCTCTCGGAACCAGACCTCCCATCCTTGGGTCCTGCTGACGGTGCTGCCTACCGCCGCCCACCTCCACCACTAGACAGCTTCCGCTGCTGTTCGCTGGGCCAAGCTGACCCTCTCCTCTCCCGAGAGAAGCCTCCTCCGAGAAACGATACACGATACACACTACCGCGCCCAGTATATTCAAGATGGGAAACGCTCCTAGTTCTGTCATGAACAGCTTGGTCGAGGGCTCCAACTGTACGTACAAGCGCGGGCGCACCGGGCGAGCATGAGAAATAAGATTTAGAGGACAGAGGCGCAATGGTCTGCTGACGAGGGAGGATGGGCGTATAGTCAATCGCGATGAGGTCGATCGTCTGCGCAAACGGTTCATGAAGCTCGACAAGGTTCGTACCCTTACCGGTTCTGCCCCATGTGGGCCGACACGAGTGTTGTCCTTTCAGTTGTTGAGAAAAGAGTATATGGGATTGACGGGTTATATATACAGGACAACTCCGGTACCATCGAGCGCGAGGAATTCCTCAGCCTGCCTCAGATCAGCTCCAACCCTCTGGCCACCCGGTATGTTACAATCCCAACATGCTAGGACACAGTTCCTCTGAAAAGAGAGTGATGAAGAGGAAACACGCCTCCCCCCCCCCTTTCCATACACACGTTTACTGGAAGAGCCATGTCAACTGACCAGCCTCGCAACGGCAGCATGATCGCCATCTTCGACGAGGATGGCGGTGGCAACGTTGACTTCCAGGAGTTCGTGTCGGGTCTTTCCGCCTTTAGCTCCAAGGGCAACAAGGACCAAAAGCTCGAGTTCCTCTTCAAGGTCTATGACATCGACCGCGACGGCTTCATCTCCAATGGCGAGCTATTTATCGTCCTCAAGATGATGGTCGGCTCCAACCTCAAGGACCAGCAGCTGCAGCAGATTGTCGACAAGACTATCATGGAGGCTGACCTCGACAAGGACGGCAAGATCTCCTTCGATGAGTTCAAGAAGATGGTCGAGGATACCGATATCAGCATGAGCATGACACTGGGTACGTGCTACTCCTATTTCACGTCTTGGCGCAGCTTGGAGGGTTCTGTCCCTCTTTATATAAGGGGTCTCTACGTGCTAACAATTGTATCTTGTTGGGATCACAGACCAATTCTAGGTGTCGTGCCCGTTGCGACGATGATGCTTATATATTCACAACGAGTTTTTAGCTTGTTACGACTCCCTGGCATGGCACGTTGTCCAGAGGGACTGCGCGTGCTAGGGTTGGGACCGGCTCCCTCAGTCTTTCCCAAACGAACAGTCTTGTATGGTCTCGAGAGCCCAGTGCAGACAACGCCATGTAGGCAACCCAATCAAGCCAGGGACGCAGGCTCCAGGGCCAGTCCGACCACCTCAGAAGGTCTTGAGAGACCGTGTTGACGACTAGATGCTGTCCTCACAGTGGTCTTATCGAGCTCCTTTTCTGGCATGGACTCTTTGGGGACGAAGCATCTCTCGGGAAACGTTGCATATGACGATGTCATTTTCATGGTTTTCTTTTTCTTGGCAAGGCGTTTTGGGAGGATCATAGGGTGTAGGAAGCATTCAAAAGACATTTCAACACCTACGCGGCGCTTTCTCAGCGCTCATGAAATTATGTGCCCTTTTCTTCCTTTCTTCGTATTCTTCTTACCCCCGCGGGGGGGGGGGGGCCTCCCCGACCTACGGATGTTGGTTCGGCGTAATCGTGACAAGCCATATTTTGTTTCCTCCATTAACAAGGCTGGCCAGGGACTCAAAGCTGTTATTGCGGTGCTCCGTCATGACGAACATTCTATTTATCAAACAGTAATTGACTCTGACCTGATGCGATCCTCCTTCTTAGAGAACAAATACATAGGACGTGTCCCGGTACGAGTGTGAACGACATCTGCATGCTATCGGACACAGGAGCTGCAGATGCCCAGAAAGACTGCAAACAACGATAATATGAAGAGGGAAATCAGACAAGAAGCGGGAAAACAAACAGCTCGAACACTGTAGCCTTCCTTGATCAGTGCGGTAGCACTCCATATGCTGCTGCAGGTCTCCACATACACACGCCTCGAGGGAATCTCCTCGCCAATGCCACCCAGTAGTACTAAAACCTGGACGAGAGATTCCTAGACATCAAGGCACCTTCAACCATCCGCAGGTTGACATCCATTGTACGCGCGTCGTCGGCCTTAGTGACACGGAAAGGGGGAAGAGGGGGGAAGAGATGTCTCTAGTACTGCTAATCACTACACGTATACTGACACCATCACCCGTGAACAAGGAGCCAGTGAACATAGAACGATAAGCCCAGTCGGCGCTGGCAGCTGAGAAGAGCGACACGCAGGGTATGGAGGTAGGCGTCACAAATGCCTTGTGAGCGACGGGTTTGCTCCAGCGTCCTCGCCACCAACTGCGCCGACTTTGTGAAATATACATTGGGAGGTAAATAGGGAGAGATGGAGAGAGCGATATAAATGTCTTGAGAGCAATTTTGCCATTCTCACGTGGTAGGCCGTAGTGAGAGAAGTCCCCTCCCCCCTCGGTACACCACGAGGGCACGTTTGGCGGTGCCTACCAGTGAGAGCAGATTAGACGAGTGACCGAAGACGACAAGACAAATGGTCCGCCTATATCATTCTTTCTCTCTCTGCCTTCCCCAAAACGTACATATTGTCGAAGTGACGCAGTAGGGTGTGCTGTAGGAAACATGATCGTATCGTAACTTGGTATGTGTCGCGTCGTCAACAAACTTTGTATGGAACTTCTCTCATCCCCCTGTGCCGGGGCAAGAAAAAGAAGAAGAATAAGAAAGAGCCCCATCTGTGGACCTTCAGAGGCCGTGCCCAAGGCCATCACAATCGCACAAGTCCCTCATGACCCTCGAATTCCAAGTGTTTTTCGAAAGGGGGAAAAAAAAAAAGAGAAAAAAAGGCTCAAAGGAAGACGCCCAGCGAAGGAAAACAAATGAGACAAGAAAGGCCCCACCCAGCATTTACTCCTCAGGGTCGACTTGAAGCCCTAAGATCATGGGAATAACCCTTTATGACGCTGCAAAGTGTGTGTATGATGCAGTCGGTAACGAACATGCCAGGACCCAGCCCCCCATCCGAACAGGCCCTGCTATACCTAGCGCAAGGGGTTGGGTGATGATGGCCTGGTTTCTATCCAGAGCTGGTGATCTGTTTGCATCTAAGGTTTTGTCGCCCGAGGCACAACGTGGGGCATGGGTTCTTACAGGGTGCGCTTGAGCCTTGCTGTTATCCTTCTTCGCACTGGCAGCCGTGCGAGCACATGAATCTGTGTCCTATCCAGAAGACAAAAATGTCGTTGGTGCGCTGTCTGATGATTATGTTTCGGAGCTGGACCCCAAGCGATGACGCTGGTGGGGATGTGGTGAAGCATTGTGTGTGAAATAGTACTTGATGGAGAAGGAAAAATTGTGCAAATTCACAAGTCTGCAAGTATGCAATGGGTGTAGAGAGACTTCTCAACAGACACCCAAGGATCAGGATTCGATGACCAAAAGACACACTAGGACAGCATTTTGACGCGGCCCCTCCACAAAAGTCGGCGTTGTCATGAGCAAGATGCAGACGAGTCTTGCTCAGGTCCTGGAGGGCGCTCAGGCCAAGCTGCTGCTTTCATCCACTCTGTTGTGTGCTATGACCATCAAACGACTCCACTGCAGAATTCGTGACACTTGTCTCTTCCACAGAGTACGAGAACCTGGATAATGTGTTCATGCGATGACAGAGCCTTCAACACACATCGTCCTACCGCGTTATGATGCTTGCGTTATGATGCTTGACGCTTTACAGCTTGCTAGATTACGGTAAATCAGTTATGACCTCGCGTTGGAGCTCGATGATACGGCGCCGCTTCAAGAGAGGAGCACGAAGAACCTTTGTCAGGGGCCGAAAAACAACACTGGCTGTGAAGTCTGTTGCTGAAGGGGGGGGGGGGCCTTGATGTGAATGTGGAATACTGAACTTTTTTTCTTTCGGGGAGGATTGTGCCGTAAGGTGACTATTCATAACCACGCACAGTGACATGATCAACTGCACCACCTGTTTTCACGAGGAGCATACAGTTGGCCCCCTGCCTCGCTTGAGGCGCAGACGCGTGCAAAATGGGACGTCCGGCTGAGCCGGAACGACGACACATCCTTTTCATTCCGTGTGACGCCTCGAGGCAACCCCCCCCTCCCCCTTCTTTTTCCTTCTTTACATGACAAGCGCGCACTCGAGAAAAGTGAGGCTGCGAACAATTCGACTCGGCCCGTGATGTACACTCTTGACCTCAAAGGATCTTCGTGAATATTCCAAGAATAGGAAGAAGCCCGAATGCACACCAGAGTCTTGCGTGCAGCAGACCCTGATGTGACCAGGAGCAGTGAGGGAAACGGCAGGTTGCCCTGGGTCATCGCGCGCTGAGATGTAACATTGCAAATCAAGACACCACAGGAGGGGAGGCGGAAGGCGACAGGGCCCCTGTCTGCCATTCAAATTCCAGAGAGCCCTGAATTCGCACGCACGAGAGATCGCCGAGGCCAAGGCTATCATGGTCCGGCGCCGCTTCTGCGAGCTTCACCCACACCCACATTTTGCCAGGCTAGGGCCAAGGCAGGTCAGGTTAGCAAGCCTGCTGGGACCGGGAGGGGGCTCTCTGAATGTAGATCTGGGTCACATCCTGCCCCTTCCTTCCCGCGGGCCGGCCCATCTCAAGAGGGAAGGGATGAGGTCGTCGGGTATCAATAACGGCGTCATGCAGGGCACTGCTAAGCGAGCTGCAGTGTATGTCCCTCACGGGATCGTGCATGGCGAGGCGTCGCCTGGGGTAGGGGCTCGTGAAAAGGAGGGAGAAAGATGCTACCGTACCGGTACTTTGAGCAGGAAACGAAGATGGTCAGCTGAAGACCTGCAGATCCACTGGAAGTACCGTGACAAGAGCGAGCCGGGGGGGGGGGCCTCGTGGGGGGCCGGTGTGGCAGGTTTGTGTGTCGACCTTGTACCATCTTGGTGCTGGGTGCGTCTTGGGTGGCTGTGTATACCAATAAAGCCCTCAATATTGGAAAAACTTGGAGGTCATGATCTCGTGCTAGCGGCCTTGATGATGAGAGCCGAATATTGAATTTTCTTTTCTTTTCCACATCTTCTTCGGTGGCCTTCTATCAAGCCCCAATATCGAGGAGCTTCGGGGCTGAAAAGAAGGAAATAGAGTATGGGAGTGGGCGCGCTCCTGGGTCCGGCCACTGTAGCGTAGGGCCTGCTTCTTCTGCTTAGGCCAAACCCCCTTGGCATTTTGCTGCTCCACCAGCGAGCCGTCCCGCATGATCTGACTGCATGGCCTCTCGCAGGGTATAGTAAAGTTGGGATGAGCTTGTCTGAGGGGTTTGATCCAGTGTGCTCTTCTGCCCTTGTTGACACAGAAAGCCTTGCCTGGGACCCAAGGGCCTCTACGGATATCCCAGGTCGGGCGGTGGGTTTGCCACTACCTCAGCTTCTCAACGAGTTGAGAGGCGGTCAGGCAGGTAAACTGAAGCAACCTGTCGCACCCTGACGGCAGGCTGTGCTGATGATGAGGAGCTGGTGTGAAAGACCGTCTCGCCCTATCGGGAGGAGAAAGGAAGGGGCCTTGGACAAGTCCTGGGCCACAGCAAGCAGTGGTCCTTTGTGTGAAAGTCATCATCGGAAATCCCCCAACAGCAGTCCGAGAAATTGGTCGAGGCGTCAGTTACCCCTCAGTACCACAAGAGACCAAGAGTACATCCGAGAGACGTTAGCCCTCCGCAGAGGGGGTATCAACTCCCTCAGACCCCCCTTGCTTCGCTTCCAGGGTCTCGGGTCGGAAATTCCCACCTAGGGCCTGTCAGAGAGGCTTGACTCCATTTCCAATGGCTTGACAGATCTGATCTAGGTCTTGTGGAAAGGTTGGAATATTTCTTGGAAGAAGGAGGGGAAGGGGGACGTGCTGGTTCGAGGGTGGTCCAGTGGAGCCCACTTGGGCAGCAGCGGCAAGGGCGGGCTCGCTTGTTGTCCTGGGCGGTGCACAGGGGGTTTGACGATCTGGGCCTCACCGGTCGACGAATCTGGTAGAATTTTGTGATATGTCAGAAAGCACACCGCTTCTGGCCCGGGGATTTGTGCTTCTCTAGGACCCTGGGCCTTGAGAAGAAAATGCGCAGCTGGTTCCAGGGAAGAATCATTCGATGGCGTGGGTCTCGTGCTCCCTCTCCTTCCCCCTCGCTCTCGTGTGTCTGTAAGATGGTTTGTTTTTCTTCCGCTTGGAAAACTTGGACAGCGTTGGTGTCTAAACCGGGAGGGGGGGGGGGGTCACACTGGCAAAATCCGGATTGGACTGACCTGACTTTCAAAAGCTGACCGGATGATCGGTCAGCCACACGCGTGCAGTCAGATCTGGCATGAAATCCGATGTGTGTCGTGCGCCATACCCACACCATACCTTGAAGAAATAATGACAGGCGCTTCATCACTCCTACATGTACACTTAACCCCCACCCCTGTCTGCTAATAGGATCTCTCTTCATCGCCCACCTGACCCCGTCCAAAGAAAAGGAAAAGAAGGACGAAAAGGGGACTTGTCTTTGCAGGAGCCCAAGGGTCCTTGACCTTGAGGCTGTACGCCATACCGGACAAATGAAAGGGTCAGCAGGGACGAATCCATCCGAGATCGACTTGCATGCTGCGAGAATTTGCACTTTGGTCGTTTCGCACTTCTCTCTGACTGGCTCCCCTCATGCCCCTTCCCCCCTTCTCTTACGCGGGTCCAGCCGCCCAGCAGAAGATTTGATATCCAATCATTTGAATGCCGAAACTTTGTCCACCGGCGCTGGAGGCTCGGCTGGGATCGGGTCGGGAGCTGACGAGATGACAGGCCAGGTCCTCCCAGCGCCTCGTGGTCATGGTTGGTTGTAATGGCTGGGAAGTCGATGTCTTGTCCGGCCCAGCCGATCTTTTTTCCCCCTTTCCTTGCAGATCCTGGGCTCAAACAGAATCCTCTGCTGATCGACAGGGTACTGCTGCTGGCTTTGAGGACGGGGCTTGCAGATGGCATGTGAGCATTCCCTGCTGAACGGAAGAGGAAGACAGACACACGAGACCAGGACATGTTGTTAGGCAAAACAGAAGAATGGAAAAGAACAACCGTCTCAGTTGTTAGTCCACTATTAGTCCACTTCGGAAGGAACTCGCCCTTTCCACAGATCTAATCAGACTTGCGTTAGCTCCCGCTGTCCAAGAACAGCAGGAGCCAGACGCACGACATAGTTACCGTCGACAAGATATCCCAGTCGTCCTCCCTGACATGGACTTTGCTGGAATGGAAATCATTTCCGCACTTCAAGTTGGGGACGGCAGATATTTCAACCTTTCCCTTCCCACTTTATTTCAATTCACACTGCCAGAAAGTGAGGTGGCATACTGAGCCAAATGGGTATATAGACCTAGTGCAGAGCAAGACAAAGACTACTGATCAGCCATCTACTTCTTTACCTCTAAAACTGTCCCCTCCCCCCTTCCATCCCTCGCTCCCTTCCCCATCCGCCAGCTTCCTTGCGACCCAAAGACCCGGTAGACCTCTTCCCTGTCAATATTGTAGGACATTGTTTTAGTATCAGAGCTGATCATGTCTCATCTCGGCAAAGCACATCTCAGCCAACACACACAACATTTTGTCTTGCTTTCCCCCCCCCCCCCAAAAAAAAAACCAGGTCATCCTCTTCCTCCTCGTCTGTCTCTTGTCTCTCGTTTCCGCATTTTTCTCTGTTGTGTGTACACACACACACACACACACACACACACATCATTTGCCCTGCACACCTGCCTCCTCGCAGATCTCTGCTCCTCCCCCGCTTGGCGCCGCCTCATTCCCAGAGCTGCGGTTTGGCGCCCGGCTGACGTGTGCCACATCGCCCGCCTCATCTGTCCATCTTCTTCATGAGCCTATCTACCCGGGGCTGGATCCCTGGCCCAAGTTACTGTGTGGCCGCCTTCATCACGCACAGGCGCGCCGACGTGAGATTGGGCATCGATGCCTCCTCGTATTCAACCCGTGACGGGCCCCACTGCCTTCTTCTCGAGCTGTGAGTGTGCGCCATCGCGAGCGGGCAATTGAGATAGGTTTCGCACGATGAAGGAACACGTGTGCTCTCTCTCTGGGTGTGGGTGTGTGTGTCTGCGCTGCGGCTTTCGTTCTTGAAATTTGTTCTGCTCTTGCCTTCATGCTGATCGGCGTTCCTAGTCTATGGCCGGATACGTAACACGCGTAGACACATCCCTCCCGCCCGTCCTTCTCCTTCCCCTCCAATCACCTCTCACAATACCGACGATGGGAATTTTGCGGAACACCAAATAGGAACCGCCCTCTAAAGCCATATCCATAATTCTTGACCCAGCCCAGTAGCCGCTTCCGTCTGGTATCATAAATATGAAACAGACAGCCAGAAGAAGAAGAAAACAAAAGAACGCAACCCAGAGTCTCTATAATGACCCTGGCAGAGGAGAGAAACAACAACAAGATCGGAACTATGGACAATGGTGAAAGACAATGCCACCTCCAGCCGTCAGCAATAGATCGACATGGGAAAGCGCAGCTCAACCTTGGTAGAAGGGAAGAAAGAAAACAGAAGGAAACAATATCAAACTACCGCCGCCCGAGTTCACTCAGTTTTTCCGCCCCGCCAGCCCCGTGATTTTTTTACCCCCCCCCCCTCCCGTGAAGAATGACGTTACAACAATAATCGGAAGAAAGAGACAGAGAGAGACAAGAGAAGAAACAATTTTCGTACACTAAGCAAAAAGCAAAGAAATAAAATAAAAAATAAGCAACCACACTGTGCCCGTGAGGGCCTCGACATTCTATGCGCGATGTGGGAGGAAGAGGGATCTGTTAATGTCGCCTTTTGGGGGGAAAAGAGGGTTCTCCAAAACTCCTCGTTGCCGGGGGATCTGATGCCCTGCACAAATCCATCGTCACAATATGTATTGTGCCGTAGTACCCTTCGACCATCCACAGTGCCATGCGCCTTCCGAAAAGCATGTCCTCCCGCCCACTAAGACCTCCCTAATGCCCCATACCGGATCGCCCGTCGTTAAATTCTTGGACAGACGATCAATTCTTGAAGAGTTCTGCAAGAGCTCGTGGAGCCGGTCCGAGGCGTTCAGTTCCCAGAACCATCTTCAGTCGAGAAAGAAAATAAGATAGAACGATCAAAATTGAGTTCGCGCGATGTGTTTTTTTCTTTCTTTTCTGTCTTTCGAACAAACAACGCATAGTAATATGAGCGCAACTTCATGTACTGGCGCAGCTCATGATTGGCGAGCACAGGATTGATTTTACCGACTAGAGCTGGACGCTGCGGCGGTATCTTCGGACTTGTAGAGCTCTTTGCACTCTTCAAGAACTTTTTGCGGCGGAGAGATCATGTTAGCATGTATGTCACTAAAGCTTCCGTAGGGGCGAGGTGGGCGTACTATCAATAATTTGTGTCTCCCATACACCATACTGGTAATCAACGAGACCGTGCCTTTCGATGTTGTCGCAGAGTCTGACGAGTTCGTCTCCCATCTTTTGAAGATTCTCATCCGTAACCAAGCTCTGATTTCTACTCAGCTGCATGCCAGACTCCATGAGATCTTTTTGTGCTTGAAACATGGCGAGCCAGGCATGGTTAAAGTCATTCCAGAGCTTGATCCTGTCCGAGTGCAGACTCTGGTCATCAGAAGTAAGTCCTACCCGGTCACGATAGCAAGGTCAGTCGATATCGTCTTCAAAAAGGGAAAAGAACCAAGCAATTACAAGAGAAGAAAGAAATCAAGTAAATGTTCATTCATCGAGAGAGAACAGACAACAGGAGCAAGACATACCGAGTTCGTGTACATGAGACAGGAGCCACTCTGACACGTTGGAGAGAGATTCACCAGCCGTCTGCAGAGCTCCTTTCTTGATGTTGGAGAATATCTCCTTCAGGGCGTCCTGGTATTGCGAATAAGCCTGGTTGAGATCAGCACCTGCTTGGTAGTCTCCGGACTCCTCCATGCTCACGTCAGGCGCGGTTGTCGTCGCCTGGGTCGCCATGGTTCCCATGCCGGTGATGTTGCTCGGATAGTTCATCAGGGTATTCCTAGTGTCAGCTGAGCCCGATTGATATACAGCTGTCGTTTGTGCGCTAGAGGGCTGCTGCTGCTGCAGAGCCGAAGCAGCAGTGGCGTTCGTTGGCTCGCCGGAGAAGTAGGTGTTTGTAACATCCGTTGGCATAATCTGCTGAGCTGCGGGCTGCCGTAGGTCGAATTGGCTGCCCGTCGTATCATAAACGGCACTCTGTGCACCCGCCTGAGGTACATTGTACATCAGGTTCGGGTTGTACGAACCGGCAAAGCTCTGCGTCTGCCGGGCATCTTGTCCGTAACCAGTTGCAGACTGGTGGTAGCCCATCGTGTTCTGCTGCATCCCGGTTGCTGTTGGGAAGTTTGTGGCCGAGGGTTCTTGGTAGTAGGTGCCATAACCAGCCGAGCTCCCGCTCAAGCCCGCCCGCCCCGCGGCTGGAGGTGAAGTGTTGATGGGGGCAGGCCGATATCTGTCGGAGGAGGAGCCAGTCATAGTGCGGTGTGCCTGCTGCTGCGTCGGGTTCTGCACTGTCTGGTGATATCTATTGGTGTTGTGCTGGAGAGGCGTTTCATTCTGCCTCCTACGGCGAGTGTTGTCGTCCATGCCCCAAGGGAGCGCGTTGGTTCCCGGCGCCTTGTTTGGCGAGCCCACCCGTAGCTGCGCCGGCAACGGAGCTGGCGAATACACACAAGGGCCAGTCTGCGACGCGTCTCGGATGCGCGATTGTCGTCCTGGGGTACACGCTTCTGGGGTCTAATATGTCTTGCGATGCGTCGGTGATCAAGAATCGCGCCGCGACGAGGGTAGAGACGCGGCGCAACGTTCGAAGGTGGTGCAGACGAGGGAAGGTTCCTGATCTGGCGTTGAACACCGGATGAGCTTGCGGTGTATCTTTTCGCTTGCTAGGAGCTTCCTCCGCGCCGGATGCGGGACAGGTGCTTTCTCGCTAAGCCTCTGTCGTACAGTTTGTCGACGATTGCGGGACAGAATTTTTGAGGCAGTACAGGACCGTCCGGTTTGGGGCCGTGGTGCCGTTCGTATGGCAGTCGTGTCTCGCGTTGTAGAGGCGGGGGGGAGGAGGAGGGGAAAAAAGGAAAAAAGACTCGAAAACGGACTGCGGGTGAGCTGGAGGGGTTTATTTTCGAGACTTAGTATGGCTTTAAGCAATGGGCGCGGTTTGCGCTAGAAGAGCAGAGATCATGCCTCGTCCCGACAGGCACACAACTAGAGGTCGCGAAGTTCGTGGGAGGCTCCCACAAGCTGTCGTGCCGGCAGAAAAACACTGAGCGAATTGCGTGAACCCTCGAGGTGACCTGACGAAGGGCAGGCGCTGGTCAACTAGGAGTATCCCGGCGGGCCACGCATCCAACTCCTCGCATGACAAGCCGTGGCTTTCGAGTATCTCGTGGGCAGTGAACACCGCACTAAGGTATCACAGACAGAGAGAGTCGCAAGTCCAGATGACTATGGCGTCCGATTCACCTGCTTGATGCGCCGCGACGTCCTCTCTCTTCTCCTCACTCGTGTCTGCTCGTGCCTTGTCCCCCGTGCGGCTTGAGCTGTCGCAGCAGTGGAGAGGATGGGCAACGAGTCTGGTGCGGCCCTGAACGGGGTCGAAAGAGGAAATCCCTGGCAGGGACTGGCCGGCTTCAGGGAGGTGCGGATGGACCGGGTTTTATAACCAAGGACAGCAAGCAGTCCTGGCGAAGAGTTTCTCCAATGCTGGTAGCTTTTGAATACCCAATTTTTGTATACGCCTCAAACTAGATCAGGCACATACAAGACACCTCGAGTCGTCTTAAAATCATGCAGATCCCAAGCTGCTGCCCAACGAGGCGCAAATATTGACAGGGCGATGGTGATCACAGACAGAACCCTGGATCGCCGGCCGCCGGCCGCCTCTTCTGAACAGAAGCAATTGTAAGATCGAGAAGAGCTGTGGTGATTGAGGTCACACGAGGGGGCGTGAGAGGAAAGATTGGGCGCCTGTGGGTTGGAGTGAGGTGAGGTAGGGATGGTCAACCCAGAAGGTAGGGTTGTATTTTGAAGCTTGCGGTCCCCCTTCCAAATGGTAGAGCTGCTGCAGGAGGTACAGGTACTGCACAGTACCCACAAGATCGAGGAGCCCAAGGTTGGGTAGTCTGTCCAGAGGCACGTACCAAAGTACTTTTGTTGTAGTGTTTCTCGGCTGAGCGGGATGGAGGAGGGGGGAGGGGGGTCCACAGAAAAAAAGAAGGGGAAAAATGAAAGGACCAGGCTAGGCAGGTAGGTCCTAGAAGAGGAGAGCGGTGGCTGAGTGGCACAGAAATATTAGTAGCAGAATATATAAGCCTTGCCAGTTCAGCAAGTCGGTATGTAGTGAGAAATCAAGGTCTGCAGGATGTGTACAAGGAAAGGGGGCGTCTCTGGTTCTGCTCGTCGGCGGGCGATCCATGTGCAGGTCGGAAGCGTACATACTCTATTTCTCGGTGCAACTAACCTGAATACATGGACGCCAGCCCAGGCACGCACGTAGTCTTGATGTAAAGTCCTCGGCGAAGCTTGGCCGTCAGGGGGTCTCAATTTTTGACCAAGACACTGGTAGTTTGGACCACAACCTCTTTAGTCGTGTCGAAAACCTGATTGGTGCGAGTGAAGTGGATAATTGACGAAGGGGAAACCTTTTTTTTTTTTTTTTTTGTTTTTACAAAGTAGATGATGGCAGTGAGGCTTGAGGAGATGCCCAGAGAGTCAGACTCGAGGTACTGTGTCAGCTGGTGCGTATCTGTTTTTGTGGCGTAAGCCCTTGGGAAAAGTTGACGACTGATAATCAAGCGGACCTGGCTGGAGTGCTATTGATTCGACGACGGAAAGGTGGATGATCACGTTCGATTTCGAATTATGAGAGGTGAAGGATAAGTTGAACAAGTTGAACAAGTTGACAGTCTGTGACTGTGACCACGTCTTGTGTTTGTGTCTGGGTTCCTGACTGAGAAGGAAGTCGAGCCTGTATCTGTACTTGGGGTGCCTAGGCATACAGCAGCTTCCGTTTTCGTCATATGTACTGCTTGCTAGTTGGGCAGTCACCCTTTGCTGCATGCAGGCAAGGGTTGTACCTAGTGACATGGCCCGTGGCTGACGCTTTCCGGTCTCAGCTAAATGGTACCACGGTACAACTGAAAGGTACATAGTAGGCTCCAGAAACCCACCTCACCTCCTCGCCCCAACTCACCTCTTCCACCAGTACACATTTGGTGTACACAGTCCTGTACTGTATGTTACTCCCACATGGGATGGAAGTGGAGGGATGGAGTCACCACTGATTGCGAATGAAAAATAAGACGTACCTGAACCGACTCAAGGGCCCGTGGGGTACGTACTGGACAGTACGAGAACGGCGGGCTAGTCTATATCGACCTGTCGTCGATGTGCCATATACGCGAGCCCTGGAGAGTTCATGCGCATCTCCTGAAAGTTTTATTAATTTACAAATCCGGGTCGCCTTTGCGAGGATGACGTCTCAGGTCTCGTACTTCGAATGGCCGTCGTCGGGTATTCCGTGGTCCGCCAGTGAGGCTGCCGAGAGAGATTGACCTGGCGGTGGCTATTGAACACGCCGGAAGTCTATCGAGAAGACGAGGCAAAATAGCACCAATGTCGGTAATTCGCACATCACGCCACAGGAACATCTTCCCAGTCCAAGGCTGCATGACATCCCGAACGCCAGCTGGTTGCGAGGGTGGGACAGGGTAGTGAGATCTTCGGGCTATTCTTCGAATACGCACTGCTGGGTCATGCTGGTTAATCAAATCTATCAAAATCTGGAAAAAGCAACCCTCTCTTGCTGCTCCTACGACCTGGATCCCGGAGGCATGGCCTCCAGGTTGCAGTGGACGATGTTAGCCCATTGATCGGATGTTTCGATCCTGGTGGCTTATTTTCCGTTGATGAGATTTACATAGCTTCTCTGCAGCGTGCTGGTAGCGACAGTACACTGGCCACCTGGGGTCCTGTTCCCTCAAAACTGAGAAGGATGACCGGGGGTGGGCGGGGGACCACGGGGTCTGCCACCATTAACATGAACTGGCCTTGGCAGAAGGCGCATCCAGAATAGGCAGCAGGTGAGACGTTCACGACTAGGATTGAGGGAGAAAGAAAAAGAGGAAGGAAGGAAGAAGAAGAAGACGACGGACAATGACCAAAATGTGAATTAGAGTATGCTGAGAGCATTCATCGTCAGTTGCATTGGTGTTGGTTGGCCCTGAAGATGGACGGCACGTAGGCAGGGATCTGAGACTGGATCGGATATGACCTGCAAGCGAAAAAGTGAGAGCGGCACATTTCTCCTCCAGACCAGTCTAAAAGGACCAGCATCATGTCGCAGGGGTAAACCTTAAGCCCAGTGGGCGTGAGGTGACCAGATGTTGTATGTTGTAGTCAGTGCGTTCTATTGTCTCGAGTCGAGCGCCAACCACTTTGGGGGTCTTATGCACGTCTGATGTTTGCACATGCAGGCTCTCTGCACGAGTAGGGCGCCAGGTTTCAAGCTGACAGGGTAGCGAGGAGCTTCTGACGTCCTACAACTTCTCGAAGCTTTCCAGGCAATGCCAGGTCGAGACCCATCTCCGTACCGTTGACCAGTCAGTAGCGAGATTTCGAACCTTGCTTCCCATGCAGGGTAGCATTTTGGTGTCAGTGGTAGCAACGGGTGGTTGGCAGGTCCGGGCATAAATACGGACGAATTCTCGTGCAGGTTCCATGTCCAACTACCGCTCAGGAGGAGACTTGAAAAGGGGGGGGTAAATGGAAGGTTGTGTTTCCTGGACACTGCTGGTGCGTCCTGGTCATCCATGAATGCATGCCTGATGAGCCACCATCTGAGAGCATGCAGCGCGACTGGAAACACCAGTGCCAACTTCAATCCTAAGGTAAGTGTGTGTTCATGTGTGTTAGGTCTTCTGGTGCGTCCCCTTGCGAGACACACGCACACACAGAGACACAGAGGAACCCCTGGCCTGCAAGCATCAACAGGAAACATGGAGCTACTGCTACGTAGTATGGAGGTGAAGCTTGCTGTGTGTGCCGTCGATGCCCAACCGCTTGTCTCGATCGGTATAAGAGGTATTTGAGCCGTGTCTGACCGTTGAAAATTTTGTTCGTAGCATCTGCGAGCGAGCTCCAGTGTAAGCGACTTAACGCAAAATCAGGCGATACCTGCGATAGCGCGAAATGCACACGAGCAGCGGGCTGGGGTATGAGCGTCTTCCAGGTAGCCTAACGCACTAAGAAGCAGTCGCTGCCGATAGCGAAAGTGAGTTCGCACCGGGGGAACCTTGAATCATGCGGCCCAACTGCACCACAAGAAAGATCTGCACATGAAGAGATGTCGTTGAAAGCCTGGTGAGGCGGCGGGTCCTGTTGGTCTGTGGAGAGCGGATCCAATCTGCCTGGAGGCACTGACACCAGCTCGCCAGGGGTCCTCGACAGGAAATCCCCTCCCCCCTTTTTTTGTAGTTAAACGGGCCTATCACGGATGGAAGATTTTCTCGATTGCCGAGCAGGGGGGCGGCGTATAAATACCTCGGGGGCGTGGATCTTCCTTCTTTCAGCAGTCTGACTCGCATATTTTAGAGGTGGTGTGCCTGTGTGCCTAGAAGTTGGTGGTGTTGGTGTGTTGACATGTCGAGATTGCCCGCTCCCCCACCGCCCGATGCTCTTACTAGTACATACTATGTAGTATGACATACAACGTAGTAGCTGCAGGGAGGAGCAACGGTTGCTCAGACTGACCAGTAAGGGGGAGAGGAGGGTGCCTATGCCTGCAGTCTCCACGCGATCGCCTTAGCGAGGAGGTCACGTTCTGCGCAATGCTTGGCCATGACTACAGAGGAGAAGAAGAGGAAAAAGAGAAAGAATGGGAGGAGGGAGGGTGAGACTAGGTGGGTCGCTTTCTGAAATTGCTCAGCTTGCTTGATGTTGCGACGGTTGGCTCGTGAGAGTGGCTCTCTGGGGAGCTCGAGGCTCGAGCCACGAGGTAGACTTGGTGGACCGAAGCACGCACCACCTACGGTACCCTCTGGGCCTTGTGGATACGCGATGAGATCCACCACCCAGACCAAACGCCTTGTCCGTGTGGGAACTGATCCTCATTGAACACGATGGATCGGATCACGATGTGCAAGAGCCGACCTGAACATTGCTCCCGACAGCATGACGAGGCGGGGCGGCTACTGCAACACGGCAGCCGTCCTATACCAGTCGATGGTATTGGCGGTGAGGCCAAACGCAATGCAAAATGCAGCAGATGCAAATGCAATGTGACAGTGCTGCGGTCCCAGCGTGCGGCAAGCTCGAGTCGGTCTCGGAACTTGGCGTCGAGATAATCGCAGATCTGGCTAGCCTGGTATCTCGGCTGGTCTGCTTGGTCTTGAAAGAAGCCGACGGATCGGCAGGTGGGTTGAGAGAGTACGAGGCTGACAGGGGGGAGAGGGAAGAATGGGAAGGGGGAAAAAAGAGAGTCTGGAAGAAGAGGGGTGGTGGTACATACTAGGTGGTGATAGTAGTAGTACAATAATGGGAAAGAGCGGGAGAGGCAGAGAAGAACTTTTTCTTAGGACGAGTAAGTTGGGTCTAATTGATTTGAAATTGGCCCAATAGCGTCGCTCAATTGAAGGTCTTGAACTTCTGGAGGGCCTAATCCGGGTAATGCAGCTCCACTGTGACTCCCCTGTTATTAGCACTAAAGTGCTCTGTCCAACACTACGGACAAGCCTGTCACTAGCGACCCAGGGCCTATCACCCATTGATTCTTTTTCAAGTCAAGTTTCCTAACATACCGTTATAGCAGTAGAGATACATGCGGCATACACGATTCCCAGTACGATGGTACGAGCCAAGATGGAGTGGCCCATGCCTGCTTGGATAACGGTGGGTTCTGCAACACCGGTCATCCCGGGCAATTTACCAGCAGCGACTTACCTTGCGCCCCTGCATTGCTGACGACCCCCTTCAGCCCGTGGACGAGGCGACCAGTCGCACGTCTCCTTGGGTGAGGCGGACACCGACAGCCAGCTTGATTCCAGAGATACATATCTGGAGATAATATGGTCCACACAATCACCCTCTGTAACCAGCCCAAGTCGTTCCAAGAATTCGGGGAGGCCATCTAATTCCAATTATATTGTAGCCCTGTCACGACGCCTAAACCCTCGTTACGGAACACAACACGGGTTACCAGAACTGCACTAGTACAACTCGTAACCCTTTACGCCATGACTAGAAATAGCGCACCTGGGAGAAGAAGAAGAGACGGGAAGAGAGACGGATGGGAAGAGGGGTAGAGGAGGAAGAGAAAGCGTGTACTATAGTAGGTGTCGCTCTTCAGGACAGTTGACAATGCTTTGTTTTGAGAATGGAGTAGCCTCCGGCCGCTCGTCCGCGCGCGGTCGAATCAGGCCACTAGGCATTATGACCAAGCACTATCTTTTCTTTCGGGGCACCCAATTCGAAACAGAGCTAGGCCCTCCCCTAATCACGCATAGACCGCACAAGCACCGCAGCAGACATTCGCGACTGGCACTCGTCTGGGCAGAATGAATGTCGAAAACACATGTTTGAGCAAGTTTGGTATTCTACATACAGTACGTCTAGTGGCGAGGCTGAGGCTGACCAAAACCGATTGCTTATGTCGGGGATGGCGCCTGGCGGCTGCAAGCCACCAGGTGATCAGGTGTTCCATGCTTCCGAGTCTTGTCCAGTTGATGCCCACATGACATATATCTATTCTGGGCTGGGCAGCAACAATGGTCATAGCGGGAAGAGGAGACATCACTTTACGTCTTGAAACAATTTGGTGCCTAAACTTTTCCAGAAACGTGGCTCCTACAGCGGACTGCCCTGCTAGTCTTTCCATGATCACCAACCCTACTGTATTCTCGCACATAATGTAACTCTGCAATGACCATTGCGCACGCGAGCTTCTTCTGATGCTACCTGGATAGCCACGGTTGCTCGTTCGCCCTACTCATGTACCCGCCTCAGAGGACTCAACACTGAAAGGGGTGACGTCGGAGCACGTCATCATATAACGGACTTTATGTAGGGCGACTCTGAACGGGACAAAGTGGTGTGTTGCTGTTGCCCGTGTTCTCATCTTATTGCCACACATGAGCTCTTGCCTACTTGATCTATCATGACTAGTGAGCATCAGATGGGTATGACGCCGTCTGCCGTGATGTCCGTCTCAAGCTAGGTCCGAGCCATGTTAAGAGTTTTCGAAAAGGCTCCGTTGCGACAGCAAAGCTGCAACAGCAAAGACGATTGTGAAGAGTTTTGACACCTAACCCCCGTCTAGAGTATCATAACGTTTATGCACGTCTGCGCCTATCATCTTGGAACGTACCGAAGAAGGGAACGGGCGAGAATGTAAAGTAAACACCTCGGTGTTCAATGCTCATGGTATTTTGTACATGAAATGATACAGATAGGTGCGTACGATTGTGTATCTTGAGGGAGAGCTCCCCGCCGTCGCTGCTCACTCCAAGTTTGTCTCCCTCGAAGCGTATCCTACTGCCGGTGCAACGCATATGCTAGTCCTTGGCGAACGCTTTGACGCCAAAGCCAACGCCCCTGATGTTGGGAGATGAGTTTGCAATGCATGATCGTGCCATGATAGGGTGGAAAGGCATCCGTTGACAATCACAGCTTTAACGCTTGACCCAAGCAGGCTTCTTCCTGGCCTTGACATGACCGTGTTTCTTCCTCTCTACCCCCCTCGGGTCACGAGTGATGACACCAGCTTTATAGCTTGTTAGCGCGATACCAGAACAGACTTGATAGAATGAGTGCTCACCTCGTCGAAGAGCCGGCTTGAGAGCCGGTTCATGGGCCATGAGCGCCCTGCCGACAGCCATAGCCAGGGCCTCTGCCTGACCAGTGGTGCCTCCACCGTCGACGAGCGCCCACACGTTGTACTTGTCCGTCCTGGCTGTAGCCTTGAGCGCCCACACCGCGCTCTCGCGGTCGTGGATGCGTCCAAAGGCATCGGCAAGCGACTTGCCATTTACGAGGACCTCCCCAGTTCCCTCGACAACCCAGGCGCGAGCTGTTGACGACTTCCTCTTGCCCACGCCTACCGCCCTGCCAAATCGGTCGATGGGGATCTCCTTCGCTTTGTGGCTGTGCGGGTTGATGTCGCGCTTAAACTTGCCCGTGGCCTCCTTCAACGTCGGCGTCTGGAGCTTGGGGTGAATCTTGTTCAGCCTCTTGACTAGCGTCATGCACCTTGCGTACTCAGACGCCTTGATATCTTCACCAACGGACAACCGGTAGTCCCTCAGCGTCCTGAAGGCCACCTTCTCTTGTTGGTCTGAGGGCACGGTTGGCAGATGCGCGTATCTTCGCATCAGCTTCTGCAGCTGGAGGTAGCTGTCGTTGAACTCGGGCTGCCGTGAGAAGTAGGATGGGGATACTGGCATAGGCCGAGCGTGTGCTGCGGACATGATGTTGTTCAACTCTGCCGCTTCTGGACCTCCGGCGCCTCTTTTGCCATCTCCCTTCCCGTATTGACCAGCCCCAGGGCGGCGCTGCTGCTCCTGCTGCTGCCGCCCTCTTGGTCGATGCTCTTGCGACTGCCCCGGTCGGTCGCGGGTTTGTAATTGTTCGCTCTCTGTCGCTTCCCCAGCGAGGTCCATACGCGTTTGCATAATCATCTGCCTCACCCTCTCCATGCTCTCTGGATCGAGGTCTGTATTCAGGCTCTCTGCGGCAAAGTCGTCCCTCGATACCGCGTCAACGCATCGGGAGGCAGTTGTCGAGAGCGGCCTTGCGTGTCGAGTCTCAGGACGGATTTGCAGGCTTTGCATCATGTGTCGCAGCTGTTGCCATTGCGGGGCCGAATTCTGGCACCGACCTCTGAGGTGGGCCAAAGTCGGTCGTAATGATGCCATATTTGCCGCCTGCTACCTCCTCATGACGGACGTGTAGTAGCTGCGCCGGTGGCCCGGATCTTTTGCACGGCTGGTCGACGTCTCGAGGTGAAGTCAGGTCAAGATTCGCAGAAAATGGTTGGTGCCGCGCCAACCAATCAGTCTCCCATGCGGCCCACTGTTAGTTCTCAAGGGCTGCGCCAGCGGCATTGCGCTAACAGCAGCTTCCACCAGTGGCAGAATTCAACGGACAGCTGCGGGGTGATGGTGGGACAATTTTTTTGTTCAGGCACACGAAACCCAAACTTCCACCTCTTCTCCCTCTTTTGACTCACCTTCCTCCACCACACACCCTCACCTTGTCATTAAGAAAACCAACGAAAAGATGGCTTTCGGCAAGCTGTACACCTACGAGGTAAGATAATGACATTCCACCAACCTGCAACTGGTAGGAGGACATGAAAAGCTGACCCCGCCGCTGCCCTCGAAAAGCAAAACCCCCGCTCCACGGCCATCCGCGCCGTTGCGAAGGCCAACGATCTCGACCTCGAGATCGTTGAGGTTAACACCGAGAAGCCCACTCCCGAATACCTCAAGCTCAACAAGCTGGGCAAGGTCCCTACCTTCGAGGGCCAGGATGGTTACACTCTGTACGAGTGCATGGCTATCGCCATCTACAGTAGGTTTTCCCGGCTGCTCCTTTCGCCACCTCGCGCACAACTGCACTGCAACGTGATGAGTATCTTCTTTTTCAAAAGAATACATGTTATCCCTGACTGAATCAATCTTTTTGTTGAAAATGTACACTTCTGATCGCAATGGCACTCGCACATCTATTTGTCCCAAGGCTTGCTGAGAGGACCTGGCTGACTCCGAGATAGTCACTGTACGTCTTCACCCGGTCTGGTGCATCTGCGCACTCGACATACCGCACACCGCCCACCCTTATCAAGGTTTTATCCTTCTCAAGAATGCAAATTTGCTGACTTGGGTTGCAGTCCCAAAATGAGAAGACCACCCTCCTGGGCAAGACCAAGCAGGATTACGCCTCCATCCTGAAGTGGATGAGCTACTTCAACGTACGTCCCCGCAGGACAGTCATTCCGGCAAGCCTAACCAAGCTGACACTCAATGCAACAGACCGAGGTCCTCCCCGCCCTGGGCAAGTGGTACCGTCCTCTTCTCGGACGAGACCCCTACAACAAGAAGAACGTCGACGACGCCTCCAAGTCCGCCGCGAAGGCTCTTGCCACTGTTGAGGAGCACCTCCAGCACAACACCTTCCTGGTTGGCGAGCGTATCACCCTGGCCGACCTGTTCGCTACCGGCATCATTGCCCGTGGCTTCGAGTTCTTCTTTGACAAGCAGTGGCGTCAGGAGCACCCCAACGTCTCTCGGTGGTACTCGACTGTCTACAACCAGGCCATCTACTCCGCCGTGGCCCCCAAGTTCGAGCTCCTTGATACCCCCAAGCTCACCAACGTTGCCCCTAAGAAGCCCGAGCAGCCCAAGAAGGAGACCCCCAAGGCGGCTCCCAAGCCCGCTGCCGAGGAGGAGCCTGCTGAGGCCCCCAAGCCCAAGCACCCTCTCGAGGCTCTGCCCAGGTCTTCCTTTGCTCTTGACGAGTGGAAGCGCTACTACTCCAACCACGATGAGGCCGACTCCCTGAAGTGGTTCTGGGAGAACGTTCCTTTTACCGACTACTCCATCTGGAAGTGCAGCTACAAGTACAACGACGAGCTCACCCTGACTTTCATGTCCAACAACCTGATCGGTGGCTTCAACAACCGTCTGGAGGGTTCCCGCAAGTACCTCTTCGGCTGTGCCTCCGTGTACGGCGAGAACAACGCCTCCGTCATCGAGGGCGCCTTCGTCATCCGTGGTGATGACTTCAAGCCCGTGTTCGATGTCGCTCCCGACTACGAGAGCTACGAGTTCGAGAAGCTCGACCCCACCAACCCTGAGCACAAGGCCTACGTCGAGGCTCAGTGGACGTGGGACAAGCCCGTCGTCGTGGACGGCAAGGAGTACAAGCACGCCTCCGGCAAGGTCTTCAAATAAGCGAATCGTTTTCTCACGACTTGATGCCAGGGCATGTTTTGGTGAAAAGGAAAGAGTTCCACGTCGTTGGTCGTGTCGTGACTGCGAACGCGGGATAAATCTACTCTTTGCTTCATTCGTCACGGGGGGCTAGAGCTTTCGTCCAGCGGTCCTCCTTGTCTTGCAGCCGAGATAAGTAGAAGCAATAGCCTGAGGGATACCAAATTTTTTGTCCCCCTTTTTATGTGACATGCCAATCAGTGACTTCCAGTGTGTGTATGTTATAACGCCATCTCACAATTCTTTCAGTGGGTATCAAAACAACCCGCCAACGCCTTGTACTCCTCACCAGGATGACACCCAAATCTTTCCCCTATATGTCGGCGAAGAACTTCGCAGAACCCCTCGTTCCTTGCCTAGTTCAGTGATGTATCCCGAATTCTGGTGCCGCATTGCTCAACTAGCGTCTTGGCTTCCGAGTTGTTCGACTTGCCCATGATCTGCTGAAGATAGACATCATCCCCAAGGCAGATACCATAACGAATTTATCTACAACCACGCTTTGGGCCTTCATAAGGAATCACCTGGCTAGATGAAGAGTGTTTGGAGGAGGTGGGGGGCGCACGCTGCTGCACTCGCTTCTACGCCATCTTGAACGGGTTTGCCCGCATATACGTGCTCACATCCTCCTGGTAGCACAACTCGTTGAGATAGTCGTGCACTTTGGGGAGGATGTCTCCCTCCTCGGCCATGTCGCCCGTGAACTCGGGGAGGGTGATCGCGTTGTGTGGCTCGCTGCGCGCCTTCTCGGCCGAGTCGTCGATCAGCACCGTGTTCCCTTGATCCCAACAGCCATTCTCGAAGCCTTTCCGCGTGCTCGGGTACGAGCTCTGTACCATAGGGTCATCCCAAAGGGACGTCAACCGCTTGTAGCACTGGGTGCGGACCTTGTAGTCGTGCGCTGTGAGGCCGAACTTGTCGCGGCCCCAAACCGCGATGACTTGCTGCAACGCTGAGGGGGACAGGAGGCCGTTCACCATGCGTTTGACATTGTCGGGCCGGGCGGACGACCAGATGACGACCCAGAAGGTGTCGACGCAGTACTTGATGAAATGGCGCGCGTGATGCCGCGCGTTGAAATTGGACGAATTCCTCTTGTTGGGCCGATGCAGGAGCGTGCCGTTGAGGTCGATGACGACGAGAAGGGGGCCCGGATGGGTGCGCCTCTTAGACAGAAAGGATGCACGCATCATGTAAGCATCTGTGGGGTTCGGCACGCCGCCGGATGCTGCACTGGGCGCAGTTATAGGCATACGGTCCTGATCGCGATCGGTCTTGGTGCGGGAGGGTATAGACACTTCCTTGGCTATGCTTTGGGTAGGGGTGGACATTCCGTTGTCTTGAGGAGGCGTAGGAGGAATGGATGGTCTTGCGTGTTGTGCTTGTGCTGATGGATGGCCCACGTAGAAGCTTTGAAGGTTTGCCGGCAGGTAGGGGTTGTTTTGTGGAGGGGCGTTCGGAGAGCCGCCTTGCTGGTACATGCCAAAGCTTGGGTCCATCATCATGTAGGGCATCATGTTGGGTACCATGTTAGGCATCGGAAGTGGTTGCAGCCCACTGAACAAGTTCGGTTGGGCAAGAGCCATGCTGAACGGGTTCAGCCCATCCATTGTCTGAGGTGTATGGTAACCCGTTCCGCTATTGAATGTATGAAGACCCTTGTTGGCGTTCAAATCTGGGGGATACTGATGGGTGGCTCGTGCTCGCTGATCGCCATCATGTTGCGTGGGAAACAACGCATTGTTTTGCTGATCTTGACCTGAGGAGGTCGGAGGAGCGCACCCAGGAGTTCCCGTGGACGCAGAGTCTCCTGCAGGTCCTGCAGCCTTCTGGGACTGTCTCCTCCGTGGCCTCGTCCTGGTCATGCTGGGCTGAGTGTCTGGCGCGGTCAATTTGTGGACCTTGTAGATATCTGAAGAAGAACGAAGTCGGAGAAGTTCTTTGGAAGCCGGCTGTCCCAAATGGGGGGGTGTTTGGCGTTGGTCACGGTTTGATGACTTTCGAGGTGACCACGTCGGAGGCTCCTTAGAGAGGCCTAACGGCGTTTGACTTGATGAGAATGATCTACTGTTTGCAACAGGTAGACGTGGTATTGATGCCACCTTGTTGAAACGAAATGAACAAATGGTTATGAGTCTCCCACCCATACCAAATGAATGTGTTGCGTTCATACAAAGTAGACGCCTAGACCAGTCGTCAGTCAATGGGGAAGAACTCGGTGGCATGATCGAAGGAGGAGACAAACGTGGTGCAGCCCGCTTGGAACAAGGCATGAGAATGAGAACGATACCTCGAAACTTTTCCAGGCCGGGTGGATGTTGGCGAAAATGAAACTCCAAATCAGGCGCTCGAAGCAAGTTACTTATAAGATGAAAGCTGTTTACTATGTGTAAGTGAAAGGAAAGATCCACCATTGGAAAGTTTGAAGCAGGCGGATTTTGCATTTTCAGGGTTCTTATCGATAATGCACCTGCTGAGTCATGAGTAACGATACTTTTTTCACTGCCGCCGCTAGACTGAGACAGAAGTAGCGAGACATGCCTACCCTTGCCCGTCGCACTCACCCCGGTCCGAAATTTGAGAGCATTCACACTCAAAACACACTTCGCATCGACCGTGAGCACTGCATGTGTATGTCTCTCTGTCTCTCCCCTTCTCCTTAGTTCGGATTTTTAATTTTCCCCTTTTTAGGACAACTATGGATTCGCGAAAGAGAAAACTACCGTCCCTCGGACTGGACAGGCGAGTGAGGGCTAGAGCTGAGCCTGAGCCAGAGCTGGATGACTTCGAGGACGAGGCGGGCAGCAGTGCACCAAGTGAAGAGGACGTCGACGAGGATCAGATTGGTTCAGAATCGGGCTCAGTAAGCGAAATTGACTCTGAGGAGCCTGTGAGTGGTATCAAATTTGACTCTGAGGTCCTTTCATTGTCTAACAGTGTTCTAGGACGACCATGATGGACCGTCCAGCGAGGAGGAGGAAGAGGAGGACGTCTCTGTCGACGCATCCAAAGTGTCCTTCGGGGCCTTGGCCAAAGCACAAGCAATGTTGCCTCAATCAGGGCGCCGCAACAAGAAAGCCGCTCAAGCGAAGGACAACTCAGACGGTGAAGACAACAACCTCTCTAGCAAACCAAAGGATGTGCCTTCAAAGAGGGACAAGCCCCCGGCCCGAAGCAGCAAGCACGCGCCCATGGAGATGACCAGCAAACGACAGGTCAGCCGCAAGCGCGAGATCATTCCCGTCAAGAAACTCGAGGCCCGGGATCCCCGTTTCGATCCTCTCATCACCAGCCGCTCGTCCTCATACAGTAACAGCAGGGCTGATGAGGACCGGGCCCGGAAGGCTTATGCCTTCCTGGACGAGTATCGGGACGACGAGATGCGGCAGTTAAAGACAGCAGTCAAGAAGGCCAAGAACCCGGGCGAAAAGGAGAAATTGCAGCGCACGCTGATGTCGATGGAGAGTAGAAAGAAAGCGAGGGATAGGAAGGACAAGGAGAGGGCGGTGGTGGAGGAGCACAGACGGCGGGAGAAGGAGTTGGTGAAGGAGGGCAAGAAGGCCAAGCCCTTCTACCTGAAGAAATCAGAGCAGAAGAAGCAGTTGCTGGTCAACCAGTTCACAGGCATGAGCGAGAAGCAGCGGGAGAAGGCTATTGAGAAGAAGCGGAAGAAGGTTGCAGCGAAGGAGAAGAAAGAGCTGCCTTTGACAAGAAGGGGGTTTGAGGAGGTATGACAGCACACGGCATCTACATGACATGGATCACAAGCATAATCAAAATCCTTAGCGATATCAATAGGATCTCAGTTCAGATTCTATCCCACGACTTACAGTGGACGGCTGTGAGTGGGATCTTTCTATGTGTTGCGCTCTATACACAAATTTTCTATCTAATGTCACATTGAAGAGACGTATCCCTTGTGGAGACCTGCGAGGCTCTCCGATATGCAGGAATAACCTTCACTACACTTTTCGCTCCATAATGCCGCTCTTGGCCACGCTCTTCTCGAACATCTCTCGACACCTGACCCGACTACCCAGCCTGGCGCAGAGCAAGAACGCACCGCTCAGCTTTCGATGCAAGCTGTATGTCTCCTCTGGTGGCGGCGCGAGCCTCTCCCGTATCATGACGGGAATCTGTGCCTTCACCCTTTCCGTGATGGTCTGGTCTCGGAAATCGTAGACCTCGGGCGCGGACTCCAGAAACGGTTCAGCAAGTGTCAGCACGCTGGCAATGTGTGCGTTTAACATGGTCTTGCTCTCATGGCCGGTCAGGTAGCCCAGCTTCTCAGAGAGGTCCTTGACGGTCTCGCGGTCCGAACGCGAGGCTGCGGCGAGGAGCTGCACATATAATGTTATAAATTGCTCGGGGTACTCGCGCGAGGCGCCGAAATCAAGCAGCACGAGGCGGTCCCGCTCAAAGTTGAAGAGGAAATTGGTCCAGTTGGGGTCTGTCTGCATGAAGTGGAACTCGATGATCTCGCGGAGGCAGAGACGGAGGATCTGTGTCCCGATCCAGTCGCGCTGCTCTTGCGTGAACGATTTGATCCGGGTGACACCCACGCCATCCATGAACTCCATGGTCAGCACTTGTCTGCCAGACGCCTCGGGGTGGATTCTTGGGACGAGAAAGACGTCGTCCTCGGCGGCAAGCAAGTCGCGGTATCTCTGGGCGCATTGTGCTTCTCGCTCGTAGTCGCATTCCCAAGCGAGTTCAGTCCGGGCGTTGTCGATTGTCTTGTTGAGATAAAGACCCTTGGGCAACAGCTTCGTGGCTGTCAGTAGTATGCCCAAGTTGTCCAGGTCGGAGTTGATGGAGTCGGCGACTCCAGGGAACTGTATTTTCACTGCCACCTTGGCGCCGTTCGATCGCAGTGTGGCTCGGTGGACCTGTCCAATGGACGCAGCGGCGATAGGCTTCTCCTCGAAATCATCGAAGAGATGTCGCCATTCTGTACCAAGGTTGGTCGCCAGGACCCGGTCCCGTTGCCAGGCTGGCATGTAGTCTGCTCGATCCTGCACTCTTTGCAGGACCTCCTGGATAGGGGCCGGCAGCATCTTGGAGTCCTGGAAGCTCATCATCTGACCGAGCTTGAGTGCAGCGCCTCTCATCTTGGACAGCTTGGCGACCAGTCTCTCCATATTTGCCGGGCTGAGCATGAGGGAGCCCTCGCTTCCTCCGCCGGTGACCCTGCTGAAGCTCTCACCGATGGCTCCAGCAAACATGCCTGCTGCCAGACCTCCATAGTTCCATATTCGCCCAAGGCGAGATGATGGCACTCTAGACTCCCTCAACTCATAGTTGGGCGTCGCTGCTGCTGCGGCGCCCAGGAGCTGTCCCATCTCAGAGGCGTCTTCTTTCGAGACTGACTTCTCTGCATCGCTAGTGGGCCTGACGCTGTTTTCATCGGCCGTAGGATCTGGAGTTGTATACGTGGCAACCTCTACTTCCTCCGTCTCCCGATGACTCTCATACATTGCTGCCGACTGAGCCTCCGTAGCAGCGGACTCTGTATCATTTGCTGCGGTTCTCGGAGGAGGCGGGCCATCCTGCATTGCTTTCCCATTCAGCTGCTCCAGAATGCTCGACGCATGGCCAGTGCGGAATGCACTCAGGTCAAAGCCTTCAGTCATTTTGGGCTTCTCAAGACGGTTCTTCTTATCCCCCTTCCACAATGGACTCAGCCTGCTTCCACGGCTTGTCCGAAAGAGGTCCAAGTTTATGCCCTCCGGTATGGATTTCTCAACCTCCTCAGCCTCTTTTTTGACGGCATCTGAAGGCTGTGCAGCACTGCCCTTCGTTTGCGTCGTCTCCTCTCTTACAGGATCGAGATTTTGCGGCGTCGGGAATGCCGTAGAAATTTGCCGGCTCGCCGGCTCCTTGGCATCTTGCGGCGTTGAGAACCGAGTAGTGGCCGAATTGTCCTGCGCCCTCGGACTGCTTGCTGCGGTGGGAGCCTCGAACTCGCCAGCCGATGCTCTCGGGACCCCCTCCCTCAGGATGTTGGTTGCCGCATCGTCGGGCGCCTTTCCGGGCGTATCCGGCTCCTGCTCCGCGCTCTGGGCCGCTGAATCGGCGCCAGCTTCATCGCGACGAGCTGTCTTCGGCTCCGTCTCGACAGTCTCATGGCCCTTCTGCCTCGACCTCCAGGCGGCAGCGACACTCGACGTCCGCCCATAGCGATCAAGCTGACCTCGCCTCAGGGCGACGTGCCTTGAGGCCACTGAGCGGGATGCGCCGAGCACTGCTGCCAGGTCGATGGCGAAGTCGACAAGCCCCATCCTCTGAAGTGAATTCCCTCACGCTATTGAAGACAGTATGAAGCTCTCATTTTTGGTTGCATAAGTGTTCCAAAGTCATAAGAAAAGAAAAGAAAGGTGTTGAGTTGCTATTGAGAAAGATGCGGCCCCGAAATTGTTGGACCTTGCATCATGGATGTAATAATCCCTGCAGCCCTAAATATGGGCCACGGCAGGCAAAGACTACCACTATCAGGGATCCTTCGACGGGGATGCCCTATTGTACCTGAGGATGTATATAAACGGAAGGTTGGGTGGGCCAAAACAGATCATCCAGGCTTGGTTCCGGAATTATTATTTTTATTGTAATCTTTTTGTCCCCATCCCAGCTCAAAGTCTTCCCAAGAAGCTGTAGTATGTTGCGATAATTTTCCGTCTACTGCCTTTGTCTAATATGCCGGCACCCATGCCATCTGCCATCTCGAATTGTGTATGTGTGCTTTCTTTCTTCTTCCCCGCTGAATCAGCCAGCAGGGTAATGTCAGCTCAGATGTTTAGTCTTTCAGTTTACCCATATTCTCTGTGGGTAAAATGTAAAATGTAGTGCATATGAACTGTCGTCCTTTCCTCTTCGTGGAATTAACGAATTGGCGAATAAGGTGTGATGACTGACTGAACCGACGTCGAAACTCGGATCAAGGGGCTCGCAGCCCACGGTACATACATCGCTCATGCACAGACTTGACCAGCTCAAGGGACAGGGGAGATCACCGATGCCATATGCGGTGGTTGCGGGAATTACCTATGCTGGGGGGCGGTCAGTATGTGAATTGCTGGATGGCCGTGGAAAGACATTCAATCTAGCAGTCCGTCAGCCTTTTATGTGCAGTTGACTTGAGCATCTAGTTCACAAACGAAGATGCTGCGTTGTATCGTTTTCCAGTAGTGATGTCTTCCTTGATAGACATTGTTGATCACTCTATGGGTATCGTATGTATCGCTTGTAGAAACTGCAATGTCGATGTTGATGTCTTTGTCACTTCGTCATGTTCTTTAGTCCCGACCCTCTGTTCTTCGGCGTCACGGTGTCTGAAAACGGTGTCTTGTCCGAGGCTTTCTTAGAACCGCCGATCTTGCTCCAAAGCCGCTGAGCAGCAGGAGTCAGTTCTCCAGAAACTCGTGGGCTATTTGGAAACTTTGGGACTGGTGTCTGCTCAACCTTGCCCACCAGACCCATCTTCGCTGACGTTCGTTTCGACTGTGCTATGCGATCGACCATGCGGTGGTGGAGACCCTCTCGTTTTCTCTGATCTTGGATTTTGAATGGGTTTGGTGTGGCATCTCCAGGACCGAGATCGATGGCTGGCACGCTCGCTACTGGCTCTTCCTCTTCGTCATCCACGAAGGCATACCCGTTCACTCGCGGCGTCTCGTTCCCACCAGCAAAAGTCGAATCTCGATCTCCTGGCCTAGGTCGTCCCGCAATCGCATCTCTGACAGCCGACAAAGTCGGAGACGGCGGCCGTGAAGGTTCATGCGCGGTAGCTGGACCAGGCACCCTCGTGTTCTCATACACAATCATTTTTGGTGGTGCTCGCGAGGCTGCCTGAGCCCGCGAGGCTACAGTCTCTGCCACAACATCATCGACACCATCAGGGGCGAACATGAGCGCATTCATTGGAGCCGCCTTCCACGTATCTGGCATGGCGGGTCTGTCGTCCTTGTCCTCGATTGCAAGTCTGGTCCTCTCAAATCCGTCATCCACCAGGCTCACACCGCTCGCAGCAAGTTTCGCCTTGACCTCCATCTGTTTCAACTCTTGCTTGGAGGGAAGCTTGTTGCCTCTCCATAGCCATCCGTACTTCCCCGCCCTCTTCTGGTTCTGCTTGTCCAGAAGCTTGTAAAAACTCTCGTTGTCTTCGCTTGTGTACTTTGCCTGAAACGCCCCAAGGCTCATGTTGGTATCAACCTCCGGCCGCTTTACGGTTGTAGAAGGTGCAGTGGATATGCTGGTCATGGGTGTATCGCCTGTATAGCCCACCGGCGTCTGTCCAACAGACTGCGTCGGTGTCTGTATCGGCCGTTTGAGCCTACGCTGTCGGCCGGGAGTCATAACCTGCTTGAGCCGCCGACCGGCGCTATTGATCCACAACTTGTCCTTGGATTCAAGAGCGTCGAGGTACTCTTGCTGTGTCTCGCTTTCCAGCAGGCCCGGGAAAAAATCACGCGCTATGATCTTGGAGAGCGCATCGGTGTATGTCTCTTCGTCGATGACTTTCTTGGGTCGCTTTATCTTCTTCGTGGGCGGTGGCGGGGGCATGAGAGCCATCTCGGCATCTCTTTTGCGCACAAGCGCAGAAGATGTCTGGCTGGTATCCGTCATGATTTCGCGTCTGTGGTTGTGCTGTTGTTGGCTTGATAAAGTTGGAAGAGGAAGCCTGGGAGAAGGAGAAGATGTCAAGGGGCGAGGTGTCAGATCAGCACAGGCCACAAATACTGCCCAATTAGTAGTAGCGCATCGTGGGGTAGACCCCTGCACGTTGATAGTAGCGATAAGATCGTCGAGGGGTTAGTAGCACAGCGGCACTAGCTATTTCGCCTTGCATGGAAACCTTTCGAATGCGCGCCGACAGGACAACCTTACAACAGGAAATCTGACTTGGTCCTACAGTCTCTAACTTGGCAGCCTGTTCGTACGGAAGTTACAGTCCGGAGCAATATCATTGAGGCTGCACAATTCCGGTTCCCTCACTTTCTTTCGTTATTTTTTTCCTTTTGAAGCATCCCCAACAGCTTGTCTTTGCTCGCCACCTCCACCTTCTTTGCTAAGCGCTGCCGCGACGTGGTTGTAATGGCTCCCTCAGAGGAGGACAAGGTCAAGGCTGTTGACCTCAAGAACCAGGGTAACGAGGCTTTCAAGAAGCATGACTGGCAAACGGCCATAGATTTCTACTCTCAGGCGATCAAATTGAACGACACAGAACCCACATACTTCGCAAACCGGGCACAGGTATGAAACCCGAGGCCCGGCCACAGCTCATACTTGGTCGCGTGACTGACCGTGTCGCACTTGTTCCTAGGCCTACCTGAAGACAGAAGCGTTCGGCTACGCTATTTCAGATGCCACCAAGGCGATCGAGTTGAATCCAGGCTTCGTCAAGGTGGGTGTTTTCCCCAATCCCAAGTAGGGTTGGTAGAGGAGGAGTTTTGTGGCTGACGGTAGAAATCTGCATAGGCTTACTACCGCCGCGCTGTCGCCCATGCCGCCATCTTGCGACCGAAAGATGCTCTTCAAGATTTCAAGACCTGCACTAAGATCGACCCGGGCAACAAGGATGCGAAGCTCAAGCTCGTCGAGTGCCAGAAGATCGTGCGCCAACTCGACTTCTTCGCCGCTATCGAGGTCACCGACGCACCCTCTGCTGCGGAAGGCCTGGATGTTGATTCAATCGCTGTCGAGCCGGAATACGACGGCGTCAAGCTCGACAAGGAGATGACGCAGGAGTTCATCGAGGACATGACAGAGAGGTTCAAGAACGGCAAGAAGATACATAGGAAATACGTTTATCAGATCATCATGGCTGTCAAGAAGCTTGTCTACGATGAGCCAACAATGGTGGAGGTTGAGATCCCCGAGGATGTCAAGCTCACTGTCTGTGGCGATACTCACGGTGCGTTAACCCCCCCCCCCTCCCCCCCCATCCGGCTCCGAAAGGAGACTGACCACGTGAGTTCAGGCCAATACTTCGATCTTATGGAGCTCTTCAGGTTGAATGGAAAGCCGGACGACAAGCACTGGTATCTCTTCAATGGTGACTTCGTTGACCGAGGCTCATGGTCCACCGAGATTGCTCTATTGCTATACGCCAACAAATGGCTGCGGCCCAAGAACTTCTTCCTGAATCGTGGAAACCACGAGACAGACGACATGAACAAGGTCTATGGGTTTGAAGGAGAGTGCAAAGCCAAGTACAACGAGCGGTAAGCAGAATCACTGCCTTGTATAAGATTGCGGTCATGCTGACTATACTGACTCGGGTTTTATTCAGTATCTTCAAGCTCTTCTCGGAAAGCTTCTCGGCACTGCCTCTGGCAACGCTGATAGGTCAGAAGTACTTTGTCCTCCATGGAGGTCTGTTCTCTGACGACAATGTCACCCTGGACGACATCCGCAAACTGGACCGACACAAGCAGAGGCAGCCGGGCCAGGCTGGGTTGATGATGGAGATGCTCTGGACAGACCCTCAGACCGAGCCCGGCCGTGGCCCAAGCAAGCGTGGCGTCGGCATGCAGTTCGGTCCCGATGTCACCAAGCGCTTCTGTGAGAAGAACGGCCTGGAAGCTATCATCCGGAGTCACGAGGTTCGCATGGAAGGTTACGAGGAGGAGCACGATGGAAAGTGCATCACAGGTAAGCTAGTGTGGTTGAAGTCATTGCAGGGTCGACTTGCTAACACCGCGCTATAGTCTTCTCCGCGCCCAAGTACTGCGACATGACGGAGAACAAAGGTGCTTACATCAATATCGGATCTACGTACAAGTTGGATTTCCACAAGTTTGACGCTGTTCCTCATCCTAACATTCGACCAATGGTAAGATTTCCGACGCCCCTCTCCTCCTCTTTTCTACCCCAAAACCATTGCTGACCTGATCTTAGGCATACGCCAACAATTCGATCATGTCTTCTGTGATGTAGGGTTCGAAGGACTCTGGACCATTTCAGCGTGACTCCTGCATATAGATACAGTTTATGGAAGCATACCCGCGGAGTTGGTTCATAGGCTCTCTGACCGCGGCGTTTTGATTTTGCGTGGGAAACGGTGGAAGGCGAGCTTCGGTCCACACAAGCAGGCGGGATGCGATGTTCAGTTGCTTTCTCAAACAAGCACCATGGCATCCAAAAAGGTCCGGCTGGTTTCGGTGGTCATGGCAAGGCCGGGTGACAACAACAGATCCAGGATGGTAATTTCAATGGTCATTTATGCGCGAGGGCGATGTCGGAAAGAGTAAAATCATGGTCCCCCCCATATCTTCTGCTGGTCATGTCTTCCCACGAGCGCGCCCAGCCAGTCTCCTGCTGCGCAGATTCTGATGCCAGAGACTGGTCCCGATCCGGTCCACGCCGTTAAGGCACTAGAAAAGGCTCCCAAATCTTGTCGAGGCATGCGCACCCAACACTCTCGCCCAGCAACTTTGAGGATGTCGATGGGTATGCCCATTCCAGTAAGGCCTAGAAACTGCCTCAGCGCGGATGTGAGGAACTGGCGGAGCATCAGCTCGTCTAATACCAGTTCCTGCGTAGCGGTGGTGATGAGTTCCAAATGGGCATAGGCGTGAGGTGGGGTCTTGATGGTGGTGCTGTATATATCGTGAGACTTAGTGGAACTTTTTGATTTCGTTTTCTTCGCCTTGGTTATAGCCTCATCTACAGCCGTGTCGATATCCATTGTGTCGGCCATATTGGTGCTTTTCAACAGGAAGTGAGTTATTGGGACTCGTCGTTGAGGACTGAATCGATAGTCACTGGGAAAATAACTGCAGACTCAGGGTCGAGTCTTCTAGCAGGGCCATCCCTGCACTACATGTGCCTGCCGGTGCAGCCTCCACATGCTCCCTGTAATGATCGCTCTCCTGCAGCTCTACCTCAACCTCAACTCTCTACCTTAAACATTTTAAGTATCCAAGGGAAAGCAAGCCGCCTTGTCTCCCACGACAAAGAGCATCTTACAACGACGTGCTTAGTCTTCCCCAAGCAAAACTGAAAAGGCAGCTTCACCGCCAATAACAATAATAACAATTCACGTCAACGACATCATATTCCTACGATCGCATCTATCAAACCCTACTCTTACTCGCTCCACGATGGACAAGTTCAGCTCCGAGACGCAGCGCAGAGGCAAACGTGCCTGCATGGTCTGCTCCATCGTCCTACCAAAAACAGTGCGTCCTCCACCTCTTCCTTTCATCAAGCACGTTCCTAAACCCTACTGAAGACGATCTTCCTCCCTATTCTATGTAACGCTTGCTGCTGTTCTTTTCGCTAACGCTTGATCCCACCTCATCAGGAGTTCAAGCGCAACGGATGTCCCAACTGCGAAGAGTACCTGCACCTCGCCGGCAACGAGGAGGCCATCGAGCTATGCACATCGTCCGTCTACGAGGGCCTCATCGCTCTTGCCGACCCCGCCCGCTCCTGGGTAGCCAAGTGGCAGCGCATCGACAAGTACATCAAAGGCACCTACGCCACCAAGGTCATGGGCACCTTGCCTCCTGATGTCGTCACGAACCTGCTGGAGGAGTATAATATCCGGTATATACCGTGAGTCTACACCGCACATTATAGGTCTATTCTCTGGGTTTCTGCACGCAGCCGCGCTTGGATGCTTGGCTGCCTGTCTGTACAGGGACCGTCCTTGTACAAGGTGTTTAGATGGTGCAGGTCAAGAGGGGTGCACATGAAGCTGACAGTGATACAGACGTGATGGGAGTGCGGGCAATGATGATTAAAGGCACGTAGCGACTCCGATCTGATGGTTGAGCTGAGAGGTGGGGCTTCTGAATCTCAAGAGGCATAACGCCCACTGCCTACGACACGACTCGAACGTCTTGCGGAGCTTGCACATATCCTTGATGGTGACTGGGCGAATGACATTCCAGACATTGATACTGTGGACCGAGATGGTTCAAAAATACAGGTTTCGATCAGAAACATCAACGTGGAGCTGCAAATTTCTGGCCAAGGTGCAGAGGCACAGGCAGTGGATAACTTAAAAAAAAAAAAGGTCACGCAGGGTTGCCAGAGCGCAGTGGAGGTAGCGTTACTGTTACCTTTTTAAGGACAAGGACAAGGGGCGACTTGATGCTATTGAAGGCCTGACGATGCTGGGAGATTGAATCTGGGGATCCACCACTTGTGGAGAGAAGAGTCTTGCTGCAACTGAAAATGAAGGGCAGGGCGGCTGGCTCTTCATGATGAATAGATCAATGGCGCAAGAGAGGGAAGCGCGGCGTCGTGCCATATGAAGTGCCGCTCTCGAGCGCATTCTAAAGCAGACCTGAAAAGGCAGAAGAGGCAGCGGTCGGACTTGCGAGCCTACTCAAAACCAACAAGGGGTAGACAACAGCAGCATGGTTCATGCAAAACGGTTGCTGTGATGGGGGTGCAATATAGCATTGAAATGAGTAGCCGAGGACTGCACGAATTTTTTTTTAAAAAAAAAATTGACCAAACCAAATACCAGACCAGTAAGCCATACAGAAACGCAGCACAGGAGCTATCCCCGTTGCAAAGAAAAGAAGAGAAAGAAAGACACGGTCCAGGCCTCTGGGTGCCGCCGATGTGACTGGAGTTGACGGCTGGGTTTCCAAGTCTGTTCTTTGAGTTGATCAAACCATTGTGTATATATGCTTCTATAGCTGGAAACCCTCCAAGAAGTAGCCTTTCTCCACTACTACAGACGGAAATTAGATATACATCTTACTACAGAGATACGTGTCCAGGCTGAACGTCATGAAGTCAAAACAGAAGGCTCTTGCGTCTAAAGGGTATCATTGCTGCACAAATATCGCAAGTCTTGTCTAGCCAAAACGAGGCCTCTTGTTCGTTCCTCTCCCAGCCAACCCACCACCTCCCGCAGGTTCCCGCGCCCGTTTCCTCTCCATCTCCTCCCGCATGATCCTCTCTGCTTCGCTCATCTTCTTGGGCTGCTCGATCTTGAACGACTTCTTGGCGCCGCCCGACAGAGCATTCTTCTTGGCCTGGGCAAAGACATTCTTCGGCTGAGGCTTCGCGCCCAGGGAGAAACCCCCCCCCGGCTTCGATGGCTCTGCGGGCTTTGCTGGCTCTGCTATGTCCTTTTTGTTGGTGGTGTCATCATCATCATCTGCTGCTACTTCTGCTGCTGGCGTGCCGGGTTTGGACTCTGGTGGTGTATCGGCCTTTTTCTCAGCTGGCTTTACGCCGAATGACAGCTTGATCTTCTCGCCATCCTCAAGCCTGAACCCCTTCTTCTTCTTCTTCTTCTTCTTCTTCTCCTCCTCCTCTCCCCCGTCGCCTTCTCCCTCCTCCTCCTCCTCCACCACATCCGGCGCCCCCTTCCCCTTCCTCCTCTCCTCCGCGGCCCTCTCAGCGCGCTTCTGCTGCTCCCGAATCATCCGCAACTCCCGCTCCTCATCCCCCTTGTCCATCATCTCCTTCTTCCGGATCGCCTCAGCCCGCTTCAGCGCCTCGGGGCTATTGTCGACCCACGCAATGTGCAAGCCCTTGTCCGTCTCCTCGACGCGGCAGATGCCCTCCCGCCCGAGGTACTTGGCATACTCGGTCAGGCTGGGCCACCTCGTGGCGTTCATGTGCACGTGCTCCTTGTTGGCGATGTACTCTTGGTAAAAGTGGTTGATGTGCACCGCCTTTGTGCCGTGCGACGTGCGCAGCTGCTGCAGGAAGTCGCGGTTGAACTGTGTGCTGAACTCGTTGATGGCCTTTTTGGGGTCCTCGCCCACGACGAGCATCTGCCGCACGTGCGACTCGCTCTGTACGTGCATCTTGAAGCCGTTCTCGTCGCGCATCTGGCGCTCGCAGACTTGGCAGTACCAGCGTAGGCGGCCGAGGCCTTTGGATTTTTGTTGGTTCGAGACCCATTTTGTGCTGCCTACTTCGGCGCGGCCCATCTTTTGGGTGTTGGTGCTGGGTTGGCTGGAAAGGAAAAAGGGGTGGAGGGGGTGGCGGAGGGGTGTTGTCGAATTTGCAAACAGAAGTCGTGTGTCGTTTTGAGGGAGGGTGTGGGTTTCGCAGCCAGTAGAGGCCGTGCGCGGTGGTGACGCTGCCGTGGTTCTTGGTGAACGGTGTTGAAGGTCGCTGGTGGCAGAAAGTTGATGGTTGAGATACGGTAAAGGTTGGGTTAGCATGTGAAGATTAATTTCGGTGCACTGGGTATTGTTACACTGGGGTCGCTCCGATGTGGGGTGACTTGCGGCTTCCGTGGCCGTATTTACACCCGGGGGTCCCCGTCCAGGCAAGTAAAGTTGTTGGTCGCCACAACAGCAACAAGACAAAAAGACGACAAACATAACTGCAAAGCAGTCTGGCAAGTATACATGACCCGGTGCCCGTCTGTCTAGAGCTTTGGTTCTTTGCATATCTAAGTAGAAAGATGCCCAACCTTCTAAGTACTGTATGCTATAGCTATGCATCATCTTTTCAAATCATTTTCCTTTTCCTTTCTCTCCTTTTTTTTTCTTCTACCTATCATCCTCTATGCCAGAAGGTAACCCAGAGAGGTGCATCTATCTCTGCTTCATTCTAAAAATGTGAAGAGGCTCGTATGAAGTACATTCATGGCCCTCGTCGCATCACGGGCGTCAATGACGCACGAGATATTGATCTCGCTTGCTCCTATAGCCACAGGGTATTGTTAGAGTGAGACAAGAAAACAAGAAGAAAGGACAAGGAAAAAAGACTTGGACAGACGTACCCTGTGAAATCATCTCAATGTTGACATTGTGCCCGCCGAGCGTTGTGAACATTTTGCCGGCCACACCGATCATGTTCTTCATGTCCGCGCCGACCAGGCTCAGGATAGCCATGCCGTGCAGCACACTAACATCGCCGCACTCGGCCAGCTCCTTGGTGGCCAGTTCGAAACCCTCGGTCTCGGAGCTCTGCAGGTGAATCGCCATCGACACGTGCACCTCACTCGTGGAGATGAGGTCGACCGAGATCTTGTACTTGTCCAGGATCATAAACACGCGCGCCACGAACCCGTGCGCGATGGACCTCTTGTTGGAGTGCACGTTGATGACTGAGATCTTGTCCTTGATGGTGACAGCCGTGGGCCGTTTGGGCGTCTTTCTTGCCAGGTTGATCTCGCTCGGCCTCGAGCGCTTCAGCTCGTGACCGGGCGCCAGCACTGGGTCTGGGACGACGATGGTGCCGGCGCCGCGTGGATTCTTGACGTTCTTGATGCGCACCGGGATCGGCGGGGTCGCCTTGATCACCTGGTCCATCGTGAGATGGTGGATGACCTCGGACCCGTAGAAGGTCAGCTCGGCGGCCTCGGACGGCGTGATGGACGCCAACAGCCGCGCCGTGGGCACCTTGGTGGGGTCAGCCGTGAAAATACCGTCGACCTCCTTCCAGATCTGCAGCTCGTCCGCGCTGAGGCCCACCGCGACGAGCGCGGCGCACAGGTCGGTGTAGCCCCGCCCGACATCGCCGTCCATCAGGCTGCCAGGGACGTTACCGAAGAAGCCAGTGATGACGGGGACGCGGTCCTCGCAGGCGGCGACCTTGGCTTTGAAGATGGCTGCTGCATCACGGTAGAAGAAGGTGTCGAGGCGCACTGCGCCGTCCGTGTGCAGCGCATCGGCAAGGTCGACGTATTCTGCCTCCACATTCTGCATTCCGAGGTTAGCTACATCGCCTCATCTTCCTCGAGGGGCACGTGCAAGAAGGGGACACGCACCCTGTCTCTTAAGACATATGCCATAAATCTGCAGCTCAACCTCTCACCAAAACTGACGACACGGTCTTTGGATCTTGAGTTGATCTCGAGCTTGAAGCGTTTTGAGGCCTGAATGTACTCGACGAGCTCCTGGCACTCATTTTGGATATCCTGCTTTAGTGACTCCCTGAGCTCAGGATCTCGGACAGATGACTCTGCGGCAGCGATGTGGTCGTTGCAGATGTCTTGTATGATGCTGTTGGCCTGCTCCGTCAACTCAGTCTGCATGGCATGTTCGCCAGTCGCAGCGTCTATATTCCGTAATCTCCTGAAGACCTCGAGGAGTCTTCAGTTTTAGCGCCGCAAGTGAGTGATCTGTCAGCCGAGGATGTCCATAACGATGGGCCTTGGCCAGGCTCATCAATAGCACCAGGTTCAGATTGGTAATGGACCACACACTCACCGACTTGTGGTGCCCGTGACCTTCTTCCCCGAGCTTCGTGCTGAGCAGACGATAGCGACCTTGTTGTCACTCATACTCGCCCTGCCCCATCATGAGTCAGTCAGCACGCCTGGGGCTGAACAGCAGACCGCACCAGCACGGTGGGCGACATACCTGACGATGTCCTCTGCTATCTGCGGACAGAATGATGATCATCAGCTTACTTGCTATCAAGATTGAGAGGGTTGCAAACAAGGACCAAGCACGAGGATAGCATAAATCGACCACACACTGCAACCGTACCTTTTCCGGCCATTTGCCCACGCTGGTGCCACCAAACTTCTGAACCACCCAGCCATTTGGGCAATTATTCCTCACGACAGACTTCATCATGACGGCCTCTCCCATTGAGTGCCTGTGTATTGATGACAGATAGTTCCTTCTCTTCAAGAAACGACAGGACGATGATACAGATTTAAAAACCACCCGGGACCGCCTGGAGTCCTTTTTTGAGGAACGGTGGTCGATTGAGCGAATATGGGTTGGAAATGGCTCGCAGGAATGAAGGACTGGTTGCGAACCTTGGAAATTCGACGACGTTGACGTGAGTCAATTGGGTGGAGCAAAATCACCATCCAGTCGAGCGGTGCAAGGATAATGGAGAAGGGGTCCAGGAGGGAAACGAAAGAGAGAGAAGGGGAGGGGTGGGAAGAGAAAAAATTAGGAGGGACTAATTGAATAGAGTCACCCGAGTATCCTTTCGAATCTCGTTATGTCTTGAGCCACTGTGACCTCACTTCACGTCGATTCATGTGACTCTTTGGCAGATATAACAGAGCATAGCCACCAGCAAAATCATACAGCCTTCTCAATAAAAATCTTGGTTCACATAAGAAATGTTTCTATAAGGAGAGGCTGCCATTCTTCTTTCCTTCCTTTTTTAATCTTTTTTTTTTTTTTTTTTTCGAGTTTGGAGGGGCTGGAGGGGTCTAGTTGGCACGTTGTTTTTCTTTTTTGACTAGCGGGCCACCATGCCGACCCCGGAACTTGAGCCCCACTATTCAGCTGCAGCATCAGAGGCAAGCACTGCCGAGATCGCCTTTACTGCTGGGCTGCAACTGCTGCAAGTATTCAGAACCTTAATTAGTCCTCACTCAACTCAGTGTGGAGCAGCAGATGGCGTTTCACTCTCCTACAGGTACCTGTTCGCCCTCTAAAGTCCTATTAGGGCAACAACAGGAAGAGGAAGAAACCCAGTTCCCTTTATTCAATAAAAATTCACTAGTGGACAAAGTACAAGGCAGCCCAGCGCAAACATGCTATGGTATGTTCGTCCCAAACATACACTACTAATTGATGAAGAAGAATGGCCTTGGTTTGCCACAGTACAAAGCCGTTTATGATTGCTCAAATTTCCTCGGCACCAGGTACACGTTCAGAGCCTGTTTCTCCCACAGCAGATAAATCTTTTGCTCGCGGATCCAGTTTTGGCTGTCCTCGGCAAGCTTCAGGTCGAAATTCCACAGCGTGCGGGCGAGGATGACGCGCATCTCAACATATGCCAGACTGCATTGGGAAGAAGATGGTCAGTTTTGCTACACGGAAATGCAATTCGAAGGGGAGCGGAGCGAAACAATATCACGGCTTACTTTCTGCCCACACAGTTCCTCGGTCCAACGTGGAAAGGCTGGAATATATCACGATTGTCAGTGGCAAACCTCGGGTCCCCAAGCCAGCGCTCTGGGTGGAACTCCTCAGGTGCCGTGAAGAACTCCTCATTGTGGTACAGGGCATAGTGGTACTGAGACACAATCGTCTGCAAGAGGAGGATGAGGACGAGGCAACTCATGATTAGCAAAGGACATCCACGTGTGGCTTGCAGTGTCATGTCAACCTGGGTAGTCACTTACATCCTCGGCGACATAATGCCCGGCAATGGTCCAACCCCCCTTGGGCACCGAGCGAGGCAAGCCCAGCGGCGTGGGAGAATAGATGCGCAGCCCCTCGTCGAGACAGGCCAGGAGGTAATTCAGCCTGCTCGCCGACGCAAAATCGATCTCATCCTCCCTCTGGAACGCGGATCGCACCTCGGCCGTCAGCCTGGCCAGCTTGTCCGGGTTCCGACCGAGCAGGTACGTGACGCCCGAAAGTAGCGTGGCCGTGGTCTCTGATCCGGCAACGATCAGCCCGCTACACGACAATTGTAGCCTGTGGACGTCCATGACGATGTCGTCGTCGTCATTGTCGTCATGATGATGATCATTCTTCCCCTTCTCCCCCACGTCCTGGTGCTTTCGCAGTAGGCCCTCGATCAGGTCGGGTCGTGAGGCACCCATGTTCATGCGCTTGAGAAGCTTCTCCTTGGTGAGCTTGAGGTGTTCTTCGCGCTTCTTGGCCAGGCCGCGGGGTACGAGCGCCATCACGAGGCGCTGGACCCAGGGGAGGGACCTGGACGTCAGCCCGTAGGCGCCGAACTTAATGCCTGCGAAGATCATAGAGACCCAGGGGTGGTAGTCGGAGTTCTCAAGACAGCCGAAGGGCTCGCCAAAGGTCAGGTCGCCGATGACATCGAACGTGGTGTAGTTGTACCCTACGGCACACAAGTATGTCAGGCACATACATACACACACACACACACACACACACACAGAGAGAGAGAGAGAGAGAGAGAGAGAGAAAGAGATGCATCATAGCAAACTACTCACACTTGACCATGTCCAGCTTGTTGGTCCCGCCCTGGGAGTTCTCATGAAGCCGCCTGATCAAAAGGTCGACATACCGCATGATGATGGGCTGCTGCTCCCGCATGCTCCGCTCGCTGAACCCATGCGCCAGCAGCCTCCTCAGCTTCCCGTGGTCGTCCCTGTCGGCGTTGAGTAGAGTCGTTGGCGCGTTTGCCCTCCCCCGGTAAAAGATCTTGGCCTTTTCCATCTCGGGTTCCCCTGCCGCGCGATGGCCCATGATGTCCCGCCAGGCACGCGCGTCCGCGAAGACGAGCTCGTCAGGGGCGATGCGCACCACGCTACCATATGTCTTGTGCAGTTCGAGAACCCTAAAGGGAAGACGTCCCGAGAGGAGGTGGAAGCAATAGGGCAGACGGCTCGTGCGCATGAGCAAGGGGCCTGGGAATGATCGTAGTGGGTGGAAGAAGATGTTGTATAGAACCGAGTAGGCGAGGTAGCCGATGATCTTTTGAGGATGGGTGAATGGTGTGTTAGTCTATTGCAAGATGGCTTCTGATAACTTCGTCTGAACCACCAGGGTGAGTCAACAAGGAGGTTGAGAATTAACTTACAGCGACAAAGGCCATCACGAATAAGCTGCCCAGATGAGGCCTCATGACACTCAGAATAGCCATGGTGAACAACAACTATTCGATATTCCTTCACGAGAACAAATGATGGTGACTATGATAATGATGATCTTTCACCGTTCTTCTCCATAAGAAAAAGAGAAAGAAGACAATCGAGGTAATCATTTCTTATAAATACACGATTTCACAGAGTACGATATTATATATATGCAACCCAGGACATCCGGAATTGGGGCGAAATCCGTAGCAGCTGTCCCGTGTCATTCTCGAAATGATCCCCTTCTAAATGCAAGTGCCAGCATATTCATCCTTTTTCATCTTTTTTCCCCATTCTTTCTTTGATGCTCATTCATCCAACCTTGCCGCTGTAACGTTGTCGATCAGCATGTTTTTTTTGGTATTCGTGTCTGCCAATAGAGTAGTTATAGGCTACTGCAACTACAACAGTACATGCACGCTATGCCGTCCTATCCCGCTCCCGCCTGTCAGCTGCATGTTACAGGTAAAATGGTGACTCTTCGGCGTATGAGAAGTATGGACTGTAGCAGGCGTGCTTTCTGCAAAACAGGCAGCCTTTTGTTTTTCTTTCTTGCCCCGCTTTCTTCCTCCTCTTGTTTATCTGTTCTTCAATGAGTCAGTTGCATCTTAGGGCGACATACGGAAGTCCTCGATGCTGGGCCCGCATGTACCGTATGTCTGTGACTGAGGTTGGCATGCTTTATCCAGGCCGTATAGTCGGACTTCGACAGAATGGGCTATTTTATTCGAGCCGTACAGTGGAGTTGCTGCATAAGTAAGGTAATTAAGAATAGGGGAGAGGAAGAGAAGTTTCCGGAGCGACGGGGTTCGGGCAGATGGTTGCAGGCCTTAAGCCCGTATTACGAGGATGTATATAGTGGTATTCAAGGTACCCTATTGCTTAGACGGGCGAACGTGCACAGGTCGTACTCGCGCCCTTTTTGAGTAGACACAGGATACCATCTGTCGCAAGCTTGTGGAACTACATATTGTTGTGCGGAAATGTGGCGTTGATGTGCCTTTTTGTCAAGGTTGGCTTGTGTTGCGGTAATGAAGTACACTTTCATGGGAAAGCATGCTTGTACTAGACTTATGCAGAACATTCGAGCTGCTGTCATGATAGTGGAGAGGAGAAGAAGATCCTAATGAATTTTCTTTCCTTTGCTTTCTTCCTGTGTGTTTTTCTTTTCTACTTTATAAAAACATTTGAGCGGCGATATTGTTTACTATTTTGTTTATATATGTAAGAAAAAAAAGGATCTCCAGAGGACTCGCTAAGGGGCGTGTAATCACCCGAACATCACGTGTAAACATCGCGCAACGTCCCAAGGCAAGCCAGTCTGAACGGGCGGTAAAGCTTCAAGAGTCAAGTTGGACCTCATACCAAGTAGGCCGACCAGTCCGTATTCACCGAGACGTATCATACAAGATACCCAAGTCGCTTTTGTTTCGATAGCACGCAAGCTGTCTATGCCCCTGTCCTTTTGACCGGCCACAACATATTACTCCTTCCTCTCCCCCACCTTTTCATGAACCTGTTCCGCCTCGTCCTCTACCTCGTCTTCCGCCAGGTCGTCCTCAATCTCCTCTGTCTCGGTGACGTGCGGTGAATTTCTCGCCTGGCGCTGATCGGCAGGGATCTCACCACCGCTCATCTGCCATTCCATCAGCCTGCTGAAGGCGCTCTCAGGGTTGGCGCTCAGCTCGGTGTAACTGCCAGTCTCCGCCACAGTGCCCTCGCTCGAGAGCACGATAATGCGGTCTGACCGTTTGATGGTAGACAGACGGTGTGCGATCGAGATGGTCGTGCTGCGGCCCTCGAGCAGCTTGGCCAGCGCAGAGTTCACGAGGGTCTCGGATTCGGCATCCAGGGCGCTTGTCGCCTCATCCAGGATAAGAATGTCCGGATCTTTCAGGAGCGCTCGAGCAATAGCAATGCGCTGCTTCTGGCCACCCGACAGTTGAGCGCCACGAGCACCGACTTGCGTCTCGAGACCCTCGGGAAAGTCGCTGATGAAGCCACAGTTGGCCTTCCTGGCCGCCATGATGATCTCGGTTCGGGAGGCGTCTGGCCTGCCGTAGGCAATGTTCTCGGCGACCGTGCCTGAGAAGAGTACAGGCTCTTGCGCAACCATGCCGATGCGGCGCCGCAGCGACTTGACATTCATGTCCTTGATGTCTACACCATTTATGGTGATACTGCCCGTTGTAGGATTATAGAAGCGCAAAAGCAGGGAGGCCACAGTCGACTTGCCACCGCCTGATGGGCCCACAATGCACACGTTGCTGCCGGATGGAATTTCGAAGTCGATGTTGCGAAAGATAGATACAGCCGGTCGTGTAGGATAGGCGAAGCTGATGCCATTGAAGCGAATTGGACCCTGGGCGGAGATGACCTTCTTGCCGACAGTAGCGGGGATGGTAGGGTGTCTGTCTTGTAGTTCAAACAAGCGGGACGCAGCGCCGACTCCCTTCATGAGTTCAGAGTAGAATCCAGACACACCAAAGAGACTCGATCCGGCAAAGACGGTGTACATCATGAAGCTCGTCAGATCGCCCATGGTCATTACTCCGGAGCGCACCAGGTTGCCACCCACGATGAGCAGCGCGAGGATGGTCATGTTCCCAGCCCAGCCGGTCGATCCGAAGAAAGTGGCCGCGATGATTGACTCTTTTCGTCCTAAGTTGAAGATCCTCCGGACTTGCTTATTGTAACGATTGATTTCCTGTATCTCGCCGGCAAATGCCTGACTGGTCTTGATGTTGCCCAGGCGTTCCTCGGCGATCTTGGTGAGGGTGCCTAGATTCTTCTGGATCTGTCGACTGATGTTACGGATGAAGCGGCCGTAGAAAAAGGCTCCAATGGCGATCGGTGGGAACATCAACAGTATCACAGATGTCAACTTGGGGCTCAACCAAGCCATGGCCGCAAACCCAGTCGCACCGCTGACAATAGCTCTGAGGCCGTCAGAGATATTCTGCGTGATGCTCTTGCCGACAATGACCGTGTCGGAGCTCAAGCGTGAGATGAGGTCGCCCACCCTGTTGGCGTCAAAGAACTCGGCATCCTGCACGTAAGTCCTGCGGTACAGCTGTGATCTCAGTCTGGCGACAACCCTTTCACCAACGATCCGCAGCAACACGACACGTCCAAAATTCGCACAGGCGCCTAGGGTCATGAACGCTGCGAATCCCATGAAGAATTGGTTCAGAGTCAGGCCGAACAACGTGGTCTCATCCTTGCTGGAGGTAGCAATGTCCAGAATGCGCCCGACCGAGAAGGGAATCGACATGGTGACTGCGGACGAGAGGAGCAAGAAGACGAACGATATGCTCAACCACTTGACCTCAGGCCTAGCAATCTTGACAAGACGCACAATCTCGGCCCACCCGCCCTGGTTGGAGCTCTTGCCCTCCTTCGATAGCCGTGCACTCATGTTGACCTGTGCGGCCTGCTTGGCGCGTTCGGTCTGCTTAAAGCCATGCTCGTGAGTGTCATCATTCTGCTCCGGTGCTTGCTCGGTGTTTTCCTTGTTCTGCTCCTTCGCAGCTTCGTTCGCCTCCTTCACTACAGGCTCTTTTGTCGGCCGTTGTGCTTCCTGCCGTAAGACCGTAGTCGTTGAGAGCGGCCGAGTTGTGCCATATTGTATTATCCCACGTCTTCTTGTCGTCGACTGGAATGCTTTCGTGAATACTTCCGCAATAATACCGGTGGATGTTGGTTGATGGGGATCTGGGACGTTCCGAAACGAAGAGAAAGGACGTGAGGGTGTCGCACCAACGAGCGGCCGAGTCGAAAGGATCCTCAACGACGAGAAAGTGCTAGTAGTATTTAGAAGCTCTGGTATTTGAGGTCTACCCGAAGCGACGCCTAGGGTAGAGCCAGAAGAGCTGAGACTGCGCGGTGGGAGCAGCTGGAGCGCGCCGTAAGCACGGCGCGCGGCTGCCCCCGAAACCATTATGATGAAATGGCTAAGACAGGGGAAGATAGGATAACTATCTGTTAATAGACATAAATATCTGGCAGCTCATGGTCACCGATTGTTGAGGAAAGGCGTGTGGTCCATAAGTAAGCGCAGCAAGATGAAGTCGGAGAATTGACGCCGCCATCAAGACTTGAAGGCCGAAGTTCGTCATTGAAGGTGGTGGGTCTGTTTTCAGCCGCTAGCGCCTCAGTGCAAGGGCCCAGGGGCTAGCTCCACCAACAGTGACACTCGTTCCCGCTGATCGCATCTTCAATACTAGGCCACAGGGGAAGTCCCAAAAGGACGAGGGTATATGTTCGAGATCGTGAGTTTGCTCCAAGGCAAATCTCGTCAGAGAATACAATCTTTTCATGGGGTAAGCAGTTGTCTTGACACCTGAGAAGGGAGGCATTTGATTTGAGCGACTCGCACGAATTACTTCATCTCGAGATATTATCGTTTTGACCCGGTTGCCCTCATCTACCGAGGCAAAGAAGGCATTGCAGATGTAGCGTGGACGCAGTACGTGGGCATCACAAGAGTCCAGGTATCCTTGGCGTCTGGCCGAGGTAGGCTTGTTCTAGTCCCAGAGCATACATCCCTATTGAGATCCAGGTCGAAAAAAACCAGCTATCCTCTACCGGGCAGCCACAGAAACATAATGAGCAGCAGTAATGATACAGGCAATCATGCCCAACCCGAAGAAATAATATTGTAGGGAAGCCTTTGTAACGGTATTGAGAGAGTCCAGACTATTATTATTGAAGCTGTCGATAATCGAAAATCGGTCCAACGTGGTCACGATCGGTCCTGTGGAATGCCCTTCGCCTGCCTGAAAGTTGACAGGTTTTTGTGCTGTCTCATTGCCCCGTATTTCCTTCTTGCACCTATCACTGGCGTATCATCTCGTCGATGTTGGGGTCCATCTCATCGCCGAGATCGGGAATCTCTTCACCATCGATCTTTCGCCTCTTATTCTGCCCATTCACGGAGACGGGAACAGCAGAGTACTGAGATGCCAGGTGAGAAAGAGCCTCGAGCCCCGTAGGTTGTGCTTGAGGAAAGGCGGGCTGTGCCGGGACGGGCTCGAACTCGGAAGCGGCGGGTTCTGGCTCATAAAAATCGGGCTCGTCAGACACAGGCGGAGGTGTCAAGGCCTCAACCTCGGGTCTGTCAGGCTCCGGCACAGGACTGCCAGACTTGGGGCCTTGGGTACCCGAATCCTGATCGGCTAGACCGCGCATGATGGCCATTTCGACATCTTGCTTCTTCTGTTCGATATCAGACTTTCTCTCGGTGAGCTGGGCGAGTTCCTTCTCTTCGGCGTCCAAGCTCGTCTTGTTCGTGTCGAGAAGTTTCTCAAGAGCTCCGACCAGCTCCTTCCGGGCCTTGACGCACTCTGCGACCGCCCCCTCAGCAGAGGCGAGAGTCTTCAACAGGCCGTTGAGCCGGGCCGCATAGACCGGCGCTGAAGGCGTGGGTTGATTAGGGTCAGTATTCTTAGCATACTCCTGCTCGGCCGCGCTCGTCTTCGCCTTGATGGATAGGGCCAGCTTGGATACAGCCGAGGCCGGCGTGAGCAGTGGTGTCAGCTCAGACGGCACGGATGGGCCACCACCACCAATGGTAGCGCTCGCGACTCCGCTCTTGACCGTGCCCCTAGCTTTGTCCAGATCTGCATGGTATGTCAGTGGCATATTGTAGAGCGGCAGCCCTCAGGTGTGAACATACCGTCGATTCGAGCCTCGATAGCGCCCTGAATCGCACTTTCAAAGACAGACCGATCCCTCCAGACCTCGACGACACGGCGAACTTTGTTCTGTACATCTGGAGTGGCTCCCTTGTACGCCACGGCAACTGCCTCCGCAACTATAGGAGAAAACGCCAAAGGGAAGTCGTTCTTGTGACGAGCTTTGGATTGCTGAACAACCTCTATAAAACATATCGCATATTAGATGGCGCCATTTCCATCCACCTAAGCCTAAGGCAAGGTCCGAGTTCAGAGACGTACCGTTGCTCAGATATATCAGATTCAATCGCCGAGTGCTGGGCGACTCCTTTAACTTCTGGAACCATATCTCCACAGTCCTATCTGCATGCCGTCTGCAAAAAAGAATGAGTCAGACGTCCACCAGCAGCATGCTAACCAGAAAGGAAGAAATTGAAGACCTGTGGATCGGAACTCTCGTACCTGTGAAACATAATCCATTGTGCGGCCGTGGCAATGCTGTCATGACTCTCGTTCAAGGCAGACAAGCGAGCCAAAACTGCATCGTCGTTGTAAGCCATGTTTAGGAGACCTCAAGTCACAGTTTCCCTCTCGCTGGTGGAATATCCAAGTGATGATCGCCGCGTCTAGGTGTACGACGTCGGGGATGGCGGGCGGCCTATTCGGGACAGTGAGCTGGTAGAGTTGGCCAGACCAGAGTTTGGGCTTCAATGGAGCTTCCGGTGACAGTTCAAAGGCGCCGAAGCAGGACGCGTTCTGGGAATCTGGTGATAGCTTCAAAGAGGACGGGCCAGCGGCTGGGTTACAGATTGGAGTGAGTTCTCCGGGCGTTTGCCGTTCCGTCTAAGAATGCCAACAGTTTCAGGACGACTTGACAGATATCACCTCAGAAAGGAGAGCTCTAGCCTAAACCCCAATTCTTGAGGTTGATAACAATGCAGTCCCTCCTACTGCTGAATCAATTTTGGTGATGAGGGAGAGAGGAGAAAGAAGAAGGTTCGAAATGGTTCTTGTCTTGAGAACCAGTCAACAAACAACTTTATTGCAAGTGGGTTCACTGCGTCCAACCAAGCTAGGCTCCAAAAGGAAAGGCCAGTAGCTCAGGGAAGCTAAGCACCCAGCACCCAGACCACCCTGACCTATGGGCACATGCAGCCACTGTACAGACAGTACATCGATTGTTAACAACTCCCCATCTAACCAGACTGCCTTCAACGACGACTTGCCTTGCTCACCAAAGATTCCTCCCACAACTTGTCACATATCTACACACATTGCATCCTCAGTCCAGAAACACCAATTCTCTTCTTTCAAAAGCAATCACAACAACATGGCTGACCGTTTTCCGTCCCTCGAGGACTTCGATTCGGGAGGTAAGCTCATGCCAGCCCGACGCGACCCAGTTCCCCTGATTTGCACCACAATTCTGCTCTTACTGATACTCTACTCGCTTCGCAGCCCAGACAGACATCCAGAACACCTCGGGCGACCCTTCTGCCGACGACTTCCTTGCGCGAGAGAAGGCCATCCTTGGTGACGATGCGGACAAGTTCGCGACTGCAGAGGACAGCGCTGCATTCGAGACAGGCGATGATGACCTGCTGGGCGGTGGACAGACAACAGAGTTCGAGACGGCCTTTCCTGACATCTCGGGCCCCAACGAGGTGCGTTACTTCCTGCTCTACCCGATCACGCCCAGAGCTTGTGCCAATCAACCGATGACGATTCCCCCCCCCCCCACCCCCCACAAATCCAACAATCAAAATGGCAACGACTCCTGACACCATCGAGCACACTACGTTCCCGGGTCGTTATTGTATCTAACGCTTTTCTTCCTCTTCACAGACATCTGGCGGCGCCATCACAAGCAGTGGCCCTTCCGTGAACTACAACTCTGGATACTCAGCCTACGTGGAGGAAGAGCAGGAACCTGAGGTGATCAAGGAATGGAGGGCGAAGCGTGACGAGGGCAATGCCAAGCGGGCAGAGCAGTTCGCGCGACAGCGGGAGGAGACTGTTGCTGAGGCACAGCGCAACATCGACGATTTCTATGAGAACTATAACAACAAAAAAGAGAAGTCGATCGCGGCCACCCGCAAGGATGCTGAGGCATTCCTGGCTTCGCGCGAGGACACCACCTCGGGCGGCACCTCTTGGGAGCGCATCGCCAAAATTGTGGACGTCAGCGGCAAGGGCGCCAAGGGTGGTGCTGCAGGCTCGGGCAAGGAGCGCTTCCGTGAGCTGCTGATGAGCCTCCGCAAGGACGAGAAGGCGCCTGGTGCGACAGGCTACTAGTCGTTGTCTACGTCGCTGTCTTCCCCCTCGCCCATGTCTCAGCACTCGTTGGGGTATCTGAACTCGTCTAGTCAGAGCATCATTGGTCATGCCTTGCGTGTCCAGGAGGATTCTTTTGGCAGCCTCATCTGATGGCATCTGTTTTTTTAACACGGCGGAGAGGCCCTCTACGCATCTTCGCACACATCCAAAAAGTCATATCACACCGTTCTCTACAAAAGGCGGGGATTTGAACCACCTTGTACTTTAGACAACCATATTTCATGGTACAAACAAAATAGCCATTTGGCAGACAAGAGCGATACAGTTGAACAACTGGCATTTCGGCCGGGGGAAAGCTTATACGGATGTGACCAGGGGAGCGACTGAGTAAGTCAGAATGGGCGTAATGAATTAGAACCTGCACTTTGAACCATGAAAGTATCAAAGCGCTTCGCGCGGTGATCCCCTCCATTGATTGCTTTGCTCGTCTATCCTTCTCTACATGCGCATTCACCCCGACTCTCCTTTTGTAATCTCCTCGACATCCTCAAGACTTAAGAGCTGCCAAACCAAGTGTTATAGCCCAGAACCTTGCGACCCATCGCGTACATCGTGGCTACATTCGAGATTGTTATCAGTTCTTGTCTCCCCTCGGCCTCAGTATAAGGAGCAGCAGGTGATAACTTACCAGCAGTGGTTCCCCACATAGTGATGACGAAAGGCACGTACAGGACGGTGCTTCTGGGGTGCTATTCGACGATTTCAATCAGCGATGGCTCTTTCAATGGCAACGAAGTTTCGTGCCCCTATATATATCTCTCTCTTGCTACGGCGCAGTTCATGTAAAGGGTCTGCACAGCCCTCTGCTTCATCCTTCTCGTTGTCGGTTCGGGGTGGATTTCGGTGAGCTTACAATGCGCCAGATGCGGGTGTGGCCTCTGTAAGCAGCCTGGTAGGTGCGCTGGTGCTGAGGCACCTTGTTCTCGGCGTTGACGAAGCCTCTACATTGTGAGCACAAGTCAGTCCCGGCTCCTCATCATCATGATATGCCGCCGCATCGGGATGGGTCGGGAGCGCCAATTGAGAGCGTTGGAACCTCCCTTGGGATCGGGAGTATCGGCCTGGGGAGGGAGAGTGACACATACGCCATTTTGAATATGATTGTTGTGGGATTGAGGGGAGAGCGTTCTGTTGACGTCGTTGCTGAAGGATTGGAGTTGATGGTTCGATGCGGAAGATGGAACTCAAGCCGAGCTGCCTGCGTAAAGGTTGTCTGCTGGGCCCTGATAGGGCGGATGGGCTGCCAAGCTTAGTCAGCCACTTTTTCGAACTATCAGATGGAGTCTCTAATCCCCACTGAAGAAAGCCTCTACTGAATAAATTATTAAACACGAGCGACTTTTGCTATTACAATTACAATTCAATCCGCCACTCACAACCATCCATTTGTCTTCATAGCCTCATTGGTTATGAGAAGGATACCTATGGATACCAGAAGGCGATAAGATTGGCGTTGAAATGTTCCATCTTTGGTGGCAACAACACGTCTAATCACGAGAAAAGTTATGCGACGAGTGCTGCTTAGCATCGCACAATCGCAACAAGGCATTTCGAGGCTTTCTGATTGGAACTGGCCCCGAAAGACGCTTCATCATGGTGGGATTTCGCCATACTTCGACACAGTACGATATGCTTCCTCCTTCACTCTCGCGTCCTCGGTACTACCACCACGACGACGGGCCAGGGCGGCCGCCGAGGAAGTGACGTTGGGTGAGCTTGATGCCGAGGACATCTCTTTTTCCGAAGGTCTCAAGCAGGGGATTTCGCAGGCCTTGTCGAGGCATCGAAAGCTTGCCAAGACGGACTTGGTATTCACCAGCTACCCACCTCCAGGGTCAAAACTGTACGGAAAATGGCAGTCGCTGTCTGTGGACCACGACAGGCTCGTCCAGGAATCCGACATCAACGTCTCTGACAGCCAGGGCATGAGACTTGTGAATCAGCCCGAACATGAGCAGGACATCCAACTATGGAGCTGTCTCCTTCAGTTTGTCCACCGGCGGATGGGCCGCGACGGCGTGATCATGTTGTGGCAGTCAATCTTCAACAGACGAAGGCTGTACCAGGTGCATGGGCCGCTGGCACAGGCATTTTGGAGCATGATTCTCGACGCAGCTCTATCCAGCGAGGCCTTCCTGCGGGATGTTGTCGACTATGCCGAGTGGATGCGTGAGGCACACCACGTCCAGTGGCCGCGTCTGTACACCACGGTCATTTCCTACATGGTTGAAAACGCACGCAGGAGCGTGCTCCTGCGATGGCACATCACCTTGATGTCCTCTTTCGGGCCTGATGAAGCCGACTTTGTCGACCTGATAAGAAAATTCATCACCAATCCGGACCGTCGTGTCCAGAATTCACTTAAGCTTCTGTACACTTACAGCGCCTACCGCAAGCTCTACGACCTTCTCATTCCGTATCTGTACACCAAAGGGCACGCAAACCTCGCCATGCAGTGGCGTATACTGCTGTGTAATTTCAACGACACACCCCTATCTCTGACATCTCGACCCTTCTTACGCTTCATGAGTGCTTACTATCCCAACACCTCACTCCGGGAAGACGAGAAGACGGTGGCGGGACTGGTCTCTGACGAGTCCGAGACCTCGGTCCGCCCTACAGATTCGCCTTCAGAAATACCCATCACCGGCCAAAATTTGAGCTACCTGATCAATCGAGTCCATGGCGAGACATTTGGCATTCAAGAGAAGCCATACAACGACAGACTGGGAGCAAAGTGGTTCGCAAGCTCTTGGGTAGGACTTGATTTTGCCATCAATGTCATCTACACTATGGGCATGAAGGGCATCGGCCCGCTGTCGTTACAATCCATTGCACTGCGGGAGGGTAATGCGCAGGGCGTCCTTCATCGGATTGAGCAGTTGGAACAGCTCAAGATCAGTCTCCCGCGCACAAATTATGTAAGAGCTATTAGACAGTACGCCGCAGTTGGCGACAACGAGTCGCTGTTGGAACTACTCCAGTCAGACATCCATCCAGATCTCTTTGATGATGAGTCTGCACAAGAGGAGCTGCTAGCGAGCTGTGTCCGAGCAGATGACTGGAAGACGTACCGTCTTGTCCTCAGGACAAGATCAGCCGTACTATCCGGCATAGTCGCAACCGCAAGCGATCGTGTGCTGGAGTCTTGCGTCCGTCAGGGCAACGGCCCCATGACGCTCCAGGTCCTCCAGGAGATGTCAGCGCACAAAGTCGGCCTGGCACCAATCACCAGCCATATCCTCTCCAGCTTCATCCTACAAAACCTCTCACCCCACGTCACACCCGGGGAATCAAGAGAGCACATCGACCTGCAAATCTCTCTGTGCCGCCAGCTAGCAGCCAGTCGCTTTCCACCCGCCGTGGAGGTCTGGCAGACCATCCTTTACCGCCTGGGCCGCGAGCACCGCCTCGTCGACCTCGAGCGCTTGTCTCTAGACATCCTCCGCATCTTCGCCGACCATGCCAGATCGGACCAGCCTATGTGGACCTCACATGTGGCCGATGTCCCGGCACTCCTGCAGTCTGATTCCTCGTATCCGTACTTCCAGAGACTCCCGCGCGACCTTCCTATACGTCACGATAAACACCCCCTCCGCCAGATCTTCGATAAAAAACTGCAGAACTCCATCGTGAGGTGGGGATTCATGTACACGCGGTACGAGGCCGAAGCAGAGGCCACCGCGGTGTCGCTGCTCACCACGCCAGTACCGGTGTCATCGTCGTCGTCGTTTCTTTCGAAAGAGCACGACGCTCTGCACCCAGCCAAGTTCCACTTTGCGCGTGGCATCAGACTGCTCGCCATGTTACGCGACCGAGGGCTGTTCACGCTCGCGCCGACGGTGCAGAAACAGGCAACGATCAGGCTCCTGGATCTGTACAGAGGCGGAGGCAGAGGGGATTATGAGTGGCCGCAGGGCAACCCGAGAATAGCGCAGCTGAGAAGAAAAACGCGATTAAGTCTTGCGGAGGCGAAGAACCTTTGCGATGCGGCCTGGGGAAATGGGGAGATTGTGCCGAGTCTTTTGGATCTGGAGAGGAGGATTGAGCTTGAGGAGTTCGGAGATGAAATGGGCAGCCTGCAGAAGAAAATGGAGAGGATCAACGAAGGTAGATAAGTGCTGCTATATGATATTGTTGTTGAGTCGAAATGGGTTTGAATTATTTGCATAGCCTGGGGGAATGACATATCCGCTCTACATTGAATTGTGTTTTGGCTATAAATATACAAATATATATAGCGCATACAAGTAGATTTCTTTCAGAGTGCAAGATCGGTGATTTTTATATCTTCATATGATCTGTTCATATGTTGAATGGTATTGTACGTAAGAAGACAATCCTATTTGCTGCCTTTGGACTGCCCGTCACCCTGCTGTCCTGACTAGCCTAGGCCTTAAACGATCCCTCCGTCTTCTCGTATCATCCTGCAACTCGCCTCCCAGTATCTCGCCCAACCCTCCACCCTGAGCGCCAGCTCTCATCATGACAATACCATCTTCCATGTTCACCTCGCCCGGGCTCCCACCGCCACCACCGCCACCACCTCCACCGTCCCCTCCAGCATCTCCTCCTCCTCCTCCTCCTCCGCCGCTGCTACCGCCGATCCCGTGTTTCGGCTTTACTAAGAGCAGTATGAACATGCCCACCACGATCAGGAACAGCAGGAATATAATCTTCCTCTTGGTCGTCTTCTTCTGGTACCCGCTCGCGACCTTGAGCTCCCGGTCGGCCTCCTTGACGTCGGTGGCCATACGCTCCACGTTGTAGTCGATGCGATCCAGCATGGTGCCCTGGTCGATGACCATGGTCTGCAGGTCCCGAAATAGGTCAGATAGGTCGATGATGCCCTGCGCAATCTCCTCGATCTCGCGCTCGCGCTGGATGATGGCTGCGTCGTTCTTGTGGAGCTGCTTCTGGCGGAGGGAGGACTGCAGGGTGGACTGCGAAAAGGACTTGTCGGTCTCGGACTCGAGCAGGGTGATGTCTGTGTTGTAGGAGCTGCCACCGAGGGGGGTGGAGGAGCGCTCTGGGTTGGGCGAGGGAAGGGCTGGGTTCTGGAGGCCGCGGAGCTCTTTTTCAAAGTCTCTTTGTTAGTAGAGGCCCCCATATTAATTCACCTACACGGGAACGCAGAGGTAGGAGGGAAGAGGGGGGGGGGGGGCCGGAAAGATGAAGGGGATAGACAGCAGCTGGAAGAACACACTCTTTAGATAAGTGCTCTGCTTCTTCCTGAACCCAGCGCTCGCCTCCTGGACCCTGGCGGCGAGACTGACGCGGATGTTCTTGGCCATGACCTCCTCGGCCCTCGTCATTGTTCCGGCAGCCTGCTGCTCGCGCACCATGGCCTCGATCCGTTGGATGCACCTGTGGCAGTCATGAAACCCCTTGGTGATGTCCTGGGTGAGTTTCTCAATGTCCCGCTCCTCGGCGCGCTTGGCGGCATCGTCGTCGAAGCCCGGCAGCACGTGCTGCTGGTGGAGGCGCTCGAGCTTCTGGGATTTCTTGGCGACGTCGGCCAGGATCTCGGTCACCTCGTCGGTGATGTCGGCCCAGCGTGGCGGGAGCAGGTCCATCTCGATCACGGCGTCGCCGTCGTCATGGTAGTCGGCGGACCCGGCGGAGAGAAGGCCGCGCCGGTCGTCGTCGGCGGAGAAGAGCACCGAGGACCCCGTCGCTGCGCCAAAGCGCTCAATTGTGCTGCCGGAAACGGAGGAGGAGCCGCCATATTTGTTGCGGTGCGTTGGATGGTGGGCGTAGGACTGCCGGTAGGAGAGGTAGCTGTGGTTCGGGTGGGAGTGGTTAGAATCAGAAGGGAGAAGCTTCTCTCTGAACAGCGACAAGTAAAGTGACGACAGGGAAGCTTACAGGTTGGTCCTGTCTCGCCACATGGCGGACGCCTGGGGGGAGGGGGGGAGGGAGAAGTGCTTCTCAGTATGGATGTGGCCTCTGGGCAGCTCGTGGTTGGACTATGCTTGGTCAGGGTTGCGTCGATGATGATGGCTGGGATGTCGCCTGGGTATGTCACATCACATGGCCAATTGTTGTTGTGGTGGTAGGTTATGCAGGCGCATCAGGGGCCTTGTGAGGTTCAAGGTAGTCTAGTTGGGTGGGTGGTGAGGTGATGTGGTGGTGGTGGTAATGTAAGAAAGCTTGGGATGATGGTTGATGTTCTTGTCCTGGATTTAGACTGACGAATCGGGGCTCGAATAGTGGCTGAGAAGGCTGAGAAGGGCAATTGGAGCTACAGCCTCGAGTACCTGCAATTAGGGGAAGATGGAAGCATGTTCAGCCTGCTGCAAGCTAACCAACCAACCGGGTCAGGCTAGGCTGGTCTAAAAAGAAGCCAGGCCCTAAATCCCACCTGGACCATTGTCTCTGACGTCGCTGCTTGGGAATACCTTTGGGGGGGGGGGGGGGTAACTAAGCCGCCCCCCCCCCAAACAAAAAAAAAGCTACTTACTGAGGCAGCCTGGTCTATGTAACTTGTACAATACTGTGCGCAGCCTTTTCTTGAGTTGTTTCTGAGGTGGATGGATCTTACAGAGTTATGAAGACCTCGGACAAACTACATTGTACAGCAGCTACTATGTACAAGGCAGAGCTACATGGTCAAGTTCTATGCAGGTCTTCGAGATATGTTGAGGATGTTTACGTGTACTTTATGATCAGCCGGGGTGGTGGTGAAATAGAGCCATAATAACTTGGTAGGGTACCATACTGATACATGACCAAATAAAAGGACCGGATGCAGACTCGAGCTCAATGGTCAGAAGGCAGCACGAACGTAGATTGGAGGGGAAGGGCAGAGGGAGAGGCACAGTAGCTGAAAGGACTTGCAAAACGTCGCTTGGGAGACCTCCCAACACGACCATCCTTGGGTCCTGAAGTCCTGGAGCTGCTGGTGGTGGTCTGAGGCAGCCGGGCCTAAGCCTAAGCCCAGCCAGTAGCCAGCAGCCAGGCTTACTGAAGCCTGCGGGCTAGGGGACTCGTGTTCCTACAGTGGTTAAATGCTGTCCAGTCAGTGGGTGACATCAAGGCCTTTTGGGTGTCTGGCTGGTCCTCTTCACCGTTGGCGCTACCCCACTCATGGCTCCCGCCCGCCAAGTCGCCCGCCCCTTTTAGATGGGGCCTCTTCCCGCTCTCTCGTTTCCTTCCCAAACTCCAGAGCTGGATCTTAATCCTGCACCACCAGAAAGCTTCCCTCTCTGTAACCCTCACCTGCCCACCAGCGTTTCTCTCGCCAACGACGACGAAATCTCCGGGACAGAATTTCCACTCCCTTCATAAGTCTCACTCCACATCCACAACAACTATGGTTCGTCAAACCCTTCTCCTTGGGCGTGGAACCTGTCAAGGAGCCTGGGCCAGACCCCTTTTTCTCCGACCCCGCGTTGCCTGGCCACAGACCCAGGCTCTTTGAGGGGCACACGCGATCAACACCTTTACGAGAGCTCTCAAGGACCGCATTAAGCTGACCATAAACCTCGCTCTGTTATAGGCTGATTCCCTGACTGAGGAACAAGTCTCCGAGTTCAAGGAGGCCTTCTCCCTCTTTGTAAGTACATCATTTCGAAGTCTCCTCTGTCCTATTCTCTGGACGCGTTCGCTGACAGAGCTTGCCCCAAATTACAGGATAAGGATGGCGATGGTAGGTCGCTCGCTCCCGCCCATGCTGCACCTCGTATCCCACCCCAACGACAGCGCGACCAATACTACGCACCAGGATACCTGCGCGATCCAATACACCATACTAGTCGGATTTACCGAAAGAAGAATGCTAAGAGATGACTGTTCAGGTCAAATCACCACCAAGGAGCTCGGCACAGTCATGCGATCGCTGGGCCAGAACCCGTCCGAGTCTGAGCTGCAAGACATGATTAACGAGGTCGACGCCGACAACAACGGCACCATCGACTTTCCTGGTACGTCAGAACCTAAAGCATTTCGCCAGTTCTCAAAGCAATGAACCTGTTTACTGACATGACGCGTGACTGCAGAGTTCCTTACCATGATGGCGCGCAAGATGAAGGACACCGACTCTGAGGAGGAAATCCGTGAGGCCTTCAAGGTTCGTCACGTCCACAAAACGAGAAAACCAGAAGGATGATAGAGAGAACGAAATGACGAGGACGGGAACTGACAATGAGACTAGGTCTTCGACCGTGACAACAACGGCTTCATTTCCGCTGCGGAGCTGCGCCATGTCATGACTTCCATTGGCGAGAAGTTGACCGACGACGAGGTTGATGAGATGATCCGTGAGGCTGACCAGGACGGTGATGGTCGGATTGATTGTATGTCTTGCGACCTTTCGCGTAAATCCGACATCGGGACCACCTGTCAGACTCGTTTGCTAACTGATACGTGTCACCAGACAACGAGTTCGTCCAGCTCATGATGCAGAAGTAAAGGTTCAGTACTACTTAGTACCACAGCCCTATACCACAACCACGATGCCTTAAATCATGATAAAAGAATGGACTCATAATTTTTTTCCTGCGCATGTTTATATGGCTTGCGTTGCTTTTGCATGGTTGCTGCCTGCCCATTCCTCAGGCAGGCCACTGCTGTCTCGCTTTCTTTGCTGTGGAGAGGGTTTTATGAGACCAATGACGAATGAGTCCAGTGTGAAATGGGGTCTGTAGGCTTTGTTCCATCTGCTCGCACAATTTAATTGCCGACGACGGGTGTCGCTGCCAGACCTGACCGCAGAGCAACATTTTGCTGGTGCCGAATGCAAGATTATGATCACATGCCAAACCGAGTGACGGAGTCCACCACAGCAATCTATCCTCACGGTGCTGGCTTTGTTGGGCGTGCGCTGTCATGTTCATCATGAGAAGCTCATGCTCTTGTCGTCTGCCACCACGAAGCACCTCGGCCATCATGCCAACCGAATATGGACCCGAGACTCAAAGTACACAGACCTGGATCTCCTATTCATACAGAGTAAGATTGTCTACATGACGACCAACGTCATACCTGCAAGGAGGGCGGTTTTGCACAGGCAACGGTACATGTCCCCGAGTGTGGCAGTGCTCTCTAGCGTCGCCATCTGCATCCCCTAGCCAAGCACACTCTGGGCACATCTTCTGATCTTCAGCCCTACGGGGCGAGATCGTGGTAGACCTGTGTGCGTATGTGCGAGTACAAGCCGATATTATAAATAGTGGTATTCTTATAGTAGGTAGCATTACTGCGTGGTGGAGAGTGCGGGGGGAGACGTGTTCATTTTATGCTCAGGTCACATTCTAGATCCGCAAGTATCGGCTGGATTTGGTGTTTATCTTCAACTCCTTACCTCTATTTCGCCTGTTGCATCTCTCTTTAAGGCAACAATTATTTCCCCAATCAAAAATTATTTCCCAATCCTTCTATGTCTTTGAACTCACCTCCTGCCCATCTTTCCTTGTGCTGTGGGGCCAGGATTTCGTGGTTATTGTAAGCAAACCCTTGGAAGTGAGGGGTACGAGATCAGCCAAGCTCACGAACGCTACTTTTGCACAAGGGACGAACCCATTAGAAACAACGTGGTGGAAAGCGCCGGGAGGTGGTTGCTTCGGCCCCGTCCTGTCCTCATCCCTTTTCCCTTAGTGGGGGTTTCCTCCCGTAAGTCTTCCGCTATCAAATCCGAACTCAATTAAACGCGCCGAGCCCGTTTGTTTTATACCCTACTTGCCAGTACTATTTCTGACCAGGAATGAACTTTTGAGCGCCCTGTTGTAGTACATAGGAGTTGTACATCATCATTTGTTAAGACATTTATACCCTTGGGTGCTATAAGCTGGATCCAATCCTTCTTCCCCTTCTCCTTTTGCATTCATACTGTCTTCTGTCTCCCAGTTCCTCGTTCCCAATGTCAACATAAGCTTATTATTAGGTGGAGCTTCCTCCTCGAACACTGTCCGTCCTGTGTCTCTTGCTCTTCCTCCACGTCACTTGAGGTCGACAAAACTTTGACAGCCGACCTCCTTTCCCCGCTCCCTTCCTCCTCCTTGTTACGAGCGATGTGAGCACCGTAGCTCTTCAAAGCTTTGCTCCCCACCTTCAGTCCCGACGCCTAGCACCTCGTGTGTCTTTCGCTCTTTTCCCTTCTCGCCGCCAGTTCTCCCAAGATGCGCTCTCTTCGTCGATGGCGCCCTCTCATCTTTCTCGTGACCATATGGCTGCTCTTCATGTACTATCTGTTCCGCGACGACGTCGGATCCGCCTCCGAACCCCCAATACAGCAGACCGCACCCAAACCCCGGCCGGCCACGGGGCACCACGACGCCGCAGATGTTGAAGACATATTCAAGAACGGGCCAGCAGAAAATGGAGGACAAATAGGCGCAGACCACTGGTGGAGTCTGCCGAGGCGTTTCCCAGTCGAGAACCCGCAACCGGTGCCTCAGGTTAAGAAGAAGTGGAGTGGAGGCAAGATACCCAAGATCCAGGCGCCGGCGCCGTCCGAGTCCGAGGCCGCCAAGGAGGTGCGCCTCAAGCGGCAGGCCGCGGTGAAGGAGAGCTTCGTGCACAGCTGGGGCGGGTATAAGAAGTACGCATGGCTGTCAGATGAGGTGACACCGCTCACGGGACGGCCCAAGAATCCCTTTGGCGGCTGGGCCGCGACGCTGGTGGATACGCTCGACAGCCTCTTGATTATGGGGCTGGATGATGAGTTTGAGGAGGCGGCGCAGGCAGCGGAGACGGTGGACTTTTCCAAGACCAAGGCAGACCGGATCAACGTCTTTGAGACGACCATCCGGTATCTGGGAGGTTACCTGAGCGCGTACGAGCTGAGCGGGAAGAGGCGCGAGGGCCTATTGCGCAAGGCCGTCGAGGTCGCCGAGCTACTGCTGTGTGCATTCGACACGCGGAACCACATGCCCATCGCGCGCTGGGACTGGAAATACTACATGACGGGGCACGAGCAGATGCACACCAGGGACGTGCTCGTATCGGAGCTGGGATCGCTGACCATGGAGTTTACCAAGCTGTCGCAGCTGACGGGGGACGCTCGGTACTACGACGCCGTGCAGCGCATCACAGACCTGCTGGAGGCGGAGCAGTTCAACACCAAGCTGCCGGGCTTGTGGCCCGTCACAATCGGCATGAAGAAGGACCAGGCCGTGCCGGACCTTACGGGCGACAACTTCTTCACGATCGGTGGCATGGCCGACTCGCTGTACGAGTACTTCCCCAAGCAGTACCTCCTACTGGGCGGAGCTCTCGAGCAGCCGCGCAGGATGTACGAGGGCTTCATCGAGGCGGCCAAGGCGAAGCTCTTCAGGCGGGTGTACAACCCGGACGACAGGCCCATTGTCATCTCGGGCGACGTCGAGGTCAAACGGACCAACTGGGGCGTCCTCCAGGAGAAGTACATCAGCAAAGGTCAGCACCTCACCTGCTTCGCGGGCGGCATGGTTGGGTTGGCTGCCAAGGTCTTCGACAGGCCCGCCGATCTCGACCTCGCCGCCCAGCTGACGGACGGCTGCGTGTGGGCGTATGCCTCGCTGCCCACGGGTCTGATGCCGGAACTCTTCCGGTTCGCGCCGTGTGGTGGCGTAGAAGAGAGCCAGACGGGCGAGAACTGCGCCTGGGACGAGCGGGCTTGGCGCGCCCAGGTGCGCGACCACTTTGCGGGCGACAACCTGGACAAGCTGGCCTGGGACCCAAAGGGCCCAGAGATGGACAAGTTGCTCGGGGCCAAAGGCCTGCCGCCCGGGTTCGTGGAGATGGTAGACAAGAGGTACATCCTGCGCCCGGAGGCCATCGAGTCCGTCTTCCTCATGTACAGGCTCACTGGCGACAACAAGTGGGCTGACACGGCATGGCGCATGTTCGAGGCCGTCGAGGGTATGACGAGGTCTGGGATCGCGGCCGCGGGCGTCAAGGATGTCACGGGCATGAGTGGGCCAGATCATATTGACTCAATGGAAAGCTTCTGGCTGGCTGAGACGCTAAAGTACTTTTATCTTGTGTTCTCGGAGTGGGACCTGGTGGATCTGGATACGTGGGTGCTGAATACCGAGGCGCACCCTCTGCATCGGCCAGATGTTGCTTAGGATGTGACTGGTCGGTTGTGTGAATGGGTGGAAGGGCTTGCAAATATGGTGTATTATATTATGCTTCTTAAATTATGTAGATATAACCCTGGAAAGCTTCTAAGGAAAACGATTGACATACCCAGCTGGGGACGAATGGAAGCTATGTAATCAACTCTTCTATGGTGAGATGGTCAATACCCTGTGGGATCAATTCTCAATGATACACATCTGGGTTGCGAATTCTTTCTATAGGCAACAAAAAGAAAAATGAATACTATATTTGGTCAACCAAGGAAGGGTCATAATCAGCATAAGCTTTGAAGACGATGCACAGTGAATATTAGTTTCAACATCAACTCGGACACTCGTTCTGAGAAACAGTGACAGAGAACAAACCATAGGAAGAAGTAAACACAAGTTAAAAGCTATACTACCCAAATGGATGATTCAACAATTCATATAATGATAATAACGGATGAGTATGGTGTATCAGTCCCACATGCATGATGGATGTATCTTACCCATGTAATACAGCATACAATGGAACAGGTGTTCGATAATTTCTATTATCAAGAACCAACCCACTTTTCTCCTGTACATGGAAAGTTTTGCAAATCTATGACAATAACGAATCCGCCATGATATGAGTCAAGTCTGGGTGCCTGGGTCAGGTGAGTAGTGGCATCCTAGGGAAGACCGTAACGTGGCCTCTTGTCAAGAGGCCACATCAAGAATGTGTACAATATTTTGAACTTCCCTATCACTTGATAAGTACTTACTTAATCAACAGACCTGGGGCATAAAAGTACCAAGGACATCAGAGCAGAAAGCATCACAAGCCTTAGCAGGCATAGAGTCTACTGATTGGTTGTGGTGTTGAGGGGGTTTAACAAGTTTCACTTCTTCGGACTTGTGAGGTTCGCAAATATGTACGATAGTCTCGCCGTATTTATCCCAAGAGAAATCATCAATGAGTCCGAGTTGTATAAGCAAGCCTCTGTGTTCCATGCAGTGACACTGTCAGCGCCAAGGCATGAGAAATGCGCCCGCAGGAGTCACAGCAGGCAGCCAACTTATATGGGCCGCTTTGGACAGCTGTCACTTCACAATTTTGGAGTTTGAAAGATAAAGTATACATATATAATACCATCAGGCTCCAGGTGTTGGAACCAAGCTTCATGTCTCCACTAATCATCTAGTCTTCTCGAAAGAAAAGAAGAAGAAAAGAAAAAGCATATAACACCAATCTTCACTCATCATGGCAGACACCAACGACCTCCGCCGTCTCGGCCCACCCACCCTGCGCGCCGCCTGGCTTTTCCAGGCCATCCTCGCCGGCCCTGCATTCGTCTTCTTCGGGGCCCACGCGCTGGCGACAGCCTACAACCCCTACTCGTCGGACGATCTATACCTGTCGCTCAAAGATCTCGGCCTCGCCATGTTCACCGCCCTCATCGTGTTCATCTTGGTAGTCCAGCGCGGCTATGCGAACCCGGCGCCCAGGGTGGCGGCGCGGCTCGAGCTTGCCAAGAGCGTGCTCGCCTCTGCGACTTGGCTCTGGGTATTTCTGGATGCGGTGTTTTACACGCCGGAGTGGGACTATTGGAGAGATCCTCCAGCTGGGAGCAGGACGAGGAAGATCGTCTTTACATTGGTTTCGTCCGTGGTCTTGTTGTTAGTTGCTCCCTTCTCCCATTTTTGCGTTTGGCAGTGGGAGTACATCTTTTGCTGACGGCAGTGGTGAAGCATTTTTTTCTATCCGACACTGTTCTGGAGCGTGAGGCTGGCGCGAAAGGCTAGAGACGATGCGCAAGAAGCGGAAGCAGGAGAAACAGACGAGGACATGCCTCTACTGCGGAACTGATCACTTACTGTAACGGTTCCTGCCGTTGATTGACCTCATTGGCGATGCAGATATGCTTGTTTATACTAGAGACAAGACACCGATGAGGATAAGGAAATTCAACTGTGCTACGCCAACTGTACCGTGTTTAGTCTATGCTGATGCCAGCATGTCGACAAAATTCTTCATGCTTGAGTGTGAATTGACGAGAGAGAGAGAAAAAATTGAATACTTCAACGATGCATATGTGTGATTGCTATGAAAATAAGGTGTATGAGTCTTCAAAATCGCTTTGTACTGTGTACTTAGTATTCAGGCTTTAAGTATACTTGGAACTGTTGAAGAGGAAGGAAAAGGAGGTGAGGCTTATCTAAGCGTTTTCCTCCCCTGTAAAAAGTGGACCCCTCTGCAGCATGCCACTTGGCGCTCTCTATCATGCAGGCCTGGGGCATCTTCTAGGCTGATCCGTGCCGCGGGACCATTTCAACCTGCTCCAAATTCAGAGACAAATCGAGGTGCCAACCCAGACAAGAGAGACAAGATCGACCTGCTCTTCTTTCCGCCGCGTCTGCCCGCCGAGATCCTTTTAGCTTTTTTGGGGGGCTGCAAAACCAGAGGAAAGCCAAGGCCAATCAAGCCAGCCAGCCGGCTTCCGCGTTGTGCACGCATTGCCCTAGTTGACAAGCTGGTAGCACGGAAGAGGCCAACCCCCCCCCCCCCCCCCGGGACCCTTAGACCACGCTGCTACCGTCCTCTCTTTTTGAACTTGCAACAATGACTTCCCGTAAGCAACTTTACCAGCTCTTCTATTATCACGACGGACGAGACGTGAGCTGCGTCTTAGAGTGACCGGCAGACCACACAAAAAGCCAGACGTTGAAAGGATGGCGGAAGAACATTGGAAGCTGACCATGTCGGGTCACACCTCAGTCAAGCAGTTCATCCGCAACGTGCGCGCCGCAAAGACCATCGCAGACGAGCGCGCCGTGATTCAGAAGGAGAGTGCGAGCATACGAGCCAGCTTTCGGGAGGAGAGCCACGATCACAATGTCAGGTGCGTTTCGTTGTTCCCCCTCCTTTCTCTAAGACAGAAGGGCTGATCCGGCGCGGTTATGGCTTTTGACTACAGACGGAACAATGTCGCGAAACTCCTCTACCTCTTCACCCTCGGCGAGAGAACACATTTCGGCCAGATCGAGTGTCTCAAGCTCCTTGCCTCTCCACGCTTCGCCGATAAACGCCTGGGTCACCTGGCCACGAGCTTGCTGCTGGATGAGAACCAGGAGGTCCTGACGCTGGTCACGAACTCGCTGCAAAAGTATGTTGGACACAACCCCTCCCCCCTTCTTCTTTTTCCTCTTCCTACCTCCCCCCCCCCCCTCTCTCTCTGTTTCCACAGCTGGCTCGACCCTCCGCTGACAACACCACAACTCGCTCGTCACAGTGATCTCGGCCACTCCAACCAGTACGTCGTGGGCCTCGCCCTCTGCACCCTTGGCAACATTGCCTCCATCGAGATGTCCCGCGACCTGTTCTCCGAGATCGAGAAGCTAGTGTCGACTGCCAATCCCTACATCCGGCGCAAGGCCGCCTTGTGCGCCATGCGGATATGTCGAAAAGTGCCCGACCTCCAGGAGCACTTCATCGAGAGGGCCACAGCCCTGCTGCAGGACCGGAACCACGGCGTCCTGCTCTGCGGGCTGACGCTGGTCATCAGCCTGTGCGAGGCGGACGAGGAGGAGGGCGGCGAGGAAGGCATCGTGGAGAAGTTCAGGCAGTTCGTGCCGATACTCGTCAGGACGCTCAAGGGGCTGGCATCTTCGGGCTACGCCCCCGAGCATGATGTCATGGGCATCACAGACCCGTTCCTACAGGTCAAGATCCTCCATCTGCTGAGGGTGTTGGCGAGGGGAGACTCCGAGGTCAGCGAGCAGATCAACGATATCCTTGCGCAAGTCGCCACCAACACGGACTCGTCCAAGAACGTGGGCAACTCGATCCTGTACGAGGCGGTGCGGACCATCCTCGATATAGAGGCGGACTCGGGCCTGCGGGTGCTGGGTGTCAACATTCTTGGGAAATTCTTGACAAACAGGGACAACAATATCCGATATGTGGCGCTCAACACGCTGATCAAGGTGGTTGCCATCGAGCCTAATGCCGTGCAGAGGCACCGGAACACCATCCTCGAATGTCTGCGAGACCCCGATATCAGCATAAGGAGGAGAGCGCTGGACCTCAGCTTTACGCTCATCAACGAGAGCAACGTGCGCGTTCTGATTAGGGAACTGCTCGCCTTCCTGGAAGTTGCCGACAACGAGTTCAAGCCCACGCTGACGACACAAATCGGCATCGCGGCCGACAAGTATGCTCCAAACAAGCGGTGGCACGTGGATACGATGCTGAGAGTCCTGACGCTGGCGGGCAACTACATCAAGGAGCCCATCCTGTCCTCGGTCATCCGCCTGATCGCTACCAGCCCTGATCTGCAGACATATGCCGTGCAGAAACTGTACACCAACTTGAAGAAGGACATCACACAAGAGAGCTTGACACAAGCAGGCGCGTGGTGCATCGGCGAGTATGGTGACGTGCTGCTCAGGGGCGGGCAGTACGAGGAGGAAGAGCTGGTCAAGGAAGTCAAGGAGAACGAGGTCGTGGATCTGTTCGAGACCATCCTGAACAGCAACTATGCCACCCAAGTGACCACCGAGTACATTGTCACGGCGCTGATCAAGTTGACGACAAGATTCTCCGATGGTCCACAGATCCAAAGAGTTCAGGCGATCCTTCAGCACCACCAGACGAGCCTGGACGTCGAGGTGCAACAGCGTGCCGTGGAGTACGGGAATCTCTTCCACTTTGACGAGATCCGCCGTGGTGTGCTAGAGAAGATGCCGGTCCCTGTCATCAAGGAGGAGAATCGCGTGCTCGGTGCAGCGAGCCAGGGGACCAAGAAGGCGAAAAGGGAGTCCAAGCGGATCAAGCAGACAGAACAAGACCTGCTCATGGACCTCATGGGTGACAGCGGCCCAGCGCCTTCTCCTGCGAATGGAAGCTCAACCAACAACGCAGATCTCCTCGCCGATATTCTGGGCGGGACATCGTCCCCCGCGCCCGCGTCCAACTCGGCAACACCGACACCACAATCCAACGTGTCCGCCATCATGGATCTCTTTGGGCCGGGCGGGGCTCAAGCCACTCCACCTCCACAGGCAGCAGCAGCAGCAGCCGCACGACCAACCTCTGACCTGGACCTCCTCGGGCAGATGGGCTCCTCCTCTCCCGCACCACAGGCAGCGGGCGCGGCTGCACCGGCAGGCTTCCCTTGCTACAACAACAATGGTCTAGTCGTGACGATTGCCACGCAGCGCAATGCAGAGGGCATCGTGCAGGCGCTGGCGCGTTTCCGGAATGCCTCTGGTGGCCCGCTGTCAAATGTCGGGCTGCAGGCCGCCGTGCCAAAAAGTCAGAAGCTGCAGCTCAACAGCATCTCGAGCGCGGACCTGGCGCCAGGGACCGAGGCCACGCAGGCCATGAGGATCCAGGGGGCGAAGGGGGTAAGTCACACGCACAAATGCCTCGTCTCTCTTGCTTTACGTTCGGGAATAAGTTTGTTTGTTTACTAATATAAATGCATCTCTCTAGCCTCTACGTCTGCGTTTGAGGATCCAGTACGCCTCGCCCGCGGCAGGGCAGGTTATGGATCAGGTGAATTGGTCAGAGCCATCTTGATAAGAGGCGAGGGAACCTTTGGGTCGGGGGTCAATAAGCGTGGTCCGGTAGTCAACTCTAGAGCGGGTGGGAAAGGGGCACAAACCGCAAGGCAAATCTTTGGGGGGTTGGTTAAACCATAAAAAAGCAGGCAGGTCAGCAAGCAAGCATGTGGTGAATATACATCCTTTTTTTCTTCCCCCTTCCGAAGTGGTGGTTATCTCCTCGGATCCGTCTCCCTTTTTACTCTTCCACACTATGCTCTACAGAATTTCAGTACTCAGTCCTGTGATGAGATCGTTATTCATGGCCTTTGATCCAACATCACGTACTTCTTCTCATCACCCAGCAACATGCGGCATGAAGGATCAGATCTGGCCAATTTATGTCCTTCTCCGAGAGGGAGCTTGCCGTTGTGAGCTACAATTTGTATTGTGATGATCCCCCGGTCTCTTGTGGGCATCTGGTCTGACGGGGCTGGGCCGGGCTTTGGCTGGATGGGAGTATCCTTATGGTGATTATGTCCTAGCCTCCCGTCTTTGGAGTTATGCTTATACCTCTTCTGAAAGCACTGATGTAGCGTTGTCTGCCCTCGTACATCTTTCTGGCACATGTGAGGGAATTGCCAGTTATCTGAAGTGCCATGTGCACTTGAGTATTCAAACGCACGGCCTTGGGTTGTTAAACTCTTGCTGACATGTTGTCGCGGCATTTGGAAGGGATTATTTTACCTTGTGTGTTGGCCACAAATCAGTCTTCATGCAAGTCACTGCATACCGCATCATCTTTGATCTTCCCGATAGAGGAAGAACAGGAAGAACATGGCCTTCGTCTGCGGCCCGCTCCATCCATCTCAGAACACGCCCGGGAACGGGAGGGAGCAGTGTCACTTATGCATGCCATGATGTGTTCCCAACCCCTTCCTTAGTCAGAGAAGAGGAGGGAGGGAGAAAGACTCTCTGAAGAAGCGGAAGAGGATTCAGAGGGCTGAGGGGGGGGGGGGGAAGGGGTGTCCTTTTCCGAGGAGGACTTGGTAATAAGCATGTCATACGGAAATGGATAGGTGGGTGGGCTGCTTTATTGGGCTTGAGGAAACGGTGTTTGGCGCTGTGCTGTGTTGTATCCCACACACCATCATCGACGTCCCGGCCAGGTCATCTTGTACACCCTATCTCTGCGTGGGTCTGTTCTCTCTCACTCTCTCACTCTCTCACTCTCTCACACACACCATCTCTTTGACACAAACAAGCACAAGACAACACGATCCAGAAGACGTCCACCTGACTGAAGACATTCCATTGGGCAGGTCCACCATCAACACAGCCCATTGCCCTGGTTCTGTACCAGGTGCAAGTTAGTATTCGCCCCAGGGCTCATCATGCCCTGCTCCAAGTCCTGGAGGGGAGAGGAGATGGGTGTCGTCTGCCTTGTTTCGGTATTCCTCATATGACATGATCCAGGAGATCATTTACCGGAAAGAAGGGAGGAGAGGGGGGTGGCGGATATGTAAGTATGACTTGATGCCGTATTTCCCATGGTGTGTTGGAGCCATTGGATGTGGTGATAGCCAACCTAGGCGCCAACACTTATTTTCCTCACGCCTCTACGCACACACACACACACACACACATTACGATACCTTACACGCCACCCTCCCTCTCGAAGATCACGACGGCAGGGACACCTCCCACTTCCCACCTCAACGGTACTTATGTTCTTGGACAAGCTGAAAAGAGATATTCCCCATGACCAGTCAGATGGACTTCTTTTGAGGTAGGGGCGGGTATGTGCCTGGCTCGGCAAACAAGGTGGTGGTATGTACTTGACAGTGACTCACCCACATGTCTCGATCGATGTTGGCGCCCACTGCTGCTCACAAACATAGCAGGACACGCGTCACTCGCTATCAAACCTTGGGCGCTAGGTGTGGTGTGCTCTCTATGGTGTGTGAATGTCTATTAATGGTATGCCATGGTAGAATACCCTCCACCCATCCATCCCAACTATCCGTCCAGCTGGACAGGCCAACCTAAGTTCGGGCGTCTGCATGACGGGATCTAATATTACGTTGTCATGACAGTAGCATGGTACATTAATAAGTGAAGGGGGGGGGGGGGGAGCCTCGCCAATTTAATGAAGGACAAGGGAGACTGTACCGTTCAAGACCGGAGAAGTGCCGAGATTTCGTGGCGGCAGTGCGTGTGCTTCGTTTCATTGTGAAGACCTTGAAGGGAGGGGAGGAAGAAAAGAAGAGGGAAAACAAAGAAAGAAACGAGACTGTGGGTACCGACCCTTCGTTCGCCGGCGGTTCAGCGTCCCACCCAACCTATCCGGACCACGAACTGCCCGTGCTCATGTTCAACCTAACGAGGCCGGGTAGTCATACCTGTCAGATCTTTGTGAGAGTTATCCGTCGTCGCCTGTCTTCCCCTCCACCATCTCGAATGCCGGAGGAACCGCCAATGCCTCTGACCAATCTCACCTCTCCTACTGGGGGGGTAGAAGAAGGAGGGGAGGGGGAAATGGATTGACGAGAGTGGCCGAGCCGGTCGGGGAATTAATTGATCATTTTCAGCTAAACGCTGGCCCGTTAAGGCGGCCTGCGTGGTGTTGCCACTTTCTGCTGCATGGTGTGTGGTAATACAATGTACATTTCCTCTCTCTTGGCTGGAACGAGAGGAGGCGGCACCGAGTGGAAAAGGAACATGCCGTGCCGTGCCACGACGCCCTTGAGACGAACCAATGATTCCCCTGGGGAGGGAATCCTGTGGCTCTCTCTCTCGCTTCTTTTTCAGAGAGATAGAGCAAGATAAGAGAGGATGGCCTGCTGCTGCATTGGATGCATGGCAGGTTTCTCTCAAGGAAACAATGTTTCGCAATGTTTTCTGGGCTCCACCCCATCACTGCCTTGCTTTCCCTTTTCTGCCGAGAACAGAACAGGGTCACGGACGGACAAATGAATGCCGGCTCGCGATATATTGCCTACCCTCCCTCATTCTCGCTTCTTTTATTTTTGTGAGAGGAGAGGAGCAGGAGGAAAGGCCAATCACAAGACGTGAAGCGGGAACAATGCTCCCCCTCTCGGCAAAGAGTCCAATGAGATCCCGGGCGGGCGCGGCAGAGACGAGGACCTGAGTGAGCCCTGTCGGTGCGACAGCTCAAGCAGGGCAAAAGAGACAGAGAAAGAGAGAGAAAGAGGTTCGACGGATGGATATCGCTTTGGGTTGTGTGGGGAAAAGGCCAGGTTGAAAGTTGCACGGTTAACCGCCCGGGCTTGGAGGGGACCCTGAGAAGGATGGTTCTCATTGGCTGCTGCAGACGCTTCTCCCCGCCCTCTCTTGTCTTAGACCCACCCACACCAAGGCTCTTTCCTTGCGTTCCTCCCTGGGTGTGGGTAGGTACTTGAGTACGTACCGCACTCGAGGCACCATAAGGTATGATAGTATGGTAGCATTTTCCTCCCGTCTAGCCGCGCTGCTGGTTGGGCCTTGCGTATTACCTATTTCTGTCGAGCCACGGGAAGCGAGCCGAGCCAGACCAGGTGTCTAACCGCCGGCGCCAACGCAAAGAGGTCTTGCTTTTTGCTGCATGGTGTGGGTGGCACCCAGCAGATCATCTTTCTGGTTGGAGGGCGGTCTTGTGGTGGAGGCAGATTGTGTTCTGCTGGGTAAATATGGTATGGATGGTGGATCATACAGAGACGATGGGCGGGTGGTGGATGCTTGATGAGGATCATGATGATCAATGTGGACTGAGATCTGATGTTTTGCAGTAGTGAATCTTGGTTCGTCGGCGGGAGAGGTTCTAGAGCGGGAGAAAAGATCATTTCATTCTTCTACATCATCTTTTGGAAAGAATTGTCTGTCAAGATGGACTTCATTTCTAAGGTTGACGCCAGTACCCTCTCATCTCTGGACGGTGGAGAGAAGACGGTTGAGGAACAAAATACCCACCAGGAAGAGAAAAACCCAAGGACAGCTGCAGTATTGGTGGTGGTACGTACCTACGAAGAAAACAAGAATAAGGAAAGTACTATACATACCACAGTACAGTAAGTAAAGTACATGGTTAAAAAAAAAAAAAATTCATTGCCCCAGCGCCTAGCAGAAGGACCACTCAACAGGGGACCCCGTTACCGTCGACATGGGGAAACCACCTCCCACTCATCCCCTGTCAACCTATCAGCCGCGCCGACCACTCAACGTCCACTCATTCCCCAACCCTCCATCTCGACCCATGTCAAAGCCTAACCTCCTCAACCACTCACAGTCTCCAGCGCCTGGGTTGCATTCGCGTGTATACGCTTGTCTCTCTCGTTCTCTTCTTTCCCGCGGCAGTCGTCCACTCCCCGCCCGTTGCTTTTCTTTTTCCCGTGCGGATACCACCCAAGAAAAGCAGATGTTCTATTCTCGGACGTGGAGCCCTGCAGTCCCGTCCAAAGATCTTCGAGATGGACCGCCCGGCTTGTTCTTGTCTCTCCACTCTCCACGAATACTACCGTAATATGTTACTATGTATGTACTACAGTAAGGTTTGTCTGGCAAGGGACGTGCATGGGTTCGCCTGGCCTACCCTACCGCGCCGTCGTGCGTGCCGCCGACCTACAAGCGAGGCCAGCCTCGTCCTGCATGCACGTGTATAAGAAATTCCCGTGTCCCCTCGCCAGACATGTCTCGTCTCTTTGGATTCTATTTAGAACACACACTTCTCTTTTCCTTCCATATATTCTTCTCATCTTCCATCTTCCCTTTCTGTCGTCTTGGGTCTGCTTCTTTTTTGGCATTTCATTTTTTCCTTACTTCTCTTGATTCCTTTTCCTTGGGCCGACTCTTCTTTTCCTTACTAGGTCTTGACAAATACACACTCTGACATCACCTGGAGTGAGAGAAAGAGATATATCGGGAACAACTTCTTCCAACGATCCTGTCGCAGAGAAAAAAGAAAGGAAAAAAAGGCACCAAACCCAACAACCGCCAACATGAGGACATCGATACTGGTTTCGGCACTGTGTGCCAGCACCGCCCTCGCGGCCCCTACCTACCCACAGCTCAACGTTGACGCCGCCACACCCAGCTCCGTCGACGACCTGTCAGAGTACTTCAACCTTCTGGCCCAGAAGATCTCCTCGGGGAAGCAGATGTCCAGCTCGCCAACGTGCGACCTCAGCAAAGCAGTGCTGCCAGTAGCATGTAAGTCCGAGAACTTTATATACCTATATAAATATATCTCATATATACTCCCATATACAGTTCTTGTTTGGCTAACCATAGTCAAAAACTCTTACAGCAGCATCTCCTCTCCCGACTGTCAACGCAGGCCTCACTCTCAAGCACGTCGCCATTGGCCGCGGCACGCAAAACTACACCTGTGACACTTCCAACGCAACCGCCGCACCTACTGCCATCGGTGCCGCTGCCACCCTCTTCAACGCTACTTGCATCGCCAGCACCTACCCAGACCTGCTCGCCATGCTTCCCGGCGTCGCCCTCAACTTCAACCTGTCCACCGCCTCCTCCTACCCGGCCAACCTCGTCCCAGCCTCTACCGATGAGCGCCTCGCACCCGGTGACTATATGATCTCGGGCCACCACTACTTCCTCGACAGCACCACCCCATTCTTCAACCTCAACACGACCAACTGGGAGCTCGGCGAGGCCCCCTGCGCCAAGAATGCCACCACCAACGCCCCTGCTGGTTCGCCAACCGGCCAGAGCGGAGACGGCGCCGTCGCTTGGCTCAAGCTGACGGCTCGTGAGGGCGCCACGGGGAAGCTGCAGGAGGTGTACCGGGTTGAGACAGCTGGTGGATCGCCGCCGGCCACTTGTGCCGGCATGGATGCTGCCTTTGAGGTGCAGTACAGCGCGCAGTAAGTCTTACACATATAACCTTCTCTCTTGTGTTGTTCCTAGTGTCTGGCCAGCCGTGCTAATTTTGACTTTTCTTTTCCCAACAGATACTGGTTCTACGAGTCAGACTCATAGGAGACGGGATCCATGTGGGTGGATCAGTAGGACTAGATTGGACAACACTTAGGCGGTCTCACAGAGAATGTTGAACAATTTTGGTTCAATTTTTTTTTCTTTCTCTTTCTTCATATTTTGCTATTATAACTCGGGGAGGGTTGATACCATTCTATCGAGAGGTGTTTGGGAGTCATTCGTTCATCATACTACCATCACGGCTTGCGCGAGTTCCCCCTCCCGTCTCCGTCTGGGAGGAGGGTTTTTTTTTAAAAGGGTGGTGGCTACCATCATCACCACTACATACGTACATAAAACCCCATCCGCACAGCCGAGAGGAAAAGAGGAGTCATAGCACCGTCAATACAGGTTCTAATTCTTTTATATATTGAAAAAAAAATGAAATTTGAAATAAATTCCGCCATACTTGCGTAGTGAACTTTTCCTACCATCAAATTCGAACACGTGTTAAGAATGAGGTCAAGATCAAGTTACAAATTGAAATTTTATATTCCTCTACACTATCCTATGCTGTTTCTCTATCTCCGGGATTCGTTGGAACTAAAGACTTGAATCACCAAGCCCATGCGCTGATAGGCAGGCATCAAACCATGGCAGGTCAGAAAAAAGAAAACCAATAGTCGAAAAGACGAACAGAAAGAAAAGAAAGAAGAAGAGGGAAAAAGGAAAACAAACTCTAGCGATGTGCGTCTTGAGGCTATTTCTTACACTTCTCGCGAGGGAATGATAGGACGGCGAGGTGAGCATCTTTTCCGGTCCCGAAGTTCTACATAGTCCCACTTGGGTAAACCATTCTTACTCCCATTAGATCTCACATATATAGTAGGACTTCATCCCCATTGATCATGGTTCATTATTAGGAATTATTATAAAAAACACAAAGCGTCCTGACGTATACTGGCAGGACTATGCTCTTCTTAATCCAATATGTGACAAGTGAAGATAGGAGAGGGCCCTCCAGACGAGTACACGCCGCCGTTCGTTTCTTTTGGCATGGTTCGTAGCAGGGCGGGACGGTGTCGTCTCTTGTCTTTTGTCTTTCTTTCTCTTAATCTTGCCAGGTGGTTCGTTCATCTCATCATGAAAGCCAAATCCAACTTCATGTCTGTGCTGTCACCGCCCCTCTCGTGGGACCCGGTACCGGACAAAGTCATCCCGCATTAACTTTTTTGATACACTCTTTAAAGTCAAGTGACCCATCACCGACCTTTACTCCGCCGTAACACACTGTAAACCTATCCGGCGTGCCACCTTGTATGCCATGATCCAAATTCGAATCACCAAATGCATGGGCATTACTCATAAACAGTAACACAACAACAACCACCACCTCAACCTCAGGGAGCCAGAGGAGAACCCAGAGAGGGTCTTGGCATATTTCCGACGAGAAGACCACAACAAAACAGGCACAGGATTCATGACCGTGTCGTGACTTGTCAATTGATGACACAGTGCCGTGCTGTCAAGATGCTGCTGTCGGTGACAAGATCTCTGGCATTTTGAGGCAGGCTGGACTGCCTACCTCCCAGAACGCCCAGGTCAAAACCTTTATGCCTTTCGGGACCGGGTAGTCGAGTTGGTGACCTTGGCCCCGGTGGTCTTGGCATCGCCGTTGATGATCGGGCCCTTCTTGGCAAGGAGGTCGTGGGGGTCGGGCAGAGGAGCCTGAGACATGCGGCGGAGGCCCTTGCGGTGGTCACCCTTGCCGCCCTTCTTGTATGTGGCGAGATAGAAAGAGATGAAGAGCACGAGGTACGAAGTCAAGACGCCGATTCCAGAGAAAGCAGCAAACTCCTCACCTCCGCACTTGCCGGCATTGGGCATCCAACTGAAGTAGGTCGACGTGAAGTACGTGTACGACGCGAAGTAGACGAAGCCTGTTCACTGATCAGCCGGTTGTTTTGAGAAGGGGGGAGGAGGTTTGAGGCAAGGAAAAAAACCTACCGAGGTCGATAATGAACTGAATGATCTGGAGACGAGTGACCCACTCCTTCCACCAGCACCGGACTCCACGGGCGCTCTGGAAGTAGTACCAGTACATGACAACGTGGACGGTCAAGTTGAGTGTGATGACGACCCAAGATACAGGGGTGCTACCGAGAAGCTGAGTGTAGCAAAGGACAGCGGTGGCGCCATGGTGGTAGCAATGGAGGAAGGCTGAAAGGTAGAAGAAATAAAGCACGTCAGCAAGGCCGCTCAAGAGAGAAAAAGGTGGTACCGGGGCAAAGAGGACGAAGAGGGGAAGAGAGGGAAAATTCTTACTCAGAGGCTTCTTCTTAAGGAAGAGGAAGACGGTATCCAGAAGCTCGACGTACTTGGTGAGGTAATTCAACTTGGGACGGAGAGTCAGCATTTCCAGAACATGACTAGCAGCACAGGGGAAAGGGCCTGCAGGGGTAACACTCACGTAGTACAGGACAACAAGAGGCTGCGTCCAGCCACCGTCATAGTCGCAGATGGCGTAAAAGATGCCCTTGCGGACCACAGTGGGCAGAATCTGCTCGACGAAGAGGGCGAGGAGGGTAGCGGAGACAGCCGTGAGGATGAAGTTGTGAATCAGAAAGAGCGTCTTAAGCTGGAAGGAATCCTTCTTGCGCATCCATTCACGGCCACCAAAGATGACGATGTAGTAGCAGATGACGAAGATGCCAGTCTCCTTGAGCGTAGACATGGGCGTGGTGCCAGCCTGGAACCTGAAGTCCTCGGCCGGGTAGCCAACCAAAGCCTCCCAGACCTTGCTAAAGATAGGCCATAGTTGGATTCCGAAGGGCCGGTCGATGGTCGGCAGCGGCAAATGCTCGTAGAAGGTAGCGGAGGTCGCGGTGTCCATGGTGACTTCGGCGCGTTCGGAAATGAGTCTGAACTGGTCGTGTGACTGGATCCTGGAAGAAAAGGTTAGGAGACTTTGGGGATTGAGATATCAAAAGTAAAATGCTTGGGGGCGCGTTCTTAAAAAACGGACCTCCCCTTCCTCCCCCTCTCTTCAGTGAAGACAGGTGCGCTATCTTGTTGCTGGGCTGAGGATGGTTGTGCGCCTGTTGAGGAGCTAAGGTGAACGGAACTGTGCTTACCTGAAGCTGATCCTGGGCCTGAAGACAAGAGTCGCGCCAAACAACAACGGGTCTTCGCAATGGCGCTTGCTTCTTCTTGCTGTAAGAAAGAAAATAAAGGAGGGACAGGAAGCAATTGAAACAAGATGGCTCTTCTTCAAAAGACCTGAAAAAGTAGTGGTAGAAAAAGAAGAAGAAGAAGAAGAGAAAGGAGAAGCGCACTATCGCAGGACGTGGAGGGTCTGGGGAGATGGTGACAAAAGACAAGGAAAAGTTTAGGTGAGGTCGTGTCCCCCGTGCTGGGTGAGAAAAAGGGGATGGGACGGAATTGGCCAACGGAATGGTAATCTGACAATATGCACGGCAGGCAGGGATCGTGCATGGCGTGGATACATGGTACAGACGAAGTCCACCTAGAACATACCGCGAACGCCGAGGCACATACTTCTTAGTGGCTGAATCTATTTTTCAAGCAGCAATTTGCCATAAGATTGGCTGCGTTTTGTTATTGTCCTTGGTGAGATGGAAGACTATGTGGGGACTTTTTCTTTCTACTCTCGTCTTTCCCGTTTCCCTTCCGCTTCCGACGCTCCCTTTTTATCTTCTTCTTTTTTCTCGTTCCTTTTCTTATTCTTTGGGGCTCGTGCACTGGTAGTAGCAGAGACATATCTACAGTTTTGTTCATCAAGCGAGTCTCGCTCCCTCGTCTCGCGTAAATTTTCGATGAGGATTCTATCGCTTGGGTGCACTGCTCCTGTCAACGTTCCACCTTAGCTGGTCCTCACCATGTCGCGTTCTCGGTGAAGACCCAAACTCGGGGCGTCCTGTCACACATGTGATCCATGCTGCACGCTATCGTGTAGCTGAACTTGACTTTGCAGCTGATTGATCAGCCTTCCTCCCCGTTATGACCACTCGTGTGATAGATGCTCTCTGTACAGTGAGCAGTCCGGAAAAGGCAACATACACAAACAGAGTCCCTATGAATACTGTCTGTGCACAGTCATAAAATACTTGACACGTTGGATGCATCTGGCCCGGGGTCCAATGTGTGAGTATTGTCCGTCGTCCGTGCATGGGTGGTCTCTCACAAGTAGGGGTACGTCCCACCTAGATCGACCTAGCATGCTTTAACATGTCCTACTATTATATAGTATGTATCATAGTTGTAACCGCCAAGTGTGGTTACAGATGGTGTCCTGCACCGTTGTCGTCAACGGCAAGCTGGCACGTGTTAAAAAGCTCAGTCGTGTAACTGATGACGTACCGCTGCTACAGTGAAAAAGGTGCTACAAAATGGAGCATCATCGTGCCCAAAACACTGTCCAGGAAACAATTTCTAGTGCTTGCTCTCTAGCCTCAGAAGTCTGCTTTCAGACATCAATCACATGGAAGACGCCGACTTTGTCGTCAAGGCTGACTAGTACAGTACTAAGCGATCACAAGTCGAGAAAGTGGGAAGGAAGAGGAAGAAGGAAAAATTAGAGAAAACCACTCGTCGACGGATACGGTCCCGATCGTCTTCAGAGAAGACTCGCACCACCCTCTCATACTCCAAGAGATCCATAAGCTGTACATATTAGAAGATGACAACGATGACCAACCTTTGGCCCCAGCTCCCTCTCATCAACTTCGATGTCAAGGCTATCCTCGGCAATCAAGAGCTGAGGAACACTCTATAGCCCGAGGCGGGCAATTGATGTGTCCGCGCTGTAGATCACCAAATGTATCTGTGGTCTGATATTACCCTTTTTGAAGGTTTTCCGTCGGTTTGGCCCCCCTCCCCCATCCCTACAGCGTGTAAGAAGCACAGCACCGTCAACCTCTACAGGTCATGTTGGGCTCCTCTCTAATCCTTCGCGTTCTCAAGTCAGGCAAGTGGGCTGTCGATGAAAAAGCTGAGAGTCCGCACCCAGCGCACCACAGATGTACCGATTATCGGTTCTGGCCCCGTGTCAGGCGCTGTGGAGATAAGGCGGTACGACTGACTCTGCTTCCAAATGCCCCGCCCTGATTGGCCGGCCACGAAGCTATGAGGGAAAGTGGTCCGATCAATTGCTACTGCCAAATTTTAACCAGACCAACCTGCACCGGGCAAGCCTGAACCACCCGAGAGAAGGAACCACAAACAGCTCTTCCTACTTTCCATACTCACCCTCACCCAGTCACCACAACCAGCCACTCTCCACTCATCTTTTAGCTCTCAACTCTTCTCCTCAAGGCCCAGTCCTTCGCCTTGCCCGACCTCGTTACATCAAATCTCCCCCCAAGCCGACGACAACATATACCACAGAGGAGAAAAAAAATACGAAAAAAATGTCTCTCCTTCGTATCGCCGCCCGGGGCCCCGCGACCTCGACCTCCTCCTTCTTCCGAGCCACCACCCTCCGAGCCCGGCCCTCGATCGCTTTCGCCCGCCCGGCCTTCAGCACCTCGTCCCGTCTTCGATCCGAGCACCAAGAGGAGTCTTTCGAGGACTTCAGCACCAGGTGAGACCCTCTCCCGTCGCGACCACCCATCCCGGGCCAAGGGAAGAACCAGACGCCCACCAAGGGAAACGAGGTGGCAGCCAGGGAAGAGTCACGTCATGTAACCCCGGCCGAGGTCAATTGGGTCGCGACGCAGGCTCCAGCACGGGTCAATGAGGCTGACGAACCCCCTCACTGTGTGATAGATACGAGAAGGAGTTTGACAATGTGCAGGACGTCTTTGAGCTACAGGTTAGTCTTTTTACTTGCCCATCCGAGCGGAGCGCATATACAGGCTCATGATGTCCCCCTTCCCTTCCGCCTTCCCTACGGACGGCACGGCACGAAGCTCGATGGCTGACCCCGACGCGGTGACGCAGCGTAACCTGAACAATGCCTTCGCCTACGACCTCGTCCCCTCGCCTTCCGTTTGTATCGCCGCCCTGCGCGCAGCCCGGAGGGTCAACGACTACCCTACCGCCGTCCGGATCTTCGAGGGTATGTCATGATGAATCCTGGTGTAAACAACAGCATTGCTGCCGGACAGAGACATGTTTTACTAACTCTGGTGGACATAGGCATCAAATCCAAGGTCGAGAACAATGAGCAGTACCAGCAATATCTCAAGGAGCTCCAGCCCTTGCGCCAGGAGCTCGGCGTCCTGCTGAAGGAGGACCTGTACCCGGAGGCCAAGGAAGAGCACTAGACACAAATGTTGCCTCGATGCTGACTACCCAGGCAGTCATCCTGTCAAACCTCTCGCGGCAGAAGGGGCAAAACCACAGATAACAGGCAGGCATTTTCCCTTCTGACCTGATGGCTGAAAAGCAGCTTGAAAACGCAGTTTCTGTATATGTGTTCTACTACCAGTTATCCCGGGAAAAGAAATCAAAAATCGAGCTATAGACAAAAAAGCAGAGAGGAGACAGGGGAAAGAGAGAGGGGGAAAGAGAGAGAAGGAGGGGAGAGGAGGCACAAGGGGTTGATATCCATTCCAAATCTCCTTTTTCACTTGCAATAGAAGCGAGGTAGGCAGGGGCGGAGGTCAAGTTCAATCTCAAATGCTGTGTACGTTTTCGATGATTCATGTTTGCCGAACAAAGACATGACGTGACGGTGACATGAACCTGGTACTACTGCTTTGTGCATGCTTTCATCATGTATCATATCATGAGGGCTCAATTCGAACCCGTCGTGCTCAGCTTTCGCACCGTTGTGTCGTCCCCCTTATCTCATACAAGTATCATTGGCATTGGGTCAAGGCTTATGAATGCCTGGCGTCCCTCCCCATTGGAAGGACAATCTATTACCAGTGCTCCTGAACAGCAAATTTATAACAACAACCTAAGACATACGAAATGAATTGAGAACATTCTGACTCTTTGCATGAGCTGCTAGTCTATCCTGTTTCCCTCCAATCCCGTGTTCCACGAGCAAAATGTACATGGTTGAGTACAAAAGGAGACAGCATCTGCTTACTGACCCGTCCTCTGAAGACGCCGCGCCCCCGCCACCCTCTACAGCTCCCTTAGATGCGATCCCCTGGGCCCGAAAAGATTCCCTCCAAGTCCATTGCCATTCCCACCATTTCCGTTGCCGCTGCCGATGGGCCCTCCGATGTTGTTGTTGCTATCGCCAACCGGACTCGTGTTCCGGCTGCTCACCTGGCGAATGCGCGGCGAGCGGGGCACACTACTTCCGCGCGTCTCGCGGCCGCCGAAGCGGGCCTTGTACACACGCATATCCTCATTACGGCGTTCAATCTCGCGCTCGCGGTCAAGACGGGCCTCCCTCTCCATCAACCACTTGTGGCGCAGCGAGGCGTCGGTGCGCTCCGTGGCTATGCGGCGGATCTCGATCAGATTCGTGCTGGCGCGTGCCTCAAGGTCCCGGACCTGCTGCCTCAGCTCGGCATTCTCCTGGCCTAGGGCCGCAGCCTTATCCGAGGCGTCCTGGTAGCGGTCCCGCGCGAAATCGAGGTCCTTGCGGATGCTGGCGGCCTGACGCTCCGCACTGGCGGCTGCGTCCTGCGCCTTTTTGAGGGCGATTTCGCGCTGGGCTATCTCGGCGAGAGTCGGGTTCTCGGATTCGGTGAGCTCCCGGAGCTGGGCCTCGAGCTGCTGCCTGTCCTCGGCGAGCTTAGCGACCTTGGACTCACTGCGCTCGAGCTCCTTCTGGACCCTCTCCTTTTCCTGGAGGGCCTGGTTGCGCTCAGCCTCGAACTTGCCGCGTTCGCCAATGGCATCGTAGTATTTAGGGTGGAACCTCTGGATAGTCATGATATGACTCTTGACCTCCTCACTCTTCCTGTTTAGGCCGACCTGCAGATCTTTGACCTACAAAAAGGAAGGGGGGAAAAGCGGGGGTGCATGTCAGCGGTCTTCATCATGAAATGCAGTGCAGATCAAATCCACTTACAAGACCAACGAGGTCCTCCAGCTTCTCAAGCGAGACTAGAGCCATGCCATCCTTCAATTGCACGCTGTTGCCGAAGCGGGCCATCAACTCCTCGCTCAGCTGCTCCTCATCTGATGGCCGGCCCATGCGGACCCGCTTGGACTTTTCAACCTCCTCTCCTGCGTCCTCACGTCTACGCTTCCTGTTCCCGTCCGAAGTCACCTGGTCTCGTGCGCTCTTGTAGTAATCGAAGATGATGTCAGGAACGTGCTGGTGCTCCCAGGTGTCCCACCTGAGGTCTGGAGGGTGAAATCCAGTCTCATCGACTAGGTACCGAGCCAAATCACTGGCGAACTGGTGTGGCGGTGGGATTCCCTCCAAGACTGTCTCATCTTCTGCGTAACCGGCCAACGCGGCGATGCACTCCAACTGGGCGAACCTTCTCTCCATAGGATCCATTCTGGGAGACAAGCGCTGGTTGATGTGCTCGAGCGAGTAGAACTCGACTAGACTGAAGATCAGAGGTGTCTGGTCGTTGAGCTCTCTGGTCTTGTAAGGCTGGAGGACACCGGAGGTTTCTGCCGTCTCGTCGTAGGCGATGACAATATTTTCGGTAAGCCGCGGTGGTTGCGCTGGTTGAGTCGTGTCAACCAGAACAACCTTGCATGCTGAGCCGTCTTCAGATGATGGATGCGACCAGTCTTGTTGCTGTGCGTGACGGTATGTGAAACCGCCCTGGCTCACAATGGCTTCCACCTTTTCTGCCACTGCGCCTCCAGCAGTAAGGATGACTATCTCAACTTGAACGTCCCGCAGCCTATCGAGAAATTCGTAAATGAAAGAGAGTTTGCTCGTGGTGTCGCGGGCATATCTCATCCATTCGACCTGTGTTAGGCTTTCCAAATCTTTGTGATAAGGTGGAAGGTTGCTCATCTCGCCTAGGGAGTGAAGCATTGTGTCGATCCTCGCGATCACTCTGTCGTTCGGCGAGCCTGGCGCGTTCTGTGAGAAGGTGACCTTGAATGCTTCCATCTCCTGGCGGTTAAGTTTGAGAATGTCTGGCCACTGCGCTCGAGCCCGTGCTGGGGGCGGTAATGTAATGATGTATTGGTTGGCTGCGGTTTCCGCGGAAGGGAGAATTCCATATCGTTCTTCATCCCGCATTACCGTATCAGGAGTCTTTGCTTCCGCTAAAGGGTCGGCAGCAGCAAGAACATCAGAGTCTTGCGACGATGCTTCTAAAAGTGGATCTGACACTGTTGTTGCAAGTAATACAGACGGCGAGATTGTGGCAGGCATGTCATCGTTAATTGGACCGCCAGGCTCGAGTATATGGTTGACAGCAGCCGCCGCAAAAGCCGGGGATGCTTGTCCGGGGTTCTCGGTACTGTCTAGCTCAACAGTGCTGATGATGTCGGATGGCGAGATGGGCGTTGGGGGTTCGTCCCCAGTCCGATTTGCCTCGCCGCTGCTTTGTGCAGCGTCAACTGGACGCTCAGAAGATCGCCTCATGTGCGGCGGAATGGAGAATTGCATCTGGATCGCTCGAAGCGCTTCCAGTGCCGACCGCTCCGACTCGGCAGGCTGTGAATCATCCATTATCGCAAGCCGTGATTTTGTGTCTGTTGGGACAATGTGTTGGTGGACCCGGAATGCTGTAGAATACCTATTAATCATCTCATTCTTGTGAGTACTTGGTGCGGAACAGGTTGTTTCTCTTACAGGCTGATGCAGCACAAGAGTTGATTCGCGTGTCTTATGTACTACAGGTTGCGCAGAGACCTCCAGTTGACGCTATTCAGACCCACCTGACTTTTCTTGTGACGTTTCTGGGACGATCTCGTAGTCTTCAGATGCGGAAAAGAATGCTTCAGTCTGTGTTAGGAAGTGTGACTGCTGCTGGTTTGACAACGGTGAAATCTCTTGTGCTGGCTGGTGAGAGTCTTCCAGAGGTGTATTCTGCGCGGACGAGGCAAGCTGTTGAGACCCGCTTGTCGTGACGATGGGATCCTGAGATCGTATTCTAGAATTTGTTGATAGACTAAATTCGCCAGCCTCAAACGGAGGTTGCGTCAAGAAACGTTCAAAGGTGTTCCTGGACGACGGGAGCCTGGCTGAGGCCTGAGAGTCCAGAGCAGGCTGGAGCGGAGGAGTGGGAGGGTGTCCTTGAGAGAGGAGCTGGCCCTCGGCATGGAAAGAAATAGAGTCGTGCTCAAAGGACAGCTGATTGCTATCAGGCTGACGGGATGGAACCGAGGATCCTGACGATTCTTTGTGACTGACTTTGTGGCTTTCAAGCCCACTTTGCGGGGGTTCTGCACCAGTCCACGACACTTCTATAGGGTCCTGGCTGATATCTGTGGAAAATTCTTGTGAATCAGGGATGGTAGTCTGGCTGACGTGAACTTTAGTCCTGATGGCTGTTGGTGCCTGTTGGGACAGGTCCGACCCAGGAATGACAGACTGCGAATCAGCAGTACCAATTACACCTTGGCCTGGGTTTGAAGAGATGATGAGGAACTGTGGGGGCGGCAGTTCGTTCTCACAATCCAGGTAGGAGAAGTTGGAGAGTTGAGACGCAGAGATGGTGAGGACGTCAGCAGTGTCAAAGTCAGGCCTGGACTTGAGGAAGTCTGATTTGGACTGAAGCTCAATGTAGATGGTGCCAGGATGACTGCTGGGTGACGACTCCGTGGCTTGATCCTGCGATGACCTTGGGCTCGAGGGGGCAACACCGAGAAGGACCTGACGCTGCTTCTCCCACTCCCAGTCCTCAACAGCCTCCTCGTTGGCGTTTTCCTCTGGCTCCTGTCCGGTGAGGTTAGCACGTGACCACTTAGGACCGCGATGGGATAAAGACGAAAGAACGTTGAGCATGAAACCTCACTCACCCAGGAAGGTTCAAAGGTTTCTCCTGTGATGGGATGGTCTTCCCAATCAATTTTGTAATAACGCTGGCTGCCTATGAATTTTTCGTCGATAATATCTTTGATGGCGTAAAAGTTATCTTGCAGAATATCATCGCGCAGCTTGCGTTTCTTGGTCTTCTTGGCAGGGGTTGGCGGCGGTGACCTGTCCCTCTTCCTATTATTCTTCTTACGAGTATATCTCCGTGGCGATTGGGAAGCTGTGGTGGTGGTGGTGGTGGTGGCGGCGGCGGCGTTTCCTGTCACCTGCGACGACGATGTCCTGGTCCTGCGCTCGGGACTGCTCATTGACGCCTACTCAAGTTTGACGCGACCCATAGCCGCATTCCACGTCGCGCGGAGGGAAAAAGGACACAAGACTGTTTTATTCGCTGAAGGTACAGTGCGCTACCTGTAGGAAGGGGCTATGGGTGGCAACTGCGAGGCGTTGACTGGGAAGGCGGACTGCGATGGTGGGATGTCATGAACGTGCATCGTAGTAGAGACAAAGTAAAGATGAGTGGCAGGCAGTAGTGAGTGAGTGACAAGTGACTTCCTGACAGGGGGGGTCACGCAAGGCTGGGTCACGTCTTGCCCAATGCGGCATGCCACTTGCATCAATACGCCGTTCCGTCGCTTGTATCACGATAACTCAATATTTTTGTCAGCATTCATGAGAGATTGTGAAGCTGAAAGGCTTGAAAAGGCTAAGTTACATACTATACAGGACACTGTAAGTTTTGATACTGATATAAAATACCCTGTGCCGCTTCATGATGCGGCAACTGCGCCTCCATATTTCTCTAGACCAGCGTATGGAGGGAAGGTGCGATTGCAATCGGCAGCATCCAGCTGCGCAGGGCGATCACGTGTACTACAGCGGTATTGCGGTAAAGCATACCGCTATCTTTCAGGGCAGCCTCCCTGCAACAGCCCCTGACTGACACTTTGTCTTTCCTCGCATGATCCACCACTCCATTTAGACGCTGTCGTTTGTATTGCCTCATCACATTTTGGCTGCCACTGCTTTGATAAAGCCTGAATGACAAGACAAGACAAAGCAGGACAATATTCAATTAAATATCACAGAGAAAAACTTTATGTACTATGCCCCCCTCTTACGTTGTGTGTGAGGTCTGATTCCCCGAATAATACAGTGTGGTCTTTACCTTGAAGACTATCCAATGCCAAAGCCAAGGCCTGGGTTCATTATTGCAAATGTGTATCTATGCATGCTCTCTATCCCCCAAAATATGAATTTGAAATATAGCAAACAAGCCAAGTTCAAAATTTTACTCCCTGCTGGTGTTTGGCAAGGTAAACTCTCACCTTTTTCCTTCTTCTTTCTTTCCTTACACATGTGCTTCTTCAATCGGCCTGGTGGTGGACCTAACAGAGAGAGTTGACATATTCTGTCTGTCCTCTGCTGAACTCACCAAGACTTCGACGCCTTAGAAGTTAGAAGAAACGACTGGAAGAACAAAAGAAAGAAAAGGAGAAAAAGAATACGCCTTTGTACTTGTTTGTTCTCTCAATCTCTCCTTCCCAGGCCCCTCTGCCTGCTTCTTGCCTAGAATTATCATCTTCCCCCCAGCGGTGTGAGTTGCCTTGTTCGGCACGCTGTCCGGAGATCATTCTAGCGCATGGCCTATCTTCTGCAGGCCCGCCTCCTACCACGGCAAGTACGGCTGCCTTGTACCGCTGCAGGTCCAATAGTTTGTCCACGTTTTTGGGGGCCCAATAGACCGAATCTCACTGACATGCAATATCTTGACCCAACCCAACCTACCCTAGGCATTCCGGCCCCGGCTATCTGGATGGCTTCAAAGGCTATGACGATTCGTACTACGTAGCAGCGCGCCCCCCCCCGGGGGGGAGAGGGGGTTGGGATCGTCGGTGAGCATGCATCGCTAATGAGGCTCAAATAATTTATATAAGTTCAGAACGTCCGCGCTGTCCTGTTTGGCTCGTCGTGCTCCTCTCCTATCCCTTCCTGCCATTTCCTCTCCGAGGCCACGCCGGCTACCCTACCTTTTTTTTTTTTTTTTTTTTTTTCTCTCTCTCTCTCGCGACTTACTGTGGTGACAGGGCGAGGAGGACAGCATCACACGAGCAGTCACGATGAAGCCTCAAGTTCCTTTCCTCGCCACGGCTGCTGTTGTCGCTGCGACGACCAACACCAGCCTGCCAGGAGCCAGCTTCTATGTCGTTCCCAGCGCGTTTCCTACGACTGTCTACTCCTCCTACTATGTCAGGCCAGGACCGACACAGGAGCCTCAGCCTGCCATCTTTGATCCTGTGCTGAACATCACCTTTCCCCTGAACCTGACGGATCCGTCTACCATTCCCACCACAGATCCGGACCTGGTTCTTTATCCCGAGGCTGCAGCCAATCTTACAGATACCGCCGCCGAGACTGTCGTCTCCACAGCCATTGCTCAGATCATGGACATCATCAACACGAACGACACTTCCCTGGCTGATAGCTGCTCGAGATGTGTTGCTGCCCTCGCAGTGGGCCAGAGGGTGGCCAAGCTGGCCCCGTCCTATCTGCCGGATGCCATGGTCCAGCTCTGTCAGACCACAGGGTTCAGCACAACCTCGACATGCCAGTCGACATATGAGGCCAGCGCCTTTGGAGCCGTGTGGACACAGGTCCTGGCCAAGGCTGATGTTGAAGGTCTGGATGGCCGGTACATCTGCTCGTCGCTCAGCACCAGCTTCTGCAGTGCGCCGCCAGTCATCCCTGCGGTGGCCACATTTCCCAAGGAGAAGCCGGTTGACGTGAGCGTGCCTGCGAGGAGCGGGAAGACGGTGAAAATCTTTCACCTCTCTGATATGCACCTGGGTAAGTTGGGACTGTTCTATTGACTGCCTGGATCGCAGTACTTACTCATCCCCACTCCGGTGGACCAGATCCTAGATATGAGTATGGAACCGAGGCCAATTGTACCAACAGTCCTTGCTGCAGACCTAGCACTCCTTCGACTAACGGAAGCGTGCCTACTGTCGAGCTCGCGGCTCCTCTGTATGGATATTACAAATGTGACTCACCGTACTACCTGGCGCTGGCTGCTGTCCAGTCCATCGGGCCCTTGACAGGAACTTCTCTGGATGATCCGCCGGCGATGACCTTCTACACGGGAGACATAGTGACCCACGTCCCATCTCAAGGACAGCTCTCCCACGCCTTTGTTGAAGATGTCGAAGATTCCGTGTTGCAAATGTTTAAGGCCTACATCGGCGGACCGATCTTTGCTGCGCTCGGCAACCATGACACTAGCCCGGAGAACAACGACGCGCCGCACGCCATTGACAATAATGGGCCTCTCGGTCAACAGTTCTCTTGGAACTACGAGCACGTCTCGCAGCTCTGGGAACACTACGGCTGGATCAACAGCTCGACCCAGGCCGAGGCGGCCTTGCACTATGGCGCGTACGCCGTAACGCATCCTCTCGGCGTGCGCATCATCACGATCAACACCGACTTCTACTACAAGTCCAACTACTACGCCCTCCTGCACACTGTCGACCCGGACTACAGCGGGATCTTCAGCTTTCTCATCAACGAGCTCCAGAAGGCCGAGGACGCAGGCCAGCGCGCATACGTCATGGGCCACGTCCTGACGGGCTGGGATGGGACCAACCCGATGCCCAACGGCGCTGACTACTTCTACCAGATCGTTGAGCGGTATTCACCACACGTAATCGCCGGTGTGTTCTTTGGCCACACCCACGAGGACCAGGCCTTTGTGTACTACAGCAACAACGGCACGAGCCAGACGGCCGAGCACGCCATCGCCAACGCCTGGGTGGGCCCTTCGCTGACGCCGCTGACGAACCTGAACTCGGGCTACCGCATGTACGAGGTGGACACAGGCAGCTTCGAGGTCATGGAGGCGTACACCTTCTACAGCGATGTGAGTAGTTTCTCCAGCCTGGACGGCTCTGGGCCTGTATGGGAGTTTGAGTACTCGACCCGCGCCGTGTACGGACAGGCGGCAGGATGGGACGCCGCGGACCCTCTGAACGCAACCTTCTGGCACCGGGTGACCGAAGCCATGGAGGCCAACCGGACGCTGGTGGAACTGCAAAACAAGTTCCAGGGTAAGAGCAGCGTCATGAGCCCCAACTGTACAAACCAGGCTTGCCAGGACGCAAGGGTATGTTACATGAGGAGTGGCAGCGTGGGATTGGGAAAGCAATGCCCTCAAGGATTTGGCAGCGTGCAGAGCGCCTTCACTGGGGTGAACTATTAAGTAAGGGGCAAGTAAGTATGGAGATGGAGAAAAGAGAGAGAGAGAGAACGAGGGACAGACTAGTGTATTCAGGGGGTTTTACATAACTTTTGTAGCCCTGAAGAGGGAATTCCTCCCACAGTGTTCAACCACGTATACAGCTGATTTTATTTTTATTTTTTGAAAAAAAAAAAAATCATAATAACAACACTGCTCTCCCCCAAGCAGACGTGATCTTGGCTTGGAGTGGTGATGGCACTGGGCGCTCGCGATCTATTGGAGCCATAAATCCTATCCGTTGCATTGAGTGGTAAGCCAATCAGAAGAATAAAACCGAGACAACGGGTTACTTTTCCTGTGAAACGTTGGAAGACGCATGGGCTGCATGGGCTTATCAAGTCGATTTTGGTTGAGTAGGTAACCATATAGGCTTCTTCTGAAGGTGTTGGGAACTCTAAAGTGTAGGAGCCAACCGTTTTCTTTCGGAATCCCTTTCGACCCCTTCTTCTGTCTTTCTCTCTCCTTTCCTCTCTTCGTCTCTTCCTCATCCTCTCCTGATATCTGCAGCTTTTCATCTCTCTCTTCCTAATACCCATCCTCTCGTCCTCTACTGTGACCTCAAGAGGTATATTTTCACACAACCTCTGACAAAGAACCAAAGCAAGTGCACCAGCTGATGTTGGCCTTTTTCTTTGAGACTACGTACCCCGAAATTGCCTAGATGGAGCTGAGTAACAATGATTCATCCAGTCCCACCACAGGATATTGGCATGGCTATGTGCAGCTACACAAGGAGGCAACGAGCCATAATCTTAACATGGCCAGGACAGTGGTAAGCTACCGTTCTTGTCTTCCTCTCAGACCCCAGCCGGTCATCCCTCCTCCTTGTCTTGCAGCAGCTTGTGGCAAGTTGCACCTCTGTTATTCTCTCACCGTTCACATAGGATATCATGGCACTTGCGCAATTGTTGTGATTTAGCTCAATATTCGTGCTTTTCCTTTTCATTTCTGACATCCGTTTCCCTCCATGAGAGGGTGTGAGGTCTGCAAGCTAGTTCTCAAGCTGCTGGGAGCCTAGTGGGTGGAAAGGGGGGGGGGGGAGCCGGTTGGATGAGCCAAGTGGGCACGGTGGGGTAGAAACTTGGGGGAAGCCGCTACATGGTTACAGCCTGGTTTTTGACTATAGTGCTTGCAGACAAAGCAGACTTCTAACGTTATTGACCACCAACTTTCAAGGTACCCCGACTGCCACCACCGCTGCCACCACTGCCACCATTCTTCTCATCCGCAGCCGGGGCTTCTATGCCAGGAAGCCCAGCAGTCGAAAAGACGGATCCTCACGACAATTTATCCTTGTGAGCCCTCCACGAGAAAATCCACTCAACTGTCAAATGGCTAACGGCGCGCGACGGCAGGCAACTCCCTCCTCCCGACGGTCACACGTCTCGCGGTGTACCGACGATACACCCGACTGACGGCCAGACCTCCGAGCCAAGAACATTCAGGGATACATGGTAGCTCTTTTCAGCTCGTTGACATACAACAGCCAACGGCATTTGACTGAATTTGTGATAGGGATCCAATCAAGAGGTACCGGTCTGGCAGGAGCTCCTTACCTGACTATGGGTACGTGCCACTACTGCTTGTGATGATGACGAACGATGATGGTGGTGGGGACTGGCTGCTGAGGCGAAAATAGGAGCCCGCAGGAGAGCACCATGTCGAGGTCGAAGAAGATAGCAGTGAGTTCACGGCCCCTAGCCCAAGACTGAATGTCCCTGTGCTGACAAGTCAGGCTTATCTCGGACAGGTGCAGTACGGAAACTTCCTTGATTCAGGTGGCAGCGCTTCTACTCGGCCAGATCAGCAGGCACTGCCGCCCAAACGTCCCAGCGAGAATTCCCTTGCAAGGCAAGTGAAGCGACCCCGAAATGATGACAACGGCGAACCAGAGGTTGTGTCTCTAGATTGTAGCTCCGAGACTACTCAGAGGCAGCGGCCGTCGAGGAGCCCCGTACAACACAGAAACAGCGGCCGAAGAAGTCACAGCGTGCAGTCCAGCGGTGAGAGGGAGACCAGGGGAACCATGATCAGCGAATATCGTACTACATCAAAACAGATCCCGGCGGGCAGCAAACGAGCGAGGCACAAGAAGGACCCGACCAAAATGCCAAGGCAAGATGTGAGCCAGAAGAAAGGGGGCGACGCAAATCCGCAGAGGACAAATCCAGCGCCTCCTATCAAGAGGCGGCTGGTCTCAACCTACAAGGTGCAACTTGACGACATCGAGGACGAGGCGGACTTGATACCCGAGAAGCAACCAGGAGGAGACAACAAGCGAACCCCTCCAAGACCCTCCAGAGGACTCTCGTATCATGCGTCTAGATTCGTGATGCCCCAGATTGTCGACAGTGAGGACGACGAGGACGAGGGAGACGCAATCGCACATCTGCCACCATTGAGGCGACGCGACCTCGCGGCGGGAAAATCAGGCACACATCAACTCCACCATACGAATGGTGTCAAACGCATGCCTAATGATCCAGATGAGCTTCAGAGCTCGCACTCGATCGAGCGACGCCCACAACCTTCCGACGGAGCCGATGTTCCAAAGACAAAGTTCCTATCCGCAGCAACGGCAAGGACAAGGGAAGGCCTCGGCCTGTGCGTGCAAGGAGCGGTCTGCTATCCAACATACATCTATCCAGATACGGACGCTAACCCTGGCAACACTCGAGGAGCAAGTGATGAGCCATGTTACCTGGTTCAGCTTGAGGGGAGCCCCAGCGCCTTTGAGGCGAGGGACAGCCGTGGTCGCATTCTAAAGGAACTTGGGTGGATTCTACCAAAGGTCTCGACAATCAGCAGAATCCTGTATAACCATGCTCTGCCCTTTGTCAAGATCTGGAAACGTTCGGACTCGACGTCGTCATTTTCAACAGGAGCTGTTCTCATCCTTACATTTGGGACATCTCAGGAGGCAACGACCTACGTAAACGTCTGCAAAGGTGCTAACAGCGCTATTGAACTCGCTAACACGTACGAGTAAGTTTACCAGACCTGCGGAACAGTTAGCTGGTATGAGTATGCTGACTCTTGTAGTAAAAATTTGATCGACACTGTCGAATCAACAACAAAGCATATCCGGGAACGAAAATGGACAAACCGTCGCCATTCTCCTGCTCACACGCCGGTTCTGGAACGCAAGCAAGCCACAACAAATCCCTCGACACGATTTGACTATAGTCCTAAGCCGCTACACACGTCAACATCCGACCATTATGCTCAGACGAAAGCGCTCCGGAGTCGAATGAGAGCTGACGTTGGCTCTGAAGTGGGGGCGCCAGCTGCGGAAACGACATCGACGGACTTCACGCCCAAGACACCAACGGAAGAGAGAATGTTGCAAAAGCTGATGGCCTCCTCCGACGGAGGCGACGATAGTCAGGACGAAGAATGGCGCTCGATGAGACGTCGGCAAAGTCCAGCGCAGTCCAGTGGAAGAGAGGTCGTGGCTCAATCTCAGAGAAAGTTGAGATCCTCCAGAGCTAAAACACGCAGTCCGAGTCCCCCGCCACTGAGATGGACAGAGCAAAACCCCAACTGGGAGGATGAACGTGGTTACAAGATCCCACTCAGCTACGAGCGGACCACCATCAATGCCACAGATATTGAGAGGTTGGACGAGGGCCAGTTCTTAAATGACGAGATCATCAGCTTCTACGCCAAGTATCTGCACAAGCAGCTGGAAGCGAGGGACGCGCAGATGGCAAAGCGAGTCTATATTTTCAACTCGTTCTTCTGGGAGAAGCTCAAGGTGAAGGGCTACAACGGCGTCAAGACCTGGACCGCCAAGATTGACCTTCTGTCGTTCGACTACATCATCGTGCCCATCAACCAAAATGCCCACTGGTATCTTGCCATCGTCTGCAACCCGGGAGGTTTGCTTACCCCAGAAGACAACGACCCAGACGAGCAAGAGATCGCTGTCCCCATGGATGTTGACACCGATGCGGAACCAAATCCAGCAGCGGTAAAGTCCGATTTCGACCATGCGTCTATTGCTGGTCAAGTTGACAAGCCGACGATGTCAGACGTGGAGGATCCCGGCAAGGTGCAGAATGGAAAGAAGTTCAAAGCCTCTAAGAAGGGCCCTGGCCCCAGGAAATATGACCCAAAGGATCCACGGGTCATCACGCTTGACTCACTTGACGGAAGCCACTCTGGCGTGTCAACTGCACTCAAACACTACCTCAAGGACGAGATAAAACACAGAAAGGGAGTGGATATTGTGGTCCCGTCAGTGTTTGGGATGACGCCCCGGGACATCCCTTTCCAAAACAACTTCACAGACTGTGGTGTCTACCTTCTGGGCTACCTGGAGGAATTCATGAAGGACCCTCGTGAATTCACCAGAAGGATTCTTCAGCATGAGGCGCGGGATTGGAACGTCAACGCGCCAGCCCTGAGAAATAAGATTCGTGATCTCATCTTCAAACTGCAGCGGACTTATCAGCAAGACGAAATACAGAGGAGGCGGGAGAGGAAACTCCTGGCAGACCGAAGGCAGACCAGGTCGCAAAATCCGGCGGCCGAGGCGAAGTCGGATCCTACAATCGCCAGCGAGCAGCCTCGTGGAGCAGTATCTGCCTCGGCTTCTTCCCGTTCAGACAAAGGAGCATGGTCTGGTCCCGACGTTGCCAGTCAACAGACCTCTGTGACCGAGGAGCAGAGAATGCCCGGCATGGGAAGTGAACAAGCTCCGCAACGGTCTTCAGCTTCAGCTTCGTCGGTCAAAAACTCTCGCCACCAGACACCGTCGTCACATGCTAAGAGCAGGTTGGACCCGGTCCGTCGTGATCACGCAGACGAGGAGTTACTACAACAGCGTGCGCGCACCTCAGTCTCTCCTCCACCACTGGAACGGCCACGAGGGAGCTCCGGCCAGCGACAGGACAGTGAGCATACCGACCGGGACGTTAGTATCAGCATGATTGTCAACCCAAATGACAGCGTTGAGATTACGGATCAGCAGAGTCTGCCGCAACAACGCCCTGGGCCGCATGTAACGAAATCGGTGGAAGACGCGAACGAGAATGCTCCGCAGAAGCATGCTGCGCAGAAGCTACACTCGGTCCAACCATCGGCCCCGCCAGAGACTCCGCAGAAGCCAGAGCGGTCACTCCGCACGTATGGTAGATACTCCGAAAGCCGACTGATGCTACCAATGCATTCTTCGTCGCCACCGAAAGCTGGCTCTTCGGCAAGCGGTGGGCAGAAGAAAACTTGGTCGAATACAGACACTACAAAGTTTGCCACTAGGGAGCAAGAAGAGACTCGTAGTCGCTTCTTCGCTTCGTCGTCTGTTAAGCCTTCGGGCGCAAATAGACGGACGAGGGCGAACCCCACCCCTGAGTATACTGCCGTTCTCTCATCTCCAGAAGAGGAGAAAAGAATTGCCAGCGGAAGTGCATTCAAGAATGCGATCGACCTGACTAATGATTAAAGTCTTGTGCCTGATGACGCTGAGGGGCCAAGAAACATGGGGCTATGAAGGAACGACGAGAAAGAGCTTGATGATTTTGTGCTTCAAGTGGACAACACAGAGCCAGCTGCCCCCCAAAGAGACAGGCTATGATTTGATCATGGCCAGGGTGTTTTCAGGGGCCAGCCTCTTCACATGTTACCCATTCTTTTGTTATTTTGTCATCTGTCTTCGTCGAGGTTTTGATGGATCATGGCATGATTTGGGACAAGGAAGCATTGCAATGGCGCCCCATGGGTAGGGGAGCAAAGGAGTCACAACGGACACATGCCCGCTCGCACCTGCATAGACAAATCTGCTTCTAATACAACGAACAGGTGACATGATTACATTTTATTCTCTGAAGTTAGCAGGTGACTCTCCTCGTGACCCATGGACTTTGGTCACACAGCGTGCATATGAGTATCTCTCGAAAAGGAACTTAGAGTCTCAACTCTAGCTGGTGTGCAAGAGAGACGGTGTCTTTGACGGGAAATGGATAGGAGGCTGTCGTCTGGTGGCTGGCTGAGCCGACGCAAGATGATTGAGGTGCTCTCTTGGCATTTGCTATAGCTGCATTCCCACGGCAATAACACATTGAGTGAGATGAGCAATCCTGTAGTCGGTGGTATTTCACAAAGCAGATATGCTGTGACGGTGATTATAGATGTGAAGTAAGTTTTGAAATAGTTGTAGATGCAGAGGAGTTGTCTGGTTCCCCCAATACCCTCACGTCAATACGATGCTACAATGCTGGGAAGAAAATGCCTCTTGGTCTCGTGGAACGCCTGTCGAGCCCATCCGGGCTGGAGCCATTGGTTTGTTTTCACCTTTTTTCCCCTGTATTTTTCTCCTTCCCACTTCCCTTGCTTGCTCTCGAAGGTTTCAATCATTTACTGTCTATTCTATTCCTTGTCTGACGAATAGTGTCCATCTACTCCGTTCATCTGGGCAACATCGTCTTTCCGTAATCTCGGCACCTCAAAGACCATTGCCCCGTTACGTGCGCCGGTGAGCTTCTTCCACCGGCCGAGGCGGTGCTCCTTGCCGAGCGCGATGACCACGCACAGCCCGTCCTTGCCTCGTTCGCCCCGCTCAAAGGTCGAGATGTCGTTTACGATGCCCCTGACGAGGCCGAGAGCGGAGTCTGGCGTGGGGTCGTCTTGCCCTGCCTTCTCGGCCTGTCTGGTCTGCTGCGGCGGGGAAGAGTGGTGGCCGTTGACGCCGTTGGTCTGGATCTCCTGTGTCTGGGGGTACTGGGACTGCGGGTGGTGGGTGATGATGGTCCCTTGCTCGTCGGACGTGGCGCCTAGCACGCCCACTCGCTCGATGCGCCGCTTGTCCTCGCTGAGCTTCCACACGCGGACGTACCCGTCCCAACTTCCAGACAGGATCACATCGCTGTAAGGGATGGTCTTGAGCGCGGTGATCCACCGGGGTTGCGGGGGCGGTATGACCTTTGGGTCTGGCTCCTTCTCCCCCGAGGCCTTGTCCAGGGCGAGGGCGGGCTCAATGCCGTGCGCCTGCGGCAGGACGAAGAGGGGCTTCTTCTTCTGTGTGCTCCACAGCGCCAGCGAGCCATTGTCGCTGCCTGTGACGAACAGCTCGTCGTCGAGCATGGCGATGCGGTCCATGCTGCCCTCGTGTGCGTTGGACTTGGGGTCCACACCAGAGGCGGCGTTCTTGGCCGCAAGCTTCTTGTCGGGCCCGCCGCCGCCGCGGAAGACCAGTTGCGTCTCCTCGACGACCTTCCACAGGCGGGCGGTGCGGTCCCGCGAGCCGACGCTGACACAGCGTTCTTGGGACAGCGCGTCGATGTCGACGACGTGGTCCTGGTGGCCGAACAGGGTCTCCACGTAGGCGAGCTCGTCGAGGGACCAGACCTTGACGGTGCGGTCCTTGGAGCACGAGTAGAGCTGGTTGGTACCGCGGCGGAAGGCCAGCCCAGTGACAGCATCACGGTGCTGGGAGAAGGCGCGGATGGGTCTGAGTGTCTCGGCGTCGTGAACGACCATCCTCCTGTCCGCGCCGGCTGTCACCACGTATTTGCCGTCTTGCGAGGCCGCCACCTTCAGGATCGGCCCTGTGTGGCCCTGGTATGTCTTGTCTTTTGTCTTTCGCGTGTCGCCGCGGGTCGATGCAACTCGTTCCGGCTTCTTCTTGGGCGGTGCAGGAGGTTTTTTGGGCTTCTTCTTGGTTGTCTGTGGCCATTGGTGCTGCGGGAGGTCTTGCAGTCTCCACTTGACGAGGAACATGTCCCTAGAGACGGTGTATGCGTAGGGGGCACATGTAGCTATCGAGGTGACCACCTGAGAGTTCCACTTGAAGATCGTATGTGATGCCTGCTCGAACAACAGCTCGCCAGCGAGATTCCTGTATACCTTTCCCTTGGCTTCCGCAATGTCCTCTTGTAGCCGCTCGCCAATCTTCTCCCTCTCGGCAAGGAGGTCGCGGTCGACATCTTCGGCATCGAACCCGTATTCGTCGTCCACCTCTTGCTTGATGTTGTCGAGGTACCGTTCTGCGAGCCTCAACCGCCTCTCGGCGGCTGTCTCGCCCTCCGCCTCGGAGCCAGACTCGTCCTCGCTCCCTGAATGTATATCATTTTCGCCTGCTGATAGATCGTCGTCTTCAGAGTCGCTGCCTGATATTGAGGAGTCACGTTCGACTCTCTGCTTCTTTGGTGCAGTAGCACGGCTGCCTGCTGACCTCGTACCAGCCAGCCTTGACTTCGACTGCGGTATCGAATTGGACGACGTCGCTATCCTCTTTTTTGGACCATCTGCTGTCGATGTTTGTCTTTTCCTCTTTCCCGGAGCGGTGAAGAAGGACGACATGGCTGGATCGTCGTTTGTGGTACGGCGAGGTGTGCGTCAAACCTCGCTGCCTTGGAGCGTGCAGTCTGCCGAGTGTGAACTTTCTCCAATTATTCTTCACGGGCTCGAAAATTTGAGAGAGCGCTCTGAAATTTTTGGAGGGGACCACTAGACTAGGATAAGCCCCTGTCGTCAATCTAGATTATCGATTGGCCAGAATGGGCGGGAGATAGTGGGGCTTGCCAGCCCGAATACTGCTTATCGATAAGCCCTTCCACTCCGCCTGGGGCGCGCGTACGTGCTTGCCTGCTGGGGAGACGTAGAGCTGAGGTCACGGAAGCTTGGGTGCAGTCCCGTAAGCTCTCCCTGCCAACAACCAACCTCTCTCTCTGCCTCTCTCTTTCTCTCTCAGTCCACGATCTACCCTCACCCACTCTACAGTATTGCACCAGCCAAGTCAAGATGTAAGTTCTCACTATTCGCCTGGTAGTTTTCAATTCATGTGTGCTGAACACACGCATCTGCAGGGAGGTTCTCCTAGGCATAACAGGCAAGGACTTTACGCTGATCGCGGCGTCCAAGGCCGCCATGCGAGGCGTCACGATCCTCAAGGCCGAGGATGACAAGACCCGGCAACTGAACAAGCACACTCTGATGGCATATGTTGGAGAGGCCGGCGACACTGGTATGGTTAAATCGGATGGGAGCGTTTCACCTCGCAGCTGTCTTGCTAACCTCATCCGCTACAGTGCAATTTGCCGAGTATATTCAAGCCAATGCCCAGCTCTACTCCATGCGCAACGAGACCGACCTGTCCCCCTCAGCACTTGCCAACTTCGTCCGCGGTGAGCTGGCATCAAGCCTGCGGTCACGGAAACCCTACAACGTCAACCTTCTGTTGGGTGGGGTTGACCCTATCACACACAAGCCAAGCTTATACTGGCTGGACTACCTCGCGTCGTTGGCATCCGTTCCTTACGCCGCGCACGGCTACGCACAGTACGTTACAAGAAGCCCCTTTGGATGTGATTTGTGGTTGGGCATGATAAATCGAGACCAGCTGGCTAATGCGGGGATTACTCGACCGCGAATAGATACTACTGTCTTTCCATCCTTGACAAGCACCACCATCCCGATATTACCCTGGCCCAGGGCCTCAAGATCCTCCAAATGTGCGCAGACGAGCTGAAGAGAAGGTTGCCGATTGATTTCAAGGGTATGACGGTCAAGGCGGTGACAAAGGACGGAATTGTGCCCATCGAGTTCGACAACTCCAAGGTGGTCAAGAGTGCATGATTTTTCTGAACCAGGTCTCGCAAGGCGCACGCGGCTTTTGGTTCCGGCCTGGGCAAAGAAGGGCGGGACTCTGTATTATACCATGGCAAAGAGGACATAGAGACAATCAACGGACACGATCATGATACGCGGAAAAGGCCTTGTGGTGTCACCCCGTTCATATGCAAGATGACGTTAACTTGTGTGTGGCGAGGATGACATTGGTGCTTGTGGCGTGAGATGACTCCTTTCCCTGAAGGTTCGTGATGTGGCCACCTTCTCTTCGTTTTCCTTTTCTTTTTTTGAGTTTGCAAGGCTCATCATAGCTTGGAGTGATCGAGTCAATACCGGATGCCAGTAGGAGGACTTGTCGGATATGCCCTAGCGGACTAGGCACTGAGACAAGCAGAACACCCTATCTCCAAAACGGTGTCGGGCCAAGACCAATCCGATAGAACCTTGTGAATTTGACGCCCCGAACCCGTTCCCAAACTGTTGCTAGGAAGAAATTTCTGTTTTTGGTCTACTATGATATGAGGATTTATCGGCGGTACTATGTTGAAGAACACAGGGAAATGCTTGGCTTCTCGCGGGAGTGTGCAAGTGACTTGGAGATTCCGGACTTCGCGGTGGATCAGGGGTGGCTCGTCACACTGTATGTTGCAGAAAGGCACTTTATCGTCTGAGGCTGCGACCATTTCCAATAGGTCTCGGTATCAGGAGCGCTCGTTAATGAGTTCTCAACAGGACGGTAAAGGTTGTTGCAGCACAACAAACGACACTTTCTTTCTTTCTTCTTTGGCACAGTCATATTGACTGACTATCATACTTCAGGGCAGAGTACAGACGCAAGATGAAAAGGGCCTCGCGCTTCCTCTGGGTGATATTACTTCATATTTTAGGCGGTGAGATATGCAGATACTAGAAAGACGATGTGTCGCTTATGAGACACAGCCTCGGCACTGCAGCCATGTCACTGTACATAATACTAGGAACAGAAATGCTGAAAGGCGACACAGCGGTGTGGACGGATCAGGCACCGCTGACAAGCTGATGATGATGCATACCTTTGCACAGACTTGAGTTTTGACGAAGGGTTCTTTGTTGCCTCAAGGAAAGGCTGGCCTGCCGGTGCCCAATAGATCCGCATCTAGGGGAGTTGGCTCTAATCTAAACAATTTAGATGCGTTGTTGTGGCGGGCGCAGACTACGTAGTCATTACTTTGATAGATACATCATGCTGCGGCCAGAAGTGGTGAGTCGCCCAAGTATACAGGGTACCTTGGGGGCCCACGGTGTGTGGGTGGGAGGCGATTACTGGTCCGTGCGGGCCAGGCCCCTTCCCTCCCCCAGCGAGCAGCCTACCTGACATTTGGCCGCTAGTGGCTGCCGTCTACAAAATCTTTTTCTCGCAGCTGAACTGGCTTACCCTCTCTCTCTCCCTTCCCTCCCAACATCCAAATCCTCCCCATCAAACAACCTTTTTTCGTGTGTTCAGTTCTCCCCCTTTCCTTTCTGAAGAATCCAGTTTTTGTTTCTTCGAGAGGAACGTTGAAGGCTTTTCATTCGAGGCCTTCCATAATCAACCCTTTGTCCCTCACAACAGAGAAAAAAGCGTGTCGCGAGACCAATAGACAGGCGCCGACGAACGAAACGAGACGAGACAAGAAGTTCTGATTTTTTTTCTTCGAGATCCTTCTTTTCTTTTACTCTGCATCCTTCTGGTATTGCCTTTCCTTCGCGACGAGCATCACCACAAAGACTATTCTTCCCTTTTGCGACATCGCATCTCGTTCATTATTCCTCCTTGACTCGAGACCACCTCGCGTTCGCAAAGGAAGGTGAATGACTCCAGTCCGCATCCTCAAGTTTTGAGCAAACGCAAGTCGACAAGACACCACAAAAAGAAAACAACCTGACCAAGCACGACCATCCATCGCAATCATGGCTGATCAGCTAAATATGGGTGGACTGTCCCTCGGCGACGGCCAGGGACGCCCCGCCTACATCCCCCCCCACATGCGTGGAAAAATGGGCGGTCCTGGCGGTCCTGGCGGTCCTCCACCAGGCCCTCCTGGACCCCCGGCTCCTGGTCCCAACATGAACGGCGGTCTCAACAACAGCGCCTGGAACAAGTATGTCTATTACGCTCTGTGTTGCTGTCTTCTCTAGACTGGATATACTAGTGGTACTAACTGTTTTGCTTTTCAGCAACAGCAACTACAACGCCGGCAATAACTGGGACGGCCCCCCTCCTCCTCGAAACAACTACGGTGGTGCCGGCGGCCGCGGCGGTGCTGGCGGCCGAGGTGGCTTCAACGCCAATGCGTACGGCGGTCGTGGTGGTGGCTACGGAGGTAGGTCCTCTGCGGCTGGCTCTGGCGATGGCAAGTGGGAGTTGGACCACACCGACGGCAAGGGAAAACACGTTCCTGGCCCCGCCAACCCTCGCGTCGAGCGTGAGCTCTTCGGTACCGCCGACGATCCCTCCAAGCAACACACCGGTATCAACTTCGAGAAGTATGACGACATCCCCGTCGAGGCTTCCGGCCACGATGTGCCCGAGCCTGTCCTCGAGTTTACCAACCCGCCACTGGACGACCACCTGATCAGCAACATCGGCCTGGCTCGCTACAGGATTCCCACACCCGTCCAGAAGTACTCTATCCCTATTGTCATGGGCGGTCGTGATCTTATGGCCTGTGCCCAGACTGGCTCAGGCAAGACTGGTGGCTTCCTCTTCCCCATCCTGTCCCAGGCCTTCCAGACCGGCCCCTCGGATGTCGTTAACGACCCCATGCCCGGCGGCCAGTTTGGCAACCGTAGCCGCAAGGCATTCCCCACCTCGCTCATCCTTGCCCCGACTCGTGAGCTGGTGTCCCAGATCTACGATGAGGCGAGGAAGTTCGCCTACCGCTCCTGGGTCCGACCTTGCGTCGTCTACGGTGGTGCTGACATCGGCAGCCAGCTCCGCCAGATCGAGCGTGGTTGTGATCTCCTGGTGGCCACCCCTGGACGATTGGTCGATCTCATAGAGCGTGGTCGCATCTCCCTGAAGGCTATCAAGTACCTCGTCCTCGATGAGGCTGATCGTATGCTTGACATGGGTTTCGAGCCCCAGATTCGCCGCATCGTGGAGGGCGAGGACATGCCCGGCGTCACCGAGCGCCAGACGCTCATGTTTTCGGCCACTTTCCCGCGCGACATCCAGATGCTGGCCCGCGACTTCTTGAAGGACTATATCTTCCTCTCAGTCGGTCGTGTCGGTTCTACCTCTGAGAACATCACTCAGAAGGTTGAGTATGTCGAGGACATGGACAAGCGCTCTGTCCTGCTGGACATCCTTCACACCCACTCGGGTGGTCTCACCCTCATTTTCGTCGAGACCAAGCGCATGGCAGACTCCCTGTCCGAGTTCCTGATCAACCAGCAGTTCCCTGCCACCTCCATTCACGGTGACCGCACACAACGCGAGCGTGAGCGCGCCCTGGAGATGTTCCGCAACGGTCGTTGCCCTATCCTGGTCGCCACTGCCGTCGCTGCTCGTGGCCTCGATATCCCCAACGTCACACACGTTGTGAACTACGATCTGCCCACTGATATCGACGACTATGTGCACCGTATTGGTCGTACCGGCCGTGCCGGTAACACGGGTATCTCCACAGCTTTCTTCAACCGCGGCAATAGGGGTGTCGTGCGTGACCTCATTGAGCTCCTGAAGGAGGCCAATCAGGAGGTTCCCGCGTTCCTCGAGACCATCGCTCGCGAGTCATCCTTCGGCGGCGGCGGCGGCGGCGGCCGTGGTGGCGGTCGTGGCCGTGGCCGTGGTGGCGGCGGCTCCCGCATGGGTGGTACTGACGCCCGTCGGGGTGGTGGCGGCTTCGGCGGCGGCGGCGGCTTCGGCGGCCCATCGCAGGGCTCCGGCTACGGTGGTGGCGGCGGCGGCTGGGGCGGTGCTCCCTCCTACGGCGGTGGCGCTGGCGGCTATAGCGGTGGCGGCGGCGGCTACAGCGGCGGCGGTGGTGGTGGCTACGGCGGCGGTGGCTACGGCAACCCCGGCGGACCAGGTGGCAACTCCTGGTGGTAAATTGGACACCAGCCCTTCCTCGTCCCACAACGACATTTCCTTATCGGTTCTCTTCATTTTTGTTTCTTTTTTGCACGGGACGGTTGTCGAGTACATGTTTTTACTTGCGAGTCGCCACCCATCATCTTCATTTTTCCGGACAAAGACGGCGCGTACATGACCAAAAAAATGGATCCGGGTCTTGAAAGCTGGGTCTTTTCTAGAGCTGGCATGCTCAAGATCTCCGCATCGGTCTCATGCATATCAGCATTTGCATTTGTTTTCTGCACGGCCCTGGAATTCTTCTTGATACCCTTTAGATGAGGAATCTTCCGGAAAGCCATGGACGCGGAACGCAGAAGGCAAGTGGGGCGTGCTGCTACGAGCGCATGCATCTGGTTGGGGACATCACTCGGCCCTGGCACAGGTCGACGCATTACGACGGTCATGTTTTTTTTTTTTACGCGCTTCACACCAAGAGAAATTTGGCCTGATAGATGGGCCGTGGTGGATTTTTTCTCCCCACGCTTTGTTCTTATTTTTTCGTTTTCACTTCGTGGAATGCAACAAACCAGGACAACATAGACAAAAGTGGATTTCTCGGATCTCTGGTCGGGACGACTTCAAGTCTACGGCTTGCATGGGGAGCGTTGATAGACAAGATAGACAGGTTAATTAGGGGCACAAAAACAGCTGGGAGAAGCGCGAGACTTCCACATTACGACATGGAGCAGGCGAGGCTTTTTTTTTCTTCTTCTCTTGATACCAAAGGATCACTGAAGAGAGAGAGACGGGGCCTGCTGGCTTGCAAACGAGTTTTCATGCTTGGGCGAGAGCATGGGCACTCTACACATGGAAGGATTTTTTCGAATGGCGCTCTTCCTAGGTGGAGGAAGGCTTACTACTACAGCTGCTCAGCCGGGGGTTCTTTGTCGAGATGGACGAACCGGAGAAGTAGAGGAAAGGCTTGGGAGTTGATGGATGAAGTTTGGTCATCCTCACAACGGGCAACTCGACGAGGGAAATTTGGCTGAGGAAGAATCGGGCTCTATGACTGCGAGTTCCCCCTGGTAGACATGATTGTCTCACTAGCGGACTTGAGATCTCCGCAACAAAAAATAAATCTGCAGCTTTTACATTATCTTTTGTGTTGGTCATGATGTTTGTACTGATGATCGTAGTGCGGTATGTCGTTGATTACTTGAAGCGCGCACTTGGTCGTAATGCACCCTACTCGTATACCTCCTAGACTTTTCCATTTGGGCTCTGGCTAGAAGCTGTCGCACTACCACCTCCAACCGCTAGGGACAGAAGATGAGAGACATATACGCGCGAACAGTAGCTCGTCACACGGGGATCACGGTGTCACATACAGATGAAGGACAAGTAGTTGGTACAATATACGCATACCCTTTGCCTTCATCGCCCACCCCTTCCCTCTTTCTTTCCCTCCTCCCAAGCCACCACGTCAGCTGTTGAATATCCGACTGTACAGCAGCTCGTGCCGTCCCACCCAAAGGTCCATCACCGGCACGCTCTGGCCAGCCTCCTCAGGCGGCGTATCCCACTCCCGCTCGATAGCAGCCGTGATCATTGCCTGCGTGTCAGCCGACGCCAACACCTTCTGCGCGGCGTACGGCCCCATCAGGTTAGCCCGCACGGCGGCAGACACGAGGGCCTTGACGTGGCCCAGCATAAAGACATAGGCGGCCTGGTGCAACGACAGGCCGACGATGGAGGTGATGAGCCCGAAGAGCGGGGCCAGATGCGCGGCTACGGGCGCCAGGCCTGTGCCGTCCCCCGGTAACGTGGGAGAGCGGAGGAGCTCTGAGTAGCTGGCCAGAGCCTGCAGCGCTTCCTGAGAGGAGGAGGAAGAAGAGGAGGAGGAGAGGAGGGCGAAGGAAGAGGAGAGGGCGAAGGAGCGGTCCCAGATGCCGAGAAGGGCGCGGCCTTGGGCGGTGCTGGCGCGCTTGCCGACGGTGCAGACGACGGCGGCGTCGAGGGCGTCGTCGAGCTCGGCCAGGCGGGCTGGGCTGCGGTGTGCGGCGAGGAGGAAGGGAAGGGTGGTGGAGGCGTAGGACGAGAGGGACAGGGGCAGGAAGAGATCGAAGGGGGCGATGGCGTGGCCGCCTGTCTGAGACGACGGCCGGAAGGAGTTGGCTCGGCTGTGGGCTAGGTAGGACTCTAGGCCGCTGCTGAAGGCGAAGGAACCCAAGGGCAGGGCCGAGTCCGAGAGGAGGAGCAGGAAGTGGGTGGTTGTGTCTGGAGGGGTTGCTGTTGGCCTTGTTAGTGGCAAGTTGAGAGAGTTTTTCCCTTTATTTTATTTTGTTCTCCCGTGGCCCGCTGTGGGTATAGGAGGGATAGAAGCTTACGTCTCGAAGCGAGGGTAAAGGATGTTTGTTCTTGTTGTTGAGACACGGTTGGGCGAGCATCGTGAGGAGCAGCGCCACTGATGACGGGATTGGTGTCGTGTGCCTTTTTCAGGCGAGCTTTTGCTCGTGCCAGTCTTGCCTCCAGCTCAAGAATCTCATCTTGGACGAGTTGGGTGGAGTCGTTGTCGGGCTCTGCGGCGGGTTTAGAGCTCATACTCAGATTATTTGCAATGGTCATGGTGAAAGGAAGTAGTATGAAGGTGAAATGTGGATGGTATCTCTTAGTTCCAAATTATAGTATGAGTGAGGCGAGGCTGCGGGGCAAAATCGCTCTGTACAAAACCTCCTCCCAAAAGTATTTACATGCTGATCCAACGACGTAACGCGCTGGACCTGTCCTTCATCATGAGGGGAAAAATTCTCAAGGTACAATTATCTTTTTCTTTTCTTCCGCCCTTTCCCTTCCATAATGCGCCGGAACGTCAGACTTTCAAAACGTCAATATCGTGGCCGCATGCATTCAGTTATCGCTGATCGAAATCATGAGAAACCTTGCTTTCAAACCGTCGCTACGCCTCCTTTCCTGAAACCAAGTAACACAAGAAAATCTACGGTCTCATGTTTTCCTTCCCTATAATTGTCGTCCTCTCGCGAGCCTTTCTCCTCTCAGCCCTCTTCTGCTCAAGCCTGGCAATAGCAGCAGCTCGTCTGTCAGAAGAAATTGCCGACCTCAGAGGGGCATCGCGAGTCGATGCCATACCGCCCGGTTTGAGCTCAGGATCAGACTCGCTGTCCAGGGCTCGCTCCGTAGCAAGACGCAGTCGATTCTTGTTGGCCATTCTCGCCAGCTGTACAGAACGTGGCGTAGCCCGCTCTCTTAAAGACGACTCATTGTCGACAACCCTCCCAGACATCGTTCTTTTGCTGCCGCGTGGGGTAATGGAGCGGCCAAGAGGAGTTTCGGAACCCTTGGTTGACGCAAGACGCCGGCTTTGTAGCAGATCGAAGGTGTCATCATCGACCCTGGAAGCTGCCTTAGTGGTAGGCTTGGCCCGTAATTCGGCGCTCGACTTCCGTTGGACGGGCGATCTGAGCTGCTCTGATGCCTTCTTGAACTCTGATCGCAGCTGGTTGATAGTGACACTGGCATCTTCCATCTCACGGCGGCGTGCCTCTTGCTCACTGTCGAGCTGGCTCTGCAGGTTCTCAAGCTTCGTCGTCCAGGGACTCGGTGCACCCTGGCCTGCGGACAACGACTGCAGATCCTCCCTGAGGAGGTCAGCGTTACCCAGCTTAGATGCCCTCGGGCCTCGTTTGAGCTCTGCAATCTCGTCTCTGAGTGCCTTGTTCTTATCCTTCAGAGCATCATAGTCAAGCTTGAGCTTGTCATACTGAGTGTCCTTCCTGCTCAGCTTTCGCTCAAGCTCCTTCTTCTCAACCTCATGTTGCTTTTCCCGTTGCTCGACTGCGTTCAGATCTGATTTAAGTTGTTGCAAAGCCTGTCGCAGCTCGCCTAGCTCTTTCCCTTGTTCACGGCCCGTTCGTGATGACGCGCCTTCACGCCGTCGGCCGTTCTCATCAGCTCCGTATCCAGAGTCTTTCAGGAGAGCCTCCAGCTCGTCGACCTGGTTCCTATACTGCGCAGCAAGTGCTGTCTGGCGGGTCAGGTCTTTTGCGAGCTTTCTGTCGTCTCGAGCGCCTCCACCCTTGCCCGGTTGGGCCCCTATCTGGCCTGCCAGCTCCGTGAGCTTTTTTTCCATCTCAGTGACCTTTACCTGCTCCTCCCTGAGACGTTCGTTCAGGTCGAGAGCCTCCGCGTCCTTGGCCTTGGCGTACGACTTGGCGAGCTGCTTGTACTTAACAAGCTTCTCCATTTCCGCCCGCGCCTCCTCGTGGTACTTCTGGAACTCTCCTTTCCAGTACCGACCGGACTGCGACCGCGGCTCGTTCAGGTCAACCGTGATATCTGTGTCGCGGTCGAGCTCGTCAACCTCCTCCCACGCATCGTCAGAGCAGTAGTCATCATTCGTATCCGGGTCAAAGTCAAGCTTCCGCGCATCGTCCTCGACCGAGTAGCGGGCATCTCTCCGCTTGCGCGACCTCTCAAGGGCTTCTTGCAACTTTGTCCGTGGCCGTGCGTGGGCGCCACCGTCACCGCCGTCGTTTAGCAAGCCAGCGTTGGCTGTAACGTCACGCCCGAAGGAAACGCGTTTCCTGCGTGACGTTCCGGTACCGGGTGTGAGGAGGATGCCCTGAGGTTTTGTAGGGGACTCGAATCTGTTGCTTTCAGAAAGTACAGGCATGGACGTGGTCTTCTCGAGCTTCGTTGTGTCTGCCTTGGGCTCTTGCTTGGAGGGAGCTTCCTTGGTCGGGGCTGGCGTGCCGAAGAGGGCGCGCTTGAACGCTCGCGCTGCGAAGACGGGTGCCGGGGTATCTGGCTGCTCAACAAAAGTATCGTCTATCACGAAGACATGTTAGCTATCGCGCATGATCCTCCGTGCCCAGGAAAAGAGACGCCGATTTACCTGGGCCAGGCATCGGAGGCGCGTTGGAAGACGCGTTCCCCGTTGCCTTGTTCAATGCCCACCCAAGCATTGTGCCTGCCGATCAAGTATTTGGTTGTGCGTGGTTATTATATTGAACAGTCGGCTGCAGGCCAAGATCGCATCGGCGGGTTGCTCAGCAGGGTGCAAAACGTGCACTTAGGAGGAGGAAGATCGTGAGGCTAGACGTTCTGTCGCGAATGTCAAAGATTCAGGTTGCGATGAAAGGTTCAGGGGTTGTTTACTTAGACGCTGGGGCAACGCTGCAGCAGTATGGAGCGCTGTACTGCGATCGTTTTAGCGCCTAGTCGACAGGGACCCCTCACCCAAGGCTGTGGTTACCTAGGTACTTCAGCCCTACAGCACCCCACCAGTGAATCTGGCTGACCTATTTCGATCAGCTGTGCTTAGATGGAGTCACTCACTTGTCGATACATCCCCAACCCACTCTATCTCTCGCCGAATCGTCAATCTTCTCTTTGTTTGTTCATTCGCCTGTCGTCGTACCTCCACCAGCATTCTTACCTTGTTGATTTATCGTTAAGCTGCTATTATTATCATGGGTACCTTGTTCTAAAATATCGCAGCCTTCTTTCAGGCTGTGTTGTTTTCTTGTTGTTTGATATCAATGTCAGGGCATACTGTTTTCGAGTCATCCTCGGCACTCTCAGCAGCTGCAGCTATCTGACCAGTGCTGTTCACATGACCACGTTAGCAATATCTTCTCATTTTCCCTTTAAATTCTCAATCTGAGCTTCAATATGGCTGGAAAGAAGAAGGGGCAGGCTAAGAAGGCTGCCCAGGATAAGGACGTCAAGAACGGCAGCGGAAACGGCTCAGCGGGTTCATTATCCTCACCAGGACCAGCGCCTCAGTCAGGCCCGTCCAGCGGCAGCACGGCCACGATGCAGTACGAGGAGCTCCAGAGCAACGAGGTGCTTGCATTACAGGCCATCTACCAGGACGACTTCATCGAGAACAAGGGCTCTCATGGCGCCTGGAAAAAGTCAGAGCCAACTTTTCAGATTCGCATCAGCTCTCCTTCTGATGAGAGCATACGAGTAACCTTGGGCGTTGTGCTGGTGGCTACCTACCCAAAGTCGCCCCCATTGCTCAGCTTGAGCGACCATGGAAATCTTCGAGAAGCAACCCTTTTCAAGATCCAAAAGTTTGTCGAGACCCAGCCCAAAATCTTCGCCAAGGAGGAACAAGAGATGATTTTCCGCATTGTCGAAGGCGTCCAGGAGATTCTACAGGAAGCCGCCGAAGCCAAGGCAGCTGGAAAGGCTCTCCCAACCCTCGAAGAGGAACGCGCAGCCCACGCGGCTGCTACGGCCCAACAAGAGAAGCAGCTCAAGGAGCAGGAGGAGAAGAAGAGGATGGAGGACTCCAAGGAGGAGGATCGCGTTCTTCACGAGATGCTTCAGGAGGAGCTCAAGCGCAAGCGCGACAAGGAGAAGGAGGCGAGGCGCAAGAGCCGACCCGTCGGTGTTTCCTTCACCTTGCCTATCGACGATGCGCAAGACGCCGAGGCCGAGGTCATCGCCTTCGATCAGCCCTGCTCACTGACGGATGCCAGGGGCCACATCAGCATGTTCAACGCTGTCAATAGCAAGGAACATTTCCTTCGTGGTCCTACCACCATCGTCTACGAAGTTCGTCCTGTTCTGCCTGCAGGTCAGAAGCGACCACGGCTCGTCTTGAAGCAGGTGAGAGTCCACGCGGCTGGCAAGGAGCAGGCCCAGTTCAGGAAGCAGCTCAGAGCACTCGAGTCTCAACTGGAATCCATGAAGCAAGTGCGACACCAGGCAATCATCGAAGTGCTTGACTACAGACTTGATCGTATGGATGTTGCCAATGATGATGTCAATGCTATGAGCTGGAACGTCATGGTACTGAGTCCGCTTGCTGAGCCAGGTTCGCTGGAGACCTTATTGAGAACGTTTCCCATGGACGTCAACAGGGCTCGCAGCTGGACAGTCAGCCTTCTCGATGCCCTCAGCTGGCTCCACACCCGAGATATCATCCACCAAGACATCCACCTGGCCAATATCCTGATCGTCACGAGCTCCACAGGTGATATGACCCCCAAGCTGGCAGACATTGCATACCAGAGAGAGCTACACAACCTCACCACAGCCAAGACGGCGACTTCTATGACTGATGCAAGATCTGCTTACTGGTTTCCCCCAGAGATTGCAGCGGCTTCGGACCCTCAGTATACCCAGAAGACAGACATCTGGGACTTTGGAGTCGTCTTTCTACAAATGTTCCTGGGCGTCGACGTGGCCCAGAAACACACCTCGCCTGACAACCTCATGACTTCCTCCCCTCTTTCGCGTCCATTGGAGGAGTTGGTCTCGTACTTCTTCACGCCCGATCCGAAGAAACGACCTCGAGCCTTCGAGCTTAGCACGAGTGAATTCCTGGCAACTGACGCTCCCATCTTCGAGCAGCAAGACCCGGATGCTGACACCAGCAATACGTTCGCCCCATTGCCCTCGCTGACACCCACGTTCAGCCGGCCGAGGCACGATTCCTTCACCACGCGTGGCCCCTTCACATCATCAAGATATAAGGAGGACTTCGTGGAAGAGGGCAGACTTGGCAAGGGAGCCTTTGGAGAGGTGGTCAAGGCCCGCAAGAAGCTGGACGGTCAGATCTATGGTAAGTGAACACACGACTCTCACTCGCCTCTGCTTCATGCTTCTACCAGTCTTCCTGATGTCGTGCCACTCTCTCAACATACCCTCATACAAACACTAGCAATACGTCTCACGTGGCAAGGCTGACTCATCTATTAAACAGCTATCAAAAAGATCAGCCAACGGTCTCGCGAGGGATTGACGGAAGTCTTGAAAGAAGTCCGCGTGTTGTCTCAGCTGAGCCATCCCGCTGTTGTGCGGTATTTCAATACTTGGCTTGAAGAGAGCCATGATTCGTCCGATTTCGAAGATACCTCGACCGATGTCGACACTGCAGAACTCTCCCAGGGAGCTACCTCGGATTTTAATGTCCACTTCGAAGAGAGCCAGGGTGGTCTAGATTTCATCTCATCCAGCCGCCATGGGCCCGGAATAACGATCGAGTTCGAGCAAGCAGACAGTGAAGCAGTGGAGGACGAAGAGGACGATGACGATGACGAGGAGGATGATTCGGATGAAGATGACGAGGAGGATTCGGACGAGGACTCGGATGCCGGAAACAGACTGAACGTGCTGAACCAAAAGCGTGAGCGTCGACTGAGCCACAGGCCTTTCCGGACAGTTCTGTACATTTCCATGGAGTACTGTGACAAGCGAACCCTCCGCGATCTTATCACCAACGACCTCCTGACAGACAAGACCGAAGTCTGGCGGTTGTTCCGTCAGATTTTGCAAGGTCTGGCGCATATTCATGGTCTCAACGTTGTCCATCGCGATCTCAAACCAGACAACATCTTCATCAGCGTTGGCCCGGATGGCGTTAACAACGTCAAGATTGGCGACTTCGGACTTGCCAGCAAGGGCCAGATTGCGGCCATTCAGGCAGGCCAGCCTACGTCAGATCCAGCGGATCAAACCAGGAGCATAGGCACGGCAGTGTACGTCGCCCCTGAGGTCAGGTCAGGCGGTACCGGCCAATACACCACTAAGGTCGACATGTACTCGCTTGGTATCATGTTCTTCGAGATGTGCTATCACCCCATGCTGGGTATGGAGCGAGCGCTAGTGCTAGAGGGTGTCCGCAAGCTGCATCCTATTATGCCTTCGGATTTCGATCTCGGAACTGCGCAGGCAGAGATTATCCTAGCATTGGTGGTCCATAATCCAAAAGAGCGCCCATCGAGTGCCGCGCTCCTGGAGTCTAACAAACTCCCCGATGAGATGGAGAGCGACACTGTTAGACGTGCCATCGCCGCCATCACGGACCCGAACTCGGCGTTCTACCCGAAGGTGTTGTCCACATTGTTTTCCATCAATGTGGACCAGGCGAAGGACTTCGCCTACGACCTCAATGATCAATCTCCGAGCACCAGGGACTATCTTTACCGACGAATTGTCAAAGAGACCCTCGTGTCTATTTTCAGAACACATGGAGCTCTTCAGGTTCCACTGGCTAGCATCTACCCGTACTCATCCAACTACTCCAACGCAGTCAAACTGCTGGATGACGGCGGTGCCTTGTTGCAGCTTCCTTACGACTTGATGATGGGCTATTCTCGGATGTTGGCCAAGGTTAAGAACCCCATCCTAGGCTCTGCATACTCGTTCGGAAGTGTGTTCCGAGAGCAGCATGCTGGTGGCCAGCCATCCGAGTTTGGAGTTGTTGATTTCAACGTGGTCACGACCGGTGCCTTGGACCTGTCTCTCAAAGAAGCCAATGTCCTAAAAGTCATCGACCAGATAGTCGATGCATTCCCTGCACTTTCCAAGAGCCAGATGGTTTTCCACATCAACCACTCTGACCTGCTGCAACTCATCTTCGACTTTTGCGGCGTTGAACACTCTGCCAGACGTGCCGCCTCAGAAGTCCTCAGCAAGCTCAACATTCAGGACATGACCTGGCAAAAGCTCCGCGGTCAGCTGCGGTCTCAGTCGTGCGGTGTCTCAGCGACCAGCGTCGACGAACTGCAGCGATTCGACTTCCGAGACAACCCAAGCAAGGCTTTCTCGAAGCTCAAGTCCTTGTTTGAGACCACCGACTACTACCAAAAGGCTGCCTCCACCATCGCTCACCTTAAGGAGGTCATTGAGTACTGCAAGAGCTTCGGTGTCAAAACTAAGATCTACATCACGCCACTGCATTCCTTCAATGAAGCATTCTTCAGAGGTGGTATGATGTTCGCCTGCGTCTGGGATAAGAACAAGAGGCAGGTCTTTGCCGCCGGTGGTCGCTACGACAGCCTCATCAAGGAGCACCGACAGAAGGCGGGCAGTAGCTCCCTGAGCGACAGACGCGCCGTCGGAGTCAGCTTCGCTTGGGAGAGACTGGCACAGGTGCCTGCTAAGAGCAGCAGCAAGGCTTCTTCAAAGAAGGCCGCTAAGGAAGGGCTCAACCTCTTCAATGAGAAGGTCTATGATGTCCTCGTAGCAAGCTTTGACCCGGTCATCCGGAAGACCACGGCGCTCCAGGTACTGCGGGACCTCTGGGAGAGCGGTATCAGTGCTGAGCTTGCCAATGATGCCCGGTCTTCTGACGAGCTAATTCCGGACAAGACAGAGGACCAACCCGCCTGGATGGTAATCGTCAAGCCTGATGTTCTGAAGATTAAGTCGCTCTGGTCCAAGGATACACCCGAGGCCGACATTCCGACCCAGCAGCTGGTGACCTGGCTTCGCACAGAGATGCGTGAGCGCGACTCGTTCCTTAAGGTCACCGCCACCATGGCTCGAAGCCGTCATGGCCTCGGCACCTCTGATACCAACAACTCAGCAGGTGACAATTCTTCGTTTTCTGGACCACACCACAACGGCCATCAGCAAGATGTCCGTGTGCTCACTGGACAGACTAAGTCCAAAAAGTTCAACCGGCAGACGGTTGTCGAGCAGGCACACAACGCCGCCTCGAAACTCCTTCAGGAGTTCCGCAATGGCCCCATTGCGGCCATCGAGACGAGTGACGCGGTCCTGCAAGCAATCAAGGGCACTTCACTGTCTCAACCCGATACCTGGCGCAAGCTGGATGTCACCAATGTCGAGAAGAACTATGTGAGGGATGTGCAGGACATGCTGACGGAGTTCCGCGATGGCGGAGCAAGGGATGCTTTTGTTTACAACTTCCGCACTGGAACTTGTGTTTACTACGATCTGAAGGCCTGAATCCTGGGTTATTGAGGAAAAATGGAAGAAAAAAAAGAGAGAGAGAAAAAGAAGAAAAAAAGAAAAGATCTGCCCTAGGTTTACCGCTGGTTCCTGCGGTTGGAAATTATGATTGGGAAATGTTCGGGGACATGGTTGAAGATTCACGCTGCATGAAGCAGTGAAGAAGACAAATGGGATTACGGCTTTATACCCCTGCTTACTTGGTCGATAGGAATGGTTTGTTTTGTCTCTCATGAGAGCTGGACCACAGAATAGGACAGGCAAATGAATTTTTTCTATCAAACATCAACCCTCGTCTCCCTGTTCCTGGTCTCTTCTTCCTGGTACAATTGTCCCGTCATCCATCTGCCGACTTCCTAGTTTCTACAGGTTGCAAGAGCTCGAACATGCCCTGTCCATATCATTTATTGGATGTATCTCAACAGCTGTAGCCTGCAATACTTTCACGATGACTTACCTTCTTTATACGACGAACCGGTCTGAGTTGACCGCAACCACTGGGAAAAACTCAGAATTCCCGCCCTGAGACCAACAACGGAGTGAATGGGCAACATAGGTCTGGGACCCCAAGCACCCGACTCATATAACGGCGTCACAGAGCGTCTTGATTTTTGAGACACGTCCATACGGGTTCACGTGGCTTTCAGGGACCTTGTGAATCAAGTCTGGCCTCTCTGCTTCTAAAGAAGAAAAAAAGAAGAAAAAAAGCCGAGCTGGCATTTGAAGAAACAGCGCTCGAGCCGCATAAAGCTGGCGGGGGGACGAGAGAGAGGCAGATATCTCTGGCCCATCTTATGAACAACACGAGAAATTTGGTCAAAAGAAAAACCTGAGTGATACCCTACTGTTAGGTGAGTCCTCTCCCTTCACGGCGGTCTGGTATGAAGTACCAAAGCACCTAGATAATATATGTCCAGGGAAGAAGAAAAACCTGAAGGAGAAAGAAAGAAGAAAGAAAGAAGAAGAGGAAACATGTGTCGTGTTTGGGTGTAGTTAAGATGTGGTATTAGATTGAATACTTTCTACTGCTCTCTGGCCTCGAATGCCTTCTGAAACCAAACATTGATGCCATGAAGGCGCTTCTTATTCGCTATCGTCATCGCTGTCGTATGCAACCAGCGGGCCTGTCGATGCTTTCTTCTTGTCCTTGGATGCCACTACCACCTGCGCAGAATTTAGTGCAGCCAATGTCCTGCTCGAGAATATACCGTTCTCCTCAAGCTGCCGCTGTGTCTCGTCCGCCACAGCTTGCGCCTCCGCCTCACCGCTCTCAAGCATAAGCTGCTGCGCCCGCTCCAGCTCCCCTTGCTCGTCAAAGCCTTCCCTCCCTCTTGGGTTGACAGCATTCGCGCCGCGGGCGAAATGCACCTCATCAGGAGCCTCATAGCCGTCCAGGCCGTAGCTGCTCTCGATCCTCCGTCTCTTTCTGGCCTCGGGATCCCTCCCCTCGATCTCGGCGACGAACTCCTCAGGGAGGGCCCGCCGGATGGCCTCAGCCGCCTGCTCCTCGATACGCCTCGCCTCGCGCGCCTGAGCCATGGGGTTCGGATCGGCGGTGGCCCAGCGCACGTTCAGGATCTCGCTATGGTCCAAGGCCTGATGAGCCATGGCCTCCTTGGCGAACTGGGCGTTGGCCTCGTTGCTGTAGGTGATGAAGGCGACACCACGCGTGTTGAGGACGCGGACGCGCTCGACCTGGCCCCACTCGGCAAAGTGGCGGGCGACGACCTCCTCGATGTCGTCGCTCACGTGGATGCGCCCGACGTAGATGGTCCGGTTCTGGCGCAAGAAGGAGCCCACGCCGCCCATGTCGTCGCGGTAGTCGCTGTGCTTGTCGCGGCCGAAACAGTCGACGTTGGGGTTGAAGAGATCGTGGATCGTGGGGAGGCGGTGGAGGTATTCGCAGTCTTGACCTTTGGGACCTGAGATAGAGGAAGATCTCTTGTTAGCATAGCACTTCTTCCTGATGGAATACAGAACTTTGGGAGAGGAGGAGGATGAGTTAGGAGAGGTCGGGTAGGTTTGGCAACGTACAGATCCCTCTTGCGAAAAACAGACAGAAATAGCTGCCCGCTACCCTGTCTGCCTTGGTAAACCCGCTGTCCTTGACGATGTTACACCGGCCCTTCGCCGCGCGTTGCGATGTGTACTTGTCCTCACGGTCGCCGCCCGCCCATTTGTTGTACCAGATGTTAAAGATGGTGCCCGTCTGCGGCGGTGGCTCGGACTTGATCAACGCCGGGTCGATCTGCGGCCGTGCTGGGCGCTTCTTCCTGCGGATGATCTTTTTCACTTTCTTGCCTGCTGATGCTGGCTGCTGGGCCGCCTCAGCAACGTCATTTTCGCCTGTGGTGGTCGCGAGCGCGAGCTCTTCCTGTGGCTGTGGTGTCTCCTCGATATCTGCCATTGCTGTGCAAAGAGGGTTTGCGGTGGTATGGAGGGGGTTGAGGGGAGGTGGGTGAGTGGTAGGTCAAGTTGCAGTGATGTTGTTGGGAGGCGAGGCTGTAAAGTTCTAGACGTCAAGGCTGGGCTCAGCGCCTGTAGCACCTGTACTAATTACTCTAGCAAGAGACGTAACGCTGTGGCGCTGGAAACTGCAGTGAAGAACGGTGCAAGGGCCAGAACCAAGGGGGCCCCCGCCCCCGTTTTTGCCGAAACGGAAGCGGTGGTTTGCCCCACCATTCATCCCACTTCACTTGGGACTTGCTCCTCAAAGCCAGGCATCTTCAAGCCTGAATACCAATATCCCAATCCATTCTTTTCTTTCGTTGCATCAGATTCAACACATCCTCATGATAGATTGTGAGATCTGACTTTGAGTTTGGTTCATTTTACTGGCCGGTCAAGAGCATCATCTCAGCGAATCGCGGCGCCATATAAGAAATCTCAACTCGTGGAGGGGCGAACTCGCCAGGACAAGCTATACGGGGACCAGACGAACGACGGTCATATTTTGAAGATATTACAGAGTCTCACGCAGCCAAGGCCTTGGTTGGAGCTTACGCTCTTACCATACTCTTTCTCTATCTCTCTCTGCGTCACTGTTACTATACCTGATAGACAAGATCTCAACTTTCTCTCAGTCTGTCTTCCGTGGCCTGAGTTAGGCCACACCTTACCGCCAAGATGGTCAATATTGTAAGTCCTTCAGATCACGGTCGATCTCAGATATGAGGTTCTCTCTGTGTTTTCATTCTTGCATATTGAGGACTCAGTTCCTTCCTTCTGACAAATCCATATAGACAGAGAAGATCAAGGAAATCGAGGATGAGATGAAGAGGACCCAGAAGAATAAGGCCACAGAGTACCACCTGGGTCTGCTGAAGGGCAAGCTCGCCCGCCTCCGTGCACAGCTCCTCGAGCCAGGACCGGGTTCTGGTGGTGGTCCGGGGGCAGGCTTCGACGTGAGCAAGAGCGGCGATGCCAGAATAGCCCTCGTAGGCTTCCCGTCCGTGGGCAAGTCGACCTTCCTGTCCAAGGTGACCAAGACCAAGTCTGAGGTTGCTAGCTACGCCTTCACCACCCTGACGGCCATCCCGGGCGTGCTAGAGTATGGAGGTGCCGAGATCCAGCTGCTGGATCTGCCTGGAATCATCGAGGGCGCCGCCGAGGGTAAGGGCCGGGGGCGGCAGGTCATCTCTGCTGCCAAGACGAGCGACCTGATCCTCATGGTGCTGGATGCGACGAAGCGGGCAGAGCAAAGGGCGCTGCTGGAGGCAGAACTCGAGGCCGTTGGGATCCGGCTCAACAGGGAGGCACCGTAAGACATAAATATATACCCACCAACCCGGTGTCCTGCTGGCGAGCGACAAGCAGCAGGGAGCAGGAGCATCAGCAGCTAACGAGAAGATTACAACCTCCAGGAACATCTACCTCAAACCCAAGAAGGCGGGCGGGATGAAGATCAACTTCCAGTCACCACCCAAGAACATCGACGAGAAGATGGTGTACAACATCCTCCGCGACTACAAAATGCTCAACTGCGAGGTGCTCATCCGCGATGACGAGGCGACCGTCGACGATTTGATCGACGTCATCATGAAGGACCACCGCAAGTACATCAAGTGCCTCTACGTCTACAACAAGATCGACAGTGTCTCGCTCGACTTCCTCGACAAGCTGGCCCGCGAGCCGCACACCGTCGTCATGAGCTGCGAGCTGGACCTCGGCATCCAGGACGTCGTCGACCGCTGCTGGAAGGAGCTGGCTCTGATCCGCATCTACACCAAGCGGAAGGGCGTCGACCCGGATTTCAGCGAGGCCCTGATCGTGAGGAGTAACAGCACTATTGAGGACGTGTGCGACCGCATCCACCGCACGCTGAAGGAGACGTTCAAGTATGCGCTGGTATGGGGTGCCAGTGCAAGGCATATACCGCAGAGGGTAGGGCTAGGCCACGTTGTGTCGGACGAGGATGTGGTTTACATAGTGAGTGGATGGAAGGCTTAGAACAGAACCGTGCTTGGGAAAATCAAAGCGATTCTTGTCTTCAGATCACAGCCACCAGTTGAACGCACAAGTACAAAACATTCGGGCCCCCAATGTGAGAAAACTGGTCATTGATTCGTTACCGACAATCTGTGCTTTCCCATCCCTAGTAGTGTATGACATCTCGTGACTGGTATAAGAATTTCCCCCTTTCCCTGATAAACGCCAAAGCCAACAGACAAGCCTGGTATCCTGAGTCCACCGACCTAGCCCCATATCAACCATTAATGAAGTGGAGCGGATCGAGCTACAATCCCTATCCCAGGTAACTCAAAGGGGAAGAGAAGAAGGGAAGAAAACGACAAGCCAGAACCCTAGAGCAAATCCCAAATCAAACAGTAGACAAAGGAAAATTTTTGTTTTTTCAGATAGAGAGATAGGACGAACAAGACGAGTCAAGTTCGGAAGAAGTGATGGAAGCCAGTGCCGGTTACTCCTGGGCTTGGGAGATGGAAGCAGGAGGGGTTGCCTTGGCGCCGAAGAGGCCCTCCTGGCCTTGCAACCTCTTAGATGATGCTTGGGCGAACAGGGACTTGGGCTTGACCCTATAAAACAGAACACGAAAGAGTCAGCACTGTAGGCCTTTCTCGCACACTCAAAAGCAGACCGACAGTTCTTAAGAAGACTGGAAGAGAGAAAGGGTAGAGGTAAGGTGTCAGCGGAGACCTACTTTCCAACCTGCTTGTTGCGCAGCGCATTGAGCTTGGCGGTGCAGGGCGACATGATCTCGTCCGAGGGGGAGATGTAGTTGTTGCCGAGCCTAGAAGAGACCATCGCGTCAGAACTGAAGCTGCCAGCCGGTTGATAGAGGGTTGTATCGTACTCCTGGGCCTCCATCTTGGACTTCAGGACCTGACGGTGGTACTCCAGATCCTTCTTGACATCACCCGCAGCTGGGACGGCGGAGGCAGTCATGGGGACGTTGACGTCCTTGACGCCCAGGACATTGGCGTTGTTGGAGAAGGAAGACATTTTGTGGGATGCGAGTGATTGTGTCTGAACTGGATTCGCTTTGATACTGCTCGCTTGTGGAGGGTTCGCTTTGGGAGAGTGTATGCAACGGTTGAGCTGATGTTGTAGGTAGGTAGATTTGTTTGGTGTGGATGTTGTGGAGAGGTAGATGCAAAGTGTTCAGAGCGCCTTGCCAAAAACCAAACAGAAACAGGTCAGCTTGTTTAAGTATTGAATTGGGGGGGGGGGACTTTGGTGTTCACACTTGTAGAAATAAATGTTTAAATGCAGGTCATAATCCGGGAAAGAGGGATGTTGACTTTGGGACCTGGTTGTTAGGGGCAACGGTCGCTTTTTCAGTGGAGTCGGTTTGCCACTCCCCTACAAACATCCCTGAACTTGCATCTGCAGCTGAGTTAGTGGAGCCTGTCCCTGGCCAAGGCTTGGGTATTCATTTTTCGATGCGCGCCGAAGTATGTATGTACTTGTGGTACAGTCTTTTTAATTATAATATTACAATAGTATTATAGCAATAATAATAATAATAATGGTATTAATGTTGTTGCACTTGAAAGCTGCGCCCCTTCCTTGGACCATCCGAGTCTGTGTCGCCCTCCTCTTCACTTTAGAAGGGAGAACATCAGCTCTCGTATAACAACAGTCAAGTTTTACTTCGGGTACCAGATCTTCCCCTGCTCTCCAGTCTTTCCCAGTCTCTCTGGTACATCCTAAGTTGGGGTCTGCATAATATATACTACAGATTCTATTGAGACAATCGGCATCGTGAACGACAATATCTTATCAGTACCCAACAACGCAGCATACTTCAATAGAGACCCGAGTAATATGACGAAAAATTCTATACAGCGCAGTGTACAATTTTGATGGCCAGTACTATGTGACACAAGATCCTTCACGGGTCATATCTACAACTTGGCCTTTGTAATGTTGGACCCCGGCTGCGCCCTGGTCACGCCGTACTTCTGCAACAACTCCTCCGTCTTCTTGGCCTGCCGCGCAATCTTCTCCGTGACCTCCCGTCCCCTCTTGTTCTCGTTCCGTCCCATCTGCTGCAGATGCACCTCGTCCGGCCCATCCGCCAGCCTCAGCGTGCGGATCCCCGCCCACATGTACGCGAGCGGCGTGTCCTGGCTGACGCCGGCGCCGCCAAAGGCCTGCACCGCGCGGTCAATGACGGTGAGCGCCATCTGGGGCACGAGGACCTTGGCCTCGGCGATCTCCCGGAGCGCGGCCTTGGGCCCATGGTCGTCCATCTGGATGGCCGCATTGAGCACGACGAGGCGCGCGGCGTCGATCTCGAGGCGAGACTTGGCGACCCACTCGAGGATCACGCCGTGCTCGCGGAGTTCCTTGCCGAAGGGGGTCTTCTTGGAGTCGTTGATGCGCATCAACATCCACTCGAGGGCTTTCTCGGCCTGATTGGATAGGGATTAGCAAGAGAATAACAGCGCAGGAGGTGACAGGAGAACTTACAGCGCCGATAGTTCTCATGGCATGGTGGATACGACCAGGTCCCAGGCGGCCCTGGATGATCTCAAAGCCACGACCTTCACCAAGGACCAGGTTGCTGACTGGGACACGGACGTTCGTGAAGGTGATGTGGCCATGTCCATGGGGCGCATCATCGTATCCATACACGTTCAGCATCCGGTGGATGGTGATGCCCTTCGCATCTGCTGGCACAAGAACGACAGACTGCTGGCGGTAGACGTCCTTGTTCTTCGGGTCTGACTTGCCCATGACGATGTAAATGCTACACCTCGGGTCACCAGCTCCACTTGACCACCATTTCTGCCGACACCATTAGTCCACGAGAGAAGGAAGATGACAAAGCAGCCTAAACATAGTCGGAAGACACTCACCTGGCCGTTTAGCACATACTCATTGCCCTCCTTCCGGATCTCCAGCTCGATGTTTGTCGCATCGCTAGAAGCTACCTGGGGCTCCGTCATCAAGAATGCCGAGCGGATCTCGCCCTCCAAGAGCGGCTTCAACCACTGTGCCTTCTGTGCGTCATTGCCGTACTTGGCCAGAACCTCCATGTTGCCGGTGTCAGGGGCAGCACAGTTGACAGCCTCAGAGGCACACTTGGACTTGCCGAGCCACTCGGCCATAAGGCCGTACTCGAGGTTGGTAAAGCCTGGGGACTCCTTGTAGTGGCCTTTGGGCAGGAACATGTTCCACAGGCCGAGGGAGCGGGCCTTTTGCTTGAGCTCGTCAATGATGCTAGGGTAGTGCTCCCATCTCGAGTCGCCGGGGCCAAGCTGAGCTTCAAGGACTGGATCGGCACTGTTGTTTAAAAGAAGGAAGAGAAGCAGCTTCGATTAGCCTTGAGATCCTGTGAGACTGAGCCGAGGTTGAGACCTACGGGATGCATTCTTCTTCAACGAACTTGGCGACGATATCCAAAGTCTTCTTTGCTTTATCGCTTACACGATGCTGGCACTATACATTGTGTACCGACACAGTGGTCAGTCACAGCCCTCTCTGCCAGTCTTCAGTAGTGCTCCAACTCACAATGATGGGGATCTTGGACGCCATGATGAGTGAAAAGGGAGAATCCTCGACGGTATTTCTGTTCGGTTATTCGAGTAGTTATTGCTCTCCTTCCGCTCTGCAGTATGCTTCTTGTTACAGAAAGCCTTAGATTAACTAATCTTACAATGGGCAGAGGAAATAAAGAAACAAAGAGAAGTGAGAAAGGGGAGAAGAAGAAGGAAGAGGAGGAAAGAATCGAACCATTGCCGGTATTCGAATGAATAGAACATGACCAGCACAGCAGCAAGCCCCTGCAGGTAGTCTTCCCAACCGAGGCTCAAACGCCCGCTGCGGGGACGGCTGGCGGAGCACAGAGGATGGGGCGGGCGTCTCAGGCGGGAGGACGGCTCTGGGGAAAACCTGCAGGGGGGAAGCTAACAATCGAGCGACCCTAGGGTACGAAGGAACGGCAGGGATCCGTCCTGCTCGGAGCTGGAACTAAAATTCCACCGGCTGCTAGTTCATGATTGGTCAGAGTATGCAGGGGATTCAACCTCACTCGTTGAGCCTCGAGTCTCTAAGAGCTCTTTCCATGCTGCCCAGGCTGTACCATTCACTCCTTGACACTCATCATCAGCGCCATCGACGGCCTCAACTCCATCAACAACCGACACGCTTTCATTTTCTTATATCAGACACAAACCTTTTCATTGATTCAGCATTCCCATTTGGTCTCGGAATGGTGTGATCAAAAAACAAAAATCGCACTGAACCTTGAGACTGGCATGTTCCTGTCGACAACAGAAGACACAACATTGTTCAGATAAACTTGGAGACTGGGTGTGAAAGACACCAAGGCCAGCAACCAATATCACCCTGCTTCAGAGCCCATCTCAGATCAAACAGAGTCACACAGACAAATCAAAAAAACATCGAAACAAATATAGACGAAGATGTCAGCACCAGGGGGAGTCGGCGCTGGCGCCAGCCAGCCACCAAGACCAGCAGCTGTGACCTCCGGAGCACCGACTGCACCGCCAGCACAACAGACCCCACAGAACTTGAATCAGATTGTAAGATATTTCCCAGATTTTCTCTTCCCTTTATAAGCATATTTGCGTTTTCCAGCAGTGCCCCTGTTATGTCTGTGTACTTTTTTACCCTGCGATTTAATGCCATGGCCCGGATCCGGATCCTCATATGCATGGATATTGTCAACCTTGGCTCTGGACATACGCATTGGAACACACTGTCTTATTCTCGAAAGTCCTGGAACCATGGTCAATGTATCAGAATGACACATACCAAGTTTATCGACCAGTATTCGACAAGAGGCAGGAAGATGTGGGCAGAGCTGCAAGTCTCCCGTGAGGATTCAGGCATGTTTCCTTTCCTAGGTCGCAGACACCAGGGCATGGGCTTGGATATCGGCATAACTGCGTTTGATCAGTCTTGTTGGTATTCACAGCTTGCCTTCCGAATTCGCATGCGACATCTCAGACAGCGATGGGCCATGGGCCATCGATACGAATCTGTGTGGGTGACTGCCTATGTTGTGTCTCTCGCCAAGAACAACTTTCCTTGTGGTGTTCATGGAACCTCGAAACATATCAACCCAAATGTGGTACCTCTGGAATGAGGGTACCTTTGGACCAAGGTTGCACAATGAGAATCATTCGAAAGCCTCGATTGGCTATGCATACACAGGATTTGGAAGTTGTCGAAATGACAGCCTACAGGAAATGGCTTGGAGGCCCGGAGTGTCACAATGGGACAACTCTGAGAAGTGTGTATGGAGCTCTGTTCAGCAAGGACAGAGTCTCAAGACTAGCCTATCTTCAACACTCCCTGGGCCTACCTGTCTCACCATCCCAACATCTACAGACTGGACTCGTCAATAGTCAAACCTACACATTCTTTCATCACTTGCATCATTCATCTCAGCAATTCCCAAATCAGCGACACCATGGCCTTCTGGATTCCAGCTTCTTCAACGTCCACTTATGCATCTCCACAAGAAACCAAGGCTGTACCTCATCCTCTTTCTCTTCCCCGCCGGCCGTCACAAACGCAAACTTTCACCTCTTTGAGCAATGCAACTGCAGCTCCACTGGCAATTTTTTCATCTCGGTTCTTGCCGGTTTTCTCAAACGCGCCTTTCTTTCTACCTGTCTTTCTATCTGCCTACAACCGTCACAATCGCCTGAAAGAATATGACGCGCATGAGGGACAGGCTTGGTTACCAACGCGTCAAGAAGAGCCGCAAGCGCAGGCAGCGCGATACGGACTCATCGTCGGAAGAGGCTGGTCCCAGCACCGCACCCGCCGAACATATAAATGATTCGGTCCCAGTTCAACTGTCCGTCCAAGTCCAGGCCGACAATACGGTTATGCCCGAGGTATATGCACACGGGTCGCAGTGAATGGGACATCAAGCAATGGCACCTCAAAATTTCGGCCGAGTCTTCTAGAGCGCCTCCTAGCAGCGAGCTTCCCCCCCCCCCCCCCGGCGAACGCTTTCGTTACATTCGCGATTTCCGACTCCTACTTGTCTCCTATATTTCAGACTGCATACTGGCCCATCTCCGCCGACAACTTGCTAATTCATGTGCACATAGGTCACGGACTACTTGCTCAAGCGAGGGTTTCATCGAACTGAAGAAGTCTTTCGTAAGGAGTCTTCTAACCTCGGACCTGATGGTAGACCCCAGCACAAGTCTACCGACGTTATGGGCGCGAAGAAGTACGCGAAGGCATTTGGCTTACTGAAGAAATTTGTTGAGAGCAGCCTCGACTATTACAAGGTGAGCCACCCTGACGAGGCCGTATTCGGTCTTGACGGCCTAGGCTAACCAAATCTGCCCACAGTACGAGTTGAACAAATTCTTATGGCCTGTTTTCATCCACTCATATCTGGAGCTCGTTGAGAGCAAGTACCCGGATGACGCCAAATCATTCCTCGACACCTTCAAGGGCGCCTTCGAGCTCGCCCACGCGGACGATCTCAAGCTACTCGCGACCATCACGCTGCCTGCTCACGTTGACGAGAACAATACCACGAAGCTTTTCAAGACCACCAAATACCGCATCCCCGTCACCGACAAAGCCTACGACTTGATGATCGCGCACTTGGAGAAGGAATACGACAATGGCGGCCAGACCATCATCCGACTGCTCTCTGCCTATTGCGCCGTCAAGATCGTGGACCGCGGTCTTGCGAATCCCTTCAGCTTTACTGCCATACATGAGAAGCAGAAGAGCACACAGGTCAACCAGTCGGAGCTTCTTGAGGGCGTTCCCGGTGCTTTCGAAGGTGTCAGAACCGATGCCGCTCCCAGTGGTCCGCTCAAGCTGGGTCCTTTTGCCATGGACCCCGAACTGCAGGGTGAGGTCCGCTCTGAGCTGACCCTTGAGGATCAGCTCCACCCTCCCGCCGACGGCAAGCCTAGCCTGGTGGAGGAGTTTGAGCACAAGATCAAGCGTGAGGAGAGCGCTGACGGGCCTTCTCGTGGAGAGCTTCCCTTGCCTGCCCCTCGAGCTCGAGACGTGGTGAATGAGGTAGAGAAGCTCAAGGAATACCGAGACCGATTTCGGATGGATGGCAGGACGGGCGGCGTTGGTCCTGGCGTGTCTGTGTGCATGTACACTTTCCACAACACACTCGGACAGTAAGTCTGATTCGGGTCGCCTCGAGGCACACCCATCGCTAATGAATTATGACACAGGTATAACTGCATCGAGTTCTCCAATGACCAGAGGATGGTGGCAGTGGGCACTATGGACTCTTACATTCGCGTCTGGAGTATGGATGGTAGTCACCTGAAGAGCATGTTGGACCGTGGCGAGGTGAAGAAGCCAACGAACAACCGCATGCTTATTGGTCATTCTGCGCCTGTCATGGGCATCTCCTTCAGCGACGCGGTCAACTGGCCGGACTATCGAGACGCCAACCCCAACAGCAAGGGTCCTCCACTGTTGCTGTCTTGCTCGGCTGACGGCGAGATCCGCCTCTGGAACCTTGACACTTGGATGTGCCTGTGCAAGTTCAAGGGCCACAATGGTCCCGTATGGCGGATTCAATGGGGCCCTCATGGCCACTACTTTGCCAGCGGAGGCCGTGACAAGGTTCTCCGTATCTACAGCCAGGACCAAGTGACGGCGGTTCGTGAGTGTGTTGGCCACGACGACAACATTTGCGCCATCACCTGGCACCCCAATGGCACCTACGTCTTTTCAGCGTCTGACCAAACTGACAAGTCAATCCGCATGTGGTCTGTCGTCACTGGCGAGTGCGTCCGGGTCCTGACAGGTCATACCGATGATATTGGCGTGCTTGAGTGCGCATCCAACGGCAAGATCCTGGCGAGTGCGGACTGGAGCGGCAATATTCTCCTCTGGGATATCGAGAAAGGCACCCTGATCAAAAAGAGCCGCGGCCATGCCAAGACTGGTATCCTTTCTCTGAGTTTCAGCGTCGAGTCCACCGTTCTTGTCTCTGGTAGTCTGGACGGCACCGTCCGGATCTGGGATGTTGAGCTGCCCGCCGACGGTACCAAGACCGCTGCCGCCACAGGCCCGGATGCTAACATCCAGCTGCAGAGCAACACGACCATTAGTAATGACACCATCATGGTCGGCGGTCAGCCTCAACAGCAGCCCGGCGTTGTCGCGGCCGCTTCATCATCTGCTGCTGGTGGTTCTTCTGCCAATGCCGGTGCTTCGGGCACTGCTGGCGGCAAGAAGAAAGGCAAGGAGGCACAGATCACTGCTGATCAGATCAGCGTCTTCCCCACCAAGAAGACACCTCTCAAGAAGGTCAAGTTCACACGCATGAATCTTGTCATCGCTGCTGGCTGCTACGAGGGTGGACCTTGAGTATCATTCCAGTCAAGACTACCAAGCCAATCTAACGCTTGGCGCAGTTCTTCTGCCAAGCATGTGCTCTTGCAATTTAATTTGTCCTTTCTTTTCCACCGGCGTCGATGTTTTTTCTCGTTTGGCGTTACTGGCGGTCTCTGGCAACGGCTCGGGCGGAAATGATACCTGAAAATTGGCATTCAGAGGTCTGAATGATGCATGGTGGTAGCAAATAACTCCCAGTCACATTCCTCTCTGAAGAAACAAAACTTTACCCATCAATAATGGCAGATCGATTGCATTTTCTTGCGTTCCTTTTAGCGGAGCTTTATCAGCAAAGGCGCAGTCACCACGGCACTGTTGTGCCTATATGCAGACGCTAGAATGGACTCTCGGTTTGGCATATGACAGAGAAAAGAAGCGCGCAGATACGTTGAGCTTGTTGTCGTTCTGGAGGGAATGAATTGGAGAGGGTTTCCTGATGAGAGGCGGACGCATTAGACAGTTAATTGAGAAGGAAAATATACATGATTGTCTCGTTTCCCCTTGCCAAAATAAAGAACTGCTTCAAGTTGGTGACATTTTGACACATACACCTCGTCAAGAGGCAAATTTGCTGTTTCTTCACTATCATAATTACTCTATCCTTTTCGAAGTACTTAAAAGTACTCAATGGAGGTGTGGGAGAAGAAGTGAGGTGTGAGGGGGGGGGGGGACGGGTTTCCTCTGGGCGTTGCAGGGATACGTCAGAAGGTGCACCTGGTCCAAGCTTCTTACCCACCAAGGCCTTGTCTATCATCACCTTAGCTGTCAGCCACAGGCAAGCACCTTCTTTTGGCACAGTCAACTTTTACCTGTTGATGAATGAATTTCTAGAGACCTTCACATCCTCATACTCCTCTTTCCTTGCTCTACAATACTCACCGCTGCCCCAATCCTTTCCAAGGGACGAAAGATCCCTCATTAGGAAGAAGACGCTGTAACAGAGTCAAGATCAGAGATGGACCCCCTTGGAGAATCCCCCTGGGCAGATGCGCCCGCCCACCAACCACCTCCAGAGCCTGCTACAGGAGCCGATGATGCGGCCAGCAAGACTTCGGACGCAGCGCCCACTGCCTCCTCCGGCCCCAGCAGCTCCGGCGGCCCCCGCCCCTCACGACTGACACCGCGCCGCCTTGTCGCGCAGCCGACCAAGCTCCAGGCCGTGGAGGACGACGACCCCCTGGGACCCCTCGGCGGACCAACAGCTGCTGCCGCCAACGATGCGCCGCCCATGCCGCCGCAGAAGGAACCCGGCTCTTCCGCGACTCCGGCCGCCATGACGTCGACGCTGCCGGTGCGCACGACTATGGGCAGCGGCGGAGAGCCGAGGAGGGCTGCCGACCCGCACCGCATCGTAGACGACGAGGAGGACGACGAGGATGACGACAGGATAGGCGGCCGTGCGCCCCCGCCAGTACAGGCTGCGCAGCCTGTGGTGCGTGGCATGGGACCACCGAGTGTCAGTGTCGAGCAGGCGGCCAAGCCGAGCTTTAACATCACGGTGGGAGACCCACACAAAGTTGGGGATCTGACGAGTAGTCATATTGTCTACTCTGTGCGAACCAAGGTATGTTCAGGTCACAATCTTTCCTCCGTGTGGGGAAAAAGGTAGCAGCTGGGGGGTGGAGAGAGAGAGAGAGTGTGTGTGTGAGAGAGTGAGAGAGAGAGAGCTGACTCTGAGTGGTTCGCAGACTACGTCCAAGGCCTACAAGCAGTCCGAATTCGAGGTCAAAAGGCGATACCGCGACTTCCTGTGGCTTTACAACACCCTCCATGCCAACAACCCAGGAGTTGTTGTCCCGCCTCCTCCCGAGAAACAGGCTGTCGGTCGATTCGAGAGTAACTTTGTCGAGTCGCGGCGGGCTGCGCTCGAGAAGATGCTGAACAAGACTGCTGCACACCCCACGCTGCAGCATGATGCAGATCTGAAACTGTTCTTGGAGAGCGAGTCGTTCAACGTGGACGTCAAACACAAGGAGAGAAGGGAGCCGAACCTAGGCGAGAGCAAGGGCATGTTCAGCAGCCTAGGTCTAGGAAGCTCGAGTAGCAAGTTTGTCGAGCAGGACGATGTGAGTGTGAACAAACAACCCTCAACCTTGCTCTGAAACATGCATTGACCAAATACAGTGGTTTCACGATCGTCGTGTTTATTTGGATGCACTGGAGACTCAGCTCAAAGGTTTGTTGAAGGCCATGGACACCATGGTTGCGCAGCGCAAGCAGATGGCGGAGGCGGCGGGCGACTTCTCTGCCTCACTCCATGCGCTCTCCACAGTCGAGCTCTCGCCAACGCTGTCCGGACCATTGGAGGCACTGTCAGACCTGCAGATCACCATTAGAGATGTGTATGATCGCCAGGCACAACAGGATGTCCTCACCTTTGGCATAACCATCGAGGAGTATATCCGGCTCATCGGCAGCGTGAAGCAGGCATTCGGTCAACGACAGAAGGCTTTCTACGCATGGCACGCCGCGGAGTCTGAGCTGCAGAAGCGGAAGGCGAACCAGAATAAGCTGCTCCGGCAGGGTAGGTCTCAACAAGACCGCCTGAACCAGGTCAGCGCTGAGGTCGGCGACGCGGAGAGGAAGGTCCACCAGGCGCATCTGCTGTTCGAAGACATGGGGCGACTGCTGAGACAAGAGCTGGACCGGTTCGAGAGAGAGAAGGTCGAGGACTTCAAGGCGGGGGTGGAGACATTCCTTGAGAGCTCTGTTGAGGCACAGAAGGAGGTGAGTACCGTGACGACACAATCCTGGTGGCTGGCTACACGTTGCTAATATTAATCTCTCCCCTTTAGCTCATCGAGAAGTGGGAGACATTCCTGGTGCAGCTCGATTCGGCAGAGGACGAGACCATGTTCTACAAGCCGCCAGTCATGCAGTCAGCAGGCAACAACAAGTCGACTGGCGACACGGCGGTGGACCGGGCCCGGGCTCGCATCGACGAGGACTCTGACTAGAGTAATGGGGTGCGTCGAGACAGCTTCAGTGCTTACAATGACCGGGGACTAGCTCGGAATGGGCCGCTGGGGATGAATCTACCATGGCATGATCGTCGTTGAGGGTGGTCAAATCAGCACCGTGGATCGTCATCATTCATGTCCTTGAAATCAAGAAAGGGAGTGCGCAGAGACGGGGCACGATCTGGGCGGTGCCCTAGGTGTTGTAGTTCTGTCTCCCTCTGATGGGTTCTCTTGTTGTACATAGATCGATCGCTCTGCATTTACCTCTTTGCTCCCAACTTTTATACCTCAATGCAGCAGAAGCCTTACGCAGGCATGGGCCCAAAATTCATCATCGTAATCCTTGAAGCTGAAGTCGACCCGGCTTCTTCGCAACCTTTTCTTTTTCGCCGATATGAGAGAACAATATTTCTTCATTCTCCCACAGCTTATTTCTTCTTGCCCTTCTTCGCGGAAACCTTTGCAGCAACCTGCCCACCCTTCAGGTTCGGCTGGTCCCGCACATAGGCCCTCATCAGGCTCTCAAAACTATCCTCCTCACTGACAGCCGGAGCCGCCTCCTCCACGACCTCCGGCTCTACCGCCGCCTTCTTTGCCATCTTGGCCGCCCTGGCCGCCTCAGCAGCCCTCGCCTTCTTCCCCTTCTTCACGTCGTCACCACTCTTCTCGGCGGCCGCCACCTCGGCAGCCGACCTCGTCTCGGAGGCGGCAGCAGAGGCGCCCGCGAGCTCATACCCGGTGCCGAAGCGCTGCCTGAAGCTGGCGAGCCTGCCGGCCTCGTCGACCTCGACGTTCTGCAGGCTGACCTCGCTGGGCTGCCAGGTCAGGTGGTTGCGCGTGTCCTTGGTGGAGCGGTAGACGGGGAGCGGGGAGGTCGAGCGGGTCGTGTAGGTCGAGCCGTCCGAGAGCTGGACGATCTGGGTCCAGGTGTAGGGGCGCTTGGGCCTGGTCACCTCGGTCGCGTGGCGGACCTGCTGGGTTATCGCTGTGGTTGCTGTTGCTGGGAGGAGGTGGTGGTAGGGCCTTGGCGTGGCGGTTGGCCTGGCGCAGGCTGTGAGGAGTGTGCATGGGGCGCTGGAAGAGGAGGACGACGACGAGGAAGATGGTAGGCTCCTTGGGAGGAGGGTCGTGGGGAGTCTGGCCATCTTGGAAATTGGGGGGATTCCTGGCCGTTGGGATTCGAGGAATAGACGGAGGTTGCTGTTGTTTCTTGTAGATGCTGTGAGAGAGTGGCGCTTCTTTTCTCAAGAGAGAAGGTCGCTTGCGGTAGTGGTGGCTCTTAATTCATCTTTCTCTCTCTCTTGGTGTGCTCGTCGTGGTCCAGAGAGGTTCACGCGGTCTTGGTGTTGAGTCGCGCAGGGTGGAAATTTGAGGTTGTCTTATCGCTTATCGTAACTACTTTCTACTTTCTGCTGTATAAGTAAACTACGTACCTATGTTTCCCGGCCGAGTGCCCCGTCGTCATACCTTCGTTTTAATGTTTTTTTCTTCTCTGTTTCTTTTTCTGCCCTTTCGTCCACCCTTGGGCCTCTTTTGACTGCTATACTGACACCAATTCAATGTCCCATGGGCTGAGATGAGGAGAGCGTGCGTCTTGCGCCAATTGGGCAGAAGCGCATATCATACACAACAAATTTCCTCGCCAACATGGACCTTTCATGCCCTGGCGCGCTGTGGCCTCTTGCGCCGTGATTTCGCTATCACCGCCACCACGGTCGAACATGGCCGTTCACGTAAGTGATCGCATGATGTTGTCTTATGTATACAAGTCACCAACTGAGGCTGACCTATATATATATATATGCACACATAGAAGGTCTCGCAGTAAGGTCTCTATCCAGCACGGCCGCCCCAAGAGGTCCAAAATGGAAGCTCGCACCCCCAGAACAACCTTCCGTCCACCCCCACCCACATTCCCACACTACCGCCACCGCCACCCTCTCCGAGCAGCTCCGCGCCGTGATGCGCCTCCTCCCGCACCCCGTCGTGGTATGCACGGCCGCCGCCGCCGCCTCGTCGTCCACCTCCTCCGGGCCGAGGGGCATGACCATGTCGTCCTTCACCTCGCTGTCGCTGCACCCTACACCGCTGGTGACATTCAACATGGCCAGGCCATCACGAACCCTGGACGCGGTCGCGGAGAGCAGGCGATTTAATATACATGTGCTGAGTGGGGATGTCGAAGGGGCGCGGGTGGCGGACTGGTTTCGGCGGGGCAATGCGTCGGATCTTGGGGTGTTTGAGGCCGAGAGGATGAGAGAAGGGTGCGGGTGTGAGGTGTTAAGCCGAGGAGGGGAAGAGCAGGGAGAGGGTAGTGAAGAGGCACCGCTCCTTGGAGGGAAGGGCGTGCTGTATGCTCTGCAGTGCCGGCTGCTTGACGACGAGCCGCACCGCGGGCTCGTTGGGGTCCGGGATCATGTGGTTGTGCTAGCGGAGGTGGTTGATATAGTGGAGGGGATAGGCAGAGGTGCGGAAGAAGAAGAGGTGTTTGGGCTGGCATATGCTGATAGACGGTATAGACAGATCGGCGCCACGATGGTCAGTGAGGATGACTAGTGGTTCGTCTGGTGATGGCAACATTCATGGGAAGGAGGGGGGCGGACAGCATGAGCGTGCGTTGTACAGTAGTGAGAGGGCAGTCGTGTGCATTGAAACGGCGTTGGGCTGGAGGGGGTTTTTTACTTTGGCAGAGATTCTGAACAAACAGGTCTCCATCTAAACACCGCGAGATTGTATAGAGACCTCTCACCACGCGCACACATTCCTTCACACACTCACTCATTCTACCACCATCTGTGCGGATAGGCTCACGGTCCCAAAGTGACGTCGGAGCCCTCTACACTCACACACAAAATCTCTCACACCCAAGCGACAGTCCATTCGCACCTCTGGATTCCCAAGGACATCGCACTGCAAGGTTAGACCAAGCAGAGAAGCCAAGAGTCCGTTGGCGGCGTCTTAGTCTGGACGAACTTCGTTTCATCCCAAGAGAAGCTCGCGTGTGCGCCAAGACACCTTACCAAAAAGCTTAGCGCACAACCTTCTTCTTGTTGTTGTTAATGTTTTGTCAGCCAGGCCACGGATTCGTCCTCTCTTCGGACGAGAGAGATCCGAGACGACTAAATACTACATAAGACAAAGAGTGTGTCTCGTTAGGGATTGAAAGGGGGAGAAGGCAATGATCTCATAGGTAAAGCTGACGTGATAGTGTCTGCCTGCGCGTGGGTTAAAAATTGAGGGGGCGAGTGAGTGAGTGTCTGTGTGTGACAAAAGGAAAAAGGGCTGTAATTTGCGGCCTGGGTGGTTGGTATGTGAGATGGATGGTTGATAGACTTGAGCTGAAACAGGCCCGGGCGTGTCGGGGGAGAAAAGCCAAAAAAGAGCGTCTTAATCGCCGCTCAAGTATCCGGGGAATGCACATGGCCCGTCTAGGCTGTCATGAACAATTAAAAACAACAGAGAATAACAACGGATTGCAAATTAAATAGAAGATTCCAGCAACGTCATAAACGGGTCAAGAGTTACTGCGGCACAACCAAAATTGAGGTTGGCTGCTGTGGTTCGTCCGGAGGTAGTGGAAGAAGAGGGGGGCTATAATAGGCGCCGTGTCAAAGCCCGCCAATGCAGGGACCAAGCGACAGCAACCAACTCGATTTGCGCCATGGCCACCCTCTGACCAAGACACACACAAACAAGAGACACATAATATATATACGAATGCCTGCTTAAGATGATGCCAAAATCCAACGGGAAATGAATCCTTCATCAACAAGGGGAAGAAGCTGTCACTCCTAAGACATGCTGAAACAAACGTGGCCAGCCAGGCTGCAATGGCCAAGTGGGCATAAAGTTTGTCGTTCAAAAGGAGGGCAAGGGCGGCTGAGAGTTTTAGGACCCTTGCCTCTTGCCCTCCCCCACACCCCGGCGCGCGCTGCGCCAAAACAGAGGCAAGCATAGGGCAAGCCACACTGGCCCGCGTCCTTTGTTCTGAGTTTCTAGGAAGTTCAGGGGGGGAGGGGGGGTTTTAAGGTGCGGCGCAAGTGTTCCAGGGCTTCTGGAGCTCGCCCTAGAAACTTTCTTCCCAAAAGGATTGATCGGTACCTCCGAACCGCAAAGGCCGAATGGCGAGGGAGAGCCGCAATCAGTAAGTAACACATGGTCAGCGCCACGCAGCCAGCGGTGACGAGATCTATTTGTAAGCAGGAGAAAGTGAGAAAAGAGAAAGGACAATAAGTGAGGGAGTGAGGGAGTGAGTGAGGGAGTGAGTGAGCGAGTAAGGAAAACGCATGACAAAATTGCTTCATGGCGTGAATGGAGAAGAGAGAAAGGCAACTACCATGTGCTTTGTGCGTATGTGCGTGCGTCGTAAATGCGTTCTTCGGAAGCACATGGCACGGTATGCATTGAATGCATGCAGTGTCAACCTCGTGATAGAGATTAAAGTCTACGGGCTAGTGCAACACCAGGTAGTTTTGTTGCCGTCCCTCTTCCTGTTGGTGTGTGCAGGGGCCACTGTCTTGCCTGCCAGACTTCATTGGCTTGACTGATTCGGTGGCCAAGGAGGAGAAGGACCGAACTTTAGTTACTGTGCTATGTGTGGTAGTTTGTAGAACTCGGCATGGCGCGCTCGATTGGTGACCCAACAGTGCCTTGGTTGATAATTTTGGCGAGACACGCCCGCAAGAGAAAGCCTCGCATGAAAACCCACCGAGAGGGTGGCACAAAGACGATGATACTCTGGAGTGGCAACGGACCTCGACGTCTTTGGTTTTGGTTTTTTTCTCTTTTTTTTCTTTCTTTCTTCTCTTTTCCTCCTTCTATGGCTTCTTCGTGTTGCTTTCTTATTTCAAATTTTGTCCTTTTCACATACGACATACTATAAGTCTCGTCTGTTGCTGACTAGAGTAACTATTCCCTGTGTGATATTAGGTTTGATTTAACCCCCCCACGAGGTTGTCATGTGGCAGATGATCCCCAGCTTTTCGGGTCGCCCAGGTTCACCGCAAGGATAGCTGCCGAGGGCGTTCGTCCTTCCCAATTCGAGCTAATGATGCATCGACATAGTTTGGGTTATTTGCCGGGTCGGCAGAAACTCTTGATGATAATTGTTCTATCAAAAGACGTGGTAGAGACGGTGGGGAGGGTCGCCTCTCAACACGACGCCGTGATGCATTGCAGTGTACCAAAGCAAGTGGGCAAAATCGTTCCTCGTTGTCGCTCTCCACACCCAAAGTGGCGTGAGAGGCATGGGAAACACGGCAGGACACAATAGCAGATTTGTGTGACTATGCCCATGCCAATGCATGTCTGGCATGGCTGCAGATATTGCCGGTAACCACCATCCATCATCGCATCCTCGTCTGCTCCACCGTTGGGGGCCCTTTTTTTGGTGTTGTGTGTGATCGAGATGCAGGGTATGAGCTCCGAGGAGGGGGCGGGGGCAAATCCAATCCGGATAGCTTCGTATATACCCCAGTAGCTACATCCTCAGGTCCTCTCCTATGTCTCTCTGCGAGCGGGAGACAAGGACCACTATCATTATAAATGGAGATACGACGGGAGGCGGGAAGTATGATCACATCGTAGCAGAGCCCCATACAAGGACAATTTCTTGGACCCCCGCCCCGTGATTCCGCCAGGCCAGTCAGCGGCAGGACCACCAAATAGGAAAGACGTTTCAAATCTCCCTACTATATGGGTCATGTCCCTTCCTCCCTTGGCCTGCTTGTGTGTCTCTCTCTCTTTTATTACATCCCCCCTCGTGTGAACGGAGATCAGCCAGCAAGTCAATCTCTCTTTTCATTTTCCTTCTTTTTCGCCCCCGAGGGAGAAGGCGGGAAGATTGGTTATCTGGTATCGTAGCAACTGCGAAGGAAAACAGCGGCCAGTGGCGGGAAGGAATGCAGAATTGTCTTTGATGGCATGCTTTTTCGGGTCAAGCAGCTTTAGGGAACCTGGGCGGGTGCTTGGCAACATTTTGTTCGTGCCATCCAGTCTGGCCCCCCCGGTCGTGTCGATCACCCAAACACGGACGACTGGTGGCAGTCGAGACCCTCAGCTGGGTTCCACTGCATTGAGCCTTTCTAACATTGCAATTGGAAGGACGTGGCCGTGATCAATCAATGAATCAGATCATCACGACGGCTGCGCGGTGTCATTGGTGACAGCGACATGAACATGAAAGGTGAAACTTTGGGAAAATGAAATCCTATCCCCGTCCCCCATGTCACCATCGTATTGACAAGAGACGACGCACAGACTCGATGTACTACAATGATACCATAGTACTATGTATGCAAATATGCATGCAGGTCTGCCGTCAGGCCTCGGAGGTGTAGGTGGGTAAGCGGGTGAGCTGCTGAGAGCTGAGAGCTGGCTTGCTGTGGCTCGCTAGGAGAGCAGCCAAGTCGTCGCGAGGTTGGCTGCATGAAGCACAGCAGGTAGAGAAAAAGCAGCAGCCAAAATCTGATACACTGGTTGCATATCTGTCGGCTCCACTACTTGGGCAATATCCTCCTCAACATCTATTGACGCCCAACAAGGGACGACCGAACGACATCGCAGAGGCCGACATCTGAACATTGCCCTTGCCTTGCCCTTTGCGGCGAGGATCTGGTAGTTTTCTTTTCTTGTTGATAAGACACCTCAGCTAGTGGTCCGCGCTTGAACTGGCAATTTGAGGGCCACCCCAAAGACAGCAGACAGGGTGGGTCGAAGCGACCCAGGACCTTGGGGGAGAGATGGGGGAGGGGGCCCCGGCCTTGGGAGAATGAACACCCCCCAGCAGCACCTAGGCCCCCGTAGCAAAAAGAGGGACAGCCGTTTCCCACTACTGTAGATATCGCTAGCGGCCGTGCGGCGCTGTAGCAGTCCTGTGTACTACAGGCTCCAGCACACTGGCGCGCTGACAGCAGCGGGTGCCTGCTAGGCCTGTTGGGCCCTGCTCTTCAACGGGTGATTCCCCAGTCTCATCAGCTCAATCCCTCGCCTGCGTCTCCTCTTCTCTCTCCTCAGACCATCAAAACCCAGCCCAGTACTTCTTCCCCTACCACCCACCACCCGCCATCCCCATCCACATCCACCCTCGCCATCCCCGGGCACGATTTTTTTCTTTCCCTCCACCCCTCGCCTTCTCTCTTCTCTTTTCCCCGAGGGAGTTGAATCGCTTCTTTCATTGCCAGTCTCATCTGTGCATCCAGATCTAACTCTACGTTCAGTTCTCCCCCCCTAGAAATCCTCTTTGCCGACCCGTCGCCACTCGTTACCCCGGGCCACCGCGAATGAGTCGAGTTCGAGACCGAGCGGCATCGAGGGCGAAGCGGTTCGATCTGCAGAAATAGGCGACGAGGCATTTGATGACTTGAAGTTGTTTGACAATACCTTCTTGATACAATTCTACTTCCCTACTCCGTTTCTTTGGTTTTTCTATCATATGCCAGACAGCAACAGCGACAAACATAACTCCTCTTTCTCTGTGCCGCCTTCTCCTCACCTCCCTATCCTGGTCAAGCGGTTCTCTGAAACCTGACGCCGCTCCGCCAACAATCTCGAGACGATCCTCGATCCGACTTTCCACACCCACACACATACACAACCTGCCTTTCTCTTCTCGACAATTCCGGCCATCATATCGTTCCCTACACCCATTCCTCACTCGAAAATCATTTGATACCGACCTCGACGAAAAGTCTCCATCGCTCTCCAAGACTGAATTTATCCCACGAACCATCATCTCCACTCGATCCCGTGTCAGCTGGTGTGCGAGCATTAAAAGGGGGAGCTAGGCATACCGCATACATTCGTCATCTCCGCCTTCAGCCTCCGACCTCATCGCATAACAAACGTCAATCTGCTCGCCCGAACGCGTCCGGACGTACAATCCATCTCAAAGGGGGGCGAGGTTTCCAACCCTGTCCAATACGGTTTTTTTCATCACCTGCAAGCTTGCATCGTGGGTCTTGAGTCCTCTGCATAATTGAGTTGAAAACCACATTGCGAAGTCTGGCTGCCCACGATGAGGGAAGTCAACTTTAGCATCCCAAACGTCAATAAGGCGTCGGTGGCCATCACCACCGCGCTCTATGACCGGCGGGCTCTCGACTGCACCTCGACCCTGCCTCTGATTAACTCCCTCAACCACCTCGCCTACCTCACCACCTCCTCTGCCCGCATCCGGGATATTTTGACCGTTGATGGAGGTATCGAGCGACTGGTCTGCATCCTGAAACAAGGAAGGAGTAAGGACATGATGGACATGTGGAAATGGAACTTGGCATTCCAGTGTGTCGTCAACATAGGTGTCAGGGGCACCGAGGGTGTTCGGACTCGAGTCGTCGAGGCTGACATGGTCCCTGTCATTGCCACCATCCTCGACAACTACATTAAGGTTACAGACAAGCTGCGAGAGAAGGAAGAAAAGAAGAAGCAGCTGCGAGACCATCCACATCGGTCCAGAGGTCACGACCACAATGGTGTCTCCAAGTCGGGCAGTTTCTCAAACCGTGCCGCGCATCCAGACATCAATCACAGAATCTTCCGGCGAGCAGCTCCTCCGCCAATCGAGGTTCCTGCCGTTGAAGCCCCTGCAGCATTGCCATTCACCGCCAGTGGCCCATCTACCGCGATGGATGTCGGCCCACAATCCTCTGCCGCCTCGACGGCGACTTCTCAACCCCCTATCACCTCACCTCCAGAACACACGACATCTTTCCACCTACACCGACATCACCACCACCATCCTAGAGAGCGAGACATCCGCAACTTTGCCGTCACCCCTCCGCCTCGTCAACTTCTCCAGCCGCTGGCCCAGACGCCGGTCGCTATGGACTCGGATGGTTTCCTGAGACCGGTACGGGACATTGACAGGCTGGCATCCATGGGGCCCTTTGGCCAACCTCAGTTGTCCTCCCAGCCGACATCCCCCACAACCCCTCTTCCTCTGCCGCAGATTAGGTCTCCGACTGTTCGGCCCTCCTCGGGCTTGGGGCAGGCTTCGAGGCCTCGGAGGCGCCCGTCAATACGACAACAGCATTCCACTGCAGAGTCGGACGACCTGAACGGTGACAGCATGCAGTCCGATGAGGCTCCCGAAGCTGACATTTCGGGTCCTGCCGATATTCAGGAGGTCGGGATCCAGGAGATCGCCATGGAGGAGGGCGACAGCATCATGACTGGATCACGGATTGACCTGGATGATACACCCAACGACTCAGACCCTCAGGAGCCTGGGACGTTCAACATCACGCACCGCACGCCAATCGACGGAAGCATCATCAACCCCACCCCTGCAGTTGCCCCTGGGCCATTGCTCGGTCTTTCCCCCAACAGGCCGGCCATGGTCACCCCTCCACAGCCCACGATGCCCAGCGCCAGCGTCCCTCACTACCTGCTTGGCCGCCAGATGACCCCGAACCCCCAAATGCTTGCTGCGATGCCTCGCGAGGAGGACGTCCTCATGTCACTTCAGCTTCTCGCCTATGTCTCGAAATACTGCAACCTGCGCACCTACTTCCAGAAGAGCCATCTGGTACCGAGACTGAAGATTGGCAAGGAGATCTCAGCTCTGGACAGCGAAGACGCAGCCATGGACGTCGACGAAGAAGAGGAGTTCGAAGAAGAGTATCTCCTGCCCAACGACCTCAACATCTTCCCCCTGGTTGAGAAGTTCACTGTCCGCTATCATAGTACGGACATGCAGTACTGGGCTGGTGTCGTCATGAGGAACCTGTGCCGAAAAGATGATACGCGCGGCGGCATCCGTCAATGTGCATACTACCAATGTGGAAAATGGGAGGAGTATACCAGGCAGTTTGCGAAGTGCAGGAGATGCCGACGGACCAAGTACTGCAGCAAAGAGTGCCAGAAAAGTGCCTGGGCTTTCCACCGGCACTGGTGCGTCGCGGCGACGCAGTGATGAGATACCCCCCCAATTGCGGAACAATTTCCTCTTTTATTTTTATTTTTTTGGGCTTTGCGTGGAACGAAAATGACTCCATGTTCCATTCAGCTGTGCAGGTTGAAGCTGAGTAACACGACCGTCATAATGTTTACTTTTTCTTGTTCTTTCTTTGACGCAGCGGAATGGCGTGGCATGGCGTAGCATGGCATGGGTTCCTCTTTTTGCCTTTCTCTAGTCTACTTAGGTTGTCCATTTTCTGGTCTCAACAACTCATTATCATCAGCATTGCGACACACACACAGACACACGCGCATATCATGTGGTTCCCTCTCCTTCCTGTCTCCTGCGATGAAAATTTCCAAGCAATACTTATTTACAGGCGTCTCTTTTCGTCAGACCCTGTCTCGTGATACCAAATGGAAAGGAGAGGGGGGGGACGTGGTGGTGGTGGAGGCGGTTCGAAATTGATTTGGCCTTGGAAATCGGGATGGATAAATCAATGTCCCTGTTGATGGCGGCATTGTTTTCGTATACTACTTTGAAACTTCCTTTCACACGTGAGCTCTTGGGAGGGGAAAGGAAGGCCAGCTAGCTCTCTTGAATACACAACCTTTTCTCTGGATGAAACTCGACTCGGTGCGAATCAGGTAGGCTCGATCAATTCTGCTTCGTTTCTGTGTGCTTATGAATGCCTCTCTGCTCTTGCCGGTGCATGTGCTTGGTGGTGGTGATGTACAGGAGACAAGTCAGCGGCCAATGGTCAGCATCGTCTGGACGAGGAGTCGTCGACGAGGCGTTTCTGTGTGGGAGCCACAGACTAGCATGTAGATGGACATGCGAGGATTTCGGATTTACTATGAGAGACTTGGTCTAGAAGATCTCAGACGAGAATTGATCCAGCGAAGACGCCGTGGCCAGCCGAACGGTTCTGTGCTTGTTTCTGCTTACACAGGTTGGCAGGATACCACATCTAGCTGTGCACCGAAGGGACAAAAAGAGCATGATTACTGTTCCGATTTTGTGAATTTTTTGGGGTTGCCCTTTTCATTTGTTTTTGGGATATCACAGTACGCCGTCCATGCCAAAGGTGTGTCGTCGAACCCTTGGATTAAGCTTCAGCCCGTCACCACTCCGCCACCCAATTTTTCCTTCCTTTTTTAACATGCACGACACCAGTAAGGCCCGAACAACGAGCCTGAAAGCCTTCCAGCCTCGAGCCCACAACTACCTCTTCCCAGCCTTGGCAACCCTCTTGCTCTTGCCCAGCCTAGCCGTCTTCATGGGCTTTCTCTTCCCGGGGCCACCGGCACCACCTTGGCTCTTCATCTTCCTGGCGTTGAACCCGCTCAGGTCACCCGAGCTGACCGCGTCACCCGACTTGCCATGCCTCTTCTTACCGCCAAAGCCGTATTTTGCGTCCTTCTTCGCGCGCTTGGAGTTTGGCGTCCGTCCGCCCTGGTCGCCGCCGCGGGAGCGCTTGCCGGGTTTGTTGAGCTCGTTGTCAACGCCGACGTCGAAGAGGTCTGCTTCGTTGGTGGTGAGTTCGTTGCCGTTCTCAGAACGCTCTGTGTTTTTTCACATTGTCAGCACAAGGTTCGTCCCAAGTCTAGCGTGGTGATAGGAGGAGGAAGAAAAAAGGATGCATAAGTACGCAGGGTAGAACTCACTCTTCTTCAAGGCCTTGATCTTCTCAAGCGTCTCCCTCTTCTCCTTGTGTCTCTCCTGCAACTTGGCCACCTGCACCTGCTTGCCAAACTTCTTGAGGTCTCTCAGCTTCCTGGCCTCGGCGGCCGCCTTCTTGTTCGTTGCCTCCTCGACCAGTTTCGCCTTGACCTTCTCCATGTGTCCGTCATCCTTGACCATCTCGGCGAAGTAGTCTTTCGGCCGGGAGAAAGGTACACCCTCAGCCCGCAACAGCGCCCGTGCCTTCTTGGCGGCCTCCAGCGACTGTGCGTATAACTGCAGCTCGCGGTTGAGATCATCGGAGATGTCCTCGATCTTGCCGGCGGTTGGCTCAGAGGACGCGACGACCTGATGTACCGAGAACCGTACGGAGGAATCGCGTGGCAGAGAAATGCGTTTGAGCGATGCGAGGAGGGCGGGGCCATTGTTAATGGAGAGCCTTGTCTTGACGTAAAGGTCCTCACGGTCGGAGTCGGCCATGTCTTCAAGGTCGGAGAGGGCGATGTCGGACTCTTCTTCGTCCTCCTCATCCTCATCCTCCTCGTCATGTGCGGTTTTGGTGACGGGGACCTTCTTGAGTATGGGTTTTGGCTTGGGGACTCGCTGTATCTTCTCTTCCATTTCGACCTCGGATTCTGAGTCGGTATCGCTCTCGTTCATGAGGGCTGCTGCTGATGTGGTCTGCGAGGGTAGGCGTCAGCTCAGAAATCCAAGACACATTGGGATGGCGGGGTTAACACATACACCACCTAATTCCTCATCCTCAGACTCTTCGTCTTCAGACTCTTCGGCCTCCATATCGAAAAAACCACCCTCGGCTTCCGAGTCATCCTCTTCATCTTCGTCTTCATCTTCATCATCCTCCCAGTCCTCATCCTCCTCGTCTTCAGGTACTTCCTTCTCCGGAAGTAGACCTTTCTTGCGCTTATCTTTTATGACGGCCTTATGCTTCTTCTTGTCCTTCAACTGCTTGAGTTTCTGCATCGCAAAAAAAGTCAGAACCTACCGCAAAAGTGAAGTCGGGGAAAGAAAAAAAGAGAGCAACGCGTACCTTGTCGTTGAAACCCTTCTCGGCCGCCAGCGCGACCTTGAGCTTGCTCCGTGGGGCCATCTTTGCGGTATTTGGCGAAGAATTGCAGTAGACGATGTATCGTCTGCAAAAGGCCGTCGCGAGGATAGGAAACTTAAAAGAAGGCGACCCGCTCAAAAATTTGGGAAAGCGCTGCTTATCTTATCGGAAGCAGGTACGTACTCGAAGTCCTGGTGGTATTCCCCTCGGCTAAACCTCGGGTAAAGAACCCCTCGCAATTAACGTCCCAACTACGTCGAGGCTGAACTTCCCATTGAGAGGCCCCCCTTGACCTCCTAGCGTGATAGACTCGACAATCAATCTGCTAGGTACTCATAAGGTCCTGATCGTTGTTGAAAGTCTCTGGTTGCCACGAAACCCGTTGTCTTCAATTGTCATTTCCTTGGTATTGGTAGCATTGGTGTCGTTCAACGTATTGCTTAGACGCACGTCCCGGAGGAGCTTCTTATACGGCATAGAGGACTGTTTAGATGCTCCTCTAGGCCGTCAAGCGTGGTACTGCTGTCCGGTTCGTGATCTACTTGCGATCCTGGAGATTTCTCTAGATCATACACCAGAGTTCTCATCTTCCAAGTTGTGAGGTTTTCATTTCCCACCATCCCCCTGGTCACTTTCCCATTTCCTTTGCTTGAAAGAATTCTTCCTTTACAGGTGGGCTTGTGTGATCGTCTTTTTCTGCTCCGCTTCAGGGCTGTCAGTCATACGTGTGATTGAAACTGTGCCTCTCAAAGCCTCGGCGGAAGACAGAGTGTCCGAGCCCAAAGCACGATATTGATCTCAATGTTTAACACGCGCACCATTCAAGATTGACATTAAAACTTCATCAAGCTGCAAAAGCGTAGTGGACTTTTCAGAGTGGAATTGTCTGCGGAACCCCAAGCTCGGGTTGTGGACTAGCAAGCATCTACCAGTATTTTTCAGCCGACCCTTTGTGATTCAGCACGGCGGTCGTCTACCTTACAACCCTCGAGCATCCACCACATCCACCGGATGTGCATTGAGCTTTTCCTGCTTGTACGAAGATCACCAGCGATGGAGTTTCTTCGTACACTCAAAGAAGATTCTCCAAGGGCCCGACGCCGGCAAAGAACGAGACGAACCTGCGAAGCGGAACCCTCATAACCGGACCTCCGAAGCGGCAGGGTGCGTCGATCTCCTTAGGCACATCAGTCTCGATGTCGCTCCCTATGAAAAGCCGATCCAAGGTCAGTCAGTGATGGAGCAGGAGGATACACGAGTCATCAAGAAGGGGAAGCGGAAGAACGCACAATGATACATCTTCTGGGCAATCTCCTCGCACTCCTTACGCTTCTCGCGGCTCCACCAATACGGAAGCACGCCCCGCGTCCCCTCGAGAACGCGCAAGAAGTCCTGCAAACCCTTGAAAGCGTGGCCGGTGATGTACTGAGGCTTCGGTTTGTCCGTCTCAAGGCTCAGCCTGCCCTTAGCGATGCGATCGTCCTCGTCAGTGATCCTATAGGCCTCGATCAGTAGTCTCATGGCGACGTTCTCGTCCTCTTGATAGGTGATGATATTGCCACCCTCGTTGGGCGCGTATGCGTGGCAGAGGTGACTATTGCCTGGAAAAACACGGGCAGGCACTGCGTTATCATTAATTTCATCTGGTTAGCCTTGTTTCTTCTCATCTCACTCGTCGACGCAGCTTTGTTTTGCCTGGCAGACATACTCTTCTGTATCACGTTGCCGTTCTCATCCCACTCTATGCCACAGGCATTCTCATGGGCGACCCAATCATTGTTCTTGCAATGGGCAGAGCAGTATCTGCATGATGGAAGCGCTGTCAGTCAAAGAAGAAACGACTTGAGGGTATTGATCACCCTCATCTTGGAGAAGGGAGTTCAGAACGCTTACTTGGCCTTGCAATCTCTGCAGTGATGCACTGTGCTGCCCACCTGTGTGAAGATTTTCTTGCACTTGATGCACTTCTGTTCAACAACGTTGGCCATTGTTACCGGTTTAATGTAGTCTTGATATGAGGGTTCTTTTGATAGTTGATAGTTGATAGACGAAGACAAGAAATGATAGGGAAGAGAGCAGGAAAAGCAAAGGAGCTGGCAGGTGCGAGGTTTTATAGCAGATATTCGTTTACAAGCAGCAAAACTTAAGGTGAAACTGTAAAGTGACAACGAGGCCTTTCTGTAAGCAGGCAGCACTTATCGATATTGACTTGCCCACCTGTACGGGTTGACTATTAAGACCATCAAATAGGCAGATCGTTTCACAGGATAGTGTTGTACGTAAACAGAATCAGAGCAACCTTGGAAATCATATCCACCAAATATCCCTAGACCTGCATCACATCAAGAACTCTTCAACAAAGAAATCAAGATAGATTGGACCCATTGGAGGGATTCTGATTGCTAGCTATGCAGCACTTGCCTACCCTCTGGTATCACTCATTGCCTAATGTGAACTATACAATCCCATGTGACAGCCTTCACCGCATTCTACGTACTATGTATCACATGTCTATTTGTGTGACAATCTATAAAGGTGCTTCCAGAAGGGACATGCATCTGCTCGGCTCATCATATATGCCCAAATCTGTTTCCAGTTAGAATGACATAGAACAATATTTTATAGATATAGCAAATTGTACATTTCTTGAGGTCACAGATCTTTGTTTGTGTGATTCTCCGTAAAGAGTACATCGATACCACAAGGCCTCAGAGTCATTAACTTTCTCTCCCTCTTCCAGGCTCCAAATTCATTCGTTCTGGGTCAAAATCACGCGCTACTCTTACCTTTAGCTAGGGAATTTACAGGATGGTTCGTTGGCCCCAGGCACTATCTGACTGCAATAGCTAGAACCAGGCTCACAAGGCGTATTAGGAGCAAGAGCATACTAAGGATAGTATACGATGACTAATGGGTGGTGTGGTATCGGGAATCATGATATTGTCACAAAAATAGTATACAGCTCAAAGATGATCTGTAGCAGACAGAGGTCCAGAATAGCTCGGCATTAGATGTGTCAGTTCCTGCCTGCGGAATAGCTGAGTACCGATGTCTCTGTTGCACGGTCAGGTTCCATCAGATATTCTTTTGAAAGAGTACCATTCACTGAAATCACTCTGTACCTGTGCGAGGTTGCGTTTCGCCAGTATGAGCAGAGAGCTTCCAACTTGCAGCACTCCAATCGCCCAAATTTGTCTCGACCTTGGATACTTCGGCGTCGACACATTCTACAGGAACCAATGCAGTGCGCTTCCTATGCCGAACTTGCCTCCGATGAGCCTTCCCTCGGATATGTTTCACCCAGGCTTCCTCGGAGAGGAGAGTAGCATCGCAAAGATCACAATATCTGCGACAAGGCGTGTCCTGAGCCGAGTTTGCAGCTTCTGCAGCTTTAAGCACTTCCCTTGCAGTCTCCGATGGAGCCGGGAGGTCCTCACCGGCGAGGAACTTCCGAGTCACGTCTGCAGCCTGATCTATGACTTGCTTCGTGAACTGTGTGACATCGGTACTGTCGAGGACATAGAGTCGGTCGAAGTTGCCCTCCCCCTGGAGCAGAGGTATCGTCTGCTTTGCTATCCACTTCATCTGGTACCTGGCGTACCTCCTGGTGGCGGTCTTCATCTTCTCTAGGCACTCAAGCTTCAAAGACTCCAGATCTGGTCCGTCCATTCCGTTCTCCACTGCTCTTAGGTACGGCTGAAATTCTTTGAATCCGATGGACTGCCATATGCCCCTCGTAAAGTCCACAGATTCAGCAGCTTGAAGTGTAGACTGCAGGTAATTATTCATTTTGGCAATCTCATCCATGAGACCAGCCTCCAACATCTTGTCAACGCGCCTGTTGAGTCGGTCTTTGAGGGCCTGATCCTCGGTGTGTACCCAGAATAACAACGGATCAGAGCCAGGCTGTGGGTCCGATTCGTGTTTTGCAACAGCCTGTTGCTGGGCTTTCCTCTTCTGCTGCTCCGCGTAGATATCTGAGGCCCGCTTGCCTGTGGTAAGGAATATCTCCAAGGAACGATGGATTTTACGCCTGTCATTCGGATGCCACCGATCAGCCATAACAGGGTCGACTTCTTTCAGCCTCTTCCACATCGCCTCGGTAGTATCATTCAGTATCGGGAACTCGGCGGATTTGTCCTGCCCTGGCAATTGTTCCGGGGTCTCATTATTCGCTTCTATCAGGTTGTCCCTGAAGAGTAATGCCTGAGTGTAGTAGTGCGTCCCCCCCACGACGATGGGGAGACGCCCTCTGCTGCGAATCTCCTGAATGATCTTGCTAGCCTTTTTCTTGAAGACACCGACAATCCAGGTCTCTTCATCTAGACTGATATTGCCGAGGAGATGATGTGGAATAGATCGTTGCTCCTCATGTGATATCTTGTTGGTGATGATGGGCAGGCCATTGTACATTTGCATGGCATCTGCATTGACGATTTCCCCGTCGAATCTGACGGCCAAATCGACAGCCAGCTGGAGCGAATCTTGTAAGTAAGCATGCTACTTCACGACTTGAAGATCTCAATGAAGATGAAAATAGAAGTGCATAGCACTATGAGATTGGACCTCACCTCAGACTTTCCCGTACCCGTGGATCCCAGAATGACCACCAGTGGGGTTGATGGAGGTTTGCGAGTGGACATTGTGGCAGAACATCGTATCGATCCGAGACTCGGAACAGTACGGAATCGAGTTCTGATCATGACATTGTGGCACGCTGTTCAGGAAAAATACGTAAATCGGTAAAGGCACTGGGCTCGCAACCCAAACAGGTGAAGTGAAAATGGACCCTTTGAATTGATTGAGCGTCGGCCCAGTCCAGAATGGGCGACATGAAAAGAATGCCGACCTCGGCGCCGTTTCCGTAGCTGAATGGCCGCCGTCACGTGGAGCACTTTCCTCTTAGTGCCGCCCTCTGTTACCCTCTATGTAGGGGAATACAAAGTAGTAATGCGCACCCCTAGGCAGGCGCATGGGGTACCTGAGTGACCCCTGCCCAGCAGCTCCTAGTTGTGTCGAGTACGCTGGAGCTGGGGAGAAAGAAGTGGAGCTAGGCTTTCCGTATTGGACACATCACAAATTGGAGCTTGGAGAAGCCAGATCACCACTCACTGCTACAGAGCGTTAATGCGCTGCCAACCGTAGTTACTTTTTAATCGTTGACACTTTTTTGGAGCTCTCCCTCCTCCTCCACCAGACCACACCTCCTCTCCTTTCACAACTGCATTCGTCAGTACTGCAACCAATCTTCTCACCGAGCCATTCTGTGGCTCGACCTTTTTCCTTCTTTTTTTCCTTCTTATCCATTTCTTGGATGCCTCTCTAGACGAGTACATTACAACCAAAAGTCGCCCATCATGAGTAGCCGTAAGCTGTCCCGGATCCATTCCCCCCTAATTATCCTCGAGGGGCTCTCGCGATGGCTGCAGACACGGCGTCGCGTTGGTCAATTGCCTTCCCAGAGCAGAACTAACACATATGCGCCCGTCTCGCAGTACGTTTTCTCGACTTGGTCAAGCCCTTCGTGCCGTTCCTCCCAGAGGTTCAGCAGCCGGAGACCAAGATTCCCTTCAACCAAAAGTTGATGTGGACAGGTCTCACGCTCCTGATCTTCTTGGTCATGAGCCAGATGCCCCTCTACGGCATCGTGTCCTCTGACACCTCCGACCCTCTATACTGGCTGCGTATGATGATGGCGAGTAACCGGGGAACCCTCATGGAGCTCGGTATCACCCCCATCGTCTCCTCTGGCATGGTTTTCCAGCTCCTGGCTGGTACCCACCTGATCGATGTCAACCTCGACCTCAAGTCCGACCGTGAGCTCTACCAGACCGCGCAGAAGCTGTTCGCCTTCATCCTGTCCGCTGGTACTGCCACCGTCTACGTCTTCACCGGTCTCTACGGCCCCCCCTCTGACCTCGGTGCCGGTATCGTCGTCCTGCTGATCCTGCAGCTCTTCATTGCCGGCATGATCGTCATCCTCCTCGATGAGCTCCTGCAGAAGGGATATGGCCTCGGCAGCGGTATCTCTCTCTTCATCGCCACCAACATCTGCGAGTCCATCATGTGGAAGGCTTTCTCCCCCACCAGCATCAACACTGGCCGTGGCCCCGAGTACGAGGGTGCCGTCATTGCGCTCTTCCACCTGCTCATGACCTGGCCCAACAAGCAGCGTGCCCTCCAGGAGGCCTTCTACCGCCAGAACCTGCCCAACGTCATGAACCTGCTGGCCACCCTCGTCGTCTTCGCCGCTGTCATCTACCTCCAGGGCTTCCGCGTCGAGATCCCCATCAAGTCCTCGCGCCAGCGTGGTGCTCGCGGTTCCTACCCCGTCCGCCTGTTCTACACCTCCAACATGCCCATCATGCTGCAGTCGGCTCTGTCCTCCAACGTCTTCCTCATCTCGCAGATGCTGTATTCTCGCTTCTCGGAGAACCTCTTGGTCCGTCTGTTCGGCATCTGGGAGGCTAAGGAGGGCGGTGGTGGCCAACTGTCTCCCATCTCTGGCCTGGTCTACTACATGTCGCCCCCGCTGAACATGAAGGAGGCTCTTATCGACCCGATCCACACCGTCATCTACATCGCCTACATGCTGACTGCCTGTGCCGTCTTCTCCAAGACCTGGATCGAGGTGTCTGGCTCCAGCCCGCGCGATGTCGCCAAGCAGCTCAAGGACCAGGGCCTCGTCATGGCTGGCCACCGTGACCAGAGCATGTACAAGGAGCTCAAGCGCATCATCCCGACGGCCGCCGCCTTCGGTGGTGCCTGCATCGGAGCTCTGTCCGTTGCCAGCGACCTTCTGGGCGCTCTTGGCTCCGGAACCGGAACCCTTCTTGCTGTCACGTAAGTGTCTCTCCTGTTTTTCTACGACCTTGGCAGTGTATTGAGCGCAATAACTAACGAGCATATTTCTTTAGTATCATCTACGGGTACTTCGAGATAGCGGCCAAGGAAGGCGACCTCGGTAGCATGAAGGGGATGATCATGGGATAAGGGATTCGCGCCTGGTCGACCGTGCTATCCGTATGGAGGAGCTACAATCGTGGCAGACTGTCCTCTCTTGAGAACGACGTGCCACGTGTATCTAATAACCGGCAAAGGTCCCGGAAGGAAAGAAAAACCAGGACAACAAGGGGGGGCTTCCTGAGAGCATTTGGGTTGGGAAAAGCATCCGGTATACCATTGGTGCATTGTACCACGTAGGTCTGCTTTTAGGGCCTTTCTCCCGAGACAAAATGGCTGTGTATGGGAAAATTTTTAGCATATTGTGGCATATTTTATATACCAACACCGTTCTAGCCCCCGCAGCCTACTGGACGGAGTAAATATCCAATGGCTCTGGATTGTGATCATTCCCATCGGCAACATGCTGGTTACGTAGCTCATCCATCCTTGAGAGATTGAAAGACGCTTGATTAAAGTTCAAGTCTCAAGAAGTAAAGCGTCGGGCACTCGGAGACCAGCGCGAGAGTGCGTTTGTGAGAGGGAACAATGGAGTAGGGATTCTTTAATTCTGGCGCCGCGTCAGTGGTGGGGAAGCTTGTCAATTGTTCAAGTGACTGCCAACCAAACTACTGTTGTCTTAATTTCAGTCTTTGTATCCTGCTGTGCCTGCTGTGAAAATCCAGTCCGCAAGAAGAAAACGCCGTGAGCCTTGTTACAACGCCTCCCTTTCCTTGTGAACGCCCAAGTTCGAAAGAAGAGAAAAACAATACCAGTGCACCTCTGCTGATATGCTCCCTGTCGCCGGTAGACTCGGCTTGCTTTCCTGCCTTGTGCTGTTGCGTCACTCGGCCCACACCCATTTCAGTATCACCTTCAGCAGCATAGCCACCAGACAAATAGCTAGTGCTGCAATCACCCTGTCCGTCATCCACAGCTGGGCATCGTCGTGTAACGCCTGCCTTTGCTGCTGCAGCTGCTGCTGCTGCAACACCGGCGCCTGCCGACTCGACACGCCCGTGTTACGCGCCGCGTCGGGTAACGGCACGGTTCTGGTCGGCTGTGGGACCGTCTGGCCTGGCCGCGCGGCTCCCGCCGACACGTCGACACCCGCCCGCGGTGCAGTCTGCACGAACCCTTCTGCCAGCTCTGCGCTCTCAGAATCCTCGCCCGATCCACTGGCGCTGGCGCCGGTAGCAGCAGCAGCAGCAGCAGCAGCAGCAGCCTTCTTCTCCATTTCGTCCCGGAAGCCCATCTTAAGCTCCGCTGGGACCTCGACTTCCTTGCGTCCACCACCGCTGCTGCTACTGGCCCCACCGGCGGCTCCCTCGGCAGATTCCGCAGCGGCGGCAGCCTCCTCACACTCGCGAATAATCTCCTCGTTGGTGCGCGCGCCGCAGCCGGTACAGCGCCATGCTCGGCTCTCGGCAGCCAGGCGGCGGCGCACGGCATCGGAGGTGTCGAGGCCGCCGAGCTGGCCCTTGGGATCGGTCTCCATGAAGGAGCGCAGGGCGACGAGGGCGGTGCGCACGCCCCAGGCGGGCTGCCATGTTTCCTCGTGGTGGCCGCTGATGGAGAGACAGATCTCGCGGTTGGCCTCGAAGCGGCCCGAAGGGGTCAGGAAGCGGAAGGAGGGCGGGCGCAGCGGGTAGGTTGGGGGCAGGGCGATGCGGCCGTGGTAGAGCCCCTCGGCATAAGGGGAGCCGGGGGGCCCGCGGAGGGTGAAGTGCCACTCGAAGAGGTCTGTCTCGAGGGGCGTCGCGGTGTAGTCTGGGGAGGGGGCGGAGGAGAGCTCTTGGGCTTCGCGGACTGCGCAGGGAGAAGAAGGAAGAGGAGTGGATGTTAGCTTGCTTGTTGCAGAGACGGAAGAGAGAGGAGAGGGGGGGGGGGGGTGAACTTACGAATACGCCTGATGGTGGGCGATTTACTGTTGAATTTGGCGGTAGGCATGATGGCGGGTGTGAATAGGTGTGATTTGATGTATGTTTGTAAAGGCGGAGGAGGAGGAATACGGAGGGGAGGGAGGGTTGAGGAATGTAGATTAGTTAGGTCGCAACACGCCCCCTACGTGGCCATCAAGGAAATGTCAAGGCTGGGAATCATTTGGATAATTTGGAAGAGACCTCTTCTCAAGAGAGAGAGCGTAACTGCCCAATAGAAGCCGGTTGGTGTGAAAAGAGACGGTGCTGTCTGTTGGTTTGGAAAGGTGCACGTTTGTTGCAAGGTGTCTTGTTGCGGAAAGAGGGAGGATGTACTTGAGATGTGAAGGGGTACATAAGTCAATGAATGGTACTTACTCCTTTGAGCACAGTAAACCGCCCAATAGAGAAGGCTGATGACGAATGAGGACCCTCCTCTCCACTGCTCCCCACTAAGTGATGTGCGCCCCCGTGGCTTACAAGGCAGTATGACCCACAAGCATGTGCTTTTACAGGGGTTCTTCTGCTGACCTTCAACCTCAAACATTCAATTATCTTGTCCAAGTAGCTACCAGCCTTCTTGGTCTTGTCCCATGTCTTGAGGTACACAACTTACGATCTCACAACTCATGGACAGCTGAATGTACTAATTCTCTCTTCATCTGTCACTGGCATGAAAATCCATCAGAACTTGGACAATGATGACTCCTCAGTGGATGCAACCAGTCGGAAAACACACACGCAGTAGTAGTGCCTGCCCATGAGCATCACCGGGAGCATGAGGATGAGATATCTTCATGTTTGCTTGATTCAAGCAACCAGTTGCAGGGAGAATGCTGAAAACTAGTTGTTATGATGATGAGTGTCATCACATCAACGTGTGGTGTGTGTTTCTCACCCAAGGAGAGATGCCACGAGTGTCTTGGGGAATAGTACAAGGAGGACTGAGTACTACGCAGATATCCTGCTAGAAGTCTGTAGGATAGCCAAGTACTTGACCAATGTTTCTTGTCCAAATTGGTCAACTTGAAAAATTGAGGGTGGATGGACTATGAGTTTTGGTTTTCAAGTCTCAGTTTGCATAGGACTTTATGCACATTTGGCAAAGGCAAGGCGCTTTTCCCCCAGGCACCTTCTTTTTGCACCCAAACAGGCTACATACCAACCTTAGATGTTCTCCAGCTCCCTCCGCTCCTCCTAAAGTTTCTTTTTTTCTTCCTTGTTGTCATCTCTTCCAAACAACTCCTCCTGCTGATACGATCGACCACCTGGCTGCTCTGTTTTATTGTGGCGCGTTGAGGCTTTCCAGCTGGTACCTTTCTGCTCAAGGAAAGCATCATACATCACCATCAGTTACCTTGAGGCTTTGATGCCATCTCGGCCTTCAACCTCAGATGATCTTGATACCTCCTCCAAGTTCCTCTAGAGACCTGCTGTCTCCTGGGCCTCTGAGATTGAGTATCCCTACCATACACACACAAACTATCACGCACAACATCATAGCACACGACGAGCTTTCCATTTCCCCTGCAGGGCATCGACAGAGGTGCTACGACTTCCTTCGGCTATGGATCGACCTGTTCGAAAGTTGGCCACTGCCAACCTTCTCATGGCCCCCAGTTTCCTGCAACGGATCAACACTTATTTTGAGCAACAGCAACCCTCAGACGGTCATACAAGTAAGTTCATTCCTCCAAGGGCCTCTCTCATGCTATGAAAACGTGCATTACATCACCCCACTCACTCCCACCCTGGGGATACCTGCAGCCTTCATTGCCAGGCTACTCTTTTCGCGCCAGAATAAGCTGACGACAGGAGCTCTAGCAGAAAAAATGGCGTCTCCCTCACCTCAGGAGATGATGGCCGCGCCGCGTTCCCAGGAACAGGAGATGTCTCCGCCCTCCATGTGTAGGTTCTGCCATATGAGCTTCAACACGGACGAGGATCTGCGAGCCCACAAGAAGGCCAAATTCCTGGAGGAGGACAAGGATGAGAGCACGGTGGCGGTTCATATCTATTGTCACGTTTGCGACAAGGACTTCATGACGCGTGGTGCTGCGCGTCTTCACTACTGCCAGGTATGCATACGGAGAACCTTAATATGAACCCCGTTACTCCAGGTTGGTGTTTCAACTGACTCTTTGTCAGCACCACACCCAGAAGCAGAACATCATCTGCCCTGGCTGCGATTCCCACTTCAACCAGATTTCAAGCTTCGTCAAGCACGTCGAGTCGAACCAGTGTCGCAAGATTACGCCGCAGAGTGCTGCTGCACGCTGTCAAATGAACATCGAGTTCGCCAGGCGCCTCACCCTGCTTGATGAGCAGCAGGGTACGGTGAGAGTCCCAAAGGACTTCTCCTTGTTCTTGGACCATGACTCGCAGCCACCTCCTCAGCCAGTTTGGAAGACCGAAGCCGAGAAGAATCCATGGACCCAGCCAAATGCGAAGGGCTGGGGCACAGCAGATGCCGTGTCGAATCCTGGCGAGATCTCAGGAATCGCCTACCAGGACCGCCTTTGCGGAAACCGCAATGTCCCTGACCTTCTCACGGGCGACGCGAAAAACCCACCTGGCGAGAGGCAGGCCCGCCAGATTACTGACCACCACGACCCTGGCCACCCTCAATTTGATGCTGATCGGTATCTCAACCCCTACACCCAGAAGTATAAATGTCCCAAATGCGGGTGAGTTTTGTTTCCCCTCTGTCACATCATTCCTTCGCCAACTCAGTCCAAACAAGATCACAACTGATCCTTGGCTGATTCGGTGTAGAGCTTCATGCAAGACCAAGAAGAACCTGGTTCACCATCTTCGCTCCATCAAGCATACGGCCAATATGGAAGAGAAAACCTTCATCTGCCCGGTCTGTTATGACCGCTTCGAGTCACGATTTTCCCTTGCTGCCCACGTTGAGTCGCTCAGCCGGAAGTGTAGCATTCGTGACAGCGGCATCTACGAGATCTTTCTAAGCCAGTTGACCTGGGATCTCATCGAGGTCACGGGCAGACACGACGAGGATGGCACCCCAGTCTACGACGTCTCGGCCAAGGCGAAGGCCGAGTATGGTGATCCGAAGCTTGCCCAGCAGGGCTATAGCCAACAAGCCGGCCGTGCGCCCGGTAGCCCTCCCGATACTCCACGTCTTACGCGGGACGCCTTGGTCAAGCTTCAGCAAGAGCATCATGGCATCCCGCCCGGCATGTCGCTCAGCAGAGCGACCGACCGACAGACGTACCTAGCAGAGATGGATGAGCAGCTGAGCGTCAAGTACCCGGCCATGGCTCCATCTGCCGTCGGCCCCAGCGACCCGTTTCGAACTCAGCAGGCGGCTGCTGAGGACCCCTCCGACCAGAATGCTGCGGCACAGGGTGCCTCCGGTCATCGCGCCTCGCTGCAGCAGGCACAGAAAACCCAACAGCTGCCACAAGAGCAAGACAAAAATGACTGTGGCGTGAGCCTGACGTCTGAGGCACTTGCGTTGCTCAACATCCAGTCGGCTGGAAAGGGAGGACTCTGGGATGCCTGGATGTGACGAGGCAAGAAAAAAAAAGGGGAGCGGGAAAAAGAGAAGGAGAATAAAAAGAGAAAGATGAAGGGGGGTAAAGGTATGAGGACGACACGGAATGATGGTGCTGCGGTACATGTGCGTGAGGGTGCGGTAGCAAAATGGTGACACTCGTCAGCTCTGGGACGTTGTTTGCTGGAACGCAGACACTTGGCGAGTGGCGATGCTATCGTGTCTGACGAAGGAGAAAGAATGGCGCTCAAACCGTAGGAGGATTCTAACAGGGCTTCCATGAATTCATGAAAAATCGATTTACCTGATCTGAACTCGTGCTATTAGGTTGTTTAGATGAAGAGCAGTACGACGCAACGTGTCTTGGTCGTGTATGCTAGCCGTGTGTCCAACCACCCTATGCTGGGTTGGCTGATGTTGGTTCCGTCTCAGCCTCTGCTTCCTCCATCTCCATCTCCTCCATCACACCCCACTCTCGTTCCAACTTCTTCCTCCACGCCTCCACGCTAACGACTTCCTGTTCCCCTTCACTACCCTCGTCATATAAGATCTCCAAGACCTTGTCGTCGCCCCCCACGGTCCGCACCCCATGAGGAATCCGCACGTTCTCCGCCCTCATCCCAACATAGAAGTCGCTTCCGAGCTTCGGGACCCGCAGCCACTTGTGCCGCGGGCTGCATGCCGTGATGCGTACGCCAGACGCCGGGTCGCGCAGCCGGCCCAGGCAGTCTGCGCAGAAATCCCGGTCCGAGCAGTAGACGCAGTGGTAGTGCACGGTGTCGATGCCGCTCACGTTGCCGCAGCGGTTGCCGTCTGGGTTGCGGCCGTCGCAGGACCAGGACCACTGGAAGGAGGTGGGGTCGAGCTCGGGCGTATGGGCTTGCTGTAGGAGAGATACGTGGTCGTAGAGGATGCGACATGCGATGGGCGCCGTGGGTAGTGGTCTGGTTGGGCTGTCCTCGTCATGGCCGTTGGGAATCCTGGCCTCGCCGTCATCATTGGCATCCTCCGCCTCGGTTTTGGTCCCGTTAGGAGGGTGCAAGAGGGAGTCCAGATAGCCCTTGGCGACTTCGATTCGTTGTATATGCTGTACAGTATCCGGGACCTGAGCCTTGACCACTTGGAGGGTTTCGTTAGCCAGCTTGCGCAGCGTATCCCACAGCTGTTGCTGATGCACGCCACGAGGCGTCAAGCCATCGGCATCCACTTCTTCGAGACCAGTGAGATCCTGAGGGTCGAAGGTCAGTGCTCCCGTCACGAGATCCGGCTGCCCCAGTAGGGACATGGCAACAGCCGCGTTCTTGAAGTCGCCGTGCTGCACCATAGTCCCATAGATGACAGAAAGCCCGGTGCCGTCATTCTGGGGCACATCGTCTGCGAGGATCTGCAGTCCGTATTTGATCCGCGGGGCCAGGGCCGCCTTTGATTTGTCGAGATCACCCCAGAGCGCATACGCTGCACCGATGAAGCCGGGCGGGTCACTGTAGACGGTGCTCACAGAAGGGTCGTCCAGCTGAGCGAGCATATCGACGTGATCCTGGCTCTTTTCGTCCACCGTTCTGTGGAAATAGTGCTTGGCCAGTTCCGTGGTGGCGTTGCGCCGCACGATATAGGCTTTCGGGCCGCCAATGTCGGAGAGCAGTCTGCGGCATTCTTCCCAAAGCTTCAGTGCCTCATTACAGTCCTCGGGCCCACGCTCAGGATAGGGCGACGCCGCGAGGCCCCTGTAGTAAAATAGCACGCCACGGGCTTCGTTCTCGGCGAAGCGTTCGTCTGTCGACATTTCGGCGTCCTGGTCCTTGTCCCCCCGTGTAGGACTCTCCGTCGCCTTCTTGAGGGCACCCACGAGTCCTTCTAGAAGAGCCGGGTCCCCCTTGGCCACGGTTAATATTCCCAAGATGATAGAATCATAGTCGTCATCTCCCGCAATCAGTCTCCAGACGGTAACCATGTTCCCGTCCTCGTCATCCTGGGCTACTATGCTCTGCAGCCACTTTCTCACCTCTTCGGCGTCCTGAAGTCTCAGTCTCGCCTTCAGCTGCCCCAGCCGTCCCTGTCTCCTCTGATCCGTCTCTCCGTTGTCGCACGCAAAGGAGTAATGGTCCACGGCTTTCTGGATATCTGCCGCCTCGGCGGCATAGTCTCCCAGCAGTAAATGCAAGCCCACGATGTCTTTCTTTTGTGGCGCAGGAGCAGCACCTTCCTGTCCTGCCGCTTCCAGTGCCATTTCTAGTTGCGCCATCGCGTCCAAAACTCGGTTCTGGCCGTGGTAGGCTTCCCCCGATCCACGGTGGCACAGCCAGCTGGGGTTCTCCTTCTCAAGGGCTTGTTCATAAAGCGACGCAACTTTGCCAATGTGACTGGATCGCGAGAGTGCTGCCTCGGCTAGGCGCTCGTACCATAGCGAGTCCAGATCCGAGTTCTTCAATCCGAGCCAGTCCTGGCACCAGCTGCTCACATGGTCCCAGTCGATTTCTTGGGAGTCGCTGAGTGGGGGACTGGGAGGGCTTGCGTCGTTGTCTTCGGTGTTGAGGTGCTGTTGAGATATGCCATCATCCTGCACCCCAAGATTATCAGCATGGCCCTGTAGCAAAGGTTTGGTCCCGATCGAGAGGGTTTGTGAGCTAGAATGGGTGTGATCGGGAGATGTGATCGGGCCACGACAAGACTCACCGCACTGATGAACTTCTCAACCCAAGCAAACGCACTACGGGCTTCCCAGCTCCGCTCCCTCAGGAAGCATTCCACAACAAAGCTCACAAGCTCACTCAAAAAGCCCCTCACCGGGTTGGCAGCAGCCCGCTGCACCTTCTGCAGCCACTGCTTGTTGTCTAGCCTCCGCACGACGGCCGAGTCCATCAGCCACGTTTGAACATCCTGCAGGTCCTCTACCGCCCAGAACGTCGGCTCGAAACTAGCCTTGTGTCGCTTAAACACCTCTTGGTCTTTGAACAGATTGTACAGACTGCGTCCAATCTCGAGCTGTGCGCTTGGGTCCAGCGAGCCTTTGCCGTCATCCTCGAGCTCGCGGAGGCGGCGTAGGTGGTCCGGCAGCCAGCAGACAAAGTAACTCCCGATCTCCTTAGTCTCCTCCTTGGGCTCGTCGGCGAGGAACTCGAACGCCCGCTTCAAGATGGTGTGGTGCGCCTCGAATTCGTCCACAGTGATGGCTACAAGGTTGCTGTGGGTGTTGGACGCGGCGTCGAATTCAAACTTGAATTTGTCTCGGATCGTCCTCTGCGCCAGGTCCCAAAAGAAATGCCCGCAGATCTCCTGATCTACATTGTTGATGGTAATGGTCATGCTGATGTTGGTCCGCGCTTCGGAGTGAGATAACTTGCCGGAGCGGTCTCTTTCTTTCTGGAGGGCTTCGATGACCTCGGATTGCTCGTAGACGATGTCGTCTTCAATCCTGAGGACGGCCAGGTATTTGTTCCTGATGATGTCTGACAGGGACGAAAGGGACTCTGTGCCTGAGTAGAGGTACTTTATGCGGGTTGGTCAGCCTTTCAAGGGGGATGCCACTCGAACAGCACAAAAAGGGCATAAACTCACCATGGCAGCCTCCAGCTTACTCAAAGTCATATACTCCCAGCCAAAGACTACCCATCTGATAAGTTCGTTGAGTTCGCCAATCTCTCTCGAGTTCAATGTACGCTGCAGATTCTTGACGGCCACCTCGTGGCTGCTCATGCGTTGGTCCAGGATGCGATCCAACTCCTCCACGGTCGCACGCGTGCTCAGCAAGCGGATCACGTCGTCCAGCTCAAACTGCAGTTGGGAATAACTGCCCCCTGATTTCTGCGGTAGCCTCTCAATAATCTTGTCTCGTGCCTTTTGCTGGGCTGAGTCAGGTCTTGCGCGCTGCAACAATCCTTCCCCGCTCAGCTTCTCCTGAATATAGATTTGCATGTCCAACTCATTGCAAGCCTCCATGTTAATGGTGAGCGCGGTCCCGGCAGCCAGTCTCCTACCGAACGTATCCGGCGTCCCACTCGCCAACACGCGCACATTGCCTGCCGATTTCTCGGCCAGGTTTGGGCTAAAGATAAAGTCGAGAAGCTCCTCGGCCTGCTTTGGGGGCAAATTCTCGACACCGTCAAAGACAAGGTAGTACGTGGCCCCCGTGCCAGAGGTCCCTATCTTCATCTCTGTCCACAGGCTCTCTAGGCTTGCCGAGCTACGAAACGCATTGGTGCCGGCGTCGCATAGCTTGCCCAGTGCCTTTCGCACCGTACCGTCGACTCTCGCGATCTGGAAGGCCATGTACTTCAGAGCCCTCCGCACGGGACTCTTCTCGTCGTCAGATTTCTTGATGCTTGCAGGGAAGAAGTAGTGCGCTACGTAGATGCGCTCCTTCTGGCCCTCGAGGTTCTTGGTGATAAGAGCGGTAGTCAAGGTCTTGCCCGAGGAGGAGGGCCCTGATACGATGAGCACATGAGAGGCATTCCTGCCCTTGGCCGCTATCCAACCCCTGTAGGCATCATGCGTCCATATCCATTCCCCTGTGCCGGCGGAGCACTTGGCAAGGATATCTGTGCAAGTCTGCGTGGTTCTCGTGTCGAGACGCACGTTCGACTCTACGCCGAGAGCGTCACGAATCTTACTGAGGGTCTTCTCGCGGTCGGCGTCGTCTCTGAGGGACTGCACTCCTTTTTGTGTCTCCTCGGCTGTCTTTGCAAAGACAATAAACTTCTCGAGCAGCAGAGCGATATCCTGCCGCGTCCTGACCACATTGTCAAGCGTGATGGTCCCCTCGACGTCACGCTGTTGCTGTAGGACACGCTTGAACTCGGTCATCTCCGTGGCAAGATCCGAGTCGCCTTCGAAGATGGACTTGACTTGTCGTCTGAAGCGGTCCAGCTTGCTGCCCTGGCGATAATTGACGACATGGGCGCATAACTTGACGAAGCTAACCATGACCTTGTGGACCTGCGTGACGAGCTTCGGATCGATGGTCTCCATCGACTCGTAGATATGGAACTGGGAAAGCGCCGAGGATACCTGGTCAAAGACTTGGCTGATGGCGTCGTTGTAGCCTTTGACGGCTTCGGGAATGTCAAACACAAAAGACAAGGCGGAGCAAGTGATATTGGCTGCCGCTTGAGGCATAGGGATCTGGACTCGTTAGTGTGGGCCGGGCTTATGATGAGGATGTGAACCAAAACATACAAATGTAGCGGCCTGAGAAGCAACGCCAACGAGCAGTTTCAAGTACTTGAGGGACTGAAGTCCCACGTCCTTCGCCTTGTCCCATTTTTCTTTTTGCTCTGAACTTGTGTTAAACGATGCTTTGTTGGAGCTCTCAATGACCCTTTTCAAGTCGTCGAATGACTTTACTTCGCCCTTCTGCAGCGACTTATGGCATATTGTCTCGAATGATTTGGCAGCGTCGGCCCACATCTCCTTCATGGCCGTTTCTGCCTCCGTCGGCTTCTTCCCCGGGGCGTCCACTGCCTGCTGGGAGCTCATCGTGTCTTGTGCAGACAAAGTAGAAACGCAGCTTGGGTTGACGAGAGGCCAGCGTGCTGAACCAGATCCTGAGGCTGGTTCTCAGTCATGGGTCTTCTATAACGGTGTCCAGGAAGATGGCTAGGGCTCTTGAGGCATATAAATATGCCACGCCATCTCTCAGCCGCTCGAAAGTCATATTGCATGGTAGAATGCATTGAGAAAATTGTGTCTCCACATGCGAACGCAAGGCTACCAATCACAATGCCCCCTGCCAGCGATATTGTGGCCGAAGGAGGTGGATCATGAGTGCTGCTGAATCCTTCACGTGTGCTATGAGTCAGCAGCTCGCCGCTGCCACCTGCTTTGGCATAGTACCGGCAGCGGAGATATCTTGTGTATGGATGCGCATCCTATCATGGTACATAGCATGTTGACCTTGGCAATTTTGGTTCAGCTAAGTCCACCTAGTCAAGCACACCATGTCAGCAAATCAGCCACACCAAAAATCCCGGCGTCGCATTGACCCACTGGTGCTAAGCATTAGGTATGTCGCAGCAGGCTCCGAAGCGCAATCTGCCGCCATAACATGCTTGATTCTGCGGCTGCCTCCAGCTCGAGGTGAGATGTGATGGCTAGACAGATTTGTCTGATGGCAACTCGGTTCTTCTGCACAGCATCGTCATCCCATCACGAGTCGCGAGGACTTGGAGTTTCTTGTTCAACGACAAGGGCTTGCTAAGGACCCCCTCTTCAAGATGTGTTGAGCACCCTCGGCGGAAAACTGATGGAAGAAAGCGAGGTGGTGCCTAGGGAGAATCACATTTGCTTTCGACAAGAGCTCAGCACTCAAGTGCCTCTCTCGTGGTCAGCGCATGAGGTTAGTTTTAACTATTTACTTACTCATCAGCCAGCTCAGCTCAAGGATGGTTAGCAAGCCATATACACGACGAGTATCTGGTCAAATCGTCTCTGAATTGAGGGTCGACTGTGTATAAGTAGTCGAGGAGGGCAAAGTTGAGGTTCTCTCTTTCGCTCTCTCCTCGTCTACTACATGGGCAGGCGGTGTATATGTGATGAGACAGAAAAGGGCAGCGACGATGGTAGTACAAGTCCCAGATAACTCTGCTACAGTAATGATAGGCGGTTGGGCCCGAGAATGTGGGGTGCATGGGGCCTAGCACGCTGGATCCTAAGTAGGCGGGAAAGACTCACTAGTACACGCTTACAAGTATTGACACGGTGTGTATTCTACTCATTTCTCTTGAATATGAATCCATAGCAAGCAAAATCAAGCCCGATCTCTGTGCTGCTGAGTATTGAAAATCGAAAATTGGATATCGTCTCGGCAGATCTATTCCATGCAGGCAGGAACTATGACCAAGGACCTAGTCGGCACTTGGAGCGTTGGACTAATAGCAACTCGATGCTCTTGTTCCGTCCGTTGAATGAGCTTCACATTGGATTGGATGTGACAAAATGCTCTTACGGTGTCTGTAGCCTGTTCCAGCTGGTGGAATGATGGTCTGGTCGAGGCCAATACAAACACCAATTGGGAGCTCTGACAAGCTCTCAAGGGCGGCACTTCTGACTTTGGTATTCTCAGCAAAATGGGCCACGTCTCCCACGCCCGCTATAATGAGGTCAACAGGCGTCGGCAGGAGGTATACAAGAAGCTACCGAGAGGGTGCCGTACTGAGAACGGCGTTCCTCTCAAGCCAACTTCCAGGTACGCAAGGCCCAGGAAAATTGTCGGTTGCAAAAAGTAGATGGCGAGATGGAGTACAAGTGTTGATTCACAATTCAAGTAGCGTCGAAAGCTAGCATCTAGTGCCCCCCTGTCTAGACAGGTGAACTATTACTATATGTACCATAGTACAATGCTACAGAGCCAGGCTGGTAGAAGACGTCCATACACCCACAATACAAGTTGCACCTAAGTAATCAAATCCCGTGATCGAGATTCCTTACTCCTAACAGACTAAAAAAGTAAAAAGTATGTGTATACTCTGTAACGCATCCTACAGAGCCCCAGCAACAGAGATGAGTAATCCGTTGCACCGGAAACTCCGGATGTAGCCACCGATGAACCCTTGCCAATGCTTCCTATTTTTAGCCCCACCCGCGGGAACATAGAGGCTAAGATAGTACCGTAGTAGCCCTATAGTAGTAGAGCTGGGACCCCTGAGACCCAACTTGTACTAGTGATGGAGAGCGCCTGTGGCGATGGAGAAGTACCTGAAAATTCACTGGCACACGTACCCTGAGCAGAGGTACTACTTACTACCCATAGGATTACTATAGTAGTAAGGCAACCTGGACCAGGCCCAGTAAAGTAGGCTCAGCCTCACCGACGACACTTTGCCAGTCCACCCCCCAATGCAAGCTTTCAACCACCACCACCCAAACGCATCACCAATCCATCTGACACGTCAAGCTTCGACGTGCGCTTCTTGTGACCCCCCCCCCCCTCCAATCTGCTGTCCTTGCTCTAGCTGGCATGCATGCCCAACCTTTCTTGGCTTGATGTAATCCTCGTCTGCTTTCCCAAGTCTTCTCCCCTAGACCGATGGACAGGCGTGGCTCTTTCGATACCCCTTCTGTCATGGCTCGCTGGGCAAGGAGGTTCGAGAGGTGCTGTTGCCGGTGCGCCACCTACTTCCCATTACTTTTCGTCTACGGCCTGACCACCTGGGCAGTCCTGGTGGTCTGCAGTATAGGATATAATGCGCAAAACTCGAGCTGGATAGGTACGTCAAACATTGTTGTCCCAGCTTCTTGAAGAAACCCTTGTCTAAGCCCACGGGAAACCCCGCCCCCTTCACAGGGACGCCATCCTCCCTCATAGCCATACTACTCTATGCCCTTCTCAATTGGTCCTACACGACGGCCGTCTTCACCCCGCCGGGCAGCACAACCAACGACAGCGGCTATAGCACGCTTCCGACCCAAGAGACCCCCCGACCGACCGCCACCCTGACCGTCAAGTCCAACGGCGAGATGCGCTTCTGCAAGAAGTGCCAGGCCCGCAAGCCCGACCGCGCCCACCACTGCTCGACCTGCCGGAGGTGTGTGCTCAAGATGGACCACCACTGCCCCTGGCTGGCCACCTGCATCGGCCTGCGCAACCACAAGGCCTTCCTGCTGTTTCTGATCTACACGTCACTCTTCAGCCTCTGGGCCGCTGTGGTCGCCGGGTCGTGGCTCTGGACCGAGGTCATGGCCGACACCACCTACGTCGAGAGCCTGATGCCCGTCAATTACATTGTGCTCGCCGTCATCGGCGGCATTATCGCCCTCGTCGTCGGCGCCTTCACCATCTGGCATATCGTGCTCGCGGCCAGGGGTCAGACCACCATCGAGTGCCTGGAGAAGACCAGATACCTGTCGCCGCTGCGGAAGACGATGCAGAACACATACAGGGCGCAGCACACAGACGGCCGCGGCATCCCCTTGCCCAGGTACGGCCAGCAGCTGCTGGACATGCACCAGGACATCCTGCCGGGTGTGACGCGCCCGGAGGAAGGAGAAGAGCTGCGCACCCTGGCGCCCAGCGGACGCGACGAGACAAACCAGCCGCCCCTCGTCAACGGAGTGCCACGGCACATGTCGTACGATGAAATGGAGCGCACGCGGGCGCGCAAGCGCTACGAGGAATACCTGGACGAGCAGGACAGCGGCAAGCTGCCCAACGCCTTCGACCTGGGCTGGCGGCGCAACCTGCTGCACCTCTTCGGGCCCAGCCCTTACCTGTGGGCCTTCCCCGTGTGCAACACCACCGGCGACGGCTGGAACTGGGAGCCCTCGCCCATGTGGCTCGAGGCGCGGGACAGGGTGTCACGCGAGCGCGACGCGCAGAGGGCTCGCGAGCGGGCGGCCGGGTGGGGCATGCCGGACGGGGACGACGTTGCCAACGGCGGTGCCGGCAATAACGATGGCGGTGTCGTGACCTGGAACCCGCCACTCGCGGGCGGCGCGGGCCGACACTACGTGGACCCCCCTCACAAGCCGCAGAGCAAGGCCGACAAGGTGCTCGGGCGGGACCCGAACCTCTACGCAGACAACCCGCTCATGGGAGGCAACGACCGGCCGCAGCTGAGTAACCCGGCACGCGTGAAGCGCGGCAAGCCACAGGATATCTATGGAGACAACGAGAGCCTCTTCGACACGGACGCCAGCGAGATGGAGGACGAGGACGAGGAGTCTAGTGAGCGGCAGAAGAATGCGACGGCAGCGGCGGCGACAAACAACAAGAAACAGCCTGGGCCCATGAACCCTCGGTCGAGTGGCAGCGGCCAGGTGAATCCGTTTGGTAGTGGTGGTGGTGGTGGTGCCGGCGGAGCTGGTAGGCTGGGCGGCCGAGGTGTGAGTGGGCTGCTCAGGAAGGCTTCTGATAACTCTCTTGCTGCTGCTGCTGCGGCTGCCGCGAGGAAACAGAAAGAGGAGGAGGAGGATGATGGTGGGGTGGACTAAAATAATTCTACGTTGTTCGAATCAGAGAGAGAGATGAGAGGTACTATACTTTAATGCCGGTACAGACACGCAGGCCTGGATTCTCTGAACTTTTTACCATGGATCGGTGCTTTCTCACTTGATCTCTTTTCTCTTTCTTTTTCTTTTCCCTCCTTAGACTTGGATGGAGGAGGGGTGAGTGAGGGAGAGCGGAGGATCAACTTTTTTGACATTTGAATGCTCGTCAAATCTGCATGGCCTTGGCGTTCGTTCGTTCTTGAATGGATCTGATTGATTGATGGGTTGGGAGATAGTACATAATACTTGAATCCCCATCACCACCACCGGTGGATGTATGAGTTTGCAATGTCTAACCAACGAGAGTAATGACAGCTTCTTTTTTAATTATTACTTTTGTGTTTTACATGCTATGTACAAATTACATTTGGAAATCAAGAAAAGAAGGGACAAACAACGAAGACCAGGGGGGGAAAAAAAGGCAAGAAAACATATATATGTATTGTGCAGAAACAGGGCTTGGGCGAGGCTTGGCTTGGGTGTTGGCTGTCGGTGATGATGAGGAGTTAGAAAAGGGGGACGTTCCGACGCCAGGATAACTACTACCTACCTACCATTAAGCACGGCACAACTAGAAATGACAACAAATTCGCCACACCAGCAGGCTACAAAAAGAAAGAAAAAGACAGCACATACCGGGCACAAGCTTGTTGAAAGTCTCTCTCTCTCTATCTTTAAAGAACAATCGATTGCCTCGTTCCGTCTTTAAACTGACCGTCATCCACCGACCTCAGAACCCAATTTTATCAAGACTCAGGAGGAAGAAGGGAAGAAAAGGGGGTGGGGATACTCAGAAAATCCACAGAAAACCTGCCTACGCGCGTGCTTGTATGTTTGCTATGCTTTGAGAACAAGGGGGGGTATATTTTCATTCCTACAATACCAGCGCAAGAAACCATGCTAGACGCAAACGAGGTGAGAAAGATGATGAAAGAATGCCCCTTCCAAACCACGCTCAGACTAGACAAACCAAAGAAGAAGAAAGAATTAGCTGTGCAATAGAAAGAAATTCCAGTTGAACCTTGACATACAAGACTGACTCGCAGGCTTGTTCTCTGAATGTTGTGCTTGCTCATCATACACACCATAAGAGTGTGTAGACCGCGAGCTCGGCATGAAACTGCAACAAGTAACTCCCGACCAAATTGGCCACCTCCTTTTTTCCCCTCTTCGTCTTTTTTCAAGAAGCCTGAACGCCGCCGACTTCTGACCTCAACATGGAGTAATGATTCCGATGCCGGTTGCTAAGCGGTGCACTGCATTTGCAAGCACTGCAGGCCCGACAGCTTATGAAGGATTCAAAGAGAGAAATAAGAAGCCGTCAAAGTTCCAAGCGGCCTACAATCCAAAGCGATTAACTCTTTTTGGTCCTGGCCACAAAAGATCCATCACAAGCTACTTCTGTGGCGTCGGGAGACAGAGCCTCGCGCAAACATGTGGACCGCTGGGAATACAACAACATCTGGCGGAGATGTGGTTGAATAAGTTGGAGAGCATAACCATTGGTAAGGTTGAATCTGCTCTCCCTCTTCTTCTTTTCTCTTTCTCTCTCCAATAGACAGCCGACGACTCAGCGCCATAGGTCCATTCTCGAAGACCTCTTCTCTCTCGTATCCGCGCTCCTCGGCCGGGGCCACTCGTCAGCCCCGTTCGCATCAGGGGCACTGCCCCTCCTGCCCCTCCCATTGTCAGGCACGGCTAAAAAGCCTCCGGCCCCATTGCCCATAAACACACTCTTGCGGGCGCCCGCCCGCGAGTTCCACCCGAGGGCGCTGTTGTCCAGCCCATAGCTACTGGATGGACGGTTGTTCAGGCCCTCGTCTGCGCTCGTGTCGTACTTCCTGTCGGGCTCGACCTTGACCATGCCCCAGTTCAGCTCGTCATCGCCCTTGGTGAACACCTCGAGGGTCTGCGGGAGCCCGCTAGGCCCATTGGGTCCCGCGAAGGCCGCGAAGGGGTTATTGGACGAGAAGCGTGGGTTGTGTCCTGCGTTGGCGAAGGGCTTGTTGGGGGGCTTGGGGTCGCCAAATGGGTTGGTAGAGCCGCCCGTCATTTGTGGCTGCTGGAAACCGTTTGGGAATCCGCCATTGGGGAAGCCAGGGGAGCCGAGACCGCTGTAGGACATAGTGGAGGCGCCTGTCATCTGTGGCTGCTGGAAGCCGCCCGGGAAGCCGCCACTAGGAGGGAAGGCGGGTGAGCCGAGGCTGTTGTAGGATATGTTGGAGGCGAGTCCGGTCGAGCGCTGCGACCCGCTACTACCAGGTCTCTTGTATGCATCTCTTGCGAACTTTGGTGCTGGCTGCGGCAGGCCGGCCAGGGTGTCGGGGAAATTAGCGTCTCGGACGTACAGGGCGCGGAGGTGGGGCAGACCGCCCATGAGGAGGGATCCGGACAGGTAATTGTAGTAGGATGGGAGGATGTTGGAGTAAGGACTCGAGTCGGCGGCAGCCATGATCTCATAGTGGAAGGTCTCGAGAGACATTGATGCGAGTGGTGCCACCTGTGACGTGCCGGCAGCCAGAGGCAGAGACTTGATGGCCACATAAGAGAGGGTGAGCCGTTTCAGGTTGGGCGCTGCGCCCAGGACGTCCTGCAGACTCCAGGGCGTTACGCCAGTCTCAGAGAGGCTCAACACCTTGAGAGCCTGCGACGTGTCGGCCCGGCTCAGGTAGGCCTGGAGCCCTCGGGCGGTGACACCTGGCGTGTCCTCCAGTATGAGCTCCTCCAGCGCCGGGAAGGCGGGCAGCATGTCGCTGTTGTGGGCCATGGTCTCATCGGTGATAACCTTGGAGTCCACGATCTTGAGAGCGCGCAGGCCGTCGAGTATGGCGAGAGCATGCAGTATGACTGTGGGGTCTGCCTGAAGGCTGCGGAACTCGAGCACCTCGAGGTTTCGAAACACCTGCCCGCTGGCTACTCGCTCCAGACTCCGCTCGGATCCGCGCATGTATGTCATCTTCCTAAGATTGAGACATCGCGCCTCCACCTCCATCCGCAATGTGATGTACGAGTTATCGTCATGGTACAGGGCCTCGGGAAGGTCGACGTATCGTAGGTTCGGTAGCACGGCGATGGTCCGAGCCAGGTCGGCTTGACATGACTCCCTCAGCATGTACGGCAGCTTGAAGTACTCGACCAAGGGACCCAGGCGGGCAGGGTCTTCGCGGAGGGTCCTGCATAACAGCTTCAGGCGCTGTCGGGAGGTGTCTTCGGGCTCGCCATTGTGGTCGAAGAAGGTCTTGTGCTTGCGTCTGTCGGCTAGCAAGGCCTCGCGGTCGCAGTAATGGACGGTCTCGATCCTGATGCTGTGATAACTGCAGGGCGAGAAGGAGGAGGAAAGGGATGTCAGAACCCAATCCACACCATGAATCCTTCGCAAAACGAAACATCGGGGCCACCAGCCTCCCTTCCTTGATGCGCCATTGGCCGACAAGTCGACTCCACGGCGACCACTTGTGTGCTAGGACTGACTTGGTACTCACAGTACTTTGACGGCAGCAGCGCGCCACCTCTTGCACACGAGCAGGCAATACGACAGGTCCCGCAGGTCGCACAGCATGCAAGCGTCCTCGAGGGAGCTCTGCTCCTGGGACTCGTAGGTCGAGTCCATGGTGTGGGGACATACAAAGGCGAAGATGCGCTCGAGGACGGGGGCGGGCAGCTGGGCAAGCTTGGCGGCCGAGGCACGCGTGGGCGAGCCTGGCATGGGCGGGATGTCGTAGTCATCGTAGGGGTTGGCGCTGTGGTTGAAGTAGCGAGGCTGGGCGGGCATGCTGCCTCCGAATTGCCGGTAGTTTTTTGAAAAGGCCTGTGCCCCGGTGGCCTCGGACTTGTTGCGGTTCTTGCGCCGCTTGAAGAGACGCATGAGTTTGCTCATGGTGGGCAATTGGATGGCAGTCGTAGTAGAATATCGAGGATGGGAAGAAAGGGAGTCTCAAGGAAGGCTGTATCTGGATTGAAAAGAAGGCGAGGGAGGAAGAGCCGGAAGGAAGATAGAAGGTGTTGGTGGCGGTGGTGTTGGTAATTGAGCTTTGGGAATTGGTGAATCACAAGATCACAGTGGTTGGTGAGTTGGTATGGATAATCCGTAACTGATATTGATTTAGGACCAGGGAGGAGGGGGAGGTGGAGGGGGAGGGAGGGAGAGAGAGAGAAGGGAGGATGATGTGCCCCAGAGCCACGATGATCGTCGTCAAGGGTTGCTGGAGCTAAGCTGAACTGAACGTCTGAAGGTGGGGGTTCATAAAGTTATGCCCTGCAGAAGAGGAAGAAGAAGAGGTGCTGTCCCCCAAGTCTGTCTTTCTGCTTTCATCAGTGTTGCGTCTTGGTGATGGATGGGTGAGAAAGTACAAGGTGCACGAGCCACAGCACAGCAGTCTCCTGCAGGACCCTGGGATCCTGTTGGGTGGGAGCACGAGCCAGAGAGGAGGAGGGACGAAACAAGGACAAAGATGACTTGTTGTCAATGGCCTCTCTCTCTCGGCTCAGTTCGGCTGGTGGGCTTCTGGAGGGGCGATCGACGTTGACAAGTTGGCTAGCTCAAATGCTTTGTCCAGGGCCCAAGTGACAATTTTATTTTTGGAGCCACAGCAGCATATCTGGGGAAACAAATTACAGTACAACACGGCCCTTGACGCCTTTCAGCAGCTGGTCGGAAGAGGGCAAAGCCTGGGAAGGTTCCATGCTCCAGGGGTCCAGCTCCTCCGCAAGAGCTAAGCTTGCCGCTATGCTACAAAAAGAGGTATAGGGCTATCCCAGCACTTGTACCTTCTCATTGCTGGCCAAATACTTTGGGGGCCAAGTGCCTTTTCCTCTCATCATGACTGAGTGGCTTTCTATGTCTTGTTGGCTCTTCATCAGGCATTGGAAAGCATGCGTTGATTTTTTATTTATTTCCAAAAAAAAAAGGCCGGAGGTCGCATGCCTCATCAAGTAGTTTACCTCACTCGTCGTCCATTCCTTTGCGGGTAGTCATTTGGAAGGATGAGCGGTAGGAACCTTCCCAGCCCAGCCTCGCTGCCTTTCTCATCTATCTTCTCTCTCCTTCATGTAGAAGGATTATTCATCTTGGGGGCGCACCGACAAGGCTTAGCCGCCCAGGATCTGGCAGTACTCTCCAAAACCCTCTCCTGCCAAGATCTGAGAGGGATCTCAAACAGGCGCCACAAGCTGACGAGCTAGGACAGCCACCCAGCCAACAAAAAGGCCCCCACCAACTGCAGCGGCCGATGGAAACCCCAGAGGAGGTTGAAACAAGACCCAAATTTCGGAGGGCGAGCCCGTGTAGGATCGCTTCGTGGGAGCGCGCCCCCCCGCCCCCTCGTTTCCCTGGTGGAGCCGCATACATATGTAAGCTTTGGTGTGCATTGGCGTGCATCGCTCAGAATGTAAGCTATGAAAAGAAAATGATTAAGATTGGATGGATGTCTATCGCTACGTGGTCCTTGTTTTCTCTTCTTTCATTTCATCGAATGAACCAAGGAAGAAGCTATACATAGCACATTGTTTGCATTTGCACTTGCAGGGGAAGGGGACTGGGAAAAGGTTTGGTGACATCCAACCAATTGTAAAGGTTGCTGATCCAGGGGCCATCGCGAGTGGACGTATCGCTAGCCACGTAACAACGAGCTGCATGCGACAAAGCAAAGCAACCCTACCTTGGTTTGGACGCACAGCATGATACACATCAGGTTGTTGAGAATGTGATATGTACTATATATGTCCATCCGGATAGTTCTCGGCCTTTTCAAGCCCCTGCCTGCATGCACACGTGGACTGTACTCATCTGCAACGGGCACACCAACTGATTTTTCTTTCTTTCTTTCTTTCTCTTTTTCTTCAGCTGCTGCAGGTTACAAAAACCCTTGTGACTCACTGCAGGAACGAGAAACATCGTGACTCAGCATATATCGAGTGGGGAGCTCGGAAGGGGAGGTGACCAGGGGGGGAGGATGCCGAGTCTGCTGAATGAGATAGAACATAGAATTCTTATGTAAGAAATACAGAATTGTAGTCAAGTCAAACTCCCAATGACGATGATATGTGAGGATCTGAGGCCCCAATGACTTTCCTGATTGTACAATGCATAGGTGCTCTCCTGGATCAATGCAGTAACACACCCGCCTGGTTCCTCTCCCCACCCTCTCCTCCATTTCGTGTAGTCAAGATAAAGAACGTAATGTGGTTAAAAGCCTCTCAACCTCGGCCTGCCCTGATTCAGATTCAAGGGTCGGCCCATCCACCCAGTCCCGCCTCTTGAGGTAGTTCTAGCTTCCTCCGTTCAGCTGCACACCATCCAGGGGGCTTCCTGGGCCATTTCGCTTCGTCCGCAGGGTCAGAGGGAAGGCGTACTCGTCGGGGTCTTCCTCCTCACTATGATCACCAACATTGTCAGCATATATATACTCGAGATCGCGAGGGCGATATTGAAAAAGACAAAAGAACTTACGGCAACTTCCAGGCCACGTAATCCTCGGTGCTAAGACCCTCATGGCCTTCCTGTATGCTAGCAAAGTCGCCAGGCGTCATCATACCGGCCCTATCGCGTGGGGATCCGGGAACAGAGAATGGTCGCGAGATCTTCTGCTCCACACCGGGGATGTAGTCGTCGTCCTCGATGTCACCCTCAAACGAGTTGGGGTATGCACGACGCAGGGCAAGCTGCCGAGCCTTGACGTACTCCATGCCCATTCTCTTCCAATCGAGCAGGTCACTCAGACGCTCCGTACGGTTTCGCTGGTTGATACGCTGTCTCCGACTCTTGAGGGCAAAGTCGAACATAAAGGACGTCAGCTGGTTCACAGAGTCGTCCACGCCTTTGTTCCTGCGGTCTACAATGTAGATACCGTAGTCGCTCGAGTTCTCAATGAGCTCCTCCATGTAGCAGCCAAAACCGGACAAATTGGTCGTGATGCTTGGCACACCCATGACAGTGCACTCGGCGGGGGTGTATCCCCATGGCTCGTAGTACGACGAGAAGACGCCAAGATGCGTGCCCCGGACGAAATCGTCATAATCCATCGGGAGGACAGGGTTCGCAGAGTTCAGGAACTCTGGGTGGAAGATCACCTTGACCCTATCGGAAGGAGCGTTGAAGAGCTGCACCCGGCGGATCTGGTTTAGAACCGGGTCTTCGGCGTCGTTGACCATGTTGTGTGTCACAATTGGCGGCAGTCCATGTCTCTTCATGGCGAACAAGCGCCGACGGAGAAGAACGCGATCCTGGGGGGTGATGAGCTCCTTCTCGTCCGGCAATGGGTCTCCGTCGTGCCACTTCAGCGATCGCTCGAAGACGCGGCGTCCAATACTCTTCTCGATGATGTCGACGGTGTCCCGGAGTGACTTGATCACAGCCTGGCCCTTCAGCGCCTCCACTGTCAGGGAGGTGGTCTGAGCCGGCATGATGATGAAAGCCACAACCGTTGTCTTGCTGCCAGAGACCTTCAGACGATGGTTCAGACGCGCCAGAGACTCAATGAACATGTCCACGCCCTTGTTTCTGAATTCGTATCGACCGGCTGTGAAGAGATAGAGTGTGTTCTCCGGATCGAAGTCATAGTGGCCGTAGAAATGACCTCTGACAAAGTCGTGGATCTTCTCTTTGGACTGTTGGTGGAGGTTCTGGAACTCGTGGACGGCGGAGAACTTGGTGACATTGAGACCGTTCGGAAGCACGCCGTCAGGCTTGCGCTTCAACAGGTGCTCGCTCTCATAGGCCGTGATGTGTGAGACAGTGGTGAAGACATCGCAGGCGTGGGCTGCAGCTCGTTCTATGCAGTACCTGTGGTAGATGCCTCGCTTGCCAGCCTCGGAGTCGACATCGAACCACTGCAGGTTGTTGTAGAAGTCAACGGAGCCTGCGCAAAGGTATCTGCCAAGCAGTGTTGCGTGAGTCGTAAAGATGGTGGTCACGTCGATGCGGCGCTTCTTGGTCAGTGGCAGGGCGACACCGGCGAGCCACTCGTGAAAGTGGGCAATGACAGCTCTCGTTTTCTCGTGGCTCACATACTACATTGGTCAGTACCAGGGAAAAAAGAGAGGTCCTTTCCCACAGGGTGGAGTATGGACATACCTCGCCGAGGAACCACGCAACAAGGTAGCCAAAGACAATAGCTTCGTTCGTCTCGTCATCACCAGGAGGGGAGGGGATCGAGGCAATATTCCACAGGTCCGACTTCCACTCATCCATGTATTTGTAGGCAGTCTTGGTATCGATGAGAATAACTCGGGGTGCGCCTTCGATCAGCCAGCGTCCGTACAGTATACCGATGCCACGGTCTCGCATGGACTGGATCGTAGCAGCCAGTTCTGGAATGGTGGGCTCGAGCTCCTCGACCTCGACAGCAGCCTACGACTTGTCAATTCCGAACCACCCCCTCATCAGAAAGGTACACATAAGTCCTGGGGCAAGACTCACGGATTGGTGGTTGAGAGGACCGATGAGGGTGTATCGCTCGCCATACTCGGCTGTCGTTACTGGAGCTTTGGACTTGATGACGGAGTAGATACCACCAACTGCAGGACACACATTTAGTCCAAAGCCACACAGAGCAGCACACACGCGCAGAATGACATACCTCGGTGAGCAACCTCAGTAGCGATCTCGAACAGAACATGGTTCTTGACATCGCGCTGGGCGCGGTCACCGTCTTCGTTTGACATGTTGGGCAGAAGACAAGCAGCTCCGGTTCAATGCGAGGTTAAAACTGGCGGGGCTACTGGCTCCAAAGTTAGAATTATGGTCCTCAGCCGCGAAGTGGCATGACAAAGAGGGCAGGCGGTGATCGCCAGCCACAACGATGACACGCCACCTTCTCAAAAGTTGTACACTCAAGACAGAGCAATGCTCGGTAGAAGAGAATGGAGGGGCTTACAAAATGAATCTGGTGTCCGGCGCGCAAAGCTTGCGTTGATTGTGGGAGGGCGCAGAGACAGAGGTGCGCAGTGGTGAGAAGTTGGATGAGGTGGGAAGTGCAGAGCAGATCACAGGCTCTCGACAGCTACCAGAGGGGGCGACGCAGATATATCGGATGTTGTGGCGTAAGACCAGGAAAAGAGGTAGCAATCAGGTCGGCCGCGGCGAAACTCGGCAAGAGGAGAAAATATCAGTGGCAGGAGATTTGTGTTGGGCGTTGATCTCTTACCTTGACAGCTGTAACGTCAGGTCAGGTCCGGCGCAAAAAGAAGAGGACCAGGACGGCAAGGAGCGCAGGTATTATGCTCCGGTGCGATGATCGCAGCTCTAAGGTGGTTGGGCAATTGTTGTGTGACGCTAGGCCACAGCAATAGCTATGGGGTTAGGCTATTTCCTGCCTAGAGCTAGCAGGGTCAGGGGGATGTGCTAGGATTGGAAACAGCCTGGGGATGCCAATCCACCTCGTGTGCTTGGTCAGGAACTTTTTGCTCAATTCTCGTAGTCCTATGGCACTAGGAGCATCTGAGCAAGCTAGAATGTGGTGTTTTTCCATCCTTTCATCTATCTAATGCCTCACAGGATATGCCTCATGTCGTTGCAATACAAGATCCTTCGGGACCTCGGGAGAGCCTCTTCTGTGTGTAATATTTAAATAGAAGTCATCCTACGATCCTCGTCTCAAGTATGACCACGCCGTTCAGTTCAGCTCCTCTGCCGAGGAAATCATGCGACCCGGCAAGGGTATTGTAAGCACCTTGTCTGCCAGTCTGTCAGTGCGCATGCCCGCAGCCTCTTCAAAATTTCGGGTGGGAGCCCAATCCTCGCATGGGGAAAAGTATAGGCTCGAAGACATCTTGAAAAACTTTTCTCTATTGTTGAGACGGCCAGCTGATGAAGTGGCAGCGTGGCACATGCATGCAGCCAGCCCAGGGGAGACTGGCAGATGGGTGGGCAGACCCGGCGCTAATCGCGCGCCATTGCATGCAATTCTGCACAACATGTCAAATGGACCCTGCGCCGCCGCCTCCCCAACTCTTGATACATGCACACACACACAAAGAAGAAAAATCTGACTCCGCGAGTCCAGACTGTTCGAGGTCCTTGGAAAACCACCAAAGAACGACGGGCTTGCCGAAGGTTGCGATGCTACGATTCTAGCGGGAATTTCCCAGTTGAACTTTCTAGCGTGCTACAGGCGGCCCACCATCAACCTCCCACTCTCTCCAGCGTCGAGCTGGGGAGAGCATGGATGTGCCCGGGGGCAAAGAGCTCTAGCCTCCGCGTCCCCCACTTCGTATGGAGGACCGAGTGAGGAGCTCTGCCAAGATGACGTATCCCGGCTCTGGGGTCTTGGGAGGATCGGCTGGATTTTTATTCCCTCTCGCCGAATTTCTCCACCCTGCTCTCTTTGACGCTCTTCTCTCTGCCCGGCCCCGGCAGCCTCAGCAGCCTTGGGCATCTCGGCCGAGTCTTGTATTTGCCTGGCCTTGATTCGATAGTGCATTATACCTATACACAGATTGTTCGGTTTCAAGACAATTGTCCTCTTCAGTAATCGTGGATTGTGACAATAGTCCCACACCCAAACAAAACCCTAGCCTCGCCCCGGGGAACATGAGAATGTCTCGTGCCATCCGAAGACAAAGACACGCTCTAAATCGGGGCGCACCAAGGCTAGACTCTGAACAATTGTGTTTTCCCGGTTCCAACAATGGCTTGGTTCGTCGCAGACAATTACCTTTTTTGTCCTTGTTTTCTCAGCAAAGTAAGACAAAGTCGATGTTCTGCTTATAAAGGAACCGGCCATATCGCCTGCTGAGGCACGAAGTCGGAAGCGAAGGATTTGCAGTTCAACTGAAGAGCAGCGCATTTCGAGATTACACTTTCGGCACCACCACACCTATCTACTATACTGTACTTTGCTAACTGACTTAGGCGAGCTACAATGAACCGTGGCAGAAGAGGAGGTAACGGGAGTGGCAGAGGATACAACAATAACAACCACGGAAACAACCGCAGCAGTAACGGCAGCGGCAGCAACAACAGCAACAAACATTCACACAGACGGGCTCACAGCAATAACGGAGGTCAAGATAACGTCAACGGCAACGGAAACCCATGTTCGTGGTGTGGGAAGAACAACCACCCTTCAAATAAGTGCTTCTTCAACCCCCAAAATCCGAAGAATCCCCAGGCCAACCAGAATGGAAGGCCTCAACAACATCATCAGAACGGGAACAACCGGAATCAGAACCCGCAGAGTCTGAGGTGCGATTTTTGCAACAAGTCGGGACATAATGTGGCTCAGTGCTTCCAGAAGAACCAGGGCCTGAGGAATCAAAATAATCATCAGCGGACAAACAACAAGAACGACAACACCAAGTCCAAGCGAACATCCAATGCTAACAACTCCTGCACATTCTGCTCCAAGAAAGGGCACCGGGAGGACACATGTCACAAGAAGAACCCTCACCTCAAGTCCCAACGGCAACAGGGCGGTTCTAAGCCACAGATCTGGCTCAGGCCCCTCGTTGGTAGCGCAAAGGACTACCTCGGCAACGGCACGGCCTACCAGCAGCCCTTGAGGCTCGTTCGCCAGGAGATGTTCAAGAGCAGCTGGTATCAAGGCCAAGAGTTCCGAGAGACCGCGTTGGACGAATACATGGTCGACTGGGAAGAGGACGTGCTTATGTGCAGCTGCCCCGGCTGGTCCTCTGAGTGGTGTATCCATAACAGTGCATCTAATCTCCTCTCGCAGAACGGTCAGAGAATGTGGGTTTCGGATAGGGATAGAGCGATCATCGAGCAAGGGATGGTGTTAAACTGGTGCCCAAAGAAAGCCCAGGCTTATGAGGATGCCACGCTCCTCTAGGTAGGTTCGGCAGGTCAGTATACCGGTACAGTAGTCCATCACCCATCTTCGATGCCAGAATTAAAAGTTGTAGAGGTCACTTCCGGCTTGCCAGGGCTTTTTTGGGGGGTGGGGGGGGGGGATGTCTGTCATACCCACCACCGAGGTAGGCGTCTTTGATCTTCATTCCCTCCCAAGCCCCTCTTCTTTGTGCTATATACACTGGTCAGGCCTGCGTAGGTCATCATTATCGCAGGAAGAGAGGTTTCATATATTATATTATAGGTCGTTAGCAGGCATGAGAGACCTGGCTGGTAGGCTGCAGGCAGTAACCAGACAAACATAATGCGAATGAAGGTAGTTTATTGTGTAGACCCAAAAGAACAGAGACAAAATGGAAGAAGAAAAATTGTCTGTGCTTATAAACTTGTTTCCTTCTTTCTAATTGCATTGTAAAATTATAGAACTGTCTTGAATTGAGACAAAATGGCATCGTTGCATGCCCTGACGCGTTCAACCGGACGAGCTTATCAGGGTTCGGGTCGGATTATGGTCCGTGCACCTAGGCTGAAGATGTCAAGTGTGAAGCACTGTCTCGACCGATCATTACAACTTCCCGACCCCCACACCAACGACCTCAGCCCATACCCATCCACATCAAGTATGGCTGCAACCCATCAACCGTCTGGCGGACTGCTGCTCTACAAAAGCCAGACCATCCGATCAACCGGCTTTTACTCGCCCATAACGCCTGAGTGTGCCTTGGAACTGGTGATCGGATTGAGTATGGGTTGATTTGGGAGATTACCGTGGCCGGGTCGTTCGTCAACTCCTCAGCCTTGCAACAACCCACCCGTTCACGAACTGCAAAAAGCCACAGCCAGATTAGATAAACTCGCAACGATGTCTACATCTGCTATGCGCACACCACCTACACACATGGCATAGGATATGCAGAGATACTGAGGTCAAGCTCAGTGCAAAAGGAGGACGATGAAGGTTGCATGGGAGGCAGACAGGTGCATTCACCCTGCGAGCATGGTCCTTGCTGGTTTACACATCGCATGAGGCACCTCTGGGGCTTCCCAGTGTGTCTTCTATCATGACACCAGACCTGTTCGTCGTCATCAGATTGCTGTCTGGAGGTTCGCAATTTTCGAGGCTCAAGTCTCTCGGCGAAAGACAGTCGTGTGGCCAGAACGGCTGAATACGTTACCGATGCTGTCGCATGCTCGGTAATTTGGGATGCAAGCCGGCAACGTGCAAAGATGACAGGCTGGTGTCCACGTCACGCAGCGCAGGAAGCGTGCACGCAGTACCCAAAACATTAGCAGCATGATCCTCTTTCGCGCCTCCTTTCGGGGAATTCCTTACTGTCCCGAGAATGTCTATGACGCCACGATGCGGTATTTTGGGCTGTTGGGTCTGGATGCTACGTGTCTTGGGTTGACAAAACTGAGAGTGCACGGATCGTTGCAGAGGAACCATCGACAACCGCGACTATTGTCGTGCACGATTAAACAAACCGGCTTAAGCGGCGGGGCGCTCAAGTCATCGCCTCCAGAGCCTTCAACGCTCGTTTGGAGTGACCACTGTGGCCGGTTGTCGAGGCTGCTATACATCGGGGCTTTCGTAAACTATATTCGACCTACGTAGATATTCTTGCTACTTGAGACTGAGGCACTGGTTCCTCAAATGCTTGAGGCCTTTTCCGGGCGGACAGGCGGGCAGGGTGGGTGCACCTTTAGTCCTGTGACCCCGGAGCACTCGCCTCAGATGACAGTCACAAAGGTTGAGGTTTGAATGCTGGCTGTGGAAATTGGATGAGGGGCTCAAAAGGCCGGCACAAGGGGAGCTGTGCTCTGCCCTTCTTTGTTTGGGTAGGCGTCGATTCCGCAGAAAGGCGTACCTGCTCGACCCTGTTGAACGTGACAGCGCAGCGGGAGGGAGGCATCTTGGGCAGGAGAAGCACATGGCACGGGCTTGCGGATCCTAAGCTTGGTCAAGTCGACGCTCGAGCTCTAGGTAGACGATCCGTTCCTCGTGCAGCTTGAGGTCCAGACGCTTGCACGCACACCCCCGAGGCTTTATGATCGCCGGCAATTTTCGCTGCTGCGGGCTGATTACCCAGGACCTGGAGTCTGGGCTTGGATGCTTGCAGACGACGCGTTACGGGACGCGCGCTTGTGTGGAAAACGCACATTGCACCTTTGATGCGCGACGGCCACGTTGTTGGTGTCCTGCGGAGGCTCTCCATTCACTCGTTCACGCCGCGCGCAGTACAATCATCTGCCTCCACCACGTTGACCGACCCGTTTCCCTCTATCCTCTGGTCATTTACAGCATTTTACAACCCTGGAGGAATTTTTCATTTTACTAAGATTCGCGCACCTTCTGGCAGGTCGCAAATTAAAACTCAACCACAAAAGCAGGGTGCGCAACAGCAACAACCACCACCCTCACCACAACAACAACATCGAAGACATCGAGACAACGGCGTGTGTGGTCGCATTCGAGTCATTGTCTGCTGGCTAACAGTCTTTCGAGGAACAGGCTCTATTTCTCTTGCCTTTTCCATCCGTTCACCCAACTTTCTTGTCATCTACTATCTCAACGTCTTCGACCTCTTTTTCTTCTTCTTTGATTAACAATTGTCACCCTGTTGCGCAAGCCGCGTCAAAATTCTGGCTGCATGAGCAGGACACAGCGGGCGCTGACAGCTCACATCTGGCCCAAGAGTACAGCAGGTCTGGAGCCAGCAAAAGGGCCCTGTCCGCCTAGCCGTCCAGCGCGTCTAAGAGCGGCTACAGCCGCCGAATCCTGGCACAGACACTGAACCGGGCAAGCGACTGCCTTCGTCGGCCACTAAAAATCAAAAATGCATTTCCCGCCCAGGCATTTGTCCTCCACCCACCCGCGCCGCCCTCGACATGGCCACTATGCAACGCCATACGACCGCCACCACCACCCTGCTGTCGGCAGCGACCACACGTTGAGAAGCAGAGACAGCGCAGGCGTGAGGAAGGTCTCTGCACCACCTCATTCCTCCCCATCAACCCAACCCACTGCACTCCCCGGTGTCGACGAACGGACGAGACATCCCGGTCCGGAGAGGCGAGTCTCTCGCGCAGGCGACCGACCAACCGCCCAAATCAGATATCGTGGCGGGTCCCCTCGTTCCAAAGGGCCTCAAATAGCCTCACCCAGCCCTGGTCCATCTTCAAAGACTGCTCAGGATCATCGTTATCGATCTCGAGACCACGCCAGAGGCCGTCCTCGACGCCGGATCAACCCATCCTCGCCGGTGCGTGACCTAGATCCTCGGCACGGATTTCGTGGCCGCAAGGCTGCACCTCCACCCGAACACGACACCACCTCTCCCCACCATCCCAGCGTTGCGCTCGACGTCGAAGACTCCCGTCAGTTCCTCCTACGATCATCCTCTCCGGCACCCTCCAATCGACAGAGGAGCCGCGGTCCTTCTCGAGCCCAGTCGCCACTCCGGAATCCTCGGCGGGAGCCCAGTCCATCGAGGCCTGGTTGGGGCACACACGCTGCACGGCAGTCCTCCTACATCGACAAGCCAGAGAACTCCTCCATCTCACGGCAGCGATCCCTGACGCGCCGTGAACAGTGGCTCCCGTACAAGGAATTTGCCAGCCCGCCACAGCGCTCGCTGGCCCGCAAACGGTCACCCTCTCCAGGGATCGTTCAAGACTCTACCGAGAATCCCAACCTCATCCCTCTCGGACACAGAAGGCTCACTCGCCGTTCTCGAAGCCCTCCCCCATCTTCCTATAATCGTCGTCATCCTGCTTCCATCCCACAACGCTGGACGCCTCCGCCGGGAGGACGAGGTTCACCGACACAAGGCGCAATCTCGACAGGCCATCATACGCTGCATCTCAGCAGCGACAGCCTCGATTGGCCCCCGCCGCCGCCACCCGAATCACCACCCCGAGAGCGGCGACGACGATCTCCCCAGAGGAGAAGAAGAAGAAGAGACATACGGGATCGGTCCTGGCGTGCAGGAGGCGCATTTGAGCCAGCTTCCGGTGCAAACAGCACCGAGATCGATATGTCAGGCCGAGGAAATTTTCGTGGGGCCTACGGCGGCCAATATTCCGTGAGGGGTCCCTACAATCAGAGCTCAAACGATCCGAGGAACTTCTCAAATTCGCCTACCCACGCTGCTTCCGGCTCCTCATTTCAGACCTCACCTCCCGCCCAGTCGTCTTATCCTAACAGTAGAGGCAGCTGGAGCGGACAGCAGCAGTCCTCTCCTCCAAAGTAAGTTCTTCTTCTACCACCTCTTCATTAAAAAAAAAAATTAAAAAATTGAATCATGACATCAACTAACTCCAAACATAGCCAATTTCAATCACAATATTCGCAAAACGGTTACACCCCAACTGCCCCCGCAGCCCACTTCCAGGGAAGCCAGGCCAATTCCCCTCCGATAGGCACCCCCACGGGTCCCAGCGCACAATTCTCCTCTGGTCGCGGGTACAGGGGCTCATCTGGCGGGTTTCATCGAGGCAATAGTGCAGGATCTGGTCGCGGAGGTGGCCGAGGTGGCTTCAAGAGTGGACACTGGGGCTCGGGGGGAAGTGGTTCTCGAGCTGCATCGAGCCAGCCGGACGATACAAGCTCAGGTCGTGCAACGCCTCAGGCCACGTCCACCTCTGGTGAGCATAGTTTGGCAAAGGCTGATGCTGGGACCCAAGAGGGTGAGAACCCCTTCAGGCCCCCCAAAGACCTACAGGTTGAGGACAGCACGAGAGACGACAAGAACGAGACGAAGCCGATGCCTCCACCCAATCGGCAGCCACCGACCGGCCCTGCAGCGGAGAAGAAGATCAGCTTTGCGCTCAAGTCGGCCCCAAAAGCCCCAGTCGCGACGCCGAAGCTCGAAATCTCGTCCAAGTTTAGCGCGCCGGCAAGAAGAGAGCCTCCCAATGAGCCGAGCCGCCATGATCATCCTCGAGATGTCAAAAGCGGCCGGGACCGAGACAGTCTGCATACCAAGCAACCCGCAGAATCTCGAGACCTGCCCCGAAATGTGCCGACCGAGCCACGCGCAGCTAAGGCCGCTGGCCAGCAGAGACAACAACGTCAGGAGCACCACAGGGAACAAGCCCCTAGGGCACCTCGAGTCCGCATGGTGAAGAAGAAGATGAAGCGGTTGAAACCGAGGCCTACCCTTCCGGATGATCTGATTGGATCCGATTCCGTCTACTTCCGCAAGCCAGGCAACGAATCCGTGATCGGTGCTGGAACCTACGGCAAGGTCTTCAAAGCTCTGCACGTCTACACCAAGAACCTGGTGGCCCTGAAGAGGATACGCATGGAGGGTGAGAGGGACGGCTTCCCTGTGACGGCTGTCCGAGAGATCAAGCTCTTGCAGTCCCTGCGGCATATCAACATCGTCGCCCTGCTGGAAGTGATGGTGGAAAGAAACGAGTGCTATATGGTCTTTGAGTACATGTCGCACGATTTGACGGGCCTTCTCAATCACCCAACCTTTAAGCTCAATGCGGCACACAGGAAGCACCTGTCCAAACAGCTCTTCGAGGCTCTCGACTACCTGCACCAGCGCGGCGTCCTGCACCGAGACATCAAAGCGGCCAACATTTTGGTCAGCAGCGACGGCATCCTCAAGCTCGCAGACTTTGGTCTGGCCCGCTTCTACGCAAAGCGACACCAACTCGACTATACCAACCGAGTCATTACCATATGGTACCGACCTCCAGAGCTGCTCCTCGGCGAGACGCAGTACAGCCCTGCCGTGGATATATGGAGTGCCGCCTGCGTCATGATCGAGATCTTTACACGAAGAGCGATCTTCGCGGGTGACGGCGGCGAGATCAGCCAACTGGACAAGATCTACTCGGTCCTTGGCACGCCACATAAGTCTGACTGGCCAGGCCTGATCGACATGCCATGGTTTGAGCTCTTGCGACCTGGTTTAAGGAAGCCGAACCTGTTTGAGGAGCAATACAAGGATAAACTGCCGCCTGCCGCGTTCGATCTCATGATCGAGATGCTTCGTTACGATCCCGCCAAACGGCCAACCGCAGCCGAGGTGCTGGAGCACCCTTACTTTACCACGGAGGCACCGGCTCCGCGGCAAGTAATTGAGTATGCCCCCCTTCCCCTCTCCTTTTTTTTCTTCTTTTCCATTCCTTTCTTCTTTCTTTTCTTCACCTTCGCCGTTCTTCTTTCCTCCCTTTCCTTGTGTTGACCAGTCTCCCATTGCTAACCTCTCATTCAAAAAGGCTCCAAGAGATCGAGGGCGACTGGCATGAGTTTGAATCCAAGGCACTACGGCGTGAGAATGAGAAGAAGGAAAGAGAGGCCCGGAAGGCTGCTGAGAAGGCCGAGAGCAAAGACTCCAAGAAGAGACCGCCCGAAACGAGCGATGGCAACCGTGACTCCAAGCGTCTGCATGTCGAGAAGGGCGCTTAGATGACCACCACTACCACTAGGAGCGGGAACGGCGATGTTCTTTGGCAAGCTCCGAACCAGCGCCGAGGCTCGCAGGCAGAGAATAGATGCTATATCTGGCGTTGCTTAGCAGGAATAAGCAGTCTTTGCGACGTTGAAACCTCTCATTGTGCCTTTTCTTCTTCTGCTTAGTATTGCAACATCGGTTGCAGTCTCGAGCGTGTAGTATGGATTGTGAAACAATGAGTGCGGTTGGTTCCAACATCGAGTGCTGTTTCAATAAGAAAAAAATATGTGTGTCTGATGATACAGGCCGGCCTCTCTCTCTCTCTCTCTCTCTCTCTCTCTGTGTGTGTGTGTGTGTGTGTATGTGTGTACCTCGTTATCCACACGTGAGGAAGGCAAAATTGATATTTCGAAAAGGTCAGCACTTGTGGTTACAAAGCTCTCAAGTTTTGACTCATGTCTATTCCTGGTGATCGCGTCGCTGTCACTTTGACTAAAAGCCAAAAATAAAGGAAAAATAAAAACAAATGCATTCTGTTATTCCAAAATATATCCAACCAGGTACCCGACGTCCTGTTTTCCCCCCTGTATGTGTAACCCTTGAGTCAACAAGACTTACCACCACCACCACCACCACCACCAAATATCAAACCAAATCTTCACCCTTAGGCAGTCTGCCTAGCACATCAAGACAAGCACAAAGAGCCGCTTGACGGCCTCCAAAGGGTAATCGCTTCTCAAAGGCTAATTTAACCCCCCCCCCCCTTTCCCTCTCTTTCTGTCTCGTGATCTGCTTTGTAAGTACTTGCTTAACGTAGACAACCATACAGCAGTGTAGTTACTCAAAGGCGTCAAGTATGCATTTATGCAACATATAGTGAAATCGTCATCCATTTGTCAAGAGGGAATGACAACTGTTTTTGGTTCTAGAAAAGGCCACCACTCGAGGGAAGACGAAATACCCAAACCTCATTCGTTCGCAACGTAATATGCGGAACTGGAGAACAACAGCATTGAGACGAAAATTAGGTAATGAGCGTGTGAATAAAATGTACGACAAAGTAAACAAGTTGCACTCTATTCCGTAATAAAAACAAAAAGAGACCGTCCGTCGGCTTTACTCGCCCATTCGAGCCCAAGGCCGGCAAAAAAATATTCCTCAACCCCTCCCCGTCTCCAAAGCCCCCCTTTCACTCCACGCTGATGCGGACCGAAAACCTGACAAACCCGTCATCACCAAGCCTGCCGGCTTTCTTCAAGACCTGAACTGCCTGACCTGTGCCCCCTTCCCTTCCCATATCCATCCAAAAATCCACTAGACACACAGACAGACAGACAGACAGATACATAAATCCACCCCGGGGCCGCGCCACGCTGCCACACAGAAGTTCCTTTCCCTACACCATACATATATTGTTGTCCACCTTGGTTGGAATGAAAAAGAATAAGAGGAAAACAGTTGGTGGAGTAGGAAATAGCCAGAAACAGACGGATAAATCGGTGAAAACGCAAGGAAAATTAATGACAGGGTATGGAAGTCTTCGCAGCGCACACCGGCAAGCAGGTTCTTTTGTCTTTCCGATCCGCACCACACACCCACACCATTTGCTTTTTAACCCGTTTGAATCCTTAGCACCACCCGAATGCCAAATGTACTCCCCTCCCACCGTACCCATAAATGGTTCCCCAAAGCCAGCCACCCATTGCCCCGGGCTTCGAACCACAAGATGTTTGACTCTATGTTGTCATTCCCAAATATAGGCACAAGGTGAAACAGAACCATTCTTTTTCGAACAGGTCTTTGTGTGTGTTTTTTTTGCCAATCTGGCATCTGTACATGTAAAATTTAGGCCGGTGACTTGCCAGGTGCACCGCCGCCGTTCTGTCGGCCATCATTGCCGCTGACGGTGAGTCCGCCAATTCCGGAAGAAAGAAAAGCAAAAGGGTCGCTCTCGCCAGCGTTGTAGAAGTTGTTGGAGGGCCCAGCCGAGGCAGGGCCGTTCTGTGCGGACTGGAAAGCGGCTTCGGCGGCGCGGCTGTCAAAAGGGCCTGCAGAGTGCGACCCCGGAGTCGGACCAAAGTGGGTGTTGAGGGACGGATAAGGAGCAGCGCCTCCACCGATACCAGAGGGCAGGGCGTAGGTGCTGGGGGGCCCGCCAAACTGCTGGCCATAGCCACCTCCGGAGCCAAAGGCACTGCCGCCGCCAAAAGGGCCGGGCCCGGGGGTGCCCCCCATGGATCCTTGGCTCATGCTGTATGATGACGGGGTGTCCATGGGCGTCGGGTACCCAGAGTCGGCAACCACAGCCGCATTGTGGCGACTGGCACCACAGCGGAGACAACATACATTCTTGGCGAAGTTGTGGTATCCGCAGACCTCGTTACCGCATTTCCAATCACCTGCACGGAAAGGGACGACACCACTGCCTCCCATGCGGCCACCATGGCCCATATGCCCGTGATGGCCAACGTGGTGAGGTGGCGGCATCATGGCCGGCGGCCCGTAGCCGTAACCATAGCCCATGTCGCCAGTCGGGCCCGCGCTGACAGCTGGATAAGAGCAGCGGAAGCAGGCCGTGCGACGCTGGAAATTGGAAAACCCGCAGGAGGGGCATGTCCAATCGCCAGGTCGGGGTCGGTTCTTGCTAGGAGGGAACGGAGTCAGTATCTCCTGGGCCCGGTCCAGAACCCGGCTCGACGAGGGTGAGACCTCAATCGCCTTTTCGTTCAGAGCCCGTCCATTCATGCACAGACTTTCAGCTGCCTGCAGTAGTAGGACGTCGGTTAGCCTGATTCATGCGTCGTCATGTATAGGGAACGAAGTGCCACTGGGCCTAAGGGGAGAGGAGGGGGGCAGGGGATGTGGCACTACGCGGGCCTGCCGCAGGTAGACGAGGGCGGTGTCCAAGCGAGATACGCCAAGAAATTGAGGATCCGACGGCGCGAGGGGACTGAACCAACTTACTTCCTCGTGGCTGGAGAAGACGGCGAATCCGGTGCCCGTGGGCTTGTGCTGTTCCGGGGTACGGAGAGTCCAGAAGGCAATAGGGCGGCCACCAAACTGGGTGAACCAGCTCTCCAGCTCAGATTGCGTCGTATCGTGAGGCAGACCTGACATATGAAGAACCTTGGACCTTTCCGAAAGGAAGGCCCTCACATCAGCGCGGGCGTCCATGGGGCGAGTCAGAACATCGGGATGTTCGCTCGCAGGCTGTGACTTGCGGATGAGACCACGGAGGACCCGGGTCAGAGTGACCGCCTCATCCATGGCGCGGCGAGGAGAGGCGGGAGCAAGGGCCTGCAGGTGGAAAGGCAGATTGTGCTTGATAGGCGCACTCGACTGAACGGCCTCTACCTCCAGGGCCGCGCAGATATTGGCCAGCGAGGACGGGCCAAAGGGGAGAGACTCAGGGTGATGCTGCTGCCATCTCTGGTACTCTGTTCGGAGGTCAAAGGTCCGTGAGTGCTGAAGGTACGGAGGCAGCACCACGGCCTTGTCGCGAGCCTCCCGAGGGAGCTGGACGCGCAGGTCCCACGCATCTAAGGTGACGAAGACGAAGTCGAGGTTCTGCGAGTTGAGCTGTTCCTGAGCAAACGAGTCGAAGCGGTTGATGGCGTCCCTAAAGCTACCAGCATTTCTCACGTGTTCCCATGTCAGGGTCGTCAGGCTCGCTATACGAAGGCGGAAAATGGTTAGCTGGGATGTCCTCGATGCAAGTAAGGAGGAGGGAATGGACTGTGCCTGTGCACGGTGAAAGTGGCGCCGAAACTTACTGCAGAGAGGGGTTATTGGGGTGTTGACAGGCTTCACAAGCACACTTTCGTGGTGTAGCTAGCAGTCAGGACCAATTGTGTTAGCTCTGTGCCGAGGGTGAATTGGGACGGTGACCTCCATTTAGGAGGAGCAGTCAAGTCGGGATGCAAGGGGAAATTGCCTACCTCCTCGTGAGTCTTCGCGTCTACCAGGATCCAGCCAATCTCAATGACCTCGGCCGAGTCCTTTGTAACGTAGACACCATGTTCATCGCATGTTGTAGCTACGTGGATGACGACGTAACGATCGAACGGCGGTGGGGGAGGAGGGAGTGCTGCCATGTCGGGTGTAGTCGTAAGCTCCTGTCAGGCGCGACAGGAAGCTGGTCTCGAAACTTGAGGGGGGGGTCCCGCTGTAGTGACGTTAGCTGGAACGCAACGAGCCTCCTTGACGACATCTCGCCAACCGCCGTCGGCAAGTCTCTGCTCTAGACAGAGGACAAGCAAGCCATGAGCAGCAAAGTACGACATATAGAAGGCCAGACTTGGTAGTAGTAGTGGTGATGGTGGTGGCAGAAGTGAGGCCCTGTTGAAAGTCCCAACCCAACAGCAATTGATATTGCAGGGGTCGAATCATGTCAAGGAGAGAGTGTCTGTCCCGCAGAGCTGCCGAGGAGGAAGGTCGAGAACCGGAACAAGAAACAAGAGATGGCGCTCACACGTACAGCTGGAATCCGTTTTGACTTCCTGTTAATGTGTTCTCTTCTTTCGAGGGAGGGGGGTGGGCTGGTCGATCAGCCACCAGAGCAGAGCTCGAGGGTTTGAGCTCAAAAAGCCGTTGACGAGCTGACGGGACTCGCGAGAACTTGGACTGTGCCGGGGGGGGTTGACCTGCATTCAACCTCGTACGCCCTCTTCTTGGATGGCTGGGAAGGAGGAGGAGGCCGAGGAGGTGGCGAGGAGGTGGGTGTGGTGTGGTGGTTGCAGACTGAGAAGAGGTCGAGAACCAGGTCAGAGCAAAAAGGAGTTCAAGCGGAAAAATGGCACCAGCGAAGAGCGTTTGCTCCTGCGTTGGAAAGGTGGGCAACCCCTGTCGCCCTCCCGCGGGCCAACCCCGTTGTTGTGTTAGATTGGGCAGGCACAGCGCTGGCAGTGTGTGAAGTGGAGTTTGGAGCATCCGGTTCGGAACGTCGCACTGCCCTTGCTCCTCTTTCTCCTGCCTTTGCTTGGTAGGGTTCTTCTCCTCTTTCTCCTCCCGGTCAGGAATCAACAAAACTGGGCCCTCCAAAAGAGAGAGACTGAAGGAGATGATGATGCAAAAGAATGCATTGGTCTTGCCAACAGGGCAATCAGTCCGCCTGGATGCCTAATGTGCAATAAGACGTGCGACCCAATGTGCGATTGACGCCTCATTCCCGACTCATGAACAGAAGAAAGAAAGAAAGACGAAAGAAAAAGAAAAAAAAGAGAAGAAAAAAAGGACGCCAGCCACGTTGCCGCGGAAAGCCAGGAGATGATGCTATGGTACACACCACCACCAGCAACACCCATCAAACACCACCACCACCGCCACTACCACCCACATCTGCTGGCCAAGCGTCTGCAGGCCAACGAAAGCAGACGTGACGTGTGAGGATGGAGCCCCTTGTTCCCTGCAGTTCGTGTTCAGCCAGCTTGCGGTGTCAGCGTGGCCTGTCGCTCCCCCACGGTTTCCTCCTCCCCCCTCATCCCAGGAGTCCGAATGAGCTACGATGGAGGATGATCTCTCGAAAACCTCCCGAATTTCAGCAGCAGAAAGATCGTACTATCTTTTCTCTCTCCTATCTCATAACGCTTCGCAGGCTTGAAGTCTGAAGTGTGTTCCCTGGCGGTGTGCTTGGTATGTGCGTATGCGCGTGCAGGGACATTGATCTCCTCTTGGGTGCCGAGGTCGCCCTTACTCCCGAGTCTCCGCGCTCCACCACCCTTTTTTTTATATGCCAGAGTACAGCAGAGTACAGTGTGCGTTTGTGTGAGATCAGGGTCGATGGTCACCTCGCGAGCACGCGTCTCAGATCACTCATGTCCCCTTTTCCCATCTACCTGATTCCAATCAATGATAGCCCATTGGACGTATAAAAGATGGTCGATGCCAATGAGGAATCAGCCTGAGCCACAGGTGGACAGACCCGACAACATGGTCGACACAGAACAGCAGCTCGTCCAATAAACCGTCCCGACTGCAAGATGCAGCACGTTGTCAAGCAGTGTGACAGTGGGTGCTTGCGTTGGAAGCCAACCAGATTCGCTCCGGCTGCAGAGTAAGCCCATGCATCCCCTCCGGAGAGCACGCCATGCCACGCTGCTGCATGATACTGCACAATCCTGCGACCTTTGGGAGGGATTCTCACCCTTCCGATGCACCGAAGCGCTGCAAGTTGATCTTCGGTGCTTCCAGAACCCCACGCCTCCCGCGTCTGTTGAGTCCAATCAAGCCACGCCGTGCTGAGCCAGCTAACTGCTCTGAAGGGTCCACAGAGGGTTCAGGTAGGTGAGTGAGGTCCTGTCTCTTTCTCCCTCTCTCTCACCGGCGAAGGGGTCCCCTGCTCTTCCTTCAGGCTTGTCGGGTCACCGAAGCACATTCCAGCCGGGAGAGTCTAAGTCGAACATTTTCCCTACTTTTGAGCTTGCGCGAAATAACTTTTTCTGACCATAAAATCATGTTAGCCTGGCTTGTCAATATTTAGTCACCACTCTAAATCCGTCGTTACCCATAGATTTCTAATCAATAGTGGTGATGGCTTTGTGAGTGTAACAGTAAAATCCAGCTTCGAGCAACCAGGACCTGGAGTGGGCCTCGGGGACGGGCCTCGAGTACCCCAACGCTGCATGCTCGGATCATTACTTGCCGCCTCCTTTTAACCACTCTCGACCGGCAGAATGTCAGCCCGGAGCTTCGAAGGTACCTGGCCGGACGGTTGAAAGATGGCTGGGAAAGATAATAAATACTCAAGTGCTTAGAGAGATCGAAGTCGTCTCATCGCTGACGGAAGTATTTAAAACGAAACTGCCTTTTGACTTGTTTCAATGCTTCCGGTTCGTCACAGTAATTGCTAATTCTCAGCAGCTACTTTTTATGCCACTTCAAAAACTCAAGTGAGTAGGTATGTATCTGATGATACGCTTCTAGAATTGGGATATTGCGTGTGTTCGTCTCATCCGAGCTGAAGTGCTGAATACTAAGCACTTACTTGTATAGGGACATGTGCTCATTACCAATCACATAGATTCAGTAGATGGCTATCACTGACGACACACACGCGTGCACCTGCAAGACACAATCAACATAACTACTTAATGGAGCCATTCATTCGTACTGAAAGTATTGTGCACCCACCGCCGCTACTATGAATGGCAAAGTCTTAATGCTTTCAAGGCCACCAGGACCAGGTAATTCTCATTTCAGTACTATATCCTTTTCCAACCCCATTCCAACGTTGTCTGCACGTCTGAGCAATCAATGCCCTAATGCTCTTCCTACTCACAGAAAATGCTAAACCTGTTTTCCCCCTCTTCCTCTCTGTGTTTTCTTTCTTTCTTTCTCTTCATGAGACCCCTTTGTGCTTGAAGGTGTGTTTTCACACCAGCGAGCACTTGCACCCGCCGCACTCCTCCTTGTTCGGCCTCTCCGTCCATCCAATCATGCCCTCGAGGTTGCAGTTATACCCGTACGCCGCGCCAGTACACTTGGTCTTGGCCGCAGCCGCAGTCAAGATGGTCTCAGTCTTGCCGCCAAGCACCTTGGTCACGGCCGGGCAGGTGACGGTATACGATTTAGCCCTCGCTGTGATCTCTCTGTTGCCAGTAGGGCTCCCGAAAGTCGAAGGGAGAGCGCCCAGGCAAAGAGCGAGCACGACCGCTGTGTAAGGGAAGTCAGTCTCATTGACTCGACACGAAAGTCTTCAGTTTGAGTCGGTTTGGCTTTGTACTAACCGTTGGTGAAAGAGGGCATCATCGTGGTTGATAAGGTAATGTAGGATAGGCAAAGAGCGAGGAATAAATTGGCTGGATGTGATAGGCAAATGGTTGATATCGAACAGAGGAGCTGGCTTGAGATTGCAACCAGGAGACTATCGAATGGACAAGGCGAACTCGAGAGTCGGAGGTTGGGAATGTGAACTGGATAGATGAGTGATGAGATGATTGGAGATATTACTGTTCATCTTGACCTTACAGAGGTGCCTGACGCATTCTACTTATACTTGATCATAACGGTGGTCCGCTCGTTGTGTTGTCTATAACTTGCGGAAATTGTCTTACCACATCTCCAGAGTCGAGTCTTGGAGTTGCAGACACCCGGTGGAACAGAACCTGGTCGCTGACTAGAAGCCGTCTTAGATATTCGTACCCCATCTCTCATCAACTACTACCAAAAGGTAGGTATAGACTCCGCGTGAATAATAGTCCTCAGAAACAGATTGATGTACATACAACGTGATAGTGATTCGACCAGAATCCTGCTTGTCATCAATGATGATCTGCCCAGGGGTCAATCAGCAATTGTACCGTGAATGGGGCACTATTACGGCTACGTTTGAGGTGGTCGACGATGCTTTCTATGTCTGAGCTATTTATGGCATGCTCATTCAGAGTATGCTCCCAAACAAGATGACAACGTTGATGCGAAACCGTCCAGGCTGAGAAGTCTGAGTAAATTTCGTGGGATATGGTGGAGTTGGGCCCATTCAAGGCTGGAGACGATGGATACAGAACCAGCCACAATGTGGATAACAGGATCAATACATCTATCAGATCGCATGTTGTCCAGCCAAGTCATTCTGCGAGAGCTGCCGTCTAGACTGTCTGGAAACTCTCAAAAACCATCAGTCCAATTCGACACTTGCAATTCCTTGAGCATCACCAGATTAGAATTCCGGCAACATGTGTTGGTCACCAAAGGCACCCTTATGGCAAAAGGACTACCCAAGTATTGATCACCTGCACGGCAACGGTTAGAGCTAACTCCCCACATGAGAAGTGCTGAGTACATTCTGAGCCTTACCTTAACGGCCAGAGTACTAGTAGAGACTCGCTTTTCGCTATCTTTTTTCGCGTGACTACTGACATGTTAAAGATATGGGGCGCTTGATGACAGCATAACCAACGCCCATCTACGCAGCAACGAAAGTGGGTAAATCACAACTATGGTCGTCCCACCTGTCTGAAGCTGACAGCAGAACCAACAATACGATCCCAGAGCAACCAAAGTGGACTTACGTTGTATACAGAAAAAGAGCTGAGCGTGGCGAGCTGCCTTAGGGCCAATTATAGAATTCTGAATATGGGGAAGCTTTCCAGACTTGATCACTATTTAAGAACCGTTACTCTCCCATCCATCCCATCCTATTGTTCGTCGGCGTAGATGAACTCCTAACTTCAATTCAATTTTTATCTTTTCAAAACTACCTAGCCTACCTAAGACAGAACAACATCTTCATCAATTTCCCCCATCCGATCCCCCAACGGTCATGTCCGCTTCCGAGTCCAACCGAGAGATTGTTACATACGAGGTCGATCCCTCGAAGAATCCGGCGGCCTGGGGGCCCGGACCTGTACCCAAAGGCATGGTCATTTACAAAGTCGACGTCATCTTTATCAACATCAACGCGGGATCCGACTTTACCATAATGAGGACCGGCACGAACGAGTCGGTCCACACTGCCATCACGCAGGTGACCAAGCATATTGCGCGGGGATTTTATCGCGTGGTCAGCCTGCAGGCCAGCGAATACTCCTGTGTGGTGGTTGTGTCGACGCAGAAGTCGCAGGAGGATCTTGAGCGGAAGGGCTTCCCTTGGGATGTTGAGGGTGCATATGATGATGAGCCTGTCGTTCTCAAATAGCACCTGGGCAATGGAGGATGCACGTGCAATGTGTACTTTCGTGTGGGATCATGAAGGATCAATTTTGGACAAGATTCAGTTTTGGGGTGGGGAGAATCAAGCCAGGAGGAGGAAGAAGCGGCGGGGATAGGCCAAACCTCGGAGGCGAAGCGCAGGAGACAGACGTTCAATCCCTGGAAGCAACGACTTATCTAAGTACTTAAGTATTCAGCTTGGGACTTATAAGCCTTTTCCTCTTTTACTCGACCCTATATTCCATGCCTGATATCTTGACGCGGGCAAACCTCAAGCCGATGGCGACGCTCTCAGTAGAATCAAAGCACGCAAACAGGGCTCGAGGTCCAGGCGTGCTCAACACGATACAGAAAAGATTTCACGTGGTGCGCCCTATTTACAAAATGGCAGGAAATTAGGAATATTTCTGAGCTGTCAACTTTTGCCCCCTCTTATTTATCTTTCCTCGTTGCAATTACCTCAACGCTAACCCAAGTCGTCACCCGACAACCATGCGGAGAAATCATCCGGAACTCAGCTTCTCGGCACGAAAACGTGGCCTTAGTACGCGCCCCCAATCGCTATGGTGACTCTTTCGAGTGCAAATTGGAGACTTTATGGCGTCGAAGCGCTGGCTGGTGAGATTCCGTTGAGCAAGAGCTATACGCTTGTTTATGTAAGCAACTCCTGCCCCGAACACTGAAGGAGCTATCAGGACTCGGAGAAATCTCACCAAGCTTGTTCTCTTTCTTAGGTTTCGAAATTCGTGGTCCACCTACATTTCGAACCAGACTCACCACCCTTCACCGCCTCAATGGCCATAGCTCTTTCAAACTCTCTCCTCCCTGCACTTGACGGCGGCTCTATCGCACGCATGCAGCGGCGCAGAATTCTCCATCAGGTCTGTTTCTCTCCGGCTCAGCCTCTTGATCCACCATGAACGGGGAGAGGGGAAGTACCTGGAGCTCAATGCCCTTGCGAGACGAGTATATCACCGTCATATGTTGAGGATATATTTCTCCCAATGGTATGTTCACTGGTGAGGCACGGTCTTTCGAGAATGACATGTCCCCGAGCCTGCTTGTGATGAGGGTCGAAAACCCCGCGCCTCGACGGTCCCGTCAGAGAACTTGACTTTGCATTCAAGTTGCGCACAGTCGAGTCAACGTCGATATGGGTTTATACTACGGTCATACAAAGAAGTCGTGCTCGCATTAAATCTGAAGAATCGTATCTGTGAATGGCACACTGAAGAAAACCGCGCTGACAACTTCCTCAAGCGTAGAGACAAGGCCCCCCCCCCCCTCTTCAAAATAAGTGGATTAGAGAACGATAAAGCGCCTCATCGAAATGACATCCTACCACCAACGACCAGTTGCTCCTCCTTGCTCATTTGAACCCCAGGGGACACTGCATTTTTTTCGTCGTCATGGTCTCCTCAGACGGTTTCATCTGCTCGAACATGCTGTTCGAATCGAACCATATCTCAAGGTTTGTGATCCGGAACTTGTCATCCACCCTCGCCACCGTCAACCCTTGGACATCTAGGACCTGGTTGTGTGCCTTGATTGTCACTGTGTCCCCGTCCTCGTTCTTGCCGACATAATCGCCCTTCATCCAACCCCAGTGGCGCCACTTGCACACCACAACTGGTGGTCCGCTGTAGACCTCCAAGACCTCCCAGGCAAAATTTGGCATCATATCCCGGAAGACCTTGTGGCTTTCATCAAACTCAGAAAAACTGGGGCCATAGTATTTGTTGGGTGCTATGACAGCGCTGTATGTTCCCCTGCGATCATACTCCTATTAGCTATCTGGCTGCCCTGCGAAATGAAAAGCGGTCATTCAAGAAGGGTCCTACACGTCCCTAGAGCGACGGGAGAGGACATGAAAGGGCAGGAATGGAGGGAAACTCATTGCTCACTCACACTTTCAACATGTGTGATGCGTCCTGGGGCACACCGCCGTTGCATGAGAAGGTGTACTTCTCGGGGTCGACCGTCCGCCATTCGGCCACATCCAGCTTGTGGGAAGCTTCAACCTCCCAATTCTTCACCAGGTTCTCGACCATGGCTTCGAGCGAACCGGGCGCATGCTTGGACTGCCTCTCTGTTTGGTGTTCGTCAGATGGGTTTGGAAGGCCTGGTGTAGATACTGGAGTCTGTCACTGTCATACCTGTCGCCCACATCTGCCTCGTTACACGGTAATCTGGAGGACCGCCGAACCGCCACTTCACGTTGTCTTTGGCCTGCCCAACACCAATCGTCAGCCAAGACTCCAAGATCACGATGGGGGACTCAGACATATGAGACACATACAACGGCGTCTGCATCCAGCATGTAGTCTGGGAAAGGGGAAGAAGCCTGGGCCTGTTCTTTCTTCACGTCTGCCTCATTCCAGCCAAGAAGCCTTCCGATGCCCGGGATACTCTGGAAGAAACTCGCCATGATGTTCTTAAAGGTGTGGTATAGAAAATCGAAGGACAAGAAGTTGAAGAGGGCCAGAACGTCATCGAGCGATATGTGGCGACGACTGGCCACTTTATAGTACGCACCCCCCCAACTACAGCCTGACGCCAACTGGCTGCACATCCCTTGGAGCTTTCTCGGTATTTCCCTTTATCTCCCTTGCATATCAAAGAGACCAAAGAACCAAAAGCAATTTCGGTCCTCTAAAACTGGTCGCTGACACCCGGTCCCGATTTGGTAAAATCAACCCGCCTCTTGGAGAAATCAACCAGACTCCCACCACTCTAGCCGTATCTGGCAGGTTATCTCACACGGTGCCCACACTGTCTTTTATAACAGATATGTTGTAAATTGCGCCCGCAGCCACTCCGCCCCGCAGCCCTGTCACAAGCGCACTGCATGTGAGCACATGTCCTGTGCTGGAGATGAGTATGTATGAGATGTTCATTACTGATTCCTTTCACTTAGGTTGTATGTACTACTCTGGAGCTAGCTCTGGTGCTGTTGCTAGCAGCAGCTAATGTTAAGGCTCCTTAAAGCTGACCCAGTCAGTTGATGAGGTACAGGTATTTGATATCTAGCACAGTATGAAGAATGACTGTGCACTTAGATGTCTGTTTACTCTAAGGTTCATTTCTCCAAGAAGGGGGGTGTGATTTTACCAAATCGCCCAGTCCAGATTTCCAGACTATTTCAGCTGATGGTTGGGCTGTAAGTCATTGTCTTTTCCTCTTCGGGCGGTGGTCGCAACCACCTCAACCACCTTCCAGAGACAACTTTTCCCTCCCGCGAAGGTCATGTACGGTGCGTTCTCCGAGCTGTTTCTCGCACCTCCGCAACTTGTGTACCTAGTGGCGTCCACAGAGTCGTGCCCAAGGTGGTGCCGACCAAGACATTCGCCCGGCGGGATCTCGTGCGCGGCCAACCACAGGAGATCGAGAATCTGCAAGGCGTTCTGCCACCATCTCACCCGTCTGCGTGCTTGTGCAATTTCTGAGCGGCTTTTGGGTCTCTCAGCGGTCAAGGGCGTCCTCAAAACCAGCCACACAAATCAGATGGTTCATGCATGGGATCAGCCTCTTCTGTTCCCAGCTGGCACCGGGATCGAGACGCCCTCGGGGTCCCTCGAATCAGCAAGATGTACGGTACAATTACGGCCAAAGTATTGCCGACATGGCTTAGGAGCTCCACGCCAATATCGCGGGCGCTTTAGGCGAGGCTTCAAAACCAAAGGGACAGGACCTGATAGGGCGATCTCGCGCAAAAGCAATGAGGAACAGCGAGGCCGCCCGATCGCTCACATCCTTGGTGGCTCATCTTACCCCCCTCCCCCGCCCCCATGCCGTCCCCCCTCTGAGACGAGTGAGACTTTTGTCTTGGTCGTGCTAGGAATGACTAACGTGGCGCCGCACACACGCGAATCCCCCGTCAACCTGGCCCCTTGAAAGCACGTGGCAACAACGAGCAACGGCCAGGGTACTAGTAGGAGCACTGCGCGCCATCGCACGCGTGTTTCACTTATTCTGGTATCGAGGGAGGATTCGCTTGTGTAGAAGGGATCTAGAAGCCCAAATTGTATGGTCTCGCCGTTTCACTCGTGCATTGGCATGCTCATCATAAAGGGGTGAGTTGATCTGACTATTTGTTCCATAGTCTCATTTCTTTTGATATTTGGTTTTCCCGTGTCCAGCCTCCACTGGCTGACTTACTTCTGCGGCCTAAGTTCCGGAAACCCTCCCTATCAACATGGGCCTTGAACCATTGGGACAAAGTCCACGCCGGTTTCGTCCTTGTATGCATACGTGGTCTGATTGCCCCAGAGAATCCGTATGCGAACGGCGGATTTCACGTGGCGGGCGGGCTCGCACCCTTGTCATACAAAGAGGCGATTCGAACACCCTTTGATACTTTTTCAAAGTGGATTGCTGACGGGATCTGAGTCATTCTCTTCACTTCTAACGATGGTGAGATAAGCGCAGACATAGTTCTGTCTCATCGTAGTCGTTGTCAGTACGTTGAGACGGGAAATCCGGAGTGATGGTTGGAAGCCCATGAAATGGTGGTTCGAAGCCCAAGGCGAGAAAGGACAGGACGCGGCAGCAGAAATCCCTCCCTTCCTTGACGATAAAGCCACGCGGCGCACAGGCCAAGGCAGAGACCACTGGGAGAGCAGTACATCTGGTGATCCTGCTGGTGCCATTACCCTACCTGCACGGGGCCATGCTTGCCTCGTACTGATGGCTGGCTCACCCTCTCGAACCCATTGTTGAGGCGAGGCTTGTCGTACTTCTTGGTCCGGGTTCCTTCTTCTGGCGGGCCATGCATGTCTTGCGACAACACGTGCGCCTTGCCTGTTTGAGGTCCGATGGAATGTGTCTTAGCTGACATGCAGAGGCACTATCCACGTGGTAGTCTTCAAGGCCGTTATCTCAACCGCCCTCAGAAGCAAATTGGCTTAATTTCTCTCCTCTCAGTGAAGGACAAAAGGGGGACGGGAGGTGGCGGCATCCCTCGAGCGGGGTGGTTTATGCAGCTATGATGGGAGAGGGCAGAGTTTCAATCCCGGCTCGCGAGAGTCAGAACTGTCATTCCTGATGTCTCTCGCAACTTCCTCCCAACAGGGATTCAGTTTTGTAGCGCTCGTCGTCCCTGCTCTCAAGCGTGAGGTAATGCTGTGCCGTGTTTCCTGCCATGTTGCTTGAATGCAGAGAAGCTTTATCCTCCCCCTCTTGTTTAGACCATACGTTGACCTCGCACAGATGACAGCGACCTTGCAATATCGTTCTCGAGTACCTCAAACAATAATAACACAAAATCCTCATTGGGCCTAGGAATTCAGTACCTCTTCATCCCATGCTTCTCCCTGGACGAGATCTGCAAATGCGTTGATTCTGAGCTCGTCATCCCTCGAATTCGCACCACTGGCGATGCCGGCCCGGTTCTCCACGCGTCATCCCAGAGTCGCCCGACTGCTCTCGACATGTCCAAGACACGCGCTTGTTTTGAGCTTGCTCTCCTCAGCATCCTAGCGTTCTTCCGTAGGTTGCCGCCCAATTTACCCCGTTCTATATGCCTCGGCTGATCCACGTGGTGTCTATGATGCCCAGTTCCGCCTTGTGCAGTTGCATGCGTCACAGGTTGCGACAGGAACTTTGTGCTCAACATTGCACTGACCATCATCGGGTTGTAAGCATCAATTCTTCCTGGGCTCTGGCTTGGTTCAATATGGACAACGCTGCTCCTGATCTCTCTCTCCGCCTGCTGGCGGCTCTAGCAGTTTCTGCTTTTGTTGTCGTTTTCCTTGTTTCTCTTTTATTCTCCCCCTAGGGACTGACCAGTGCATATGCAAGCAGATGGGGTACGGGCCTTGTCCACGCCCTCTTCATCATTTTCTACTACTCAGGCATCGGTGAGTATAAGCGCCTAACACCGCGTGAGAGAAGGCGAGCAAGCCAAAAGGTCATGCGCAATTCCGGCTCGACAACTCGACCGGTGGGTCAGGATCAGGCCACGTCTTCGAGGGTGTAGGTCAAAGGTGGGTATTATCCGCAGGCTACTTATGCTGGGGGTAAGACACGTAAAGGGGATGCCTATGACCAAGAGAATATCGCGCACCCTCAGGCCGCTGACGGGGAATTATGGCCCAGGACTCACACGGCTCATGATCATGGCGAAGTGGAGGAGGGATATGGTCGATGAGCTGGGTTGGACTAGTACGCCGGGCCACTCGATGGGGCTCAAGGTCTAGGAACCAGACGGGAGGCGGGTGGAAAAGCCTTTTTCTTTCGACTTCGGAGCCCTCTAGTGAACGTCATCTGTGTTCTCATGGCCGGCGGGGATATCAAGTTAGGAACATGGCGGCCCCTTCATCATGATGATTCCCTGAGCATAGATTGCTTTGGAGCGCGGGAAACCTAGTAACGCAACTAGAGTATCTTGCAGCACCAGATTGCAGATATTCGACCACGATTACAGGGAAAGTGGCCAGGCCAAGACCAGAAGGGAAACGAAACCCTCTCAAACCCGGGCTTGAGACACGATGAGCCTCTGCCTGCCGAGTGTGACTCGACTTGCCAGCCATGGAGGACATACCATGTAGCAGTGAATTGAGATTCTACATGGAGCAGTGCCTGCACGACAACGCCGTCATCAGAGGCTAGACGTTAGCAAAGGATCAGTCATACGCACGAAAGGCCTTTGCAGGTCTAGGGATAGCATGAAGCGTTCTACTAGTACTCCAGAGACAACCCCCTTGGATGGATGGATGGATGGTGTATGCTTATTGGTGCATTACTCGACACGTCGTTGTATTGGCATATGTAGCTAAGGGTGTTGGTGCGAAAAGAAGGAAGAAGAAGAAAAAGTATCTTAGTCGTTGCCCCTCCCCCCCCCTCCACAAGCAAAAAATTCCAGAATAAGAAAAAGAGGAAAAAGAAACGAAAGAAAAAAGAAGTAAAGGAACGGGGACAGGGTTGAGAATTGAGGTGCTGAGTACTTAAAGTAAGTAGCCGATACATGGCAAACTGTGTCAGGCTGGTATTGATCGTTACCGTGAAGCATATTAACGGCATGTTTCGTGTACAGACAGACTGGGGGTTCTCCTTCCCCTGCTCTTGGCTCTTGTTCTTGCCCTCCACGCAAAGTGCTTCTCGCTCCTGCCCCCGCACTGCTCGACGATCCCTGTCCATCCTGGCAGGTCGAGCAGGGGTGAGCTATCCAATGCACTAACGTAGCTGGGGGGGCCCTCGTTCGTGCCTCTCGACAGCAGCCACGACTGTCTGCATGGTGCAGGAGAGGGCGTCGCGGCCGTCGTCCAATGAAGCTCGAGGCGACCTGCACCCCTAAACTCTCGACGTTCTCCTCATTCTCGGCACCAGAGATTTTGCTGCGCTGGCACTCGGAAAAAGAGAAGAGAGAGAGACACTAGGCAATCGAGGCGAAGAAGGCAGAAGAAGTGAGAAGTTGTCGACGCCGCCTGGCCATCATTACTTTTCCTTTTATTTAAATTTTATTCCATTGCTTCTTCTTCTCCTCCCGTCCTGTTCAGTCCAGCCCACGATTCCATGAGTCCTGCAGCAGAAGAAGCCCGACTTACGACCGTCTTGCGATCACCAGCTTGCCGTGCGTCTCAGAAACGCGAAGTCGAGAGAGACAGGAGAGTGGAAGAGTGGCCTCTCCGGATCGACAAACTTTCCCTTGAGAAGAGGGGGGGGAGGCAAATTGCGAATATCAGCCCGTCGCACCAGAGATCTTGATTTTCCTCTCAAAACAAGAACCAACCTTTACAGTCTCGCCCAGTCCTCCATCAATCGCCTTCCGGAATTGGACTTCCAGCTGATCGAGGCCTGCTTCATCTGAGACATACAGCTCTCTTCCCAACCACGGGGTGCCACAGGATTGACACTGCGTTCGATGCGACTATGACGCTCGATCGCTGCGGTTGATTGATTGTCTCTTGCGGCTAAATCAGATCACTCACATTTTTGTCTGCTGTCTCTCTTGATTCTGCCTCTTACGAATCTGCAGGATACGGTAACAGCAGGTCTCGAGAAGCAGTGGGCAGTGTCACTTCGCGCGCATCCTTCAGTTCCAGCTCGACTCCATTGTTGGCACGACTGGCGATTGCTGCTACGGCTGCGACTGCGACCTGGATTGGCCTCCTTGGTCTGTCGACACACCAGGGATCGATTTGGGGGAGAGACCAGACACACCACCACCCCGCCCCCCTTTACCCCCCATCTCTATCTCTCTCTTCTCTCTGTGTGTGTGTGTGTGTCCCTTTTTACGACAAGCATCCGCACTGGCATCCCGCACACGCACACGCACCCTGACCCCTGATCCACGACCGAGCACGACTTACATACGACGTGCATAGGTGCTACGGCAGGACATCTCATCCCGCATCCCGTCCCAGTCCTCACCTGACAGGACGCCCACCGCCTTCAACATATATGATAAGCCACACAGTCGACAGCCTCTCCAAGGCGAACACGCGCCAGAGGGTGGAGACATGAATACGATTCAATTCCCCTCCCGCATCAATCCGGATCCCTCCTCTACCACCTTCCACGCCTCCAACTTAGATCAGGACCCTGACCCAGACCCAGACGCACCGGCGGAGTCGACCACCGCCACCACCACCTCGTCTCATCGTCATCACCTGCATGCACCCACACCCTCTGGTTGCCTCACCAGGCCACAGAACGCCGCTTCGTCGTCGTCTTCTGCTGCCTCTCCTGCGCCCACCTCCACTGCCACCACTGTAGTTACTACTGCAGCTACTACTGCTGGTACTACTGGTACTGCTGGTACTACTGGTACTGCTGGTACTGCTGGTACTGCTGGTACTGCTGGTACTGCTGGTGCTGCTGCTGCTGCTGCTGCTGCTGCTGCTCCTCCCCGTGATACCCGAGCTGGCCCTCCTCCCAAGCCCAAGTCCTCCCAGCGGAGGTCGACTCTCCCCTTCTCCTTTCCCTTTTTCCAGGTCAGCAGCAACATCTCGGTCACGTCTCTTGTGCCGTCCACTGCCGAGGGCAGGCCCATACCTCTCGACGACAGCACTGCAGCCAACCGGACATCTGCCCTGCGTGAGCTCAACAGCAACTTCCCCTCCCCAGTGGCGCGCCACCAGTACACGAAGTCGTCTGGCGCCCAGAACACCACCTACTCGCAGCCCGTCATTGTCAGGACCTACAGCGGCCCGCCCGGCTCACGAGGGCACTCACGCTCCCACTCATACTCTGCCCGCCGCGGGACCCTCTCGACCACGTCGACCTCTGTCTCCTACGTCTCCCCGCCTGCCTACTCCCGACCCGCCGGGTCCCGACAGAATGGTGGCCTGTTGAACATGGCTCGGGAAAGCGCCAAAAAGAAGCTGCCGTGGCCCTGGCGGCACGGCCAGGGGGAGGACGAGGCGCCACATCCGGTAGACAGGTTGCCGCCGTACGACGCCTTCTCCTTCAAGACCATCATGGCGAACCTGCAGGCCCAGTCGAGCGAGATGGACAATGCCCTCGACGGCATCGCCGAGATCTATGCCCGCTCGCGCTACAGCTTGAGCAACCAGTACGAGGTCCACGTCGCCCCCCACGGTTCGGGCTCCTCCTTTGTCAGCTCCGTCCCGTCCTCGTCGACGAGGAGGCGAGGCCATGCAAAAAACAATAATCACGGCCAGGGCGGGCCAACCTTGCAAGCCATACCGTCGGACGACGACGACGAGAACAACAACCCTGGCGGCAAGTCTCACCGAAATCGACGGGGTAATCATCATCACGGTCGCCGCCGAAGCGGAGCATACAGTACGCTGGAGACCATCATGTCCTCGAGTAGGTCTTCTGAGGAGGACAAGACCAAGAAGAAGTCGGCCGCAGAGCTTGCAGAGCAGGTGCGTGGTCGCGCTTCGTCCAAGCCAGGTCGAAACGGGTCCGGGTCCCCGACCACAAGCTCGAAGAGTGATGATGCTGCCAAGAAGAAGGATGACGACGATTCCTCCAGGAACCTGAACAGGAAGCGATCCAAGTCTTTCGCCAATGCCATCATATTTGCAGATGCTACTAAGAACCAGACAGCAGCAGGCGAGGCAGCCTCGCCCCGGAATTCATCTGCTGCTCTAGTGAGCGAGCCTTCCAAGCCGCAGACGTCCAGCAGTCACCTGGAGATACGGACCACGCCTAATGAGCTGTTTGGCGATGCATCCACCCAGGGCAGCCAGCCGGATTCGACAGAGGGCAGTGATCAGACCGTAACCCAGTTCCTCCAGGGTCTTACGCCACGCGAGGAGCCACAGGCCTCGACCTCTCTGATGTCCGGATTGGGCCACTGGGTCCCGTGGAAGGCCGCCTTCTCAAATGCCGCCGCCACGACGCAGCCAGGTGGCGCCCCTACAGCCTCAAGCCATGCTGAAGGCAGCTTGCGTGAGCTGCTCAAGACTGTGGATATTAAGCAGAAGGGCAAGTCTGTCGAGCGGATCGAGTGATGATGGTCTGTTTAATCCCGGATCGTGTGTGATGATCGACAGAACCCCCAGATCTGAGGGCCTATGTTCTTTACATTGCCCTGTCTGCCCAGTGAGACCATACTGTAAAGAAATATAGCCAGAAAAATATCGGTACGACCAAAGGAAAGGGGAAAAAAAAAAAACACATGTCATGATCTACGACGGCAAAGGGACAGAAAACTAGATATACCCAAGACACACAGGCTTGTTCCTATTCTTCTTCTCCTTTTCCTTTGCTTTTCTTTTTCCTTCGGGCCCGGCTGGAAAAGGGTATATCAAGAATGTTTTGATGATATGACGAATGCTATGAGACAAATGAGGACACGATACCTTGGGGCGCGCTGGCATATTCTTTCGGTGGCAGTGGTAAAACTGTCTTGTGACTTCTCTCTGTACTATGTAGGTCGAAAAGCTGCACGCGAGAAACCAGTCAGATAGTATAGATACCATGGAGGGCACCAAAAGGGGAGGAGGCAATGTGAGAATAAATAAACAAAAAGGGGAGAGACAAAACATGTTTTTTTCTGTACAGATCAGATCTCAAGACCGCGAACGGTGCCTGTTGACGAGGCTGGAATGAATGTACTCTAAGTTGTGGCCTTGTAGTGTCACTGTCTTTTTGATTCCTTTTCGTAGAGAGTCTATGGACTCGTTCTCCTCACAGCCATCTTATCTTCCCAACCAAGGAAAAGAGGCGAGGAGAAGTATCCATTTCCTCCCACTTCTCTTTGCCAACGCCCCAAATTTTTAGTTTTTCTTTTCTTTTCTTCCCCAGTATCCATTGTGAAGAGACTTGATCTTTCCAACCAAATCAAACCAACCAGCCCCACGCAGACCGTGATCTCAAGAGAGAAACGGTGTCGGTGTCGTTGGCCTGAAGGGGTTCTCGTCTTGGAAGACGAGTAGAGCCATCCATCACTGAACAACCCCTCTCCCTTTTCTTCCTTCTTCTTCTTTCCTCCCCCATCCTTCCACGTCAAATACTCGCATCATAGTCCTTAGGGGGCAACAACACGTATGTACGTACACACATGGTTTGAACCCAATAAACCCGCCTATCCACAAGAGTGGTCGGTCCAATCCACCACACCATTGTTTTGTTGTGGTTTTTTGGGGTTTTTTTTCCCTTTCCCTCTCTCTCCCCTGTTCTTTTTTCCCCCCTTTTCCTTTTCATCTTCCTTTCATCACCCCTTTTGTATGCTTTCCCGTTTCCTCTCCTCATCTTCCCCAGCGCAACCAGGATCAGAACTTCCGGAAATCATACTCTGGGAACGGGATGTCATCTTCATCCACATCCTTCTCGTGCGCCACCATGTCCTCATCGCTGTCCTCTTCCACCGCGACAGCCTTGCCTTTACCCTCTTTCTCGCCGTCCTCGCGGGTCCCGTCGTCCCCCACCCGATCCAGGAACTTCTTGTACTTGTCGTAGTCGAACCCTTCCAGCTCGTCCGAGTCGTAGTCCCTGTCCGCGAGCGCCTTGAGCTGGTCGTCGGTCAGGTTCTCGGGGTCGAACTCGGAGGAGGAGGTGGAGGCGCCGTCATCCGAGTCTACGTCGGTGTCTTGGGCGCCGTCGTCCGAGTCGGCGCCGGTGCGCTGGAAGGCTTCGGGAGAGAAGCGGTCGTACTGGCGCAGCAGGGACAGGAGCAAGGGGTCCTGGATGGAGGGGTACTGGTAGTTGTAGCTGGGGGCCTGCTCGTCAGAAGCCCACGAGGGGCCGGGTATGCCGCCGTCGGTCGGGTGCTGCGCGTCCTGCTCGTCCTCGAAACCAAACGAGGCTTCGATCCGCTCGTTCTCCTCGCTCACGAGGATTGCCACGGCCCGGTCGTCCCTCTCGTCCTGCTTGTCGAGGCGCGCCTCGTTTTCGATAATCATTCGCTGCAGGTAGGGGTCCATGTCGGCCCACCGGTTGATGATGTCGGGGTCGGTGATGCTGTAGGGCAGGCGGAGGGGCTGGTCGTCCTCGACCGTGTACTCGACCTCCTCAACCCTCTCGATGTCGTCGTTGTCGTCAGCATCGCCATCATCATCATCATCATCATCATCAGCGTTGTCGTCGTCGTCGTCGTCGTCGTCCCTCGGCTCCTCTTGCGAATCCTCCATCATCTCCTCATCCTCATCCTCCTCCTCCTCCTCCTCCTCCTCCTCCTCTCCCTCAACAGAGTTAGAGTCATCATCATCATCATTGTCCATGCCCGAGTTGGGATCCGGCTGATCCGGGTACGCCTTGTCGTTGGGGTTCCACGGCATCCAGAAGGCATCGTCGGCGTCCTCGAACGGCAGAGCGCGCAGCTCCTCGTCGTTGTCGTCCTGGACGACGGCCAGCTTCTCCTCGCGCGTGAGCGTGGCCCAGCGCGCCTTCATGGCGTGCTTGGGCTGCCAGTTGTCGTAGTCAAAGGGCACGTTGCCGCACCGGCCGTAGATGCCCGTGTGGCTGTACTTGCCGCTCTTGGGCAGGGGCGGCATCTCGTCGTCGCTCATGTACATCTCCTCCTCGGTGGGGACCAGGTTGCGGCGGCGGCGCCAGTCGACGTGGCCCCAGAAGACCATGTGGATCAGGTGGCGCTTCATGTCGAGCTGTCGGCGGACGCACTCCTCGACGACGAGCTCGTCGGGCCGCATCAGGTGCAGGTAGCCCGCGCCCCAGCCCTCCCTGTGCTCCTCGCCCAGATCCGACGGGTGCACGCCGAAGAAGGCCTCGCCCAGCACGAGGTAGTGCTGGATCACGTCCGGCTTGACAAAGTACCGCAGGCGCTGCTGGATGACCTCCTCGGGCTGAGTGTACTTCTTGCGCCGCAGCAGCTGCCACAGCGGGGTGAAGCCCTGGCGCGCGCCGAGGAACGTGTCGACCAGGGCCCTACTACCAGGACCAAAGATGGGCTCGTTGAAGCGCATCTGCAGCTTGACGTAGAACATCTGCGCGTTGTACAGGTCGCGCTCGGTCCACAGCTCCGTGTTGTGGATGAAGGCGCGTCGCAGCGCGTTGGTCGCCATGTCCATGAGCATCCACATCTTCTTGAGCGTGATGTGCATCGTCCTTGGGAGACGGTGGCCCGCGCGTGCCAGGCACGCCAGGATGTCGCGCGTGCGTGTCTCGCGCTCGACCAGCATGGACAGGTACTTGAAGCCCGGCACGCGCCGGACCTCGCACTGCGTGGCTTTGGTCTTCTCGGGCCTGGCCCAGGGTGGGCGCGGGATGGAGGCGATGAGGCTCGAGTCCTTCTCCCATGTCTTTCCCTCCGGGTCGAGGATGGTATACTTGCTGTAGCACTTCCAGTAGAAGACGTTCCAGCCCGAGGGGGACTTGTGCTGGGCCCACGCCGCGATGGCTGACTGGAAGCGCGAGTTGACGAGGTTGTGGAAGGTGCGCGAGACCGAGTACAGCTTGACTATGTCCTCGACGCTCAGGTGCTTGGTCACCTCGATCATGAGCCACCAGTTGGAGCAGAGGGACTCGAGGAGGCGGAAGGTTGGGACAAAGGGGTTGTTGCCGCTGTGCACGGGTTCGCTGTCGGCCAGGCTGAGGATTCGTCCCGAGAAGTGGCCCTCGAACTCGGAGGACAGGCCCAGGATCGCTTCGTCGAGGGCGGAGCCGGACAAGTTGTGGAAGACAGAGTCGTATCCCATGACCTCGGGCTCAGGTCGGTTGGGGGGGCCCTGGAGGTAGACCTTTTGGGAGTCATTGTAGAAGTCGTGGGACGCAGGATGAATACGACGTCGCTTGTTGGCTCGGGCTGCCTCGTCCATCGCGTCCTCCTCGAAGTCGGCGTCGCCCAGGGCGGCGAGGCGCTTCTTGCTCGTCTGATTCCGCTCTTGCTCCCTCATGGCCATGTAGGTGGCGAGCTTTGCCTTTTGCTCGTCGGTCAGGGGAAGATTGGCCTGTCGATTGAACTCGTTGATCTTCTCGATGGCGTCGTGAAAGAGCGGGTGGTTCAGGAGCGCCCCTGACATCTCGACGTCACCATCGCCATCTGCCTCGTTCTCGACATGATCATCGTAGTTTTCTTGCTGCTGATTGTAGTAATCGTTCACACCATCACCGTAGCCCATCTCAATGTCCTGATCTGCGCCGTGGAACTGTTGCGACGACTCCTGTTGACCTTGCTCTGCATACTGCTGACCAGCTGTGGAGGGCTCACCGCGCTCGTCCATCTGCTGAAGGTTCACACCGTGTTGGAAATCTTGCGCTGGTTGGCCTGGCTGAGGCCATTGCTGTGAGAAGCTCTGGGAATGTTGACCGACGTCGTTGTTGAATTGCTGGGGGTAATTCTGATACTGCTGTCCACCATGGTTGAACTGCTGCGCGTAAGGACCCTGCTGTCCGTTCCAGTTCGTCGTCTGCTGTGCGCCCGTGAAGTGCTGCTGTCCGCCGCTCGAGTTCGGCGGCCCAGCCATGAACTGCTGTTGAGGCACGGCTGAAGTGAAGTGCTGACCGCCGTTGGAAGGCTGCTGTGCGGAAGATGCAAGCAGTGACTCGCCGCCTTGGTATCCCATGGTGAAGATGCGTTCGTAATGACCAGGCTGCCGAGGCTGAGGTGGCTGCTGCTGCTGGTGCTGCTGGTGCTGCTGCTGCTGCTGCTGGTGGTGGTGCTGGCCACCACCAATCTGCGACTGCCCACCTTGGTTCTGCTGCATCATCGCGAACTCTTGCTGGTAACCACCAGGCTGCTGGTGTTGCTGCTGCTGCTGCTGGTGTTGCTGCTGCTGCTGCTGGTGCTGGTGCTGGTGCTGGTGCTGGTGCTGGTGCTGGTGCTGCTGAGAAGAAGACGAAGAAGCCATGACCTGCTCCGAGGTAGCCCGCTGCATAATAGCACGCTGCGTCAACACCTGCTGAAAAAGCCAAGCTGTATGCCTAGGGTTGTCAGGGTGGCCGGGGTGGGTGAGCTGGTAGGCAGGCGACGGCGGGGGAGGAGAAGAAGGAGACGCGCTTGGGACGGCAGAGTGGTGCGGTCCAGAAGAAGAGGTATCAGCTGCGTAGGCGTGGCTCAGGTGGTCGCCTGAGATGATGTTGGGTGGACTGGCTTCGACCTGGTGGTGGTGGTCACCGTTTTGAAAGTGGGTTTGTTGAGTCTGCTGGAGGTTGTTAGAAGGCGGGGGGCTGCCAGCAGATGATGACGACTGGTCGTCTGCCCAGGTGAGACTGGCCATTGTGAAAGATCGATGACAATTTTTCTTTATTCAAAAGAAGATGTGAAGAAACGAGGGGGTATGTGTGAATGGCATCTCGACGCGCATTGGGTGAAGGGTTGGTTGGTGGGCAAATATACAGGCAGCTGTGTCGATTGCCTGAAAATTTTTGGATCAGTGAAAGAGGTGGAGGTGGATGATAAACACGTTGAGATTTGCTGTTGCAGGTTACAAATTGCAAGCTTTATGTACACATGTGCGTTGCTTGCCAAAAGCAATGTTGATTCGATCTTGTGCCAGACAATAGAATGGGGGGACAATAGATGCCTAGCTTCAAAAGTTCAGAGAAGACAGGGAATGGGGCGAGTGATTGCTGATGGACTGTTCTAGCAACCAGCCTGACTTCCAAAGACTGTGAAGGGTTGTTCGCTAAGGAGGTCTGGGAGCTTGGAACTCAGCAGTCTCTTCCCATATCGCCAGCTCATCACATGAGAAGGGGAGGGGGTCAAGGGAGGTAGAGCAAGATACTGAAGTGTGCCTATTCTCACCAGCAAGCTGTGTCTACCAGCGGTCCCAGTATTAGACTAATCCTATACCAACGCCAACCTATCACTTCTCCATTTTCCTTCACTAGAGATCCAGAGCTTGACCTGCACGCAAGTTCCCAGAAGCTCCATAGACATGATGGCATGCAGGGCATGCTGCATCCAATGCCACCATCCTGTCTATCCCTGTGCCCAACTCCTTATCATGCATGCACTGCTACCATAGGCATTGACAAGCTATGATAGCGCCATATCATCATCCGAAGGACCCTGCTGATGCTGTTGCCTCTGATGGGGGATGGGACTACCGATCCAGCTCATCCAGAGGCATCTCAGCATTATCATGGCCAACAATAGACTCAGCAGGCTTCCAGATTTGCAGGACATTGTCCTCAGCAGCACTGGCAACAAGCCAAGGCTCATTAGGGTTCCAGCTGAAATCAGCCAGGTGGTTAGTGTGACCACCATGCATGAATAACCTGTGTTTTGTTTAGTAAATTGTAAGAAGTATGGATGGTGGCAAAAAAACAAGAAAGAAAAGAAGAAAAAAAAAGAAAAAAAAGGGGGGGGGGGGTCGGGGCCAGTCAACTTACAACTCTGGAGGACCGTCTTCGGCGTCCTCAGGAGTCTGCTCCTCGCCTATTCGGGTCAGATCCCAGAAGATAACACGCCGGTCGTAACTTCCGCTGCCGAGTATGCCAACCTCCTGCGGGTGCCACGATAGCGAGGTGACAGCATCATTGTGGCCTTCCAGGGTGTGGACCTTCTCCTTAGCGTTCCTTATGTCCCAAATGCCGATGGTCTTGTCGGCAGAGGCGGTGGCGATCAGGAACTCGGAACCGGGGTTGAAGGCCAGCGCATTGAGCGCGTCGCTGTGGCCTCCCTTGACCACGAGGGCGGATCGGGTGTCGTCAGACTGGCGGGTGTCGATGATCTGTAGGGTCAAATCGTCGGAGACGGTACCGATGAAGTGCTTCGCAACGGGGTGGTACTGGACGTCGTTGACAACCTGGTGGTGATGCGTGAAGGTCCGCGAGGGCGTGACCTGTTTTCCGTTCATAGTCTTCAGGTCCCTGGACAGCAGAAAGAACAGTCAGCAGCGGCGCGTACAAGAGGTCTGCCGGAGAACGCCCCGTCACCGGTCTGAAACCACTTACCAGAGGCGGACGGTCGTATCCTCACTTCCAGAGACCAGCCAGCCATCCTCGTGCGGGCTCCAGCTCAGGCCGAAGCCCTCCTTCTCGTGGCCGAGCAGCTCGACATCAGGGTTGACGTTGCCGGCCACGGTGGGAATGGAGCTGTGCTTGGTCCGGTTGTAGATGAGGATCCTGCCGTCGATACACAGGGTGGCGATCATGTCGGGATTCTGGGGTTGGTAGCGGGCCTTGTTGACCTCGCCGGGGTGGTCGATCTTTTGAACAATGTTCATCCGTATCGCAGCGGCCTCCTGGCCGTAGCCGCCAATCTCACCGCGGTCCTCATCATAATTGTTCGCGTTCGGCTCGATGGACTTGGGGATCTCGACCTCTGCAATCTGGAGGTAGTTGTTGGCACCCGGGGCAGTGTGGGTGCCGAGAAGCAAACGATGGACGCGATAGTTTTTGCCCTCAGGCTCTTTGACGTCGGGGAACCACTGTGTGGTCAGGGTGGGCCACTCCAGAGCGGTGCTCAGAATCATGTCGTAGAGAAAGGGACTATTTTTCTTCCACGTCTTGTACTCCTCATTGATGACCTTCTCCTCCTGCTCGACATCCTGATCGTGCTCAACATCGACGTCCATGTCGTCGACAACGGCAGCGGGTGCCATTTGGAAAGGGAAGACAGTCTGTAAGTGGTTTGGGATGAGCTGGATAGAAAGTAAATTTTGGGAGAGAGGGGGCAGTTGGGGAGGGTGGTCAAAGGATGGGCTGCGTTACGACAGGAGACGTTGCTGTTGTTTGAGCTTGTCGGGAAGACGGCTTGAGGAGAGGAAGGTTCAATGAAGAGACGACGTCTTGCCCTTGTCGCAAACCGAAAGAACGCGCCTTTACGCGTTGAGTGCTAGAGCGAAAAAGGCGGGGAGAGCCGGCAGAATTTATGCTGGCAGGGGTCAAGCTTTGGAAAGCAACGGGAAGAAGCGGGTCTCGATTCGAGCTGGAAGCCTCGAGTGAATCTAATTCGTCAACAGCTCTCACCTGTCCCAATGAGGATATATCACACCCAACGTGGCTATTGGGAAAGTCACAAGTAAAGTTGCGTCACTGTCTACCTTGACCACTCTTTTTTTGGTCATCTTAGGTTATATAATAGCAGTGAGTGCTGAATCGTACAGTGGTAAAACACAAGCCTTCACAGAAGGATTCTCATAAATATTTACAAGATGCAGTTTGTATAAGGGCTAGTATCACGAGATGCCTTATCGCGTAGAATACAATCCTGCCTGTGAAGCGTGTGATGATGCCTACTCAAGTATGGTAAATCAGCATAAAGATTGAGAGTCACACGGTGAGATTGTATGTGTGATTGGGATTGCAAACAGTAGAGGCCATATGTTTACATTGCAAGCGAAATGTATCTTTCTTTACTTAATTAGCTAACAATTGTTCGTTCGTTGGATATTGCTATAGTTTAGAAGCACAGAGAGAGGATATGAATTGTGTGTATGAGCAAGGTGGCTGTAAGGATGGAAGGGGAGGACAGGCTCAGATGAAACAAGAATACCAATAAAGGAGGCATCAGGCCCTCTTGCGGCTAGACGAGGGCCGTCAGAGGAAGTGCTTCACTCTATTGCCCATGGCCTGAGGAACATCCCTCAGTTTGATAGAAAAGAGCAAAAAAAAAAAAAAAAATGCCAACAACCAAAAAAAAGGAAAAAAAAGTTGTGTGTTGCCTGACTCGAACTACTAGACTTCGTTCAAGCCGACGCCTCCCCATCCACCCGCTCACACTATGCCCAGGGGACCACAAGGAAACGCAATGGTGCGGCGCCATATACCACTGTGCCATTGTGGATTTGGTTGGAAACTTTGTGATTGCTTCTATAAACCCATCCAGGTTCGAGAGCGAGTTGGTGCCTGCGTGCCTGCGTGCCTGCGTGCCTGCTTACCTGCATGAGTCTATTAGATACCTCCTAATCCATCTGATCTCGTCTCCAGTCCACCTGCACCAACCGACGTGCTCTGCCTTACCTTTAGGAAAGTGAGAGATAGAGAGCACGCGAGAGAGAGAGAGAGAGAGAGAAGCCTGTAGACCAAACTTTCTTCTTCTTCTCTCCCTCTCATAAGGCCCATCAACACCCCACCTCTCCATACCCACACACAGAGAGATGATCCATCTCTTTGGCCAACCTCATCGGCCCCCTTCTCCTCCCTCCACCTCCTCCCCACCTCCACCACCACCACCCAAAACCCCACTCTCGTCCTCTTCATCGCCAACCCTCATCCTCCTCAACACCGCAAAAGCAAGCCACCTCTTCCGCCCCGCAGGATCCTCAATCCCCCGATCCCATTCCCACGCCCTCTCGACCCCATCACAGTCCCGCTCCCAGATCCTCTCGACCTCCAGGCCCACCCCTGCCAGCTTCTCGGCCTCCAGAAACCCCCGCATCGCCGCCCGCCCCGAGTGGAACCCCGCGACGCACCAGCACCGCGCCTCCCTCCCCGCGCGCAGGAACCAGGCCACGGAGCGCAGGAGGTTATCGTGCTGCCAGGGCATCCAGAGGCAGTCGCAGATGAAGACCCTATCGAAGGCGCCGCGGCCGGTGGCGGCGAGAGAAGTGAGGGTTGTTGCTGTGGTTGGTGGTGAGGAGGAGGAAGAGGAAGAGGAGGAATCAAGGTCGCCCCACGCATGGCCCACGACCTCAAAGTCTGCGACGCGGGCGAGTGGCGAGTGGGCGGGCAGCAGGTTGCGCGCGGCATTGTCTCGAAGATTAGCGAGGATGGCCGGGGCAGGGTAGTCCGTGATGACGACGCGTTCTGCGCCATACAGGGCGGCGAGGAGGGAGGGGAGAGCGGTGCCCGCGCCCAGCTCGATGGTGGTGAGGCCTGTGATATCGAAGTCTGTGAGGGCTGGGCCGAGGGGGCTCTTCAGGGTCGGTGGTGCTGATAGTGGATTAGATGAGGAGGAGGAGGAGGAGGAACACGAAGAGGTGGTCTTCTGGGCAATGAGGGTGCCGGCCTCGACAAATTCGGCGAGCAGGAGGGAGGCGTTCCAGAGATAGTGGCTGAAGAGCTGGCGGTCTTCGTCGCCTGCAGGGTCGGCCAGGCTGATGTGAAGTGGTTTCGGGAGGTGAGGGGACGTGTAGAGCAGGCCATGGTCGGCATCGCCATCTGAAACGAATATGTTAGATGGATATCTACAATGGAAACAGAACAGGGCGGAGGAGGAGGAGAAGGGCTGTCCCCTCGAGGATCTCAATACATATGTGTGTGTACGTGTGTATACAAGAACAACACATGCAAGATACAACATCATCTTTAGCAGTCACCTACGCAGATTCATGGTATCATCCTCAAAGACCACCCCAAGTGAGTCCCCAAAGAAGTCCTCTGGGTCCTCCAGCGGCTCACCAGCCGGCGTCAACCTCAGAGCCAGCGACATCAATGGATCGCACCTCCTCCTCGTCTCTCCGGGGCAAAGAGTATATCCCTTTTTTTCTCCTCTCTCGTTTCCGCCGACTTCTGATCTTCTCTTTCCCCCTGTCCCTCCCAAAACACACACCGAACCAGAAGAGTGACACACACCTTCCTTACCGCCCACGCCTGTCCCTTCTGAATATAGAATGAGGCGGGGTGTGCCCTTCCAAAAACAAAGTAAAACAAAAATATCAAGAGTGAAAGGTACAAAAAGAAGGTAAAAAAAAAAAAAAAAGAGTAAAAATTATGACGTCTCTAAGCGCCGGCCTCCTGCGCAGGCCCACACGTGGGGGTTCTCAAACGCAAGCACCTCGCCTCACTGCTAAGCAAGTGTGTATGTCAGCACAGCCTCAACACCAACAACGGCAGAACGGATAAAAGAGGACGACCCTCACACGGTCAACACTGCTATTTTTGGACATGCAAACACACACACACACACACACACACACAAACTTACACTTATACTTTCTTCGCCAAGATAGTTGCGCCCGTATACGTAACTTGCACTGCACTTTGTTAAGTAAGCAGGCTTCGGTTGGGTGTGTGAGATGCAGATATTCGGAGCCCCCAAACTATTTTTTTTTCTTTAGTTGCGTTTTTTTTCCCCTTCTCCTGCAAGGCACGGTTGCACACACACACACACACACACACACACACACACACACAGACAGTGCATATGTGTGTGTCTATTTCGGTGTGAGTGTGGGGGTCCGTTGAGTGGCGGTGGAAAAGTCAGTTGGGAGTGCGTGTGAGTGTGTGTTGCGGTGAGGCTGCCCAGCGAGTACGCAAAGCAAGCACGGTTTGGAATGGGATGCGTCCTCCCGAGGGAGGTTTTCCTCTTTCCTCTTTCCATCTCATTTTTTGCACAGGGTTAGGGTTGAGATAGTCAAAGGTAAACCCTAAGGGTTCTTGTCCAGTGCCAAACGAAACCGGAGTCCACATCTGGAGACCCGGGGTCCACCATGGTTACTGATCGCGGTCGGGAATCGACGGAGGGATTCGGGCTTCGGGCCATTCTTTTCTGGATCATTGGGAATCCATCATGGTCTTTTCGGGGTGCAGAACTGGTGAATTTCATCTCCTTTTCTTCTGATGATAGATAGAATATGTCGCTTTGTGGGGAAAAAAAAAGGGAAGAATAAAGAAAAGAAAAGGGAGAACATGCATGGTTGAGATATCGTCTGGACTTTACAAAAGATAATAGACTGTATGTTTATTTCCTGGTGAAGAAGGACTTTAAGGCTGATACGATAAATAACAAGCGCACCGACAGAAATAGAGTCGGAAAAATATCTTCTTGCAAGAGAGATAGAGAGAGAGAGAGAGGAAAGAAGAAGAGAGGAAAAAGGGAGGTTTGCTGAGCAACAGAAAAAATGACGGCCGTCCAAACTGCCATCGTCACGCCCAAACTGCTGGACTCCCTCCGCGCCCAGCCAGACCTACCTGATGATGTATGGTATCTAGTCATCGCAACAGCCCTCTGCGTTCTCAACCGGCCAGAGGAGATTCGGACTGTATACACGCATGCCGTGGGCGCAGGCCATGGGAACGCCGGCCAGCAGAACGGCACAGTCATCCCAGATGACGAGGAGCAGTTGAGGATCGCGCGGCGGATGCGCGAGGCTCTGCTCAAGACATCTGCCATAGCAGGCTTGCCCAAGGTGCGTAAGAGATGACTACGACGCAGCAGTAGAGGCGCGCAAGAAGCAGACAGAAGACCGAGCTCCTTTTCCTGCTCTTCCTGCTCTTCCTCCTCTTCAAGTCCACTCGATGTCACCAGTCCTTAGAATGGATCACCACCACCACCACCACCACCACCACCACCAACAACAAGACCACCTTCCCCCTCTTCTCAGCGGCCCACTCCCACCCACGCACCCACGCGCCCATACACGGCGCGTAAACCGCTGCTGACCCAGTCTCCCCAACCCACAGACCATCAACGCCCTCCAAGAGCTCAAGAAAGTCGTCCCCACCCACCTATCCGACGAGCCCAACAGCCCCTCACCCACCAACCGCCGACAAGACGTGCACGACACACCCACGGCCCAGGTATTGGGGCGCGGACAGAGCTTCTTCGACGCCTGCTACGGCAAGGTGGCAGGCAGGGTGATGACGGCCCTGGACCACAGCGGGACCGAGGACCTGGGTTTGGCGGTGCGGCTCACATATGGGTATATTTTGAGCACGACGGCGGTTCTGGACGAGGTTGAGACTTCTTATGTTATGATTGCGGGGTTGGTGCCGCAGGATGTGAGTAGTTTTTCTTCTCCTTTCCCACTTTATCTTTCTGCTGGCTTTGTTTGCTGGAGTTTCTTGCTTCTTCCTCCTTGCTGTTCCTCCTTGCTGTTCCTCCTGCTCTCTCTCATTCTCTCTCTTTGCGTCTCTCTGTCTCTCTCTCTCTCTCTCTCTCTCTCTCTCGCGCGCGCGTCAGTCAGCTCCTCCCTCCACCACCTCAGCCCAGCCCAGCCCAGCCCGTCCGCCTTCCTGTCTATACTGTAATGATAGGGGTCATAGATAGGAATGTACACGTGCAGCACTTGCTGGCACACAGGATGGTGGCGATTGGTCTGTATCCGCGCACAACTGAGACAAGAAACTAATGCGCGACCCTTGTTTTCCCCTCTTTCTTCTTTCTCTATCTGACAAAAAAAAAACCCCCAAAAAAAAACAGGTGAACCCACAGCTCAAGGGACACCTCAAGGGAGCCCTGAACGGCGGCGCAAGTGTGGGACAAGTGCGCGCGGTAAGACAGGTGGCCATCCACGTGTGCAAGGCTGCCGGCATGAGGGTCTTGTCGGAGGGAGGTGGTGGGTGGGGGTGGAGGACCGAGGTTCAAGATCTCTAAAAGGGGAAAGACACAGACCAAGGAAGAGAGACAAGCAATTTTGACACCTGATGGTGGGTTTTTGGATTGCTAAGCCAGTTGACCAGTGAGTGACTGGAACAAAGGTCCCCCCCGCTCTCGCAGTGAACTACTCGAAACTGAAGTCCTTGTCACTTGTTCTGGGCCCTCGAAAACGGAGGACCACAGCGGATCTGATAGAGATAGAGTTACAGTTTGGCGTTAGTTACTTGGAGTTAGGGTCAGGCACAAACGTGGCAGAGGAGGGTCGAGAAAGTCGAGAGTTTTGTCGAGGGTCCAGACCCCGCCGTGAGGCCGGGTTTCGCTGCCCAGACCCCTTTGGTGATTCCTCGGCCGGGCTGGGCTGGGCTGGCTTGGGCGGGTGCAGCGGAACGAGCAACATCCGTCCGGGCGCGTGGTAGCGTCACGCACGCATGTATGTTGTACATGGTTTCTATCATGTTGTACTATATGCTATGTGCATTGGTACCTTTGGGAAGACGAGGAGGATGAAGTGGGTGGTGACGGTGTGTGAGTGGAAAGAGTGGATTGAACCAAGGAAGAGAGACCATGCGAAAATTGATAGATAGGATTTCACAACAAACCATCATGATGCATATCCGGTTTGAGGCAGAGGAGGCGTTGTCGGTGCTGGCTGATGGTGTTAGGGTACCATGAAGTAGACAGACAACACAACACCACACACTTTTTATTCCTTCTCTCTTTTGGGTGTGTGTGTGTGTGTGTGTGTGTGTGTGTGTGTGGTTCGAGATGTCTCTCGTTCATCCGATTGTGTGTGAACACTTGGGGAAGGAACAACGTGGCCAGGCTAGCTGGCACCTGCAAGCAAGAAGCCGAAGCCACTGGCTGGGGAAGGTGGCATGCTGCAGCCTGCAGGCCGGGGAATAGGAAACCAACAGCATAGACAGACCCTTGGGGACGTCGAGACAGACAACTTTACACACTCACTTCCACATGCGCCTGCCTTATTGTCACTCCCGCTGCAGCCAACATGTAAGGCACGACTGGGAAAGAGAGCATGACCGACCGACCCAGTAACCAACACAAGAAAGAAAGAAAATAAGCTTAGAAATAATAACAAGGCCACGCGGGCTGCTTCGACGCGGCTGCCACATGCATCGTCGTGTCTCTTGACTGCGTGCTTACTTTACCTTGACCTACTTGGCAACAGGATGTGCCAGGTTGTGTGTGTGTGTGTGTGTGAGAGAGAGAGAGAGAGAGAGAGAGAGAGAGAGAGAGAGAGAGAGAAAGAGAGGGATAGTGTGCGTGAGTATGTCTGAGGAGGGCAGTGTGGGTGCGTAAGTGACTGAGTGAGTGACTGCGTGCCTGCATGCCTGATTGAATGACTGAGTGGACTGAATGAGGGAGTCGAAAACTCCCCGAACGCTGTGTGAGGGTCCTCAAGCGATGAGGCTCAAAATGCGGAACCAGGGGGGTGGGCGTTGGTCCAAGTCGCTCATCCTCCTTGTCCTCCATCTCTCTACATGCAGTACCTCATCTTTGCTCTGCTCATCGCTCTACAACTCATATTCTCTCTCTCTCACTGGCCAGTCCAGGGGCCCCACCCAACAAAACCCCACCCCACCTGGGCGCAAGTAAGCGGGAATCCTGGCGGCCGCTCCCAGAGCTCTGGTGGGTTACAAGCTTCACAGGAATCCTTCTGTGCGGCCTCTGTCTCTCTCTCTCTCTCTCTCTGCCTTCTCTTCACCTTACAAACAGTATGTACACATAACCCCCCTGGTCAATCGCCCGCCCTCTTTCCGCCCCTCCCCGGCTCCTGGGCGCTCGTGTGGTCGCGACGCGGATTATATCCGTGGGGGAAGCGAGGACCTTTTCCCCTTGCCGCCCAGGGCTGTTGGCGGTCTGTGTATGTGTTGGGAAATAGCACACGGCCGTAGGCGGTGTGCGCAAGAGATTGATACATTGTGTCGTTGAGGACAACATTACAGGACTGGACTGGACGGAACTTTTTTTGGGGGGGGGGGGGAAGAGGTGTTGGTGTGGTCACAATTCCGCGGTACTTGTGGAGATGAAGCCTCCGCCTAGACATATCAGTAGTGGATACAGTACAACAAGCTCTCTACTATGGTACAACTCTCTGGACAGCATTTGTCCCCCCTTTTTTTTTTCTTTTTCTTTTTTGCTTTATAGTTGTTTTTATCGTCGCCGTCAAAGTTTCAGTCATACTCCGAGATCCACGCCGGCTCTCGCACGCCACATGACAGGCAAGGGGAAAAAGAAGGGGGTTATCCGAGAACCGTAGTTACGATGATACTGTGATGCCTAAGTCGTCTCCACGCTGAGTGACACGTCGGGACCCCGAAGTCAGAGGGTCCAGACGCTGACAGGGCAAGAAACAAAAAAAAAAAAAAAAAAAAAAAAAAAGGACAGACAGAAACAAGACCTAAACGGCATGGACGACGATGGGGTTCAGGCGGAGACGATGCGACATTACAAATGATAGCGATGCTTGAACATGCACGACTCGTCGTCTGGGCGGAAACAGCACATGCCCATAGTGTATGTACATACTTGCATCGGGAGGCGGGCGGGACCGGTGGAAGTGTCCAGATCATTTGATCCACCCTTGATGGCAGTACGCATCTTGACCAAAGAAAAGAAAAAGAGGAGAGGGGGACAAATCGTAGCCAGATTACTACTATTGCACACAGGCCACGAGATATTCGGGGCATTATCGGAACCGACCACCGCGTATCGGTCCCCCCCTCCCTTTTTTTCTTCTTTTTTTTCTTTCTTACCATAGCAAGATAGTAGTGAACACACCAGCAAAAACAGCAAACATCATCAACAATAACTCCCACCGTGTCGCCAGTCTGTCACGAGAAGGGTCTGGGAAGGAGGTGGTGCTGCGCTTGTCCTGGATAGAACAGAATCCTCCCTGTGTAACCCGAAAATGACCCCATACGTGTGTCATGTATACGCACTGGTACCATAGTTTGCTCCACGAGACTAAGTCACAGAACAGGATCTCGCTCGCCTGGGGGAACGCACAACCCCTCCCCCTGCACTACTTCGAATCCTTCTCAAAGCACACCCTTTCCCCCTCGGCCCCCCCTCTCCCAATACAGAAACCCATGGAAAGAAGAGAGAGAAGGGGGGGGGGGGCTTTGGCACAGATCATCACGAGTAAGTAAAGTACATACATAGTGTAGAGACCAGGCAAGAAGCAAGGAAAAGAAGAAGAAGAAAAAAAAAAGGGGGGGGGGGAGAAGGGGACTTGCAATGTGCCACAAGCCTGCTGACGAGTGCCGAAACCCGTGTCGATACCAACAACAATAACAACAACATCTTCTCGGTTGCTAAAGCATCCTAAAAACTTTAGGGTTTGCGGCGACAAATGGCCTTGTCCGTCCTGGACTGGGGATGGGATGTTGGCTTGGCTTGGCTTGGGCTGGAGGTCCTGCTGACGACTCGCCGACTTGATGGACTGGCGTGTGTACCACACGACAACCGTGGAACTCTTGTACCTATACTATACGCTTGAAACTTTGAGACACGCATTAGGCAGGAGAAAAAGAAAGAGAAGAAGACAGAGATTGGTGGCGCATGTCTCAGGCGAGACACACACATATCGACCCACCTGATCTGAACACTGTACATGTGCGTTCAATACAGCAAGAAAGAAAAAAAGAAGATGAAAAAAGGCTGCCGTCCATGTCCCTCTCTACATTGCTCCACATCTCTCCATCACTGTCTCTCACCCTTTCATATTCGCAAACAAACCCTTTTCAGGATGATGATGATCAAAAAACTTCGCGTGCATGCATTTCCACCAGGCAAAACGCCCCACTCGTGCGGTTGGATTGGGTTGGGTTGGGTTGGGTTGGGTTGGTTGTTGGTTCTCATGGGGTAATGTACATACTAGAAACTGTACATGATGGAGACCAAAAAGAAGACAAGAAAAAAGCCCAAAGTACCCCCCCCCCCCCGGCTGGTGGTGGATGGTGTGTGGTTCGGTCATCTTTCTTTTTCTCTCCCCAAATCTCGGATGTGCCATGTGCCGCTGCAGCACCCTGGGCTGTGGCGATGGCCGGATCCTCCAGGGTTGCTTCCCTCGCTTAGGCGAATCGTGCATGTACTCGGCAAGAGAAAGAAGGGCGCCCCGGGCGGGGGGGGGGGGAAGGGGAGGCAACTCGATATCCTGGCAACAAGAAAAAAGGAAATAGTGAGAAGAGAGATAAGAGAAAAGAGAAAAGATGAATCGTGTACAGCCTCAGCCTTGAAAGAAGGAAAGGATTCAAACCAATCGTCACGGTAGTATTAAGATAGACATTATCAACGTAAGGATGTCTCCGGTCGATCCGTGACTTGCGTGCGCACCTGGGGTTGTTTGGGGGGGGGGGAGAATCACTAATCAAGTTCGGATCTTGGATACTATCGTGCATGGTTTATTGAGTAGTATAATCTGGTACATCGTATTATAGTGACAAAATACATACTTGTAGATAATCCATGTACATTGTATCACTACGGATAGAATAGGGTCAGCCTGACTGTGGATCTCGTTAAGAAACGAAGGGCATATGGATTGTCAGATAGGGTAAAGTCTACTTGACTTTGTAGAGTGAGACAATACCTGGTCTGTTGAGAAGTAGGCTAAGGAAAGGGAAGGGGGGGGGGGCTGGCTACAGTGGCTATAGTACACAATATATCGGTAACAAGCATGTTCCCTTGCTCAAGCCTGACCGCCATACGAAGCAGCGAACAGTAGCACCAAAAGAATTGAGTGCATGCCTTGAATGCCCAAGCTTGGACACTAAGGAAAAAGAAAGAAGAGCACACTACCAAATCACATCATTCATGATCAACATTCACCTTTCCCCCTCCTCTCTTAGCAAGATCAAGCCCAGACAAGACACACAAGAGACAAGACAAGGACCACTACGAAGTACTACTACTATTACCACCACCAGCACTACTACTACTACTACTACTACCAATACTAAATGATGATGATGATGATGATGGAGATGATGATGACACGGGCAAAATTCCAGGGCGGGCTGGGACGGGCTGGAGAGCGGGCGGCCGGGTGGGTTTCATTCAGGAACCCTTGTCTCGCAGGGGTGGCGGGAAGGTTAAAGCTACCACTCTGTCGGTGTCGGCCTTCTTTCTTTTTGCGCCAGTGATTACTTTGGGGGGACGTTGTTTTACCCTCATTAGCGGCCTGTACACGCACGCACACTTACACACACACGTAAGGCTATAGGATGGGGGATTTGCAGTGGATTCCACTTTAAAAGTAAAAAAGCCCACAAAAATATCGAACCAGCACGGGTAAGCAAGCATGCTGGGTAAATCAAGTCCCAGGGTAGGGAGGAAAATCTCTCTCTCTCTCTCTCTCTCTCTCTCTCTCTGTGTGTGTGTGTGTGTGTGTGTGTGTCCCCCTGCTCAGAGGCTAAGAAGAAGGGGGGGGGGGGAAAGAGAGAAGAGGGGTAACATGGTCCCATGATCACCAGACCCAGCACCCTGGGAGATGAGATAGAGCTTCTGGGAAGGATGCCGAATAGATGAGCAAGGAAGAGAGAGACAAGAGAAGAGGCAGAAGAATAAAGAAGCAGGTAGACTGTAGAAGGCGGGGTGGCAAGGAGACTCGTGACGGCCCAGACACGGCTCGTCCTTGGTCCGTCACAAGCGGTCGGGGGAAAGAGGGGGGGCTTATGCTTCATGCACGTAACCCTTACAGACAGAGAGCGAGAGGGGGAGAGAGAGAGAGAGAGACAATGCGAATCGCAGGCCCAGAGCGTCGGGACGAATGGTGTCTTGTGCTGCATGACCTCGTAATCGACATACGTAGCGCCGCAGACCTAGACCAGCACGCGCCCGTCCATATGCACGCGCGGGGATGACAAGGCAGCAAGATTCGGGGGGGGGGGGATCCAAAAAAGAAGGGCCAAGAAGTGTATGGGTGAGAGGGGGGACAGAGAGACACAGACTAACTACTGTGAACTAACACGATGATCTGCCTTCTTTTTTCCTTCTTCTTGCCAAAAGCAAAGTAGATAGATTGCTAGATAGACAGATGGTGGCGCCGCCGGGCCCACGGCGTTGGAAATCAGCGGTCACCGCTTCTCCAGCCATTTTCCCTCTCCCTTGTTTTCCCTCCTCTTTTGCCCGCCAAAAACGCCCACGCCAAACAAAAACAACAACCTAAGTGTTGCCCCCCCCCCCCATCCCGCACCCCCGCTCTGCTTCCACCCCTCTTTTTCTTTCGGGAGCGGCAACTCCCATCGCGGGTGCCATGCTGTCGGTGTCGAGGGGAACCAGGGCTCACCCCGTCATTCATTTCACGCCCGCTTTCCCCTCGATGGTCTTTTGGTTTCTCACTCTTATGCACACACTATTTCTGTCCCTCTCATTCTCTCTCTTTACTTCTTCTCCCTACCGGTCTAGTAGTTGATCTGCGCACGGGACAGGGAAGGTGGCCGGAGGAAATGAAATAGACTATAGTAGATCAGTGACACAATCTTGGTGGTTTTTCTTGTTCATTTTGTTTTTCTGTTGAGTTTTGTCAAGACTCCAAGGGACGACGACGCCACATGCGAGAGCTCTTTGATTTTCCCTTTCGTAATTTTCTCGGCAGATGAGGGTTTTTGTCGGGGTTGAGATCTGGCGCCGGCCCCAAAACCAGCCCCAGACACACGCCAAACCCAATAAGCGGCGGCCGCACTGGGGAGCGGCGGGAAGGCAAAAAGGAAAGCAAGGAAGGAAGGAAGGAAGGAAGGAAGGAAGGAAGGAAAAAGAAGGAAGCCGATTTTCAGGGCCAGCGCCCTTTCCGCTTCCATGGCTGTCAGCGCTTGACAGTATAGATGGCTTTTGTGTATTGGAAATTCCTGGGCGTGTGTAATGGATGGTACGGGGCTATTTTGCTCTAGGGAATCGAGGGGACGAGAGACAAAGGGCAAGTAGACAGTCACACAGAGAAGGAGGTAACTATTCTTGTTCTCTTCCCTCCTTCCTTTCCTCTCTTTGGTATTTCCAGGAAGACCAAGGCGTAGAATAAAAAAACAATGCAACTTTTGCTAGAACCACTACTTGACTGCTTGGCTTGCCACATGAGTGGTCAGACATCAGCTTACTGATTCCCCCACCCCGTCAGGAACGTCTTTGACACCTGTCTGTTCCCCCCCCCCCTTCTCTCTTTTTTCTTTTTGAAATGCTGTCACCCCTCCAGCCCCAAAAAACCACTTATGTGCTACGATATAAAATTCCAGGAAGTCGAAAAATGTGTGTAGCATCAAAACATTTCCCTGTTGAGAAGCTCGCCGCCTTCCTTTCTCGCGAGAGCCTGTTTTGGCTCTCTCGCCTCCAGAAAGCCCAAAAAAACAAACCAAACCAAAAAATCCCCCGAGACCCGGAAGACTGGCTATCCGGGAGCCTGGACTGGAGATCAGCGGACCAACCATGTGCGTTCCCAGGGTTGTCCGGTTCCCAGTCGCTTGGGTCATCGAGATTGCGGGAATGTCGGAATGCTGGGGTGGGAGGGAAAGGAGGAGGGGCAAGGTTGCATCGAGCAGGGTGAAAAAAAAGGAAAAAAAAAAAAGGAAAAAAAGGGAAGGAGATAGAAAGGGAAAAAAAAGAGGGACGAGTAAGAAGGGAGGGTGAGAGAGAGAGACATGGCGCGGAAGGGAAACGGAAAAAAGAAGAGTAGTGTCTTAGCAAGAAGGTGTTATAGAACATGGATAGGCGCGGTAATTGGGCACTGCACGAGGCCGATGGGGTTGTCTTGTACTTCTATGGCCGTAAAGTACTTGTCGTACCCTACCTACTTATGGGGCAGGGTTCACTATAGTGGTACCAGTATTATGGTGCTTTGGGGGGGGGGGTTTCCAAAAATAGGGCACTGGGGTTGATCTTGGTCAAGGTGCAGTAGCGTTGGCTTACACCGCAGGGCCCGGTAGAGAGGTGCCCTAGGTTCTGCCCTTAGCCCAACCCAGCCCACTGGTTGGCATAGACCAGATGAACCAACAACAAACAGCAGCAACCAACAAACCAGACAAGGGGGGGGGGCCTGTACATAGTACCATAGAATCGTACCCAAGTACTGTGGTACAAACTTTGGGGGGGAGAGAGTGAGAAAGAGAGGAGAAGGATGGATCGTGGGTAGCGAGATGGGGCCCAGATCGAATTTCTGATGGAAAAATACCATGGATACTCTTTTTCTCATAGGCTCCTCCTGGTTGTATGTGGAAGGATTACGACTGTACCCTTCATCTTGTTTTCTCCTCCTCTCTCTCTTTTGTCTGACTCAATACACACACACACACAGGGTTTGCACATACCACGGTACACTGAAGGAAGAAGGGGAGGGAGCGCATGATTTCAGCCATGCCATGATACCGTGCTGCGATTCTAAACAGATACCCCCCTCCCCCAACGCGTCACCTTTGCCCCTTCGATCCTTGTTTGTGGTATCTCTCTCTCTCTCTCTCTCTCTCTCTCTCTCTCTCTCCCTCCCCCCCCTCCCCCCCTCCCATCTTGTTCTGTATGTGTGGAGACAAGAGATGGGAATGAACAAAAAGTCCCTTGTAAATGTTGGGCCAAGTCATGTACCAGAACTTTGACCGCCCCGGCCTTTCCCGCGTGGTGTCACACCCCCCCTCCCTTCCACACATGCGTGCACATACCATGCCGTGTCTCAAGGCGTCATCAAAGAGAAAAGGACTACCATACTACAGATTTTCGGTGTGCGTGTGTGTTGCGTGTCTTTCATTTCTGTTCCTGCAGCCTGTTACGATCGGGGAAGAGACAGACACACATGGAGATCGGCCCCAACACTAGCCACGCGGACAAAACAACGTGTCACATTCTCATCTTGCAAAGAGAGAGAGAGAGAGAGAGAGAGAAAGACCGGGAGAGAGAGGGTCATATGAGACGCCTCGGCTATTCCTTCTACCACTGTCGATCTGCGCCGGCATGTACGGGAAGAGACACAGAGAGAGAAAAAAGGACAACAACCAGGGGGGCAAAGGCCACCGGGCGATGATGACGACGGGGGTTGTACATGTCAACGGGGCAAGGTGGGAAGGAAGGACAGGTACACACAGAGAGTTGCGTGTACGCGCCTTGGCAGCGCCACCATGCCTGAGATCTGACCCTTTAGGATGTTTTAGACGCCAGACATGCTCAAAAGACAGACTGACCGAGCAAGCAGGAAATTCTTGTGCGGCCCCCAAACTTTTTCGCAAGCGCGCGGAAGACGCCTCTATTGGGTGCGCGGCCCAACAACAACAACGCACATATATGCATGCAGGCAGGGGATGGGCGATGGGGGTGGGAGGGCCTGTAGACCGGCCATCGCGGTTAACTAAGTAAGCCAAGGCGAAAGGCTGAGCCCTGGTCCGGCAGATACAGTCGTAGGACCACGTGGCTTTGCTAAACTCATCTCATCTCCCTTCCACCCTCCCACTCTTTTGTCTCTGATACCAGTTGCCACCCACCGCTTTTCTCTCTCTCCCTCTCTTCTCTCTCTCCCTCTTTGCCCACCGTGATTACTGCTACTGATACGGTGGGGGCCGTGTTTTGGAATCTGCGGTCAGCAGACAGGGCACGAGGCGATATTGAGAGAGGTACTATAGTACAGTACCACGGGACAAGTAAGAACGTCCACCCCTCTCCCTTGATGTACTATGGTATGTGTGCATGTGTGTGTGTCTTGTTTGGGGTTGCGCCCATCTTGGGCCGACAGGGCGATCAGGCAATCAAAGAACCAACCCTCCCTTCTCGGCCAGGAATGGCAGCCCAATCCAACCCAACCCAAACAACCAACAAGCGGGACCCCCAGTCGATAATGCCGGCAGCAGAATCTGAAGGAAGGATCTGTTTCTCACATATCGAGAGAGAGAGAGAGAGAGACAGGGAGGGAGGGAGGGATGTAATCTGCTGGGATTGTTGCTGGTGTTGTCATGGTTCTGCTGCTGTTGCTGCTGCTTGGATGCAGTCAGCAATCGTCATGCGCAGGCAAGAGAACAGAAAGAGCGAGAGCCACAGGCAGGGAGGTACATACCATGGTACTCTGTGGGCAATCTGGTAAGGCTGTCTGTTGTGGTCCCCTTCCTCCTTCGATACCACCCTGCGACCTCATGGCCCCCTTGTTCTGAGACTGGGGGGAAGGACGAGCTGCTGTACATGGTACCATAGTACTACTTTTTATATGCCATGGTCATAATATACATACAGTGTGAATTACTGACAAGTCTGCTTGATCTGTTCCAGTGAACAGTGGGAGAGGGAAGAATGAACATGGTCCTTTTGTCTGACCGTGGTCTTACTGAACCCACAGACCCACCACAAGGGAACAGGAAGAGCGGTCTCCGGGTCTTGTGCCTCCCCCCACCCACATCACCTCCCCAGTCCAGTCTTGAGGGTCACCACCACCAGTCCAGTCAGTCAGGTGGGAAAGGAAATGATGAATTAGAATTCCCACAAGTGCCGTAACGGGAAGACCTAGATGCTGTGGGCTCCCGTGACTGGTCCCAAATACGGACTCTGGGGTGTCCTGGTGCGTCCTGGCTGCACGGTAACGAGTCAAAAAATGAGAAAAGAGGAAGGGGTGGTTGGGGCTTTGCAATAAGGGCTCCGCACCACCCACGGAAAAAGACCTATAGTCGATTCACGCCTTCTCGACTATAACTTCCCACGTGGTGCAGTTGCAGTGGTAGCCCATGAAGAAGTTGTGCAGAGGCGGGGGAGAGCTACAGGCTTGGCACTTGGGTGAAGGATCTTTTTTTTTGGTAAGTGGTCTGGATTGGCAGGTGTACACGGTAGGAAGGAAGCACCGAGGATGTTAGATTGCATGCATAGTGTTATGCAGACACATACAGAGAGAAGGAAGGTGAGACCTAGGGTGGACAGATGGAATGTGCTCTCGAACCAGGGCCACACAACCAGAGAATGCACCGCCCCCAACCTGCGCTGTGTGCTGGGGCTTCAGTACCCAAACATACCCAAAAACCACACTCACATACATCATCAGACCATGGCAAGTCATTTTGGTACCATTACGAACTTGTATGTTATCTCAAGAAAATGCACAAGTGCTGTTTGAGGCAGTTGTACCCTGTGTTTCCGGCGTTCCCGCACCGGACGTGACCTCAACTCGAGCAGAGGGACCCTCGATCCGACTCGGGCCCGAAACACCAGCACGCTCGCCCGTCTGGCCAATAGAACAAGCCCAGGGGTCCGCGGAAGATGAGAGGCGGCGATACAACATATTATTGACTATGCACTATGGCACCATCGTTTCTCTGGAAGGGAATCCACTTTGAGGGTTCTCGTCTGAGCATCGATGGCGCCGCCCTGAGAAGCATCAGATAGTCAAACAATAGACGAATGATGTTCCTGTGGTACCCGCCCATGGAAAGTGTGTTATCCATCCTTTCCTGCTCTTTTTCAGGGGCTTGCATCAATATCAAGGAATCCTTCCGCCCACTTCTGCCTCTCTCTCATTCTCTTTTCTCTCTCTCGCTAAGGTGGATGTGATATGATTTGATGGCCAGGCCCCCTCCCTTCCTTTCTTGGCAACAGGAACAGAACATGCACACGCACAATATCAGGACACATGACACTCGTGACCAGCGGATAACTGACCCCTGACCCTGAACCCTCGTCTTCCTTCCGACAAGGTCTGCTCCCTCCCACCCCCCCCCCCCCTCTCTCTCCCATGTATGGGATGGGATGCCCGTGATCCAGTGCCGTGCTGCCACCTGGTTGCTCGGCGGCATAGTCAAATCGACTGGCCATCGCGTGCCGACGACGTGTAACTCAAAATCCTCCCGCGTTTCAACATTACACCCAACGTGCGTCGGTCAGCAAATTTGAGCCATGGGCAACCGCTCAAAGAGGAAGAGGAGGGGGGGGGGGGTTAGAGAAAAAGGGTTGACCGACCGACTAACTGACGGCCTGGCTGGCCGACCGAATGGACCATTCACGTTAGAGATGTCACGCGTAAGAGAGAGAAAGTGTGTGTGTGTGTGCGCGCGCGTGAGAGTAGTGAGCCAGCCAGGAAGGACTTGCCTCCCTTGCCCTCCCTCTGCAAAGTACCATGGCACACAATGGCCCCAAAGGGGAGGGGCTGCCATCTCAGCCCTACTCTCTCAAGAAAACCCTTACACAACAAGTCCTCTTCCATCCAGACGAACCCAGACCGCTACCCGAAGGATCCTTGGGGAGGATCGCCTATACTATGAAGCTCGTATACTCGTACTGCTACTATGCAACTATGCGCAGAACATGCGACAAGATCCTTCCGACGTGACCAAACAGGACGGCCCCATATTGTCAATAGGCGATTATCAAGCGTCGCAGCCTTGCTGATGATGAGGGGATGGAGTTTTATGTTGCATCTCACTCTTTTCTTCTTCTTTTTTTCTTTGGTACGGACGTATGCGTGCATGAAGAGAGCAGAGAGAGTCGGTCCCTTATTGGCCCTAATGCCCTGCTTAGACGCCAGACAGCTCTCTGGCCCACCATGCAGGTGTATTGTAGGGGGGGTTCTTGAACTTGCCCGCAAGCCATCGCCTCCTTCATTCTTCTTTCGAGGCATGGCATGTCAGACCGTGACAAGTCAAGCTCTCTCCTGCTCTTCCTTCCACCCCCTCCTCCTCTCCTCTACCAGCCTTTCTGGGTCGAGCTTGGGTCAATAGTGGTGGTGAAAAGTAT